ACCGGTATTAATATTATAGACGGAGTTGCCGTCCCAAATTTGGGGCGGCGAGGCATGTACAGCCAGAAGGTAGAAAGTACCTTCGGCTCAAAGCGGAGGACCGCGCGAACCGGAGGGTTCAAAGAAATTAAAAACCTTAGGATGTCGAAATGGCTCAATGCAGAAAATGTTCCCAAACATTGTCGTCAAACATAACGCCGATTCAAAAGTAAAAGATGCATTCAATGGACAGTGGTATGTGCAAGCAAGCTGAATAGCTTATCGGCCCGCTTCAATGTCGTGATTGGAGGTCAGGGTCTCGCTTTCCCACGTGTAGTGATCGTCCACAGGGCTCAGAGAGCCAGAAGAGACGGAGGAGGAAGAACCAACAGTCCACTCATCACTGTCCAAGTTGAAGTCCCCGTCCAAACTGGCGAGGTCGTAACCAAATTCACGAGAGTTGTCACCAATCTCAACATAATCGTAGTCCCAGCGGAACATCTTGTCGGATTGAACTCGGGGCATGAATCGGGTCTTGGTGAAGTAGAAGGCGACTGTGGCTAAAAGACCTCCGCAGACGAGATCCACAGCATAGTGGTGAGATAGGTACATGGTAGCCCACCACATCCACAGAGTATAAGTAACCCAGAGAGGCTTCAGGCGAGGGAAGACATGGCTCATGAACAGAGCAGCCAAAGTCGAATCCGCAGCGTGGAGCGAAGGGAATGCACCAAACACAACGGGAGACTGCTTGAAGCCCGAAGTGTACAGATCAATGCCGAGAAGCTTGTCAATGCGGGCAAGTCCAGCGGGGTTTCCTTGCATAGAGTAATCGGCGGGTGCAAGGCCGTATAGGTTCTCGTACCACGGTGGCGAGCAGGGGAAACACAGCTGGATGGTAACAGCTAGCATGCTGATGTAGCCAAGAGTCCGAGCGTACAGAGGGGTGGTTCCAGGAGGTCCGAAAAAGAAGAGGAGCAAGGAAACGACAAAGGGAGCTCCGTAATGGCAGAGACCATACGGAATCCATGCCAGAACATCCAGCACAACGTTTTGATGCGCAGAAAGGATGTTGCTGATGTTGGCGCCGTACAGGATGTTCTCCATGGCGGGAAGAACACGAACCCAAATGGCAGGACGCCAATCACTTGGGACGAATCTGAAAAAAAGTGCTGTTAGCGAAAATTGCTTACATTGAACTGCTACATCATGTTCACGTTCTTGCCACACTTCGTTCATCACGCCACGAACCTCACGAGGCGGCGCATACGCTGAAAAACAAAACAGGGTAAAACTTACTGGCAACCATAGAAGAAAATCAGCCACCCAGCGATAGGAAGGAAAGGCAGGAAGAATTGCCGAGTGATGGGCATGAGCAGAGAGCACAGTAATCCGGTAGCAATTGCCGTCTTTCCGAGCGGACCAGGAGCTTGAATGATGGTCAAGGAGAAGATGCCCACAATCAAGAGCAACAGATACTGGAAATCATACATCGTCCACCGATGCGTTTGTAATGATTTGAGCGTGTCGACAGGGGAGAACGAGGTTTGCATGGTTGAGATAGACGACGCGGGCGAGAGACGACTTCGTAGCTTGGATCGGAGCTTGCGGCGCATGCGATGCGGCACCAAAAGCTGAAATGACCGCCATGGTATTTGAATTTGAAGCTTTCCGAACTGATTCTGGGTACGGTCTTTCCATGATGGAAAGGAGGCGCTCATCGTGGCGACACCTCCAGGAAGATCCGGATCACTCGAATTAGAAGATAGGGAGGATAAAGATTCGAGGAATGCCGGACGAGACGGAAAGGCAGTCGACAGGGGGAGAGGGGGGTAGATCAAGGTTGGCTAGACGAGAGGCTCTTTCAGGTGCCGATAAGAAGGAAGGCGTCGGGGCCGAGGGGCGAGGAATTCAGGAGGTCACGTTGGCAAGGGCTCCGGGATGCAAGGTAACAGCAAGGGCGGAAACCCAGGATGAAGAGAACTCGAGAAGACCACAGCCCTGGGGAATATTAAGAATTAAAGAGGATGAGAGAAAAGAAGGGGAGAAGAAGAACAGGATAGAGACAGGGTATCGGTATCGGTATTGGTATTACCAGCCAATTTTTGGGGTATTGAAATTTTTCAGCTTATGTCAGCGGGAGTCAATGGCGTCACTAGCTGTTTTTGTACTGTAGAATCTACTGTCGTACTGTATACGGAGCTAGAGAGATTGCAAGTATTCCATAGATGTGACCTTCCCACCCACACTGTATACAGACTGCCTATGTTGGCAGGTCTCTGGAAGACCGGAGCCCTCGGCAGTGTTTAATACAGGTCATCCGGCCAAGCTCAAAATTTGATGTTGGGCGGATGCGGCGGAACCCACGGAGCCCGATCGGACGATGCATGAACAATCACAATTCTTAGCATATCTCGGAGTTTTGCCAAGTTCAAGCCCGACTATCCGACAGTGCCGACTATAGAGCGAATACAATACAGTAGATCTACAAGGCTTACTCCATCGATTTGTTACGGCGGACCATCACGGACGACAGCACACTACGGCAGACCACCTCTCAACCACCAACTCTAAACCCAACTATTGCCAATATACCACCAGACACAAGAGAACTAAAATATGCAAATTTTCCATAGATCCGCCGACTGGCCCCTGCACAAGTGTCCCACCGTTCAATCCCGAGCGCCAATCACGTGTCTCAGATCTCCAGGCCCAATTTCGCTTAATCCACTTTTGGTAAGTTTACTCGTATTTCGTATTGGAAAACCGGCGTGTCGGCCTTCTCTTCGGCCGTCGTCGTGGTGATCTTTCTTGTTTTCTATTTTCTTCACCCTCCGTACAGTTAGATCAGGAAGTGGAAGTCGGCGGCATAGACAATCGTGAGATCAATCATGATCCACACTCGGAGTTACGGCTCATATGATTCTGGCACCGAGAGAACCCCATTCTTCATGCGCGTGTTAGATTGCTGCTATATTAAAACAACGTCTATGACGATCGCTACTTTGCTGGCGCCTGGTTAGTAACGTTGGCCCCATGTTAAAAAATACCATATACTGTACAGATACGGATACGGAGACTGTACACAGCGCGTAGAGATGAGGATGTGCATCTCTGTCTCAGGGGATGTAACGGGACATGACCAGCCTCCCTGATTACATTGCAATTTCCTATAACTTTGTACGGCTGAGCACAGCATCAGTATCGGTGTCAGCCTAGTCTAGCCGTGTCCCTGAATCTAAAATCTCCAACCTTTGATTGAATATCCTTGGTACAGCGCCGTTTCAGAATCCAGCACCGCGCGACCGTGACCAATCACCTTCTCTCTACTTCCCGATTTATCGCCAACGGTTGAGACTGGAGACACACGGGACTTCTGTAAGCTGTAAGCTGTACAGTACGGAGGCTGATGCTTTACGGCCCCCGTCCTATACTGACAGCCTGGCAGTAAGAGTGAGAGTGCCAACACATTCTCGTATTCGTGTCCAAGGGCCATCCCTCTATCTGCCTTGACGGCTGCCTATTGTCAGTGGATTTTAATCGGGTTCGGTTGACTCTATGCACCATACGCTACAATTAGAACAGGTTGGGGATGGTGATGTAAGGCTGGAAAATGCCTTGAAGCTGTTCATGCTGCGCCACATGCACGGTGCATCATATGAGGTCAATGATATCTGATCGGGGCTTCCCAAGGCTGAGAGTGCACGGCTTATTGCCTGATCGGGATTCGCGTACATATCCGTGAGGGTTGGGAATGTAGGGCGGTGCCTTCTACTATACACCTTGCATTGATAACGTTCGACAATATGGATCTGACTGCGATTCTGATACGTGTCTGTTTTTGCGATGCTCGAACGTGACCGTTGGGGCCCCGTGCATGTTCTGAGTATCCAACCATGTGCTGGATTACATCTGCTTCGTACAGTACTTGTTCACCGCCATGATAGCGATACTTCCGATGCTTCAATCGGAGCCACTGTATTTTTTTACCTTTCTTCAACTCACAGTGGCTGAGGGGGATACATATGATACCAACAATGCATAGGGCCCTTGGCATTACACAGCCAGGCTTGGTTTTCAACGACGCATTCTAAACAACATGGTGGCCTAGTGCTGTAGTTATTTTCGGCTTCAATATTCAATACCGATATGGAAGATTCACAGATCATGTTCAATAATACAATACGATCGGCGTATATGCGTCGTCGATCCAGCATCACGTTACATGAACATAGCCACCCCAATGCGGTCCAGGTCGGTGGGGAATGATGCTGACACCGAAGTCCGGTATTTCGGGGGTTGGCATGACTCGTTCATCGAGCGGCATCCGTAGGCTCCGGTTCAGCATTACTTAACTCCAGGGATGTTAACCTGTTTACCTTGGCGCTTGACTGGTTATTTGGTACTGCAGAATGGGGCGCGATAAGGTTCGGTATCAGGGCTGAAAGTCGATCTGGGGTAGATACTGGGACACCCCCATGACGAAATGGACAGTTTTATGGGTTCTATGGGTTCTATGGGGCATCTAGAGCTTTTCTAGATTCTTGCCAGAGTTGTTGGTATCGGTCACTACGTACCCTATATGATATTATGAGATAATTTGGTTTATAGGAACAATGTTCCTTTTGCGTATTCCTCCAGTGTAGCAAATCTCTTGAAATTGAAATGGCTTTAGAATTTGATCCATATTATTCATTTAGCACTACTACTTGATGACTTAGACTCCAAGTCCATAGTAGATTTTTTGATCGCATTCTTCTCCGTCTATCTCTCGGGTGAATGAGAGTGAAACTCAATCAGATCAACTCGAGATGAGATTGCAAACCATCCACTACCTTAGTGGTAACTGTCCGGAATGCTTTTGCCATAGATCTTGGGTCCATGGATAGACAAAAAACCAACCCCAACGCCAGTCGATATGTCGTTGTAGATATCGAAAATCACAAAATGCCGCTCAACGCCAACACCGTGAACCATAAAACAGAACGCCGAAAATACATTGTAAAACAAGTGAAAAGCGATTAGTTGTGCTTTTCACTATGGTGATCCGCGAGCATCTGGAATCCTTTCACCAATCCCATTGCCGAGCCAGCTGCGAGGCCGCCGACCAGGACCATCTGTATTCCTCCGACCAGTCCTTTTCGTACATTCCTCCGACCACGCCAGCCACTAACGAAACAGGTCTTGCCATAGCCGAAGATGAACAAGGCAATGACCATGGTAGCGATAGACCAGCGCAGAGCGATGAAGGCATCTTGGGGACCGACGAAGAAGTAGGGGAGTAGAGGGACGAATCCACCGATGAAGTATCCCATAGCAATTGTCAAGGCGCAGATGACAGCTCGCGAACCCGAGGGCTCGGGCATGGTATGGTGGAAGTTCATGAGGAAGGATGGAAGCATGGGGGACGCAGAGAGGTGGTTTTTAAGTTGAGCGACCAGTTCAGAAGGTAGCTCGTATGGCTCAAAGATATCGCTGATGGTGTCGGATACAGACGCGGGATCGGTCATAGTTTGTGATGCTGTCTCCTTCAATGTAGCTTTGTATGACTCCCTGTCCATGTGTCAGCATTCAGGTTCCAATCAATTGGCCGCGGTTTTGCAGCGATTATTCTTGAAACACAAGATATACTCACTCTTCACTCTTAGCACCGAGGTATCCACCCAACCCCATTGAGATAGCTCCGGCAATGAGCTCTGCCAGTCCACCGAAGACGACCACTTTGGTATCACCCAGAGCAGACAAGCCCGCCGTGAGCGCAAAGGGCACAGTCATACCGTCGGATAGACCGATGATAGCATCCGAGACTGTGCGACCGTCGATGGACCAGCCTGATTTCACATTTTGGCTGTTATTGTTTCCAGCCTCGACGTCCGATCGAAGGGGAAGACTCAAATCCTTCTCCTCCGAAGAGGGACTGCGATCGGCAAGAGGGGAATAGCTCGACATCAGGCCTTTCAATGAACTAATAGACATAGTTGTAGGAAATGAGAAGTTGGAAAACGTGAGAAACCTTGCAGCGCCCCTTGACAGGAAAGGAATGAGAAAGGGAGCAAGGAGGGAACTCTTAAGTTTAAGAAAAGACCATCACACCAAGTCACCGACTCATGCTTGTGCACATTGCATCTGCGGAGAAACTGATCAACTCCTCTGCTGATCACAGCCTATCGAGTGACCCAGCAAGACAACGTGCTTGGCATGGCTCTCTGTGGCTCTTTCTGGCCAGGCACGTGCGACGCTGATTGGTGGCGGGTGGGCTTGGTGGGGGCGAGGGAAGCGGGCTCCCGCTGCTTAGCTCGAGGCTGTGGCCAATCACAGTCCGTTATTTTATAATCGAGGTCACTGGGAGACTCCACTGGGTGTCACGTGCCCATCGGCAGTCGAACTATAGAGGTTTAGCGACATTAATCTATCCTCTGTTCTGTCTTCTATGCATATCCTCTGACTGCTGGCACGTGCTCCTTTTAATATGTTCTTATCACCGGCCTTTTACCCGACATGGGTCAGTTAGGTTTGATTTGATGTCGGGGTGGAACTTGGGTCCGATTTGGTCGACTAATGGTAAATTAGAGAAGACACCGGCTTAAGCCGCCAGAGACTGATGGTTTTAGATGAAAAGTTTTGAGGCTAGTTTTGGTAAGCACAGCCTGAGCTACCTAGGTAGAAAAAAAAATTTATTGGGTTGCCACTACCGGACTTCTATAATGCCAGTGGGAGTCAGTATCAATGTTAACGGTATCCCAAGAAGATCAGAGATGTATGGAGCAATGCTTTGTTAAACATCTTCTTTGAATCGAGCTTGGTCATCAGATGACCTCTCCACTCAGACCAAGTATGCAAAATACCAGCCCTACTTGGATATCATAGTCAGACTCCCAATCTTCACCTCGATGGTAAGTCTCTGGCTGCGGCATAAAAGCGTCTACTGTGAGACCCATCAAAATTGAATGGCAACCCTGGATAATATTCAAGTTCCAGAATAATTACCTTAGTGCAGTGCATGGTGCCTAGCCCCAGCATTCCACATGGAATCCGGATCCATGGAACGACCAGGCACCGTATATGGTGGAGCTATCAAAGGCGTTGCTCTGGGCTTTTTGCGAAATAAGCTTTCAGGTTGCACCAAATTGAATTTCTAAGGTCACACGTAAAGAGTGACGTCGACATATCAAGAGCAAAACCAAATTCATTTATTAGGACCTGCCATAATTCATGACGCATTGACTGAAAACAAGAAGAACATGGGGAAATAAAATATGAACAGATGGAAAAATCGAAGATCGATCCCGAAAACACAAGGCACAGTCTTCGCTGGCTATCAAATGGCGAAAAAGAGGATCATATGCAGGCAATCACGAAAGCCATATTCGTACACCAGCAGACGGTCCTTTGTCGGGGACAAAAATATGCAATGCAACTCGTAGATCGAACGGCGATGAAGTGAAAATGATATGTGCAGCAAATCGCCGCGATGGGTGATGGGTCTCGGAGATCTATTCCAAGCCAAGTTAGCTCACAAGACCATAGGAACAACGACCAGGTCACACGTACTATTTGCGCTTCTCAGCACTAGTCTTCTGATCTGTAGAAGAAGATCCACCCATATCCCAAAGTCGACTCTTGTATGCGGGGAAGGATGTGTGGTTCCACATGTTGACCAGAACACTATGCAGCAGATAAAGCGTTAGCCGTTGCGACGCAAGGAGAGAAAAACAAAAACAAAAGACTTCTCACACACCCTTGAGTCCGATCTTTATACGCTTCATCCTTTATCTCCTTGACTTGCACCTTCATGCCGTCTTTGGTGAACGCGATGTTCTTGCGCTCCATCTTCTCGCGCGTGTTCTTGCCAACATCCTGCACGATGCTGTAGACGACAAAGCCGACCGCGGCGAGGACACCGACGAAGATGAGGAGGAGGATGAGGGGGATGAGATTACGGGTGCCCATGGTTAAGGGATTTCTGTGAATAGCGAGTGTATCGAGTTAAGGCGCTTCTTTTGAGGAAAGAAGTCGAAGATCTGGAGGGTCCTGTGGGGAGGGTGGAAATTGAAGAAGGCAGCGGCGCAAAAACACGCTATGTACCGCCAAGACTAGGTCGTGTGCGCAAGTGTAGTTCCTGGACTCTGGGCTGTTGCCTGGAGTGGATATTATTCTTGTAGGGCAAGAATGTTCCAAACCTGACGGAAGAGAGGTATAAATGCCTGAAACTCAGGGGGGCTCATTCCCATTACCCAATTCCCGTGATGTTTGATTCGAGGGGAACCGTGGCTGAGCCCCGCTGGGGTGGCTGAGCCTGCTGAGTCATGCCGTTAATTTTAGCCCTGGAGCCCTGTTGAGGCTGGCCCAGAAGAGAACTTATACTTTGATATCGTTGAAGGTATAGATCAGTGGTTGTCTCTTACATAGATATCAAAGACATACACACAAAGTGTGTCCCGTCATATGTACCCTCAAAACATGAAATGCATCCAACAAGAGTGGATTTCAAGATCATTTGCGTCATTATGATAAATCCCAAACTCAGGAATAGGCGGTGAAATCTCCATCTGGGGAAGCTCTCTTGATCTCTCGCGATACTAGATTCTCTCTTGTAGCCCAATTCAATACTTAGATACTGACATCTGACACCATGTGTGACGTCCCTTTCTTCCCTATCTTCCCCATCTGTTTCCAATGCGGCACTGATCAGAATCCGTGTCACTGCAAGGTCGTTGGCCCAACACTTGGTAAGTTCGAACCATCTTCAGTAGTCGAAAAATTGAGTATTGGGCTTTGTCTAACAGACACCTAGGTTTCTGTTCAACCATTGTGGCGGCGGTTAGTACAAGTCACATCTTATAGTCCCTTGGGAGAGAGCGAAGACTCTTGTCTTATCTCCATGGAACTCTTGCTTATTCCATTTCTGAAACAGGTAGTCTGTTGGCCTCTTTCAATATTCTGTGGCTGTGGTTTCTCCAAGGCTGGGAAAGAGTGAGTTGTGTTCTGTGTTCTCTGAACTCCTGGCTGATCAAAACTAGTATGCTGGGATATCCTGTCAAACTGAACGGTCAAATTAGCAACGCCATCCCATTCTGACACCATTCATAATAGACTGGAAGTGAATATGGGATCATGCATTCTTCCTGTTCATTTATCCCGTGATTTCAGGAGTTTCGGCTCTGGTGTGATTAGATATATGGCAACATAATCTAGCGTGTCTATCCATGAATACAATCACTAATACATGCGGCTTTCCTAACCCAACATCTCTAAAAGAATGATTTAACCTTACGCCTGATAAATTTGCGCATTGATGGCCCTTTGTTATGTTGACCATGTCAGGGCCTCCTAGAGCTCAGGGACATGAGATATCTCACTTCACTGCCACATAGTTAAAATGCGTACCGACTGTCGACCAAGTCCGAAATGTTTTGGCGAGAATTGATGATTTATCTGATTCATTGAAACACCAAGAAATTGATGCTTCTTTTTTTGTAAGATATGAGGTGAAATTTGAGGTTAAATGTAACATTGAGAATGCGCTAATCCCAACGCTCATGTTATACATCCATTTTGGGGGTATTTTTAACATGGTCCTACTTAAAATGCTTCATTTAACTTATCACTTGATAACAATTTATCCAAAGACTTCAAACACATAAGTATGATAGCTAGCTCCAGATCCTGGACACAGCTTGAAGCTCGGTGATCTCGAGGTTCGTTTTCATTGTGTTGGCAACGCCAAAGGGGCACATGAAATAGGATGACCAAGTGCTTCTCTACTTCTCAAACTGGTAGTGGCAACCTTGGAATGCGAATAGGCTTGTCGATGTCATGTTTCGTTATCAGGTTGTCAGAAAACTCCGAGGACTCACGTTTCTCGATACAAGCACAATTTCTTTTCAACTTTCTCTCTGATCTGCATATCTTGTACCAATTGTACTTTTTGTTATTACTCATCCAAGCCTTCCATCTTGTGTACCATATCCAGCTCTCAATATAAACAGACTATCACAATACCAGCCCAAAGATCAAGAAGATGATACTGTCAAAGTTCTACGTGCCCTGCTCCAGCACCTCTTAGAAGATGGTAAATGCGACCTTCTATGCACCATCAACAACTCATTCATCACAGACGGCAAGCTCAACAAAATGTCATTTATTTCTCGCAGCTGACCTTTTGTACCTTTTAAAATCTTCACGCTCATGGATCCTCCCAGGGGAAAAGAGCGACATAAAGAATAACCGCCTTGGCCGCGACGACGACAGATGCCTATTCACAGGAAGAGAAGACTCCCACAATCTCCACGATAATGAATGCCAGCACGGCTCTCTCAAATTAACCTGAATTTGGACAGTCCCTCCTTCTGACTGGGAATTCGGAGGAGATAAAAGGTCCACAATCAACATCCATTCCATGGTACACGGTGAAAGTATGAGACTTTCTTCACTTTTGGAAACAAATTGATGATATTCCATTTACTTTGTACAGAGAATAGGTCAGTATATCGGATCATCACTTGACCGAGTATAGTTCTTTATCAAAACAGTCAGCACCGCGTAGGAAGGGTATCCTATGAACAGTACAACCAAAAATTAGTTATGAAATCACTTGTGATGTCTAGCCTCTGGGTAACATTTGAGATTCAGATGTATGAAAGATAGAAATAACATAATTTAGTTAGTTCTTTATATACCGAATCTAATTATTCTATAGTTTTGCCATCTTCTTCTGTTGCATTAGCAGGCTTACAGCAGCAACAAATTCCCCGCCAACACACTGCTGCTCCTCCAAGCTCTTCTGTTGCCAAGTATCCAAATGATTCTTGTGAACGCTCGTCCAGCGCTCAGACTCTTTGACAAGCCACCGGACAACATGACTTGTAACGGTGAATATATTCCGATCAAACACCATGCCATGTTCACCATCATCGACAATCACTTGCTTGACAGCCCCAAGCTTCAACCCACCATTACCTCCAACACCAGTTCCAGTTCGTTTAGCCCGTTCATCGCGAGTCCGTGGACATCCAAAGACAGGAGACTTCCCTCCATTAACATATAAAACCCAAGGCCGCACACTTGGTAGAACCTCCCAGGCCAGTTTCAGCTCAGCCAGATAAAAGGAACCCTCATTCCAGGCATCCGGATCACAGTCAGGGATCAACTGTCGTTGTTCAAGCGTTATATCATCAATACCACCCGGCCCGAGACCAATCTGCAGCGGATTATGGCGACCAAGCAAACTAACAAGCTGGTATTTCGAAGTCGCAAACCTCCAATCCAATCCCTGACCATCCCCATCCCTATCCCTCAAAATGCCAAAATGCTTCAACCGCGCCAAAGTCTTGCAGTCCCACTTCTGGGCCTTGTGAAACTGAACCAGTCTCGTCTCCGCCTTCCCCCGATCCTCCCAACACTCCTTCAACTGCAGCGTCTGAAACCTCCACGGACAAACCATCGGCCCTCCATACTGGAGATCAATCCCAGGCTCGACGAACACCAAAGAATGAAACAGCGTTGGATGCCACGCTGACAAACAAACCAGCTGGTTACACCCCATCGAATGCCCAAGCCCGACAATCGGCTTGGGCATTTCCTCCTGGAAATGATTGATCATACTCCACATGTCACGCGAGTGGTCTAGCCATGCAGGGTCGCAGCCTAGATTGTTTTTATTGGCTTGTGCGCTTTCGCCGATGTTGAACATGTCTGCTATCCAGATTGCGCGGATGGACACGCCGGACTGCTGGGCTTGCAGGCATATTTCTGCGAAGAGCGGCTCGTACAGTTCTTTAAAGAAGCCCAAGCCGCCTGCTGCGATGATGGTGATTGGGTCGTTGGTGGCTGGGGTTGCTGTTTGGCGTGGGATGTATTGCTTCACTGCAATGCGAACACCTTTTCGCTCGTCAATTATGGCCTGTGGGTATTCGCGGTATGGGGGGACGGAGATGATGTGGGAGATGATGTCCAGTGGAAAATCATCCTCGAGAGGGTGTACTGGAAAGGATTCAGCCATTGGGATTGTGGAGGTGTTGGAAATGGAGGGGAACGACCGGAGTCCTCGAATGGTATCTTTATATCATATTCCATCCCCTACGAGAGGCTGGACAGGTGCACTATTTATGATCTCTCATGGTTTGGGAAGGCTACCCGAGCTACTGCACTATTTGCAGCCAAAGCCATGACAGGGTCGGTGATTCCGTGGGCTGATAACGCTCTGGTGGGTCGTTCTCAGCTCTGTTATAGGGCTAAGAGAGACTATATCTCGTTGTGTTGGTCCGGCCCCGAAGTATTTGAGTTAGTCGTGAGATACCAATATTCTCTTTGCTTTTTCCCAAACAATAGACCTGTCCACCAAAATCCACATCATGCATGAAAAACAACTGCGAGACTAAAAATGGAATGCAGCTTTTAGAGAAGAACGTGCCGACCACAAACGGCGGGCAACGGCCCGGGCAGCAAATAGCGTGGCATTGCTCGCCGGCCATTAACGCCACTTTACTTATCGAGAACCTGGCAAGATTAGACGAGTCCAACGAGAATTTGTATAGTCGTAGTCTGTTATTCAAATCACGAGGAGTGGTATAAACGCATCATCAAGCATATTCATGATTTTTCGTGTCATAGGCAAGTATATCTTCCAGTCTTTGCATGGCATCACGTCAGATAAGCACACGTATCGAGGCATAGATATCTGAGGTCAGCACCCAGCTTCTATGTTCTGGAAGGAAAGATCATGGCTCTTCAATCCTAGTAGGTGCATTATTGAGGCTCTATACAAACACGTCAGACACGAGAGAATCATACTACTGTAGGTGATGTCTCCAGTTCCACCAAGGACGAGACACATTATTAATACACAGGGTACTTTTGGCTCTTGAGACAGTCATGGGAGAAAATGGTTGGGCTCTTGTCGCGCAGAAAGACGATTGATCTCCAATGATGTGATATCGACCTCCGAGTCTGCAGGGTATCTCGTCAAAACCGACATTGGGTGATAAAACAAAGAAATACTGGAGCTATGGAAATATATGACATATACTTTAAACAAGAACAAGATCCAAATTTGGCATACAAGTCATAGAGAGGAAAGACCTGAAGGCTACTGAGGTCTTCCATAATCTGCAAAAGTAACAAGGATACAACTGCCTTCTCTAAAGACAAGACAACAAGACCAAGTCCATCAACTAAAGGCCATCACTATTAGACAGTACAGGTATTGCATCAAATACACAAATGATAAAATGTCCGCAAGCCCAGCTATCCCCCAAAGCCCTAAGACGAAGTAGGCTGAGGAGGATCAGGCAGATAATCAGCAGAGTACTCATCGGCCTCATCATAATCCTCAGTCTCCAATCTCTTTAAGAAGCCCTGATCAATCAAATCAAGCACCTTCATCGGAACCATAAGCTGCGCTCCGAATCCAGGCTGCTCAAACCAAGGCGCGATGGGGCCCACTAAAGCGACAAACTCCTTGGTGACCTCGTACACATGATAGTTGTAAGGGAAGCTGCTGTTCTCCGGTGCAAACAAGTTGGATGGAGGCAGAGATCGCTCAATGTAGGGCGCACCCAGGGGCGCCATGAAGGTTCCGTATTCAGATCCGAACCGGTCGAGCTTTTGGCCAACTGGAAGGGTCATGTTGCCCTGGATAGGAAGATCCTCGGTGTTGATGGTAAAGCCGCTGTCATCGGGATAGATCCAGTAGGCTTGGGGGTTGGATGCATTGACGGTCCATTTCTCTAGGAACTCGTAGGGACAGAGATCACCAATTCTGGAGTAGGTTTGAAGTTCGTTGGCGAGAGGGAAGTCTTTGGGGAAGACTTTGGGGCCCAATCGGGGGTCACCGCAGACAGCAGTTGAGTTTTGATAGGTGACGCCTTTGCAAGGGTCGGGATAGCATCTGTCGGGGAACTCACGCTCCTGATGAAGGTTAGAATTGAGCTTCTCTGTGGTACGGAAAAGAGCACTGTAGCCACCTACCCGGTTTTGCTGGGGATTACTCGGTTTAATCAATGATGCATCGGCCAGAGTGGCAGCAAGCATGAAACAGATGGTAGAAGCACGCATTTTGAATTAAGTCTGTAATGACTGCGCTTAAGTGGTAAAAGCCAAACTATGTCAGGGGGGTTTTGGAGTTTAATTCTTTTCGAGGAGGCTTTGTATTATATAGTCATTCAAAGTCATAGATCTCTTGGCTACACATCTAGATTGAGCCCTGCGCATACCTTTGGAATTGTTTCGTTTCCGAGTGCATTCCTGACTATTGAATCCACTCATTTCCTTTTTTGAGGAGAGATCTTCCATGCGATGGGGTTCATCATGCAGAACTAACCAAAAGGTCGAGATGTACCCACTCCAAAGCCACCGGGGCTGAACTCGTGTCAGCTAGTACAGATGCATGCAGATGCGTACAGCTTCCTTTTGGAGGAGACGAAGAGACAGATGCTTCCTGTAGGTCCACGATGGGAGAGATATTTATGTGCTGTAGAAGTATAAAATGCTCTTTATCATGAACCAGAGGTGGGATTGTTCTTCACTGTGAAACCCCGGAGATGGATTCCTCAGCTCTCATGCCCCTATTCTGCAACCAATCGCAGGAATAGCTTCCTCCCTAGTAAACTTGGCAATTTGCCGTGACCAGAATTGAGTCCAAATCAATCAAAAAATGTCACACAGCTGGGAATGATTGGCACCACCATTGCATATGCAGGCGCCGTGTGGACATACAGTATGCAACTAGAAAATCCTCCAGACAATACGACCTGGATTTCAGCCCTTTCCCAGCCCCGTGACACAGGTCTCAGGGCATCAATTAGCCCCAAGCACCTCGGAACATCTGGGGTCATCTCGGGTAAAGCGGGTGATCAGCAATGCAACCTTACAGGACCGAATGTTGCACCTTACGGGCAATTGTATACAGTAGGGATGTGCTGGACCCTGTTGATCACTGCACACAAATTATTCCTAGGGATAGCACACGGATGAAAAACAGGTGAGTCAAATCAGCTACTGCAGTGGGCGAGAAATGGGCTTATTATTCGCATGTACTCCTCACAGTACTATCCCACATCGAGCCAAAGCTGCAAGCTGAACTACCAAGACCTGACCAATGAGCACCCAGAATGACCAATACTGTATCTTTTTTGACTGGGCTTTGAGTATCTCATTTCTACCAAGCCCCAGTCCTATGAAAGTCCCTCCCAGTTCAAAACAACTATAGACATTACCGGCCGCCCCCGATTTTCGCTCGCAGGAGCCCAATCCTTCAAGGTACACAATTCCACAAAGTCGTTCTTAAGCATGACTTTCGCACTACCTGAATTCCCAACAAGATAGCTAGATTTGAGAATCTGCATATTCATTCTGGGAATAGTCCAGTCCCGGATAAGAGTCCGAACAGCAAGAGTCATGACACCCTGACCATGAAGTGTTGGAGAAAGATAGTCTGGCCGCATCGTTAGCCATTCATCCAACGAATTGTCCTCGAGTGTGAAACATACATCCTAATCCCCAGACAATACTCTGGTCACCAGCGGGAATCGCAGCATTCCTCGCCTGCGCCTCTTCCCTTTTCAAACTTCCATATGCTAATTCATAGAATGCATACCGCTCAATACTAATAGAGCCTCGGAAAACATCCTTGAGCGCCGCGCCAGTCTCAAGGTCATATTCGGTGACCTCTCGAATACATCTGAAAGCGCAAGCGTCGAAGACTGCTGGAACATCTTCATCAATAGAACTCTTCTCAGTTTGGTTTATGGATTGCTCGTATTCCTGTTGTAGCTTCAAACGGACGGGCTCGCTTTTTTGGCACTGCAGTTTGATCCAGTCCTCGCCGTCCTTGGGTACGAATGGATAGGGGGGTCCTTCGAGCCATGGATAGACGAGTGGATCATTCAGGATCTTGGTCATTTCTTGTGATGTTTCTTCGATGTCGTGTAGACGGTCCATTGTGATGATTATATGGGAACATGGTGCTGGGAGGCGGAGATAGGGCTCTTTTGTCAGAGCGTTGAAGTAAACCGGCATGTTGACGAGAAGACTATGATCCTACAAGTAAATGATAGTTTAGACTTCTTTGTTCAATTTAAATCCGCGTTTGAGCGAGCCTCATTGCTATCTTACTCTGAGTCATGGCCGAGGCTACCCAGATGCTAAGCCAATTGAGGCCAAGTGCGTGCTACCCTATATATTACTCCGTCTTATCTCTCAATAACTATGCCTTATGTTCTCATGGCTCATGGGTGTCTAGTTTGATTTTGTCGATCCTTGACCTTAAACGCGTCCGTAAAGGAAAAGCTTACGGGGTCGAACCCAGGCAAAGTAACTAGGAACCGCAGCCAAGGCCTGACTAGAAACAGCATCACCTTTTCGCTCCCTCGATGCTTTCATCTCAAGCTCGTAGATCTTCCAAGAACGCAGTACCCACAGACTCAACGATCCAAGCATAAACATGCACGCTACATACACCTGGGTGCTCAAGTACCCCGAGGTAGCAACCAGACTCAGAGCGACCGGCTCAGCAACAGTAGTAGGAATCACCAGAGCAAGACAGATCAAAGTAAAAGTGGAAGGCAATCGATTCAACCCAACCACTTCAGCCATGACAGGGGTGATAGTACCCCAGAACGTGCCACAGACAGTGCCGACCAAAACCGCAAAGACGAGCAACAAAGCGTAAGAATGCGCCGGAATCCAAATGGCAAAGCAAAGCAACCCACACAGCGCAGTCATCATCATCGAGATGGTGATGCGGCCAAATGTATCACTGGCATGTCCGACAATCGGCCGGCCAATGACAAGACCCAGATTCATGATAGCGCCCGCGACGGAGCCTTGCTGTGGATTGAGTCCAATGGAGGAAGCATAGTTTGGCAGCGAGTACCAAAGAGCAATGTATCCAAACTCAGTAGCAACACCCCAAAGAATCAAGAGGAAGACTTCGAAGTGGCTTAGCTCACGGTAATTGACAGTTCGCTGCGGCATAGCCGAGCGGGCTTCTTTCCGTTCTTTCATTAGAATTGAGGAGATCGTATTAGCACCCAAGGTGCAGAATGCCAGAACTCGGTAGGTTGTTCCTACACCCAGGGTTTCGATGGCCCGTCCAACTCCCAGGTTGTAGATGAGGCCGCCGACCCCGGAGCCAGAGGCAGCAATGCCAATGGCGAGGCTTCGCTTTGTTGAGAACCAGGGTGGTAGGACTGCCATGCTGGTGAGATATAAGAAGCCCATCCCGATACCGAAACAGACGCCCTGTGACAGGAAGAGGTGCCACACCTTGGTAGCATATGATGCCCCGAAAAGGGCGGCGAAAACGAGTCCTGTGCCAAGGAGCTGTGTGAAGGTAGTTCCGATGGACTTGTATGTTTTTGTCACCAAAGGACCGATTATCAAGCAGGTTGAAATCGATAGACCACCGATGAATGCATAGTCCAGATGAGTTGCGCCGGGAAATGTGGATTGTAGAAGGAAGTGGTTTAGAATCACTCCCCAGGCTCCATTCACGCCCCAGGTGTGCACTGTTATCATAAATGCGCAGAATGTGCATACCCAGCCATATCCGCCGTTTGGAGGTATGTCGTCGAGCGCATCGGTACTGTTGATATGTGGTGGGAAGATGTTTTCGGCATCTGAGGACACAGAATGCTGTGTATTGTGGCGTGTAATTCTTCGTAGTTCGATACCGTCCATGGCCATGTTTGAAGGGTGTCTTAGCAGTCAGTTCTTCAAGTGTGAAAGAGTTGGGAGATATCAAATGGAAGAGGGGACCCAGAGACTCCCCGCTAAGCCCTCCACAAAGATTAACCTCTTCGGGCAGCCCATCGGCAGTCAATGTTATACTAGGCGGATTATTGTTATTGAAAAAAAAGTATCAATGTCAATCTTCAAAGTACATAATAACGGGTTGTTATACATTTGAAGACTATTCGGAGTCATTGCAGTTGGGTATATGAAAGCTAATGTGCTGGGACTCGACTGGTCAATTGCTCCAGACGACCTGCTAAAGCTCGATGTTTGCGCATGACTTCCTCCCACTCGTGAGTCACGCCCTCTTCCTCCTCCTCTTCTTCTCCTTCGTCACCCCCGCTCAGCTCGGTCAGAATCATGCCAAAGTCACCCCCAAGACGACCGAGACTGGCAGCACAGTACAAGAGTTGCGTGAGAAGACTTTCTCTCGAGCTTCGATCGCGGACATTAGGAAGATATGTGCGCATGGTATCTGTGAGCAATTGCACAAGATGCATTGGGAAGGTTGCAAGGGCGGGGGGTAGACGTTGCAAAGGATCGATGGAGTGGGTAGGCTTTAACTTGGCTTTAGCGTCGGCGCCTCTTAATCCTGAGCTGGCAAGATCGGAGTCGGATTGCTCAGAGCCGAAAATGTTCTTATATAATGAAACAATAGCGAAGCTCTGCTCTCGGAAGATCTCAATGTATCGTTTCAGATAGCGATCGGTTTGCTGGCCACCAGACCACGAAGTCGTGTCTGACTTATCCTTTCCACCGAGGCGGCGTTGAGTTTCTTGATCGGCGAGTTCGCGAAGGGGGTCTAAAGCTTCGAGGGTCGACACCAGATGCGCCAATCTGCAGACCAAGAAGATAGCTCCCAGGGCACCTTCTCCTGTTCCCGCAGCTCCGTCGCTCTGAAGCATCTCCAGGTCCGGGGCTACTCGACGCAGCCAGCCTACAGTTCGCATACCAGCTGCTAGCCGTAGGTTCTGAGCGCGAAGCCCCGTGATCAAATTACTTGTCATGTCCTTCATGGCATCCTCTGCCTGGGATGCCACACCTTGAATCAACGGTGATTCGGGGTACAGTGTTTGTAGTCGCTTAATGTGTGCATGCAGGTCGAGTGCGGAGGAGTATGTTGTAGAGGAGGCACCGGTACCGGAGTTGACTGAAGCGGCGGACACAGCTGCAGATAGCAGACTTGGTAGCTCTAAGATATCGGAAAGTCGATCGACATTGCGAGATAGCTGCATGGCCCTTTTTCGTCGTTCTAGAGCTGCGTTGTCTGTGATCTTGCTGTACTTGGTGGAGAACCCCACGGCGTCCTCATCGAGCTTAGGGATGGCATCACGAAGCTGTTGCGCTTCGCGCGTCAATTGAGGAACAGATGTAGAGAGGCTGGATAAATGGTCGGCAGAAGTGACAAAGGCCCGATGCGAGCGGTTGGATAACGCCTGGAGGGATAGGAGAGTGGAATGGGAGGATTGCGCAAGTGATGGGGGTTCGGTGTTCTGGAGGGCTTCGAGTGATAGAGTCGACAGTCGATTGAGGTATTTGTCGGTCGTCTCATCAGTCGATAGAGTCGGACTCAAGTGAGGAGCGAGCAGCTCCAGCAAATCGGCCATGGTTGATGCTATTCGGAAGTTGTTAAAAGCCGCGCGCTGAATGGACGGCGCTTGGTCCGTGCGGGTCTGTCTGGCCTCGACTTTTTTCGCCTTTTGGGTTTGTTCTTCGGTTTCAACCTTCTTGTTTTCTCCAGCTTTCTTGCGAGACCAGAGTCCAGGTTCTGGGTTCTTTTCGTTGTTCTCGAGTGGTCATATCTGAAGCCCCTCCCCCGCATCTTCATTACGTGCCCCATACCGTTCACCATGGGGAAGCCCCGGGTAAGTCTAGATGTTCGATGGATGTGATGAGCTATGGACTGACTTGGGAACCGAGTAGATGATCATCTTGGTGCGCCATGCACAGTCCGAAGGCAACAAGAACCGAGATATCCATCAGACTATTCCAGACCATCGAGTAAAGCTCACGACTGAAGGTCATCGACAAGCAAAAGAGGCAGGCCAGCGACTCCGAGACCTTCTTCATCCCGATGACACCCTTCACTTCTTCACTTCTCCTTACCGTCGGACGAGAGAGACTACCGAGGGGATCCTCGAATCCCTAACATCCGACACGCCCTCTCCATCCCCGTTCCCTAGACATACCATCAAAGTTTACGAAGAACCCCGACTGCGGGAACAAGACTTTGGGAATTTCCAACCATGCTCTACAGAAATGGAACGCATGTGGATGGAGCGGGCAGATTATGGCCATTTCTTCTACCGGATACCTAACGGCGAGTCCGCGGCGGACGCCTACGACCGAGTGAGTGGGTTCAACGAATCACTCTGGCGCCTCTTCGGCGAAGACGATTTTGCAAATGTGTGCGTTCTTGTCACTCATGGTCTCATGGCACGAGTATTCCTCATGAAATGGTACCACTGGAGTGTGGAGTACTTTGAGGACCTTCGCAATATCAATCACTGCGAGTTCGTCGTATTGACCCATAATCCTGAAAATGGCAAATATACTCTACAAAATAAGTTGCGGACGTGGTCGGATTTGAAGAAAGACCGAGAACGTGAAACCGCAACTAAAGAGACGAACCATACACCCACTCCTCTGCCTACCCACATCCCAATTCGACGGAAATGGGGCGGTTGTCCAGACGGCTGCAGTCATGGTACATCTGCAGAGGGGAAACAACTATTGCGAGCCAATTTGTTGAGCTCCATGCGGCAAGGGACTGATCATTCACAATCCAAGCATCTCGACGAACATGGCCACAGCTTTGGCTCTAAGCTCCACAAATCAGTGTCTATCGACGAGGTGGTATCTTCTTCAGAAGAAAGTACCACTCCAAATAATCTCTCTCGGAAACTGAGCACTCACCACGCCTCCAATCCACGACAAGGAAGTGATGACAGTATCGGAGACAACCCCAAGCATTATGAGACAAGCTCGGAGACCCAGCCAGCACAGCTGTTGCCCCCAAAGCGACACAATCAACATGGATTGAACCGAAATAGCGAGGATCACATGTACCATCCACCAGCCGTCTCATCTTCATCCTCTGCACATCTGAAGTATGCTCTCCTCCACTTAGGCGGCCGTGACGGCGGTGGCTCCATGAGCGGAGCAAATAGCTTAGCTCCATCCGACGACGAAGGAGACCATGATGACCATCGTCGCCATTCTGCATCAAGCTCCAACACCAGCAGCAACGTGTCACACGCCAACCAACAACACTTCCAATTCCCATCTCAAGCACAAGGACCAGTCCCCTCCCAGGAACTTGAAGATGACGGCGATGATGAGATGAGCGTAAACTCCAAACTACGAAAGCCTCGACCACACCATCACCACCACCATCATCACCACCATCTCTCCACGAGCAACCAACCCGAGCACCGTATGGCCAACATCCTAGGCGATGGGGACGAGGTCTCCAACCCCTCTGAAACACGAACACCACCACCGGATAGCTCAACAGCAGACCATCCCGATACCCCGGAAATAACTCTGGAAGAGCAACAAAAAGAAGACCAAAGCATCAGAGGAAGCGTCTACTAATACTGTCACCACCACTGCTACAATTCATATCAGTGTCCCCCCAACCCCCAACCCATTTTAATTGATGTCTCGAAATTGCATTCTTCCTCACACCTGCATCTCACTCTACCCTTTCAATTCGTCTTTCAATTTGCCACTCTACCTACCCTGACGACCCTTACGATTTCCTGGATGAATCTTAACTACCCACAACTGCATCTACAACTCTACTTTCTGTCAATCTCAATGTCGGGGCTTAGACCCCCTTTTTTCTCGGTGTGAAGCTAAATTTCAAACTCATTCGGTTTCTATTCTTATTCGTGTAATATGTGATTTCGGTTGGTAGTCCAAATCTATGTGTATGTCTAGTGTAGTAGCTTAATCCAATTTGACTAGATTTTAGCTACCTTGTTGGATGGAACCTTTCTTTTCTCCCTAGGGAAAATGGCATTTTAAGTACACATGTCTGGTTATTAGATTCAAAAGACGAACGAACTGCCACCGAATGATCTATGCCAGAAATTGTCAAAGAGCCCATCGAGGTCGGGAAAGAAATACAAATAATCCAATACACCGAGGATAATGCGAAGGAAATCTACTGGTACGAATGATGAAGGAAAGCACAGATTGTACAGTAGTCAAAAGCAAAGACCACGAAGCTTGTTCATCAGGTATGGAAATCATCTTCGATAGAACTGCGCACCAAGAACCGAAGTCGAGAGAGGCCAGGACCACAAATAGCATAAGCGGGGGAAAGCTGAGAATGCATATATGGATCGTGTTCGCCCGACACAATGCCGCGAAAGAGACAGAGGGGGTGGAAAACAAGAGAAGGAAGATGACTTCGATATCGAGGTCATGTAGGCTACATACATGTCAATCACTAGGATTGAATGACTGAGAGGGTGGAGAATTTCTGAATATGATGGAGTTGCACATGGGATCAACCGTCTTGCTCGATATATTTGCTTGCCATGTATAAGGAGCAAGACATCATTGATCGGGACCAGGTCGGCACTCCATTGCTTTGGGTTGACAGTCAGAATTCGAGAGTGAGAATTGATAGGTTCCGAAGAAAATCAAGGAGGGGAGAAAAAATGGAAATCCCATGTTCCAGCAGGTTCCAGCTTAAAAGGGTTCGAAAGTTCACTGAATTGTTGTTGATCGTGTGGATCGAGAAAGAAGAGTCCATAGAAGAAAGGTAGAAACAAATCGGTTGATCGAAACGAACGTGGACGAAGATGAGAAGATCAATAGTCAGAAGAAAGACAGAAAAAAGAAGTTAGAAAAGAGAATAGGATTAACGCCCGGCACTGCGTGGAGCGTGACGAATGGGAATAAATGTACCGGCATGAAGGGGAAACGCGAAAGCGGAAGGAAGACACTCTATGGGTAATCACCGTGAGACACAATGCCAGGCAAGAAAAAAAAAAAAACAGAAAGGAGGGCCAAAGATATAAACCGAAGTCATGGGTAATAAACAAAGTATCAGATTTTGGGGATTCGTGATCGTCGTGACTGCGGCTCCGGCATTCCTTGGGATGGAAAAGTCAAGGTATAACCACGATGGAAGTTTGAAAATGCCACCTGATCCAAAGGATCAATGTGCAGGTAACGAAGTGGCTGAATGCATCGTGGAGCTGCCGGAGCATGCCATTGTCCGCCGTAGGAGCGTTTTTTCCTCTTTTTTTGCGTTTTTTGAAATTTTTCGCTTGGCCAACGAGAACCAGCAGACGCAGAACAAAAGTACTTTTCGGGTGACGCGGCATGCCGATTGTCCAGTAGCGAATAGGGCTAGCGAGACAAAAAGGTCAAAAGGCGCAAAGGTGGAAACAAGAAATGAAGAAAACGGTATCAGCGAAATAAATCCACGCGAGTCGCCCAGAGAAACATAGAAATCTAAAGTTGCAGTGAGAAAAAGGCTCAGAGAAACAGCCAGACTGGAGGTCCTAAGCCGTTGATGTCGTCTGTTCCATCTGTTGTAAGCAAGTAGTCGAACACCGTCACTTAGGCGGCGATGATCGGCTGCATTGTGGGGAATGCACTGGTGCTCATGTAGTGCTCCAGGTGCTTGGCACAGTAAGTGCAGCCACACGACGAGCCGTGGCCAGTCCACACACTCTGTGCAAAGGGCAAACCGTAGGCTGGGGTGTGGTGGTAGGACGGAGGCTGGGATCGGGGTGCTTGGTGGGACATATACTGTGGGGGTGCGTTCCAGCCACGCGAGTAAGGCGGGGGAGGAAGCGGGTTCGAGTATCCCCAAGGGCCGACCGAGTAGTAGTCGGGGGTGTTGGGTCCGCTGGAAAGGGTGGAAGGGGGCGAGTATTCAGATGCGGTCGGATTCAACCAGGAACTCTCCACGTGAGAACCACGCTGGTACTGTGGCGGGATGGGACCCTCTGGCGACAGGAGAGGCTTGGTGACGCCCTGGCTGCGAAGCACGTTGGTCTCAAGAGGAGCCAGAGTCTGGCGAGTTTCCTGAGCACGAGCTGTGGCCTTGGCACTCCAAGTGTCCCAGTGAGCGCGCCACGAGGCGAATCCGTCCTGCTTGTCGTAAATACGGTCGTGGATCTTCCAGTCGAACGCGAACAGCCATTCCAGTTCCATGCGGTTCAACTCCGCAACGGGGATGTTGCTGACCTCAGCCCAGGACTTGTTCTGGAAGGTGTTATCATCGAGGAACTTGCTGCCCAACAGGAGAGAGACGGTCAACATGCGGTACACTTGGCCATTTCCTCCCTTGGTAGCGGCGCGTTGCGCTGAAAGCACACGCATCCGGCTGGCCAGATAGAACAGACCGAGCAAGATGGTGGAGCTTGGCAGGCGAGTCGAGGACAAGATCTGATAGACGTATTTCCGAAACTGGGGAGTAACCGAAGATCCTGGGTAGATGCTTCGCCTTATGTCAATATCTGCAATGTTGATCTGTTTGGCGAATAATTCATACATTCCCTGGGCCATTTCCGCCACGAAGTCGGACATGCGATCCATCTCGTAATCCAGGTGAGCGGCGACACCTCCGGTAGCCTTCTCCTCCTTGCGCGGCTGTTCGGGGCGTTGCATCGGGGCGGCTTCTTGTCGACGGTACTGGGATGGAATAGTCGATTCCATGGGCGGGAGTTGGACGTTGCTCCTGATGGGGGGCAAGGTTGCGGCCATCGGGTTGAACATAGCTTGCTGGTTCAACGCATGGAGATCACGAGCCGGGTACATCGGATGGGCGGACTGAGGGTGAAGGTTCATCGAGCTCGGCTTGGCGTAGCAGAGAGACTGCGAGTACTGTTCGATGAATTCGTTGCCACTCTGATGGTAGCGAGGAGGGAATCCCGCGTGTCCAACCGGGTAGAACGAAGGGTCATCCATGCGACCGCCATTGACGTGGGGAGGAGTAGGCAGGCCGTGGCCTGGAACGAAGAAAGACGGCATCTTAAAGGGGAAGGGGGGTGAGATACCAGTTCAGGATGGTGAGCTAGACGATTTCTGAGCAGTCAGGAGTTAGCATACCAGGCCACCGGGGACAACCAAGTGACAATAATTCAAGTAAGAAAAAAAATGCGACGAACCGTCAAAACTCCACCAGGTCCTGATCCTGGGGGGAGCGAGAACGCTGCTCGGCGAGCGGGTTGCTCTTTTGTTGTCCTGGAGAGCAGTCTCTAATTGAATGACATGGAGGTTCGGATCCAATATGTCAAGAAAAAAGAGTGAAGGAGTGTGGTAAATTGAGCAGAAGAAGAAACCTCGATGGAAGGGTCAAATGATCCGAGCAAGAGGAGTCTTTAGAGCACGATTCAGTTGATTCAAAGTGCTTCAGGAGTAACCAGATCGAGATTCGAGATGGCAGGGAAACCCAGTCACACTGAGAACGCGAGAAGAGACGAGAAAATAAAATTTCCCGCAACAGCAAACCTCACGGAAATGAGGTGAGCAACGACACTTAGTGAAAAGCTCGTTGACACGGGGAAAGAGGATTGATGCAGAAAGAGGTGAAGAGGATGAAGAGAGGAAAAGGTGTACAGGGGCGTTGTGTGGGAAAAGGCCGTTGGTAATAATACAGGTAATTTGAAATACAGGGAGGCCTGGACGGGGGGATTGCAGCCTGGTGGGGGCATGTATTGGGGGGGGTCGGGAGTTGTATAGGGGGTGTATGCACCCTGAAATCTAATTTTACACCCGACTTAGGGGTCCTGCTGTGCCGTTGTTTCGCAATAATTACATTGATTAAATGGAGAAATAAAGGAATCAAATGAAGATATTAGATGTCTCCTACATGACCAGTCAGTCATTCACTCAGTTCATTCTAATCCCCCAAAAAAAGATCAAAAAAAAAAAAGATCTAAACCGGTGATGCAACGCCTGTATCACTGGTTCGGACTAAAAAAAGGTCATCTCCACATGACTAAGCAGTTCGGTCGACTTCCACATGTGACATTCTCGTTGTTGCCAGGCCTACACAGCTGCTGGACTTCAAATCCTCATCTCTCCAAAGACATCCCTCTATCGCAACACAATATACAGTGTACCATACATTATTACCCGTACAACCAAGCAAGGGCAATGTGTCCACCTGACAATTATCTAAGCACTGCCCTTCCAGCCCCCCCATCATTGGCCCGCAACATGTCTGACTGGCCACCGGGGATGTACCTACATATGACTCACCCACTCACCAGAGACATTTCAGGATCCAATGCTGATCCCTGCAGTATAGACAAAGCGTCATGCCGCATGGCATTGGCGCATGGCTCCGGCACTGGCACTGCCAGTTACACTGACTAGGCAATGATATACTTACAATATTGAAACATTGAGGCTGCGCTGGTGACAGCCTCTTCACTGCAGGATAGATCTGCAGCCAACACTCTCTGACTCAAGATAGTGTGAGTGTATGTACCTATACGCATCTAGTCCTAGTGAACAATGTATATAGTCGCCCCTCCCATCCCTCTCCCGAAAGCCGTGCGGGTTTCAAGCACGTCCCGGAAATCCGGACGAAACATGGACAAGAACTCCAGTTTCGTCTAGGCTTCGGCTTAGACTTGGACTTAACCCCGGAGGGGTGGAGGGGTGTCCGCCTTTATCAGTACATCGACATCATGGTCCCAGAATCACTGCCCGTGCGTCTGACTCAAGTCATGCATAGTAAAATATAGAATCGCCCCTCAGACCTCGTGCCTTGCTATGAGGCTTCTTCCTGTTCGTCCACTTCGTCACGGTGGTTCCTTGGCTTTGATCTTGACCCTGAGCTTCGCTTGGGCCTCTTGTCAGCTACAGTATCCAAGGAAAACCGGGCGCTTATATGTAGAGTTGAGCGGACTTCCGACTTCTCATGTTGTCCCCGAGAGCACTGTCCTTGCTGAACAACAAATATGTTATATCCCACCAACAACACAAGAAGTTCCTCGCGGTGAATGTAAGAGCCAAACCCCATGCCCAAGCTAAAGAAACCAACCAATCCACATTCAAACTGGGGAGTAAAAACAGTGGAGCGAAAAAAGAATGACAGAAAGCTGCCCAACCATACGGCAACCGGCTACATCCGGCAATGGGACAGAATACTGGAAAGTCAATAACGTTAATGTCAAACCAAAATGCCGAGTTTCTAGACTCTGCAAATGCAGAACCTGTATTTCCGTGTGTAACCCCGTCCGTGACTTGATGTTTTCGGGTGTTGGCTGCAGATTGCCCCCTCCTTTGCCTCTCTGATTTTGTTTTCTTTTGGCACGGGGCGGGGGAGGCAAATTCCATTCGAGTCTCTCTGTAACCTGTAACGAGTAAGCCTGGCAGTAATGCCGCGAGTAGCGAAATTGAATGTGGGGTTTCTTACTTTGGCTATTGTGCATTGGTTTTCGGTGGTATACATGTACAGTATGCATGGGGTTATCCGTTCAGCCGGATGATACAGTGGTCACAGATGATCCCGAGGCAGTCCGTATGTGGAGTATGGGTTTCTTTTCGTCTACTTGCAGTTGGAGAAGGGTGTGTATGATCGTTCTCGTGAATGTGATTGGTATTTCTATGCTGAGCTTTTACGTCAGGCGGATGTGACGCCTGGATCAAAAAGAAAAACAGAAATGGGAGGGTGTCCATTCCACTTCACGTGGATTTTGGGACACCCTATCTCCCCGGGGAGCGTGGTCTCCATGATGGACCAGCGTGCCAAAATGAAGAAAAAAAATGAGAATCGATAAATGTGTCGATGAAACCAAACGAAGACGACGGCATATGCAAGCCTGTCAGGAAGAACAGAGGGATATCATTAAGATTCAAGGAATCCAGACATGTCGCAACAAAAACAAAGCAAGGGAAGAAAGGGATGGAGAAGGATGAAAAAAACGATAAAACAAAACCATAAGACTCGTATATTCGATAAGTCGTCAGGGAGAGACCATTGCCCCCACCTCATTGGCGGTCGATGGGTCTCCATCAGAGGTTCAAATGGACCGCATCGATCAACCGTGTAACACGCCGTTTCCTAAGCTTGACTGGACCTGGAGACCCAATTCAGGGTGGTAGGTTGAAATGATACATGACAGAGAGAGTCATTATTCATCCTTCAGGCTTCCGACCAGGTTGCGAAGCACATCCATGATGACAGCCTCGTCCTTTGGCTCGCCGCCAGGGAATGTGCTTTCCGTAGCATTGTCCAACACTCGAGCGCGGGCACTTCGAAGAACTTCCCGGATGTAGTTCTTGTCCTCGTAATCTTCCATCAAAACAGCCTCAAAGTCATCAATTGCCTTGTTGGCTCGATCAGTGAACGAGGATGACTCTGGGGGACCAACCGGCGCAGGGGTATGCTGCTGCTGCTGCGGTTGGTGATGGTGCTGCTGTTGTTGATGGTGATGGGCTTGAGGGTGAGCTGGGAGCCCCGATGGCGGGTGTTGGTGTTGGTGTTGATGCTGGTGCTGGTGTTGGTGCTGCGGCTGGTGCTGTGGCTGGTGGTGCTGCATCGGCGGTTGCTGTTGAGGTTGATGTGAGATTGGCTGTGATGGAGGCCGCGCCGGTTGCTGGTGCTGCTGTTGGTATGGCTGTCCATTGGACGGAGGATAGGCCTGGGGCTGCGTGTTGATGTGAGGCGGTTGTGGGGGCTTTTGGGGTGCGTAGGGGGAGTGGTGCTGAGGAGGTCCATGGGGAGGCCGTGGAGTTTGTGTCTGCTGCTGGCCTGCCTGCGGAGCCGGGCTGGATGCGTAGGGAGAGGTGTAGGTGGACGGAATAGTCTGCGCGAAGGCAGCCGGGAGGTTGCTGCGGATGGTGCTGGGGATAGAGAAAGACGCAGCGGGATTGATAGGTGCCGGTGCTGGAGTAGGCGCAGGTGCAGACACGGGCGCAGGAGGAGGAGCAGGAGCAGACACAGGAGGCGGCGGCGGCGGGGTAGGGACAGGGGCAGGAGCAGGGGTGGAAACAGGAGGCGGGGCGGAGATAGGAGCAGGAGCAGGAGCAGGGGGAGGTGCTGGTGCTGGTACTGGTGCGGACACTGGGGGTGGAGCAGGAGTTGAGACTGGCAATGGAGCAGCCGTCGGGGCGGGTGGAGGAGCAGAAACCGTTGATGGGGGTGCATAAGGACTTTGTCGCGGTCCTGACACAGAGGCCGGGAAAGGCGCGGGTGGAATCGATGGGAACTGGAAGTGTTGAGGCGGATTTGGCACAGGTGGTGGACCTTGAGACGGGGGAGCATAGGAATGGGCGATCTGTGGCATGTATTGCTGAGGAGCAGGCGTTGGCGGATGCGAGACCTGCGGTTGCGGCGGAGGTGACGGGCGCCGCTTCTTTTCTTTCTCAACCGATGCGCCAGGTATCAATTGCCATGACCAACCCTTGCCATCTCGTTCTGCGTGCATGAAAAGATGACCGTTACCATTGAGGTTGTGTCGCACACTGGATGTCCAGCCCTCGGTTTCACACTTGAAGCGGAAGTAAGGATACTTAAGCTTCAAGGCCCTATAAATCTGCTTCAATGTCATGGGCGTGCCAGCTTCTGTCAGAGCATCAAAGATGAGCACTGCGTAGTTGTAAGGCGGCTTGGCCAAATCCTCTTGCGTGTAAGCGGACTCGGGAGGATAGTTGGGAGACGGCGAGCGTGATGGCTTGCGCTTCTTGACTGGCGGGGGCTTGACATATTCCTCTTGTCGCTGTTCCGGGATCTGACCACCTTCCGTTGAAGGAAGAGGAGAATCCATAAATGTTCCATCCGGCTTCTTTCTCTTCGTATACTTCCGCTTTTCGGCTGGCTTTGGTGTCGGCGACTCGGGCACGACAGACTCTTTCGCGACTGTCTTCCCAGCCTTGGGCACTTTCAGGGGAGGCGGAGTGACACCACCATTGGCCTCGCGTTTAGCAGCAATCTTCTGCTCACGGGCAAGCTCAGCTCGCTCGCGCTTGGACATGATGCCGTCCTTGGGAGGCCGACCAGGTCCGCGTCGGCGAGCCGGCTGTGATCCATTATCTGCTTCAATGGATTCCAATGCCTTGGAAGAATCTGTATCCTTCATCTTGAGACTCAGCCTGGGCCCCTTGGAAGGTTCCCTACTCTCCCCACTCTCGCTTCCGAGCCTCTCGGATTCATCAACTTCGTTATCCACCTCGATTGAAACGCGAGGGTCTTCATCCTCTCCTTCTGCATCCTCATCCTCGTCTGGCATCTGCTGCTGTTCTTCCATCCTGTCGGCGCCTGTTTCGCCAATTGGAACGTCTGGTAGCAGGAAGCGGATGCGCACACCTCCAATCTGTATATAATCACCACTGTGTAACGGACGAACTTGCCCAGGTGATAACCAATCGGCTCCAATGAAAGCTCCATTGCGACCCATGACTTCCATCTCGAACAGATTGCGGTCAAAGTTATATGAAATGCGAACATGTCGGCGGGAAATACCTCGATGACCAGCGGCACTGCCGTCAACCGTCGTCGGGGGGTGGATTGGGATGGTGGGACAGGAATCAGGAGACGGGAGCAGAGCAAGCGTATCAACAGGCTTGGCATCTCCATTCCCATCTTGTAGGGACTGCATCGCTAAAGCGTTGTAGTCCGTGGAAGACTGTAATTGAGCCGGATTGGCGTGCAGGGGAACAACGGCCTCGTCCATGGAAGACTTTGAGGATCGCCGGCTTGGGTTCATTCCACCCGCAAGATGTGGAGGAACATCTGGATCAAAGCCCATGATACCGCCGCGATCGCTGACAACGCTGCCCATCATGGCAGCACTTTCCTCCCGCTTCATACGGTTCGGGGTATGTGATGTGTTGCCTCCACTCGAGCTCTTTGCTCGAGAGCTTCGCACGGCCTGCCGGAACTGGAACTCTCGATGATGGGCAGCGCGTGCGGCTCGTACATCTCGCCCGAGGATGAATGAGTAGGTATTGCAATAGAAATGCCCATCGTCAAACTCTAACTTGGCAAACGCTTGGATCTTCGGCTCCGACCCAGCAATTGATGTAGCTCCATCTTGATATCCCAGGGCCGAGAGGTCGGCGCCTTGCGAAAGGAAAGCGGCAGTGAGTAGCTCGTTCTGATGGAGAGCATCGAACGCATTTTTCGGGGCGGCGTTGAAGTCCAAAGGCGGAAGAAGGGAAGGCTGCTCCGTGTCTAGTTTAGTGTTTAAAGGATCGGTCAGGGTACCCATTGCATCGGACGAGGAAATTCCTGTATGAGCGAAATCTTGATGAGAGGAATTTGCTCCCATTAGCTCATCACCCAGAGCCTTTCCATTCAGCAAATCCTGAATCTCGCGCGATATTGACGGGTCTTGATGTAAGCTCTGGTCGAGAGGGGTGGCGTGGGTATTTAAATCGAAAGGCTGAGCATGGTGTTCCTCCAGTTTGAAATCCATGGACATATCATGGTCCTCTCCTCCAAATTGCTGGTCGGTTGTTTGGTTCGGCGCAGATTGATTGCCGAGGAGTTGAGCCAACAGGGCGCTTGCAGCATTTTGCGTGTTGGCATCTTGTTGATGTTGCGACGCCGAAAGATCATGGCTGTCTGAGCATTCCGTCTTAATTCCGACATCTGAGGTTGGGAGGCCTTTTGGCGTTGACGGGGCAGAATTATTCTGCATGTCGCGAATTGCGGAGTCGTTTCGGGGATTGGAAGGGGGCGTGGAGTTATGGGAGCCGCCATAGTCGTACATGGGCGAATCTGTACCTGGGTCAGGCGGTCGATGGCCCACAGCTGGCGCAGTCATGGTCTGCGACGACATGACAGGCTGGTGGAAAAGAAGGAATGAAGGGAACAAAAGCTGAAGTTCTCACTTTAGGCCGGGCGGTGAAGATGGCCGAGTTGGTTGCTGCAGCTAACCGTAGTGCAGGTGCCATCACCGAGTGTAGGCCATGACTTCTTGTGTATCTGGAGAATCTTGGTCCGTAACTTTTTGCTCCTCTGCAAAGAAGAAAGGGTAAGTGTTGGGGACCAGGGGAAGAAAGGCGAAGATCCTCTCCGGGACAAATTTTCTTTTCCCGCCCCGCCTGCATCCCGATCCACTGGTTCACCGATTTTACTGAGCTTCGATCTATACACAGGAACAGAGAGGATGGTGCATGGATATCTGTGATGTGCTTGTCCTCTGTTGTTTTCTGGTGCTTCATATGTCCTCCCCCTTTCAAAGTTAGATTCACCTTGCCCTGGCAGTCCAGATCGGTGGAGTCGACCCCTCTCCTGATATCCGGTGGCTTGCCTCCACTGGAGGTTGGATCTGAGATGAGGGGGGAAACACTAGAACAGCCAGAGTCAAACACCGCTGTGAAAACGTGAAACCCATAGAGCATCAAACAAATCACAAATCACCTCCAATAAATCAGGGGAAAGCAGAGAAGATCGACTTGACATACATTGCAAGTTGACGTACACTCGAGACTTTCTTATCGCGATAACTCCAAAAAAAAAACAGCCACCTCCTCACCCTTCACCTCCAACTCTACCTAGGTCACCACCAACACACACAAACCTATAAAAATGCCACCCAAATTCAAAAAGCAAGACCAAAAACCACAGCCAGCCCAAAATACACCCAAAACCCCAAACTGGCCACCGCTTCGCCCGCTTCTCCCACCCGCCGATCTAAGCCTAGAACCCCTCCTCCCAGACCAGATCTACCTAATCCGCAACTTCCTCCCAGGCTCCCTATGCAAAACATACGCCTCATTCCTGGCCTCACTACCATTAACCACAACACCGGGTAAACCAAAAAAGGACGAGGCATTGCGCGTGAACGATCGGTTCCAGATTGACGATGCGCGGTTTGCGGAGATGCTATGGAGCCAAACATCTCTCAAGGAACTTGTGACCGAGAGATTTGAGGAGGGGGAGTATGATGACGAAGGGCATAGATCACCCCCAGAGATGGCAGAACGAGCGCGCAGACTCTGGGGCGGGGAGCCTTTAGGGTTGAATGCTAATATTCGCATTTATCGGTATACCAAGGGTCAATTCTTTGGACAGCATTGTATGTTTTTTATCCACCGCAGCTAAATCAAACAAGACTAACAACATACACCAGACGACGACTCAAACAATATCATTTTCCCTCCATACCCCTCAACGGCCCTCTCGAGAGCAACTCCTGCGCGAACAACCTGGACCCTCCTTATCTACCTGACGACCAGTACCGGCGGTGAAACAGTCTTCTACCCGGAAGCGACGCGCGCGAACCGGAATCCCGAACCGATTGCTGTTGCGCCCGAGGTTGGGATGGCGCTTCTGCATCGGCATGGCGATGCTTGTATGCTTCATGAGGGGATGGAGGTTACTGGCGGGGAGAAGTGGGTTTTGAGGAGTGATTTGGTTGTTCCTAGGTGATTGATCTTGCATCCTGCGCATCGTATCTTATTTATTTTATACATCATGAGTCCGGGATGATGTTGGGGTTGATTCTGGATTGGGTATACTATTGCATTTTCGGCGTTGTTGCAAATGTATGGATTTAGTCATTCTGGCCAGGGATTGGATCACAGTCAGGTGTAGCAAGTGATAATATGACAGGGACGATAGTAGGTCACCTGTAACTAGGTGGGTGGGTGGATAGGACACCCATAAGCAGATAGAATTTAGATACAGTCACGGTTCGTAAAGAATGTAAGGTCAAGCATGAGGGAGAAAAAGAAGAGACAAGAAAGGAAGACGAGAAAAACGATCATGAGTTATTGCGGTAGCAGTAGGCAAGACTCAAAAAAATAAAGTTAATTGACGACACACTCATGTGAGAAAAGTCGGAGTCTAATTTCCCCGATTTCCACGTTCAAGACACCATCCCGAGCCCGGGATTCAATTTCATATTCATATCACGTTCATTTGGAAACTGGAGACTTGGAAGCGTCCAATTCATACTCGGCGCGTCTCATAATCTCCTCCACAGGTCCGAGCAGCCTCTTGAATCCATCGCGACCCAATCGCGCAACCTTGACGTCCGTCTTGGTCGTGATAGTCGCTGCACGGGGCTTGTCGTCCAGCAATGCAAGTTCACCAAAGTAGTCACCACGGCTATAGTTCTTGACTGGTCCAGAGACTCCGTTCTTGGTGGCCTCGGCCTCACCTGACTCCAGCAGGTAGAATGCGTCACCCGGGTCACCTTCGTGAATGATGGTCGAGTTGGCCGGGTACTTGATTGTGTCCAGGGCATCGGCAATCTTTGAGCGCTCGTAGGGCTTCAGGGAAGAAAGCAACGGAACCTCCTCCAGGAAAGCCTCGTACATGCGACGACGCTGGAATGCCGAGTCCATGAGAATGCGGCGGAAAGTGATGCGGTCCAGAGCCCACAAGGTACTCTTCGGGTCGGTGGAGATGACTGTCGCCGCACGAGGGGCGTTGTACATCAATGCAAGCTCACCGAAGGAACCTCCCGGTCCAGTCGACGCGACCTTATTACCCAAGCCATCGGGGCCAGGCTGCACAGCGCCAGAGGTGTGGATATAAATATCAAAGTTACCGTCCTCCACAATGTAGAAGTAATCGCCAGCGTCGCCTTGGGAGATCACCTTGATATCCTTGGCCGGAATGGGCTTCTCAACCAGTGCATCCAGGACCGTCGTAAATTGGTCGTCGTCCAGGTGGGAGAAGAGGAAGTTACTGCTGACCGCGGCCTTGAGCCGGGAGACCTGCTCCTCCGTCTTGGGGTGGCGGGGAGGCGTCCAGCTATCGGATCCCGCCTCGGTGGGATTTAGAGACTCAGCCGACACCGAGGTCCGGCGACCCAGTGCGTAATTATTGGGGAATCCTTGCTGTGCGGTGCGTCCGGGGAGAGGTGCCAGCTCGCTTTCTTGCTCGCTCTCCTCGCCCTCCCCCTGGAAGGGGCTTCTGCTGAATAGGGGTCCTCCAAATTGTGTCCCTCCCTCGGCAAATGCGCTGCCTCCGAACAATGCGGTGCCTACTGAGGTCGCCCCGGCATTTGCCTGTCGGAAAGTCATGTCGGTGGGTGACGTCACCTCGAACTCTTCATCCTCACTGATTTTGGGAATTGGAGACTTCTCGCGAGTGGTGTTCACTGATGGGGCGGACCCGAGGTTCTGTGCCATCTTAATAGGGCCGGAGGGGCCGTTGCTCCGGCCACTCGGTAGCTGAAGCTGGGGAAGCTGAACGGAGAGATGTGGAGATGGGGGGGATAGAGTGTATGAAACGCTCCGAATTCAAAAGATGAGAAGGGGGAAGGGTGTTCAGCATACGAAAGAATCAAGACTAGGTTAAAAAGAAGGAGGGGGGATCCAGAGTGGTCAGTGATCCGTCAGTAGTAATAGTGGGGGGAGGGGAGAGAATAGAGAGAAGGCAAACACGCTGGAAATTGAGTCCGACGAGCAAAAGAGAAGTCGAAGAGGGGTTACAGTGCTGGTCTGAGCTTTTTTTCCCGTCGATCGCTTCGTTTTTTACTGTGACTGCGTCGACGTCACTTACAACTTCATGACACTCCGGACTACACATAGCTTCCAGGTGTCTTCTAGAAAGACTGGAATTGATGATCATTGCACCTTTGCCACCCAGCTCCGCGACGAATAGGAGTCAGCAGGTGGGAGTCACTTATCCGCACCCAGCCGTTTTCAGAGTCACAGTGGGGAAAGCTGCAGAGTGCAGAGTTCGTTGAGAACATCTGGATTTCCCAGGACAGTTGTACCATACTGTAGAGCAGAGAGCTGCTATCTGCATGGCCCTTGCGTGAGGCGGCAAATCCCCTTATTTCACTGGTTGCAAGAAGGGGGGAGGATCCTTTGACTTTCAATAGCCAGCAAATAGTAACCTGATTAGAGTATAAGGGCACTTCTTAACTGAAGTTACATATGTACGGAGTACAGTAGGATCCAAGCCCTAAAGAGTCAGTGCCTGAATTGCCTAATTGAAGATAAGTGAAGTCGAGGTCTGTGTCACCCCCCACTGAGTTTAGTCTTGGGAAGATCATTCCGATTCCTTTCTCTCCTTCCAAGGTTCCCAACCTCACCAATTTTTTGACCCTTGAACGCAGATTGGAGATGGGCAAATTCATTTTTAAGTGGTAAGTCCGATCGGTTTGCTCCCAAGTTGACACCCTCGGGAGAGATGACTCTTCCCTCTGGAGAGTAATCTCGACCTCCAATCTGTGACACTTAAGGTCGCAGCTCGCTGACCCGGTTACTTGCCTTAGGCCCAACAATGCGAGCGAGGTGTTCGTGACAGGCACTTTCGATGATTGGGGTAAGACGGTGAAACTAGACCGGGTAGGAGACATCTTTGTCAAGGAAGTATCTCTGGCGCCTGAGAAAACCCTCTACAAGGTGAGAGCTCCCTGAAGCGGTGAGAACCTGAACAGCCTCCCAGGCACTCTCTCCACTGACGTCACCCTCTCCTCTTCCCCCCCCAAACTACTTAAAGTCGCTTACTCTGACGCTATACCCCTGACTTGATTGTTCTTGTTTTCCCTTAACTGACGTGATCAAGTTTGTTGTCGACGGCATCTGGACCACAGATAGTAGTGCGCGCGAGGAAGACGACGGCCACAGCAACATCAACAACGTCCTCCTACCCGAAGAGATCGTTGACTCTTCTGACGTCCCAATGTCTGGCGTCACCCCAGATTCCACCACTGCAGCCCTGGCTGCCAACGTGCCGAAGCACGTAAATGGCAATCTGCCGGGCACTTTCCCCGACACCCCAAACCAGGAGAGTGAGAAGACCTTGGGGGTGGATCCCATCCCCGCATCAGGCGGCTATGGCAATCCCGTCAAGCTGGCGCCCGGCGAAAAGGTCCCTCCCTCGAGTGAACTCCACAACAACACGGTAGACTCCACTGTGAAGTTGGATCAGGAGTCCTACGAGAAGGGCCAGACTCTTCCTGTCGGCGGAAACCCCACCAGCGCGGCAGTGAAAGATGATGCGTTCGCATTTACCATTCCACCGGTCACCAGCAACATGATTCCCGAATCCAGCCTTCCCATTGGAGGCCCGGCGCAACAGGCAGCTGCTAATGACAAGGAGCCCATCTACTCTGGTGGTCCAGCTCAGCAGGCAGCAGCGGCTGATCCTGGATACACCATTCAATCGGCCGCTCCGACCTCGACCACGGCTGCATTGGCTGCCAAGGTTCCTCTGGAGTCCAAGGGCAAGCAGACTAACGGCAACAAGCCCGTTGAGGATGTCCCAGAAGTGGTGAAGGACTCTCTCGCCGAGGCCCACCAGGACCCGGAGGCTGCTGCAAACCAAGACGCAGTCGACGAGAAGAAGAGATTCGAGCAGGAACTTCACAAGAAGGTCGACGTTGAGGAGTCTGCAGGCGCCCCAGCGCCCACTGTGACTGCTGCCACCCAACCCATCGCTCCTCACCTGACTGCCGCTGCTAGTGGATTTGACTCCGCCGATGTGTCGCCGACATCTACACCTCCCCCCGGTCGCAATGCTGCTACCGCTGCGCCCACTTCGGCACCGAAGGCTGAGTCCAGCGGCCCGGTTGTTACCACGGGTGTTGACTCTGCCCCTATTGATGAGACCACTACCGCCAAGTCTACTGGTCCTACTGTGACCACTGGACCTGAGACTACCAAGGCTCCCGAGACCTCCACCCCGAAGCCCGCAGAGTCCAAGCCCACAGAGTCCAAGCCCACAGAGTCCAAGCCCACGGAGTCCAAGCCCACGGAGTCCAAGCCCGCAGAGCCCAACCCTGCAGTGTCCAAGCTTGCGGAGTCCAAGCATTCCCAGAGTACTGAGGGTGCTTCTACTAATGGCGACAAGAAGAAGAAGCGCCTGAGTGGCTTCATCCACAAGCTGAAGGAGAAGTTCAAATAATGAGACGCGTCCATTTGGTCTGGTTGGGGCTCTTAGATGGCTTCAAAAGCTAACTCGCCTTGTTTTGACTCTTTGTTTGATACCTCCTCCTGTTTTATCGCTTTGTATTTCCATGCCTTTTGTTAATGTGTCGGCTGGTAATCATCTAATGAAACTCTTGTGGCTCGGCAGTACCTACATCCCGAAGTCGGAGCCTGCGTAAAATGTAGTATAGAATGATCAAAGAACACCAGTCGGTTTCCCTTTGTCGAAGTCAAGCATCATGTCTCATGTCTCTGGTATTAGTGTTTTGACGGGTGTCTGGTTACGTGGGGAGAAACTGGGTCATTTCCTATGTCCGCCCATTCTCCACCTCAACCTTCCCCGACTTTGACCTTCTTCTCTTCTTTTCTCTCTTCCTCTTCCTCTTCCTCCCTTGTATCCTGCCGACTTCTCTAATTACTTCTCTTGACGGGGTCCCTGGCTACTGGTATCTTCCCTAAACATGGCTACCCCCACCCTCTCCGCCATGATCGATCCGACTAAGCAAGCCGAGTACCCGATTGTGCTGGGCGAGAGACTCGCCCGCAGATCAGACACCAGCAACCTGGTCAACGTAAACTACAACTACAAATCCAAGTCCGCTACCTCACAACACCGCTCCACCATTACCCCCTCACAATCGCAAGATCTCTACGACCTTTCTGTCACCGATAAGGCCCCGAATGCCGATCACGCACTGGCCTGGTCATACAAGGGTAGCGAGGACCCGTCGAGCGAACAGAACCTGGTCCTGGTCTTCGACCCAGAGCGCAAAGTTTTTGTACTCGAGCCGGTCTCCACATCATTCAATTTCAATCTACGGTCGGCGCCTGGAAAGACGGAAAAACAGGTCCGTGAACAGTACGAGCAACTTCAGATCAAGTACGAGGATGAACCGACGACTTCGGGGGAGGACCGCCATGCAGCGGACACCAGCGATGACGAGGGCCCTGCGGACCCAGATAACCCATATGACTGGCGACACTACCTCCCCAAGAACCGCGGACCGGACAATAAATACTGTTTACCTTCGCATAACACCACTCCAGAACCTTCTATCGCAAGCCGATCAAACACACCTGTGATAGCAGCCTCCAAGCCTGTTGCTGCAAAGCCATTGCCGCGACCAAAGCCACAAGCAAACCCGCTTCGCCAGAAGAAACCAGCTACAAAACCGGCAGCTCCCAAACCACCCGCTGCGAGACCTTCTCCGAAGCCAGCTGAGCCCGCCAGCCAACCTACCAACCCACCTACCAACCAACCCGCTAGTCAGCCCGCTAGCCAGCCTGACACATTTGAGATGGAAGACTCTCGCTCGTCGCTATCAGACGCAGAGACGGGATCTCAACAAGCCGGCCAATCACCAAGCTCAAATATTATCATTGACGGCGATCTGATTATTGACATGGGCTCTCCGCCTCCATCCCGCTCCTTCAAGGTCAATCCCGCATACTTCTCGTCGAACAATACACCAGCAGACGAAGGCAATGGGGAAGAAGAAATGGGCGAGTTCAGACTTCCCTCTCCAGTCGGTACAACTGCCTACCCGGCCTCATCTGCACCGACAGGCGAAGCAACTCAGGAAGGTGAGGTGGAAGATGACGATGCCTTGGCTGCAGAGATGGAAGCCGCCTTTGAAGAAAGCGCCCGGGAAGAAGAGGCTCGCAGTCATCAGTACAGTCAGCCTACTGCTTCTAGGCAGTATGTTCCTAGTGATGATGAGAGTGAGGTTAGTGAGGAGGAATAATGCATTGTAGTGTACTGTACTGTGATTTTGTCCGTTGTACAGGAAGGTTTTTATCTATTGCATCTATCAGCGTGGCGCTAGGTCGGACTTTGATTCCAGAGTACGAGATACCAATTGCTTAGGGACATTTTCGTCTTGATTACTTGTTGAATGAGATCTCATATCAATATTTCCTTTTCCTCTACTCGTCCTCGCAAGCCAGGGGCCAACCCCACCGATCTACTGTCACGGCATACTTAAATAAATATAATGTATTATTGATATAGTCACTATCCATCTCCCATCGCCCTATTAACCTTTAAGCTCATGAAGTCCAGAAACTTCAGCGGGCAGCTCCGTCGCCCCCGAAGTCGACGACATATCTTCCAACTCAGTGGGTCTCCCATGACTAGCAGTCTTTCGCGTTGACCCATATTCACTCGGAACCTGTTCAAGACTACCATGGGCCCTTCTCCGCCGAAGCCAAAAGAAGACTCCAAAAGCAAGCGCAATGGCAAGCACACCCACACTGACACCAACACCAATGCCAGCCTTAGCGCCGGTCGACAGCCCCGAACTACTTCCCCCAGCGCTGGACGCGACACTGGTCGTTGCGCCGGGGCTTGTTGCCGCGGGACCAGAGTCATTGGCTGTTGTCTTCGCCGTCGCTGTCGTTGCTGTCGTGGGCATGATATCTACAGATGTAGATATCGTATCGGACGACTGCCACGCAAGACCAACTGCCCTGGCATGGTACACCGGCGAAGCCCACGTGTATACCGTAGTCGTGGTAGGAGTCACGCCAACCACATTAAACGTGATCGTGGTCGCGACATCTGTCGTCCTAATGCAGGGCTCGGATGTATACCAAGCCAACGGGCTTGAAGCCGCAACGGAAAACCCACTGGAAGGCATCGCATTAGTATCTGATCTAGCTCCGGGGAAGAATAACAAGAGAGAAAGAGCGGAAATGCAGGATCGCATACCTAGGACAGCATGTCGCGCGCGTCTCGATACTGGCCGCACCGAACGAAGCTAGAGTCGTTCCCGCGATTGAATATCCACTGGGACAGACTAAGCCCGGCGAGAACGTCGTCGCGGAGGTCGCCCAGCCAGAGGGGAAACATTCTGTTTCTGTCGCGCGCACGATATTATACACACCCTTGCAGGTGGAGCCGAGACAGTCGGAGGAAATCCAAGAAAAGTTGTCGCAGGTCGCAGGCGGCGTGAAGACGGTTGTCAGTGGGAGGGCCGCTGTTGCGGGTGCCGTCGTGGTGGTCATGATGGGCACAGCTGGATCTCTGGATCTCTGGATCAGACCTGACTCCGCGGAAGATGACCTGCACCTTCGTTGCGAGGCTTGGGTGAAATGGTGAGGCTGCGAGCTGGAGGGAGGTTGGGAAATGTCTGGCCCTGGTCGTTCGGCTGAGGTTGTCAGAATGTCGGGGGCCAAACTGCTGTGCCCTTTGCCTATTGCAACTTAGTGGGCATGCAGCTTGTTTAGTGTTACCTGAAATGAGAAAGGATCACCCTGGGGGCTTGGCTCGAGGCTGTACAGTACGTGTGGATGGTGGTTAGTACGATGACTGGTGTTGGTTCTGTGTGTCTCTATTCTGTTGCTGGTTCTGCTTGGCATTGGGTAGGATGGCTTTGTTCTTGCGACCTCGGATTGAGTGCAGAAGCACAGGCGGATTGGCATCGAATCCCGTGAAATGAGGATTGCAGTAGACTCCGCCACTAGACCTCATTTCCACCTGTCACAGGCGATTGTGGCTGTAAAGTGGACCTGGACGGGAAGTCAGGGCCTCCCGTCTCAGCCTTGGACATGGAGTGCAGTACTGTACTGTAGAGAACTACTGTACTGTACACCACTGCAACCCCGAAAGAAGGGAAAGGAGCCAATCAGGACTCGACTGCATACAATTGTAGTGTAGAATGGAATGTGAGGAGAAAAGGCCATGTAAGGATGTACAGTAAGAATGTAAGGAGACAAGAATGAGAACATCAGCTGAGCCTCTGATTTGTCAATGCAAAGCGGCTCTGTGGTCTGGCCAATGAACTCAACAATGGGCTATGTGTATGTGTGTCAGTTAACGCCGTGGCTGAGTCCAAGACTTGCCAAGAAGGGGGCCAAAACGGTACCTGTAACTGACCTGAATATGAAGAGTGTCGCAATTATAAATATTATGCACCAATCTGCATCTATCAGGGCCAAGCTATGATCAACTCTAGAGCAGTTTGGTCTCGTGTGGAGATTCATACAGGGTAAACACACTGGGGTTGATTGGAGTGGATAGATCCCCATACTTATTTTTATACCGGTAAATTTACTATCTATAGATAGATTGAACTAAGTCTCAAACTAAGTTAACGTAACTTAAGTTATATGACGCATGTTCACATAATCCAGTAGTCTTCCGTGGACTGCTTCTAGTCGCGCCGTGACTTGACCGACCGCCATTCTATCAACAAACTTCCAACCATCGTGGCACAAGCTAGCCCAACCACCAAATACCATGTCTGGACGAGACTTTTATCAATGGCCACAAGAACATCTGCAGACTGAGTTGGAGGCACACTGGCCACAATCTGTGTCAAACCTACATTCTCGATATTTGTTCCACCCGGGTCTGACACAAGACCCTCCAGGTTGACCGAGAGCTGATTCACGAATAGAACCTGTGCTATTGCAATCGTCACAGTGGGTCCGAATGACTGTGCAAATAGCATTATGGATGTACCAAGCGGGACATCCTCCGCCGACAGTACTGTTTGCACGGCATTCTGCGGTCCTGAGAAGCCGATGCCGTACGCGAGACCCGAGAAGCCGGTATAACTGATCAGTTGCGCAAAGGTAGTGTTGATTTTGAAGGTGGTGATCAATCCCGCCGCGATAGGCATGATGATGGAAGCGAAGAGCATGAACGGCGCATAGTAGCCGAAGATACTCGTTCCGATGCCATGAGCCACGGCGCCAATGGTGCTGGCGATGATAATCGGAAGCATCATATATCCGCTTTTTGCAGGCGTGAACCCACGGACAACTTGATAGTACGTGGGGAGATAGTATTCGAGCACATTGCCAGTACTGTTGCCACACATGATGAAGATGAATCCCGCGATGACGCTGCGATGCTTCATGATCCGTAAAGGGATGGCAGCGGCATCTCCTCGGCGTCGTTGATTGTAGATGAATGCTGTTGAGAGAACGCCGAATGCAACCAAAGGGCCGATGACAAGGCCACTGTTCCAAGGATGTTTGGTGCCAGCCCATGAAAATGCAAGGAAGAGAGCAGTCAGTGCTGGTATCAGAAGTAGATTGCTTACCAGGTCGATTTGTAAGATCTTGTCCTTGAGCGTCATGCGGGCAATGTCGTTAGGTTTGGGCGTATCCGATAAACACCAAAATGTCAACAGTAGTGTAACGGCGCCAATAGGCGCATTGATATAGAAGCACCATCGCCACCCAAGTGACTGCACAATAACTCCACCAAGTAAGGGTGCCGACAGTGTGGCAAGACCTTCGAGCGCGCTCATCACGCCAACAACCAAAGGCCGCTTGCGCAGGGGTGTGGAGTGTACGAGGATGACGAAGACCCCTGAAAGAAGACCAGCAGAGCCTAATCCAGCTACCGCTCTCCCGATAATCAACATTTTTGATGTATTGGACACTCCGCAGAGCAGCGAGCCTGCTATAGAGATGATATTGGCAGACAAGAAGACGCGCTTAATAGAGAACAGCTTGTAGGCCTTGCCGAACATGAATTGGAAAGCGCACTGGCAGAGCCTGAAGGCAGAAGAATACCAGCCAACATCCGCAACTGTGTGGAAATGATCTGTTATGCTAGGCACTGCGGTGGCAACGATGTTCATATCTATGCTGCTAAGCACAAGGGCTCCAGCCAATGTGAGCATGAGGAGGGAATACTTGGTGCCAGTCGGGTATTCGGATTCTTGGGGCTGCTGGATTGGATTCGGTTCCTCATTAATGACAGTCTCTGCCATAATCTGGCTAGAACGACTTATTGAAGTGCCTAATCTGTTGCCTTCTGCATCGCTCCCACGCTGGGTCATCGCATGCCCTGAGTTTTGTATGACGTCTGTCATCGTTGGGGAGTTTTGTTCTTGGGTCAGGTAGTATTAACCACCAGATATAAGTAGATCTCTCGACAAGCGACCCAAGAGGCATTGAAGGATTCACTTCTGCCTAAATCCAGAAGGCGTTAGTGCATCATGTGATAGCTTACATATGGTTTCAAAAGACGATTGTCTATAGTGATTGATAAGGTGCACTATATTCTCTTTTGTTAAAAGCTATGAGTCCTGCTGTAGTTATTCAAGTCATACTCAGCTAGCTGCTTTTGACTTGACAATCATGTTGGCGATTGGTAGCCTCGCTGGTAATCAACATGAAGTTCATTTGCAGGAAACTACTATTTCAAAAGTGACCAAATTCGCTGTTTCAGTTTGCAACGAATATTCAAAGATGATGCTTGCAACAGTGCTGTTGTTGAACATTATACTATGATCGGAGAAACCATTGTTCCGAGCGGGAGCTGTCCAGGATATTCATGACGAGGGCCTTCCCTGACTGCCTTTATATCCCAGGTTAGCTAGTCGTCTTCCTTTTGTTCGTCTTAGAATCTCTTTTCCATACCACTATCCACAAATCCAGCTCACCCTATCCTTGTCCGCGATCAGACAAAAGCCCGCAATGCTCCATTGAGCCCGATAGCTGCGGCTGGAAACTTTTATTGCCGGTCTAGCTCGCAGGCGCGCCTCTCTCTTTGCCATATTGGCAGTCGCATACCGTATTGCCGGTCGTATCTGTCAAAGAATACGCAAAGACCTCACTTGTCGCCTCTCCGTGCCTCCCCTTGATCGTCGGTCAACCTTTCAAAACTGACCCTGATGGAGTCTGCCGTCTCCCCAGCGCCGAAGCGACGGATCCCCGGTTTACCGAATCCAGTGGTGGAAGCCGAGCAGCAAAAATGGCTATTCACTGACGAAGAACTTGAGCGCACGCCGTCGCGAATCGACAATATCAACCGTGAGAAGGAGGACTACATTCGGCACCGGGCAATTGATTTCATTTGGCAGGTCAGCCTGATGCTGAAGATGCCACCGCAGACCTCTATGACCGCCTCCGTGTATATGCACCGCTTCCTCATGCGTTATTCTTTGATGGGCCAATATCCGGAGACAGGGTCAGACTTGATACACCCCAAAGTGATCGCCGCAGTGGCCCTATTCGTCGCGTTTAAGGTGGACGAAACAATGCGACGCATGAAGGATTTTGTGATTGCCTGCTGCCGCGTCGCCATGAAGAACCCAAATCTAGTCGTCGACGAACAATCCAAGGACTACTGGAGATGGCGTGACCTGATCTTGCAGAACGAGAGCGTCATGCTGGAATATCTCTGCTTTGACTTGCAGCTCGAATCGCCATACCGCGCTCTTTGGGACTTTACCCTTTTCTTTGGTGTCCAGGAAAACCGCGCTCTTCGTAACGCCTCCTACGCCTTCCTCAACGACTCCACCTACACAGTCATTTGTCTTCAATTTTCGCCGCGCGTCCTAGGCGCCGCAGCTCTCTATGCCGCGGCTCGTCATTGCCATGTCGCATTCCCAGATGACTCCGAAGGCCGTTCTTGGTGGGAACAAATCGACGTCGGTCTCGATGACCTCATCCGCGCCTGCACGCTGATTGTCAAGATTTACGAGCGTGTTCAGCAGAACCTAAGCAAAGGCTACCCAGAATTCGCCTTGTCAGAAACAACCCCCAATGACCCAACTCGCATGTTCGACCGCGACCCAACCAAATTGGAAACCGAGCATGCAGATTCTCCTCTCTCTCTCACCGTAACAGCCCCAGACTCGGCTCCAAATGGCCGCAAGCGCTCGCGCGAACCAGAATCCCACCCTTCTCCTTCACATACCGCCGAACCAACCCAACCAACCCAAAACACCTCTTCTACACTCAATGGGCACAGGGAACGATCGCCAAAACGCCAGCGGACGGTCACACCATCTCTAGAGAGTGGCCCGTCCGCCCTATCACAGTCACAACAATCCACTTCTCGTTCGCGCATTCCTGCTGCGGCATTATCGCAATCACAATCACACTCTCTCCCAATCGCACCCCCACACCAGACAGCGGGACACAGATCAAACATAGAAGAGAACAACGCCGAAGAAGGCAACGTCTCTGACGAAAAAGATAAAAACAATTCCGACGCTTTGCAGAATGCTCCGCTTGTCACGACAGACTCCAACCCTGAAGGGAAGGGCGGCCCTCCTGAGGATACTGGAAGCGAAGAAGGCGAAATCTAAATGTTTACTCCGTATCGATGCTTGAGAGGGAAATTGGAGGCTATGCGAACCATGCGGGATAGTGACTCTTTATCTCGCCGCTTAATGAACCTCTACTCTCAATGAGTTATGTAAACAAGACGACCATTCATGAAATTTCAATATCAAGAATTCAAACTTTGCAGTTGATTCGATGTCATATTCAAGATCCAGTCGCGTGTGTATCTGAACCCTGGGCTATCTATACATGCTATTTTCAATAAAGCACAAGAAATCAATGAAAATAGGCAATTCGAAGGCGCAACTCCTATTGAATATGCAAGGCGCTGTAGTCTGTCTGATGAACAGAGTAAGCACTCAGGCTAAGAAACATGGCTCATGTGGGATACGGTAGGGTAATAAATGCAAATGCAATGCATAAAGAACAATGTGACCCAAAAAGTGGCCACCAAACGCCTTGAAAAAAAAAAGGAATTGTTTCACTCTGAGGTCCACCGTTCCTTTCGATCTCGCTTTTCAGTAACCAGCTGTCATGACGCCTAGTCCGTGATCGAGTAAGCTGCTCGAGGCAACGTAGCTAAACCCACCGAAGGGGTTGCTCTCGGCGTTCATCCCATCCGCGTCGGGACCCTTGCCAGCAGGGAAATCTTGACCATTGGCATAGTACTCGTCAAATCCGAGACCTGCCGTGGACGGGCTGAGTGGAAGCTGGGTGAAATCAACGGAGAAATTCTCTGCCAGGGCTGGGTCTGTGACGACGGGACAGATAGGGGGGTTGAGTTCGCGGCGCTCGAGAGCGTCCCAATCGATCTTCCGGAAAAAGCGGTGCTTCTTAATGGTCTGGAGATCCTTTGCCATATGGTAACCCAGGCGCTTGGATGGATCCTTGCGGAGAAGGCGAGTAAGGAGGTCTTTAGCATCAGGTCCGAGGTAGTAGGGCAAAGCGAGCTTCTGCTTGACAATCTTCTCTTGGAGTTTTGCGTGGTTGTTTGCGCGGAATGGTGGCGATCCGGTCAGTAGGTCAAAGCCCAAAGCGCCGAGAGACCACCAGTCGCAGGCTTTGCCGTAAGGCTTTCCTTGGATGACTTCTGGTGCCATGTATTCAATTGTACCAAGAAGAGAGTTGCAGCGGTCGTCATCGTTGAGAGCAATTTTGCTCAGTCCGAAGTCTGTGAGAAGCAGGTGGCCTTGATCGTCAAGAAGGCAGTTCTCGGGCTTCAGATCGCGATAAAGGACTCCAACATTCTGGTGCAGGTGTTCAAACGCAAGGACTACTTCAGCCATGTAGAAAGCGGCCGCATCTTCTTCAAACATGCGTTCCATGGCGAGATGGTGGAAGAGCTCACCGCCTTGTGCATATTCTAGGATAAGGTAAAGCTTTTCGTGGTCCTGGAAAGCGTAAAATAGCTTGACGACAAATGGATGACGATTAACACTCTCCAAAATCGTGCGCTCGGTCTTGGTCTGCTCGACCAATTTCTTGTGTACAGTAATCGAGGCCTTGCGGAATTGCTTCTGGGCATACAGCTTGCCGGTGACGACATGGCGCACCAACAGAACTGTTCCAAACGAACCTTTGCCAAGACACAGGATGGGCTCAAAGTCATCTGCAGTCATTTTCCGGCACAGCTGGCTACGCAGATCCGCGCTTACGCCGGCGGCATCGGCTCCGCGTTCCTCCGGTGTCTCCGGTTGCACGGCGTCAGAGCTAACAAAGTCCTGGTCCAGAGGAACTTCATAGCTTGTCAAGATCTCAGTTTGGTCGCTATCCGAGAACGCACTGATGACACTAGGTGTCTGTGAAACAAGCCCACTGGTGGCGCCGGAGTTGTCCGCCAAACTCAAAGTATTAAGTTGAAGCTTCAATGCGCTAACTCCGTGGCCTGTGGATGGTTGCGCCAGAGGACTAGCCCCGCCTGTGGAAGTAGGAGGGCGAGAGGGAGCTCGAGAACTCGCGGCGGAGAAATCTGATTCTTCGTCGCCGGATGGCAAAGGGGTAAAGCCGCGAACGGTGGAGCAAGCAGGTCCGGGTCCAGCCTGATTTTTTTTCTTCTTATTCTTTTGGCGATGCGACTTCATATGCGCATTCAGGCCGGGTTTCGCAAAGTCACCAAATCCAGAGTTCATCCGGGGAGAAGACTTGTTACCCATGTGCGTATCGGGGCGGCGGTGATTGGTCGAGACCTCCATGGGGGACTGCGCAAGATCAGCCTGCGGGCTGAACACGTCCGCGACCGACAGGTCGTCATTGACGGTTGAAGAAGGCATCGTGCCTTTGTATCACTGTTCGAAAGTTTCGCGATGGAGATAATTCCGAGTGAGGTGGATGCGCCGGTGATAACCGAGGCTGCGCAATTGACCTTGCGCGGTTGTATGAAAAGTAAGAAGGTATTCAAAATACCTGTCCAAGCGGTTGCTATTCACATGAATTGTCAGCCTCGATCTTGAACTGCGAAGAATGTATGGAGGGGTAATGAAGGCTTTTCTGCCCCCGCCAATAATAGCAAAGATAAATCAAATAAAAAAATTGTTTGAAATTTTCGATGCAAAGAATGCAGGTCAGATAGACTTACTTCAACTTGTAAAGTTGCTGAACATCAGAGCACGGTTTTCCTTCAGTGCTCGAATCAGTCGATAAGACCAGTCCTCTCGAGCAGGTTTACCGTCCGCCCTTCTTCAGGACGGACCTGGGACCCCTAGCCAAATGACCTCACGGGCGGAGGTATCGAAAGCCACGGTGGGAAGGGAAATGGAAGGCGCAGTAGATCGAGAGTGAGAAGTAGAAGTAGGAGCGAGGTTCCGAAGGGATAGATCGAGGATCGCCAAGCAGGCAGTAAGCGAAGTCAAGGGTGTTTCAGATGGGCACATAGAGAATAATGATAAAGAAGAAAGAGGTTTTCAAGTTCCCTCGAAGAGTGAGGAAGTTCAACAAAGCGTGTAGAAAATCATCAGATTTGAGGCGCAAATCCGGGGGCTGAAGTCACTAAGCCCAATGCAGCTTTCACGTGCCAGATGATGACCTAAGTTCTGATTGGTCACAGCCCTATAAAAACATACAGTAAAATAGAGATTCGATCTTGGTGTTTTTATGGGATATCTAAACATTATTGTCCATGAGAATTCAATGACCAGGGAGCCAGTATTCTGGAAATTCCCCATTGATCACAACATTCATTTCCGTGGCACATCGTGAGTATCAAAAAACTCCCTTGACCGAGTAATTTCAACACCAGACCGTCCGACAAAAGCAAGAGCACTAGGCTTCTCAACCTTGACGGTAACAAACTCATTGCCAAAGTCCACAGTAACAATGCGAGCAATAAACGTAGCCAAGGACTCAACCGTCTGGAAGTCAGTCTCTTCCACTTGCTACACCCAAACCAAGTCAGCAATCACATCCCAAGATAACAAACTCCAAGGGAGAAGAACAAACCTCAGCAACAGCCCTGACAACACCCTGATAAGTAGCCACAACCTTAGATCCCCAAATCTGCAGTCCTTCACCCTTGAAAACCAATCCAACAACAACGGCCTGCTTCTCAACTCTCTCATGAGGATTCACCCCAAGAACAGCATGGCACCGAATCCCCTCAATCCGGAACTCCTCCTCCAACACAACGGGACATCTAGCCCCATCCTTATCCCCCCATACCGTAACAGCCCGATATTTCAAGCCTCCCTCAGCCCTCAAAATCGCCTTCCCGAACTCCAGCTCCACCTCACATTCTCCAAACTCTGCAGACACACTTTCCCCATTCCCACCAACTCTCTCCGCCGTCTCCTCCAACATCCCCAGTCCAGCATTCGCAACAATGGCACCTGTCACCCGCGGGTCAATTCCAACGGCATAAGACCCATCATCTAGATCCGCAGTACGTGTCCCAGAAACATTGACCATAGCTTTATGCGGATGATCGGTCGACGTGGAGAGTGCAGCCATGTGGCGTACGTCATTGTCTAGACGGCGGAAGAGTTTGCCGTAGTCCAGAGTCAGCGATACATTGTCGGTCTCGGCAGCGGCGATTATGCTTGAGTAGGTCAGGGTAAGGGTTGCGGTGCAGGGTTGCGATTTTCCGGTTCGGTGCCAGGCTTCTGGGGCTGCGGGGAGGGGCAGGGCTATGTCGCGGAGGCGGACTGTGTCGAGGGTTTGGGGGCGAGAACGGAGGGTTAAATTTTGGGTTGTCATTGTAGTGGTTGACTTGGTGTTAAAGTGGAATTGAAGGTGTTGGTAGCTCCAAGTCTCCAAGTGATGTGAGGAGGGGGTTTTTTGGCGGGGAAAAGTGGTTCGGGGTGGAGCCAGGATTGTTTTTGTCCGCAATGCTTTTTTATAGTTGCGAATTGGGATGTCCTGGGTTTCTAATTATACTTGCCAGAGCAGTAAATGCCCGCAAAGGCCAAGAATGTGGCCCATCGACCATTTCTGGTCCAGCGGTAATATGCCCCATATTTGCTTGGACCATCGTGAAATACGCCAGAGAAGCATATTTAGTCAGCATGATAACTTAACTTAACGTTATAACTTAAGTACCGAAGTTAGTCGGCCTAGTCATAAGTTAAGAAAAGAAATTTCTCTGACCAGACTCGGGGGTAAAACGGTTGATTGAATCCATATGCGCTATATGATGAGTCGAGCGTGGGATTTGGTCTACACCGGAGGCAATTGATTTGGGCTGAACGGTCCCCACGAACGTTGTCTTCCACACACCAGTCCTATCTACGGCTACTTGCTTAGCCTCTAATTGCTAAACATGCTACCCGAATTCTTGCAGAGTAGCTATGCACGCTACAAAGCAGATACCAATACCTTTGCAACTTGGCTACTCGAGACAGCCAACCAATGCGGCTATCAACCAACTGGCCTCGCTGCTGCCATTCCTACGGCGAAAAAGGGTAAACACAAAGGCAAACACCATGGCTTGAATGCAGATCCACTTCAATATAGTGCGAATATCCAAGATCTGCAAAAGCTCGCCGAGGTGATTGCTAATTCTGCTCTCACGGTGCCAACCTCGGTTCTCACCATCGCCAAACGCGCCATTAAATTGAGAAAGGCGGTCACATCCTGGTTCTTGGGCCAGGGCGGCTCAGAGAAAAACAAACGCCATGCCCATTTCATCACTGTGCTGGAGCAAATTTGCGATAATCTAGAATGGAAGACCGACCTGCCCTCCAAGCCAGACGCCAAGCAACCACCACCGACTTCAGAGGCTCAAGGTGACGATGCCAATGGCGACAGAATTCTGAACAGATTTGCTGTTCTCACGGTGGAGGAACCCCAGGAGACTACGGAAACCCAACCGGCACCCGCCGAATCGAAGAAGATAGTCAAAGTGAATGTTATTGTCGAGGAGGGAAATGAGCCATCAGACGCATATCTTGGTCCTTTGTTCTTCAAGACTCTCTGCCTGTTTCAAGACTTGAACAACATTCGAAAATTCATTTCCATCACCTGGTCAGAGTATCGAGATAAGAAAATCGACCTTATGAACGCCGCTGTCGTGACTGACAGTGCTTTGCAACTTGCTCGAGATCTTGCACAGGAGGTGGAAGCTGACTGGCGCACTTCCCCTCTTGGGACAGGGGATGATGTCCAAACTCTTGTCTTCAACCACGCGATTCTTACCCGCGGCATTCCTGGGACTCCATCCACTGAGATTGGCCTGCCATACAACAAGAACATGGCTGATATCGCCGAGTGGTGCTATGTGCCAACCAAGATCCTGCTTGAGTCCTTCGCAAATGTTCTCCAGGTCGATCATCTGCCAGTCTTTAAAAAGGGATACTTTGGCTCCTACGATCCGAAAGCGAACAGAGAGCGAATGTCTGTGGGTCAGAAATTCAACGAAGACAAAATCATCCTTCTTTCGATTTTGCCAGAGTTTTGCATGGTCGACACATTCAAAATCCAGATGCCAACTACGGATGCGATCACTCGAGGCCTTGCTGAGTTTGCGAAGACCAAAAACGTTACTACGGGGCTTTGCTTCGCCTCCCAGATCTTCCTTGACGTCCATCATATCATGCGACACAGTACCTTGGATGCATTCGGAGACCTTCGAATGTCTGGACTTCGTATCCAGAAGACTATCGATGATTATCTTCAGCTATCCAAAACACACCCTCAGCCCAAATTTTGGCCAAAGGAGGGCGACGAAGAAATCCGAAGTATAGGATCAACGGTGAAGTCATGGATCATGCAAGATTTGTTCCAAGATATCCGAGTCAGTTCTAAGATCCGCGTCCCTGGACCCGTACCCGAAAAGCACGTACTGTTCTCGCAGCATTCTATCCTCTGTGGCTTAATCCTGTTCAGCCTCAATATGAGAATGCAGTCTATCAGCCAGCAGCTCGTCACTCAATGGTACGATGTCCAGCAACTGGCCTTTTTGCACAACCTCATCATGAATTCTTCAGCGCCCCAAGACGTGAGATGGCCTGACATGGATGCATTCCTCAAAATCCATGGCGAGTCTCATATTTTTGTTGGCTCGCGGCCAAAAAACGCCCAAGAATCGCTGAACCGGCTTCAGTTGGCCTCGGGCACCTCGTCCGTTGCCAATTTCGCCCGCGACTCTCGGGGCGAAAGATTTCATAAGCCTGATGGCAAGAATCCCCGCTTGGTCACATCCACCACAGCAGTCGCGAACTTGTTCTTCGCCCAGTACGTGGGTGGTCCTGAGAAAGATGCCGGGATTGTACACATTGACAGAATCCTGGACGAGCTTTCACAGAAATCAACCCGTGAATCATCCAGCAAGGAGCATGAAAAATCCAATCCGGAACTCATCATTACCCGAAAGTGGGCTAATACCCACAACATCGACACCCTGCAGCTTCTAGGCTTCCTGAAAACCAAGTTATTCGAAGAAGAGCCATTAATCCTATACAATTACTTCGGCATGCACAAACGCTCCGTCGAGTTGCTCAGACTTATCCGAGACAAAGAGCACACGAAGTTTGTTCAATATTTCACGTCAGCGTATCTGCCTGATGATTCCCTCATATCAAACATTGTCCTCCTCATCCTTCACGTTGCGCAAGGCTCGGCCCAAAGTGCAAGTGAAATGGGACTTGCATCTGGCGAAACTAAGATAGTGAGTCGGATTGTCATGAGCGCTGGCGACGTGATGCGGAAATACTTGGAGAAGAATGGAGACGTGGCATGCAAAGAGTTGAGAGTATTCTGCAAGAACAAAAAGCCAATCCAAGACGATATCGCTTATGAAAACGGCAAATCGGATAAGATGGCGTATTCTTGGCTCAGTGTTGAAGACGTCCTGGGTCCCAAGGGTATGGCCTCATTCATGACTGGGATCCCGATAGCTTAGGCTTATGGACCTGTTGCCGTCTTGATGCCAAGAATTGATCCTACGTGCGGGATCTGTACTTTATTTATTTTAACGGTGATGGGCCATAGAATTATCTTACGACAACTCAATTTTGGATGTTTAAGTTGAGCAACTATCACACTCAGACTCGACCAGAATATCACTTAAGTGGTCTAATATACGGTCACCGTAGATCTAATAAGCTAGTATCTGTAGGAACCATCGCCTCATTAACCTTCCGGATTCTGCACTAGTTGAAGTTGGGACGTCATGTAGAAATTATATCCATCTGCAACGGGAATTCTGCTATATTGGACAACAGACAGTGAGATTTAATCGTCAATTACTACCTCAAACAAGAGTAAAAGAGTACAGTATGAGCAAGAACAAAGTTGATAAGAGCAACCACAAGGCAAAGACCCCAGCAGTCATACCCCACGGCAACCTTAACTATCTGCAAGAACGAAAAAAAAGACAAACAATCGCGCTGTCCAGTAGAAAGAAGAGAGAGATCAAGAATAAGAAACAACAAATCCGGCCGTGAGAACACGCTGAACGACACCTCGGGCGAGGTGGTAAAAAAGGATCATGACACCATGAAATCAGTATGACACGTTGCGGGTATTTGGCGAAGGGAAGTCAAAGTTACTGAAAGAGAAAAATCAGGGCAAGGGAGCATGCTGGTAGATCTGTTGAGATGCTGAAAGAAGATGCTGGAATATTCAACCCAAGCCATCACGGCGAATATCGCTACCACTACCAGTAGCGGGGACGGTCGTAAGGGACATAGTCGCTTCTGGGCGGGGAGCGAGGACGACCATAGGCCCGCGCAGCTAGATAGGGATCTTCATAGTGGCGCGGGGGTGGAGGGGGGTAGGGGTCTTCGTAGGGGCGACGGGGTGGGGGGTAGTCTTCCATCCGCGGGCGAGGGGGAGTCCGGCGGGCATAGCCATCCCGTTCATAATAGTCCCGGCGCATGGGGATCGGGGACCGCTCACGGTAGTGATCCCGAGGACTGTAGCCTCGAGGAGGAGGAGGAATCCGGCGGTCGTACTCATCCATGGGGGTTGGGTACGGGCGACGAGGGGAACGGGACCGGTAAGGGTCGCGAACGGGACGTTCCTCAAAGGGTTGGATCTGGGAAAGGGTGAGAGGCGATTCCTCCGGGTCCGAGCCAGGTTGGGCGCTTACATCGGCGACGCAAGTGACGCGCGATCCCTTGAACTCTCGCTGGTCCAGTTTTTCCACGGCAGTTTTGAGGTCGTTGGCGGTTTCAAACTCAACAAACCTTGGAATTGTGTTAATGGAGTTGGAATAGGGGATTTTGCTGGAGTTTGATCACCCACCCTCGGCCCTGTTCACGGCCTGTCTCAGAGTATACCACATCCAGTCCGGACTGGCGGGCAAAATCTTTCAAATCCTAGATAACGTATGGTGAGTCCAGGTCCAGGTAAAAGAGTATCCAGATCCAAGTGGTAGAAAGGAAAAATAAGAAGTCCATGGCCAGTCCGGGAGGCATATCCAAATGGCCATACTACGCAGGAGTCCAGAATTCCCGGAAAGGTCTGAAGTCTTGATATGAGTAGGCAAGGGGAATGTGTCAGATCTCTTGGCAAACTGAAAACCCATAGATGCATTTTCAGACCACCAAGAGACAAGCGCTAGCATATTAGTGCCAAGGATTGAGTACTGTCTCGCCGCCATGGGCATGACAGATTTGGATGTGGGCTGAAAGTGAAATGGGCTCAAGGGTTTTACACCAGAAGCTCCGGATAGGAATGAACATGGGCTGCTAACCTGCCAACTTGTTTCTGGAAGACCGGAGATCTGCATCCGGAATACCGTGCGACGTGGACGCGGGAGATTGTTGCGCTCTGGGGGTCCGGGGAAAGCTTCCTTGCGTCGGGGACCGCGGGCAAATTGAACGGTGAGACGCTCGCCTTTGAATTCACTCCCATCTGTGTTATTGATAAGCAAGGTGCCACGCTGGCGAGTAGGTCATTGGATCATACGGAATGCTACAGGACAGAAACCATTAGCCAGCCAGCAGAGACAAGTGGGGATTTGTTTATTATTACCAGGTACAATGTCCCGAGCATCCAGTGCATCCTCATATTCGATAAAACCAAAGCCGTTCATTAGCTTGATCTCGGTAATCTTACCCGAGCCATGGCTGCTGAAGTGCTCCTCAATGTCTCCTTTGGTGACTGCGAGAAGGTGACATGATGGTTAGCGCGACTCAAAACAAATCCGAAGGCGGCCGAGGCGATAGCTGTTCCGTGGTAGCCCCAGCTCTCGGTGGGCCCGGGGGAGGAGCCCAGTCAGAGGAAAAGGGGAGGTCCGAGGGAGAGGAGAGTCTGTATGTCAGATGCCAGGAGGGGGGACAGCTGGCGATCATGCATGGAGGTGCGTTCTTGGGGGGTTGTGTGTAAAGGACAATCAGGTGTGGGTGCCAGCGTACCATTGCGGGGAAGATTCCCAAGATACAGACGGGTGGAAGAAACCTCAGTCATGGCTGATATGAAGAACTGGTCTGTTGATCAAAGGAAAGAGATGGCCAAAGGAAAGTCTCCGGGGTTATGAAAAAGCCCAGAGCGTAGGCGCCTTGGGGGGAGGGGGGAACGGAACGGATGCGAGTGACTGCAGCGCGTAACCGGCCAACAAACAACGAGAGTTAGGCTGTGAGAGGTCAGAGCGATGATACCACTTCAGACCGAGACCCGATGTGAGAATCAGATGAGCAAAGAGAGAGGGAGAGTCGAGAGAAAAGAGAAAAGGGAAACCGTGCTCTGGCGGTGGACTTCGAAACTCTGGCCGCCTCACTTTTTTCCAGCGATCCACGTGGTCCCACCGTAGTTTGTCTTTTGAATCATGTTTAGATATAGATTCTTTACTGCATAGAGGACAGAGGAGAGAGTATAGAGCATAGAATGTAGATTTACAATTAAAGGTATGTGAATCCCTGGACCTCCACCTGCATTCCACGGTTCTGCCCGGGCTCCGGGAAGCTTTTTTTAGGTCCTTTGGCTCGCTATATACTAACTCCAACCTCAAAACTCCTGTTTTATCCGGAAACTCATTCTTAGGTCAACACATACTTGGGGCCCTCTCCTCCTTGAGGTGTCTGCCAGTTGATGTCTTGTGTAGGGACCTTGATATCACAGGTCTTGCAGTGAATGCAGCTAGAGATAGTCAGCATCTAGATCAATCTGGTGTCGGAGAGAAGGACTTACTTTTGCGCGTTGATCTGGAACCGAACACCGTGCTCCTTGCTGGGGTCCTCAATATATTCGTAAACACCGGCAGGGCAGAATCGGTTCTCCACGCCCTTGTATTTGGGCCATGCCAGGTCTTTGTGCTTATCCCAGTCCTCCACCTGCAGATGAACTGGCTGGTCTTCTTCGTGGTTGGTACCGGTCCGGCTCACGCTGGTCAAGATGTCGAAGCTGATTTCTCCATCGGGCTTGGGGTATTCGATCTTCTCGTATTCAGATGCGGGCTTGGTAGCTGCGGCGTCGGTACCGTGGTGGCTGAGAGTCCATGGCACCTTACCCTTGAAGATGTAGGCTTCCAGCCCGGAGTAGAGCAGTCCACCAAAGAATCCAAGCGGGGAGTTGAATGAGGGACGAATGTTGCGCACCTCGGACAATTCCTTCCAGATGGACGAGTCGCGCAGGGCCTTTTCGTAGTCGAACAAGAACACGGTTCCTTGGTTCTCACTTTGCAATGCGCTAAAAGTGGCTTCGGCTGCCAACATACCAGACTTCATGGCAGTGTGAGTACCCTTGATCTTGGGAACATTCAAGAAACCGGCCGTGTCACCGATCAAGGCGCCGCCAGGGAATGCGCACTTGGGGATCGACTGGAAGCCACCCTCGTTCAAGGCTCGGGCACCATATGAAATGCACTTGCCACCCTCGAGAACTTCCTTAAACATGGGGTGGTGCTTCATCTTCTGGAACTCTCCATATGGCGAGAGCCACGGGTTTGGATAGTCAAGTCCAACTACTAGACCGATACTGACCATATTATCACCAAAGTGGTACATCCAAGCTCCACCGTAGGTATCCTTAGGAAGAGGATATCCCATGGAGTGGGTGATCTCACCAGACTTGAACTTCTCGGGCTGAATCTCCCAAATCTCCTTGATTCCAAGTCCATATGTCTGGGGTTGGCTATCACGACGGAGATCATATTTCTTCATGACCTGCTTGGTCAAACTACCGTGGCAGCCCTCAGCAAGCAGCGTGACGCGGGCGTGGAACTCCATTCCGCGCTCAAAAGTGTCCTTAGGCTTGCCATCCCGGCCCATTCCTAGGTCGTTGGTCGCAACACCCTTCACCGCACCATCAGAGCTGTAAACAACCTCGCTAGCAGCAAAACCGGGGTAAACCTCAACACCAACCTCCTCGGCGCGCTCTCCCATCCACTTAGTCAGCTCGTTCAAACTGACGATGTAGTTTCCTTCATTGTGCATCTGCGGCGGCGTAGGCAGAGGGTATGATCCGGTCTTGGTCAAAAAGCGCATCTTATCGCCCTTGGCGGGGGTTGCACCCTCGAATCGCGAAGGGTTGTCCTCTGACAGCCAGTCGGGGAGCAGCTCATTGAGGGCGGTTGGTTGCAAGACGTTTCCGGATACGATATGGGCGCCCAATTCGCCAGCCTTCTCCAGTAAGATAACTCGGAACTCTTCATTACCTGCTTCGTTGGCAAGCTGCTTCAATCGAATGGCAGCAGCGAGACCGGCGGGACCTAGAGAGCATTATGGTTAGCTGACTGCATAGGAAGAGCCAATGCGGGTACTTACCACCGCCGACAATGCATACATCCACGTCATCGGACTCGCGCTCCATGGAGCGAGGGTCAAATTCGCCATCCTCGTCTGTGACTCTTCGTGATAGCGATTGTGAGAAGGCTCGTGTTTGGGGTGGGGTGAGGAATGCCGTTCGGCGAGGGATCCGTACGGCTGTGAAGGGGCTAGCTGAATAGCGGGCTGGGGTGGCAATGGCGGAGACCGAGGAGCTAGCTCGTGAGAATCGAGAGGAGGCTCGTAGTTCGCGCCTCAGCAGAGGCAGGACGGTGCTTTTGGTGGCCATGGTGTACGATTTTTCGAAGCCGTGGGCTGTGACCAGTTCTAGCGACGTAGGAGCATGAGGCAGGTTAGATGCGGAGGGGCAAGATATTAAGATGTCGAGGATCAACCTTGAGTACCCGAGCTAGAGTCGAGGATCTCAAATCGCCGAAAAACCGCCTATCCTCGGCTTTTTTGGCTGAGCCAATAGGGAACTCGGCGATTCCAATCTTGGCTTGTGATGCCTAATGCCTCAGGTGTCTTTCTTGAAACGGAAACTGGATCATGCTTGACTAATATAGATATAGATCTAACGTTAGATGCAGATGAGATAGCAATTAGATTAGAATCTCTACATCTTGCATCGTGAGTCCCATCACATCAGCCATCAAACCCTTGAGGTTAATAATTACACCTACGACATAGTGGACTTATCACATGCATCACATGTTCAATACCATTACTACTGTATTTGACATCTATAACTCCACCAAAGGAACTCCTGTCAAGTTCACCTTGCAGATAATATATGCATATGCTATCAAACAAGCTTAACTTAGTCGAGTGTTGCTCCAGGGGTCTAAGAGCCAAGGTCAAGTACTGTATGCCCAGAGCATTTGGTATTGTAATATTACGGCGGGAGAGGTGGAATGTAACGATGTAGTGTCGGGCATGGTATTCAGCATACCGGAATCTCGAAAATGTTCTAGCATCAATACCTAGATGTGACCTGAGGATAACAAACATTTCAGAAGCCAGAGAAGGATTCCAGAGCAGTTCAAAAAATGACTGATCATTACACGATAGCATACCATGAGATTCGTCAGGTCTTGGCGAACGGATCAGCGCGGACGCCACCGCCCCAGGCAGAATCGAACCGGCCACCTGTCCTTTTGGCTGGGTTGTGTGGGACGCTGGAGGGGAGAGGATGAGTTCGAGAGGAAAGCGATACATCAAGAGCAGTGTATGAGCAGACCATCAGAGTCTTCAAATATAGCACCACCACACCTATATCAACTTGTCATATATCCTGAGTGTGAGGTCAGAGGGAAGGGCCGAAAAACGAGAATTTTTGTTCAGTTGCCCCCCGTTAAAGCGGCAAGAGGAAAGCGCGTCCAGGGAGTGACCGAGGGTAGTCAATGACGCTGATTGGACTGACGTGGAGACAGATGGGGACTATCAGCTGCAGGAGGAGCGCGGACTGGAAGAACAGCGCCTGCAACCATGGGGGCGCGGAGGATAAAGCAAGGGTGTTTCAGCCATTCAGGGGCCCGGGTGGCCAAGTAGCGGAGTGCGTTGGACAAATCAGAGACATCGGTGTAGTTGGGCGATGGTGATTGGTTGATAGTGGACAGTCCCAGAGCCGCTAGCGGACGATTGAGCCAAGGTTGAAGGGAGACTGGTCGCGCTGCTTTTACCGGGCCCAGCCTCCCCTGTGAGTCAGCACTATATAAAGGCCCAACCTCCCCCCCGTTGCTCCCATTCCTGTCTCGGTCTTGGCATCCGGAGCTGTTCTGGAACTACCTCAAAGCAGCATTTTTATATCTGCTCTCCCTTACTAATCAGATCCTCCTCATTCTGATTATTCTCTCTACCCTTTCTTTTTTTTTTAGGGGAAAAAAAGGTTTTTGTCCTCGCGACTTGAACAAAAGGAGCTGAACCTTAGGGATCACTTCACACACTCTCTCTCTCTTTCCAGATCACGCAGATAGACTCAAATCCCATACCAAAAAGCACCGCAACAAAAAAACAAACAGAAAAAAAAAGTTGCTGTTTATACCGTCCTTTTTGTTCTTTGTCATAATTCCGCCGCGTCTTGAGAAAACACTTCAGTGTGCGTTTCTCCTGATTTCGACTTCTGCATCAGTGCAACGGTTTCGCTGTTCTTACTCGTGTCTGACTTTCCAATCTTGGAAAGTATCGAATTGAGTGCGAAGACCTAAGGGGGATACATTGAGTTGTTCATCTCCCAGGTAAGACTCCCCTCACATGACTTGCTTTCACCACATCCTCTCTTCCCCTGTACATCTCTCTCCCCACTGGTGATTGTCGCTCACCGTTGGCTCTTGCAGTTGTTACGTCACCCAACTTCTCCTTTCACGCTCATCACACGTGATTTCCGTGATCAAGAGCTTCCATCATGGATTCTCTCACCACCCACCCGTCGAATGCCCAACAGGCTCGCGCCTTCACCTCTACCGCCTCGCTCTCCTTCCCTGGAGGTGCGGGTGACTTGACCCCACCTGGGTCGGATAAGGTCGAGATGGCTCAGATGAACGGTCAGAATGGAGGAAATGCCGTCCAAGGCAACGGGGTGACTCCCGCCTCTCCTGCGACCCCGGCCGCCACTCCTGGCGCGACTACCGGAAGCAGTGGCATTGTGCCTACCCTGCAGTGAGTATATTCTTGCTTCTTTCTGGGAGACCAGAATGGCTGAACTAGGCTCTACCAAAAGGAACATCGTTGCCACCGTCAACCTTGACTGCCGCTTGGATCTCAAGACCATCGCGTTGCACGCTCGCAACGCCGAGTACAATCCTAAGGTATATCTCTCTCTTCCACACCTTCCCGGTGATTCCATCAGGGTACAGTGTGGCTGAACTGGGTCTCTTTTTCTACTAGCGTTTCGCTGCCGTTATCATGCGTATCCGTGACCCCAAGACCACTGCTCTGATCTTCGCCTCAGGCAAGATGGTCGTCACTGGAGCCAAGTCAGAGGACGACTCGAAGCTCGCCTCTCGCAAATACGCCCGTATCATCCAGAAGCTCGGTTTCAACGCCAAGTTCACGGACTTCAAGATCCAGAACATCGTCGGTTCTTGTGACATCAAGTTCCCCATTCGTCTGGAAGGTCTCGCATCTCGTCACCACAACTTCTCGTCTTACGAGCCTGAGTTGTTCCCTGGTCTTATCTACCGCATGATGAAGCCTAAGATTGTTCTTTTGATCTTCGTCAGTGGTAAGATCGTTCTCACTGGTGCCAAGGTCCGTGAGGAGATCTACCAGGCTTTTGAGTTGATCTACCCTGTGCTTTCTGGTATGTTGTCTTGTGGTCTCGCTGCCACTATGTCACTAATTATCTCTAGATTTCCGCAAGGTCTGAAAAAGCTTCGGAGATCACACTCTTCGCTTTCAACTTTCAACCCTGTATTAACACTGCCTTTTTCCCGTTGAGGATCGCAGGGATTTCATTCCTGTGCCTCGGCTTTTCTTTTGCCTTACGAATCTTTCATGCAAGCATAGTTGGGCGTTCTAGCGATTCGGATGATCCCCGGTTTGTTCCACCATTTCGTGCTTTTACACAATTAGATTGCTGCACGTCGCAGTGAGGCGGTTCGTGCGCCGGTCGATGACTGCTGCCTCTAATTTTTATCGTCCCCTGGTTTTATCTGTGGTGGATTACCTCCCCATGGGCCAAAAAAAAATATGGTGAGCCCTTAGATTCCGTCTTTGCTTTGCCTGTCCAAGGCTGGATATTGATGGAACGGCACTGCCGTCACTACCTTTGAGTAGCAAAAATAAAAAAGTCTGAAAAAACTTTCTTCAATTGTAACAAAATAACGTTAATCATTGAATACATGCCCACCGCATATTCCATCTATACATCTATACTTCTATACATCCGTACTTCTATACAAGTTATGTACATCCAAGACAACCTATCTATACCATCTATAGTGTGCTGCTTCTCAAAGCCTTTTGCGTCTTGGCCAACTCATCCTTCAAGTTCGCCCTTCTCTCCCCAGACCGACTACCATCGCCGTCAAAGTCCTCACCCTCAGCCATCGCTGCAGCAGACCACGTCCACATCTCGCTAAACTCGGCATCAAGTGTCCCTTCAAGCGCATCAACAACCTTGTCGCCGATGACAGGGAAGAACTTGAACGCATGTCCACTACCACCAGTAGCAAGGAACAACCCCTCATGATCAGGGTGGTAGGAAACAATGAAGTCACCTTTGGGCCTATCCGCGAATAACATATCAGCTGCGATTCCACAAAACCTCAATCAAGACCTGCCCGGGAATCCGGCGAAAAGAGATACTCACGTATCAGTATACCAGCAAACCCGCGTATCAACAAACTCCCTCTGCGCAAACCGAGGTAGAAGCTGCCTCAACGCAACCCGGAAAGCCTCCTGTCCCTCAAGCGGAACAGGGACACCCTTCTCAGGCAAAGAAACATCCATCCGTTCCCCAGGACCCTGAGCACCAGGCACCGGGACCGAAACAGGATTCCGGTACCCGAACGCATGGCGCGCAATCTTAAGCAGGTTGCCTCGAGGCGGGATGATAAAGATACCAGTCGCAAAGTTCAAAATCGTAGGCAGATTCTCCAACTCGCGCTGCTCCTCATCAGAAATAGACATATAAGCAATCGCCTGCCCAGTCGCAACGGCCCGACCACGCATATCAACCAACTTAGATGTCCACGCTCCAGTCGCGAGGATGACCAAGTCACCAGAGAGGGTCGTTCCATCGGCAAAGACAACACCTGTAGCCTTGGACTTCTTGCCACCAACCTGCTCGTAAAGGACTCTCTCAACATCCCCAGTCCGGAACTCAACCTTCCCCGTCTTGTCAACCAACTCCTTCGCATACGCAACACTAGCCCCAGCATCGGACCACCCAGATCCCCAATTCACATATCCACCCGCGACATCAAGATCCTCCCCGTACGCAGGAACAACACGCAACACGTCCTTCTGCGTCGGCAAGAATTCAACATTGTCGCCCTCGATAGCCCGCACGTTGGCAAAGCTCTTGCGCGCGTACTCTTTTGCGCCGGCGCTGTCTGCTGGGTAAACTAGCAAGAGGCCGTTTTGTGTGTACCGCCCTTCGGCACCCCAGGCTGTGCTACGCCATTTTTTTATGGCTTTGTCGGCTAGCTTGCTGTAGGCTGCGTTTGCATAGTCGGCCCGCACGATGCGCGAGGTGTCCACTGAGGAGCCGTGGGGGTTTGGGATTATTGGGGAGGATTCGATTAGGGTAATTTTCGAATTTGGGTGGCGCTTTGTTAGAGATAGGGCCGTTGAGACTGTTCTTGCATTGATTTGGTCAATTGGTGGGATCAATTGGGGGTATGCTGGTGACTGCTGTTCGGGTGTGGATGCGGGTGCGGGTGCGGTGTATGGGGTTGAAGTTGGGGATGTGATGTGTTTGTATATGGTATGCAGGCCTGGCGTAGATAATGCATGTAGACTTACGTCCGAAGACCCCTCCTCCTACAATCAGGATATCCGACGGCAATTCCATTGTGTGTAGGAGGAAGATTTGTGGGAAAGTTGGAGAAGGAGAATTCCCCAATTGATAGCCGATAACGGACTGGCTTGTCTCGGTCCCGACTTCCCGACTTTTCGTCGAGTCAACATTGTCCCTTCCCAGCGTTGATAGGCTGTCCTTGGTCTACAGTCCAGCGCATTGAGAGTCAGCTGCTTAGCATCCTTTGAGATCCTGCTAGGTGAAAGGCCTTTCGTGAAAAAGAAAGGGAAACGAAAACCATCGCGCTAGACCGCATACATCACCCTTATCAGGAGAGAGCCCTAGTCGTATGGGCCCATCGCAATGAATGCACACCAATTGCGACGAGTAACCCTAGTCAGGTGGCCTGTTCCACCTCTTCCCTGCAGACGCGCATCGAGCAAAGCACCTCGCGATCAATTGTATGCACACGAGCCCTGCCATCAGAATCCGTACTAATGTACGCCCTAGTCCAATCTCAAGGAAGAACCAGCCTCTTGGCAAGACCAAGAATGCATCCTTGGGTTCCAAAAGGACCGTGAAGGCCCCAAAGCGTGAGGTTCCTCCCAAGACACAAACCCAGTCTTCAGGTGAACCCTCCAGTTCCGAATCCAAGGAGAAAAAGAGCAAACATGGAATCCCTCCAACAGCCCTCGCCTTCATGGGTGTTACTGCCTTGGCAATCAGTACATACTGCAGCTTTCTATACGCCTCATACAAACGCGAAGTGAACAAAAGTCAAGCCTTGGTTGTATCCAACGACGTCTCAGACAGATACAACAAAACAGCCAGCACATTCGACGCAGACGTCGAGATCTCGGAGAAGTTCATGCAGCTAGGCAGCAAGCGCAAAGACCTAATCCGACACGCTCGCGGTAACGTCCTAGAAGTAAGTTGTGGCACAGGTCGCAATCTACCCTTCTACCTCCTCGGCGAGCGAAGAGGCGTCAACGAACTCCACCACCATCTCGAAGTCAACGGTTGCCGCACGATCACATTTACAGATCTTAGCGCGCAAATGGTCGCAATCACGAAGCAAAAGTTTGAGTCTATGTATCCGGACTACGATCGTGTATCTTTTCAATCCGTCGACGCAGGCTCTGTCGCGCCTCCGCCTGCTGGACCGGGTGATCCGCCACGCTACTTTGACACCATTGTTCAGACGATGGGTCTCTGCTCGATGCCGGATCCTGTTGCGACGTTGCGTCATCTTGGGTCCATTGTTGAGCCCGGCAAGGGCCAAATTTTGCTTCTTGAGCATGGTCGTTCGAAGTGGGATTGGGTTAATGGTATTCTGGACAATCTTGCGCCTGCTCATGCGGATCGGCATGGGTGTTGGTGGAATCGTGATATTGGGGCTATTGTCAGGGAGAGTGGTTTGGTCATCGTTGAGGAGACGCGTTGGCACTTTGGGACTACGTATCGTTATATTTTGAGGCCCAAGGGAAATTCTGAGTAAGGATTTCTGTTGCTGGTTGGGTTTGGGGGTAGCAGGTGCTTACTGTGTTTATATTGTAAGATAATATATACATTCGGATTATGATAGCCATGTTGGCCGGATCTACTCAGGAGTGGGCATCGCGACGAAGTCTTACAGAAGTATATATATCTTCGTAATAAGGAGGTCTCTTTTCGGTATCTTCGATCACTTCGCCTCATCTTTTTTCAATAGTGTGAAATTAATTCAACATGTATGTTATATATTTGGAGGTAGGGTGTGAAGGCTTAAGATTCGATTACTATAGATTCCAAAGTATTCTTCTAGCCTGTGAGCTACGACACCTAATACCGATATCTAAAGCCGGGGGTCTTCCAATCCGTAATATCCTCATAATCATCGGACACAGCTTGAACCCTCGTCACCATTTCCGCAACATTCTTCGAATCTTGATCCCCATCCAACACCTTTCCACCAACGGCACCCGCATTCCCAGCACTTCCCTCAAATCCCTCCAAACGTGTCCGACGAGTATTAATCCACTGCAAATAAAAGCGCAGAGCCAGTGCAAGACCTACAGCCAGAGCATAACAAATCATAATCGCGCGGAAAGCAGTATTATAACTCGGCGCCTCTTCTGTAAGGAAGAACTGCGGGCCAGAGATATTCCCAGCACAGTATGCAAGGAATAACATAGCAGTGACAGTCATTTTCTTCGTGACACCACGATAATTAGCCTGCACAAGCGACATTACCAACGGCATAGCGGCAGGACCCGTCGACAACAGGAAATATCCAAATAACTGAACGCCTAGAACAATATGAGCGCGCGAATAGATAATCGCACTACCAACAACACAGGGAATAACAACCGCAACCACCAGGATGCAATTGAGCTGACGGAATCGGCCCGCTAGCCAACCCGTCCCCGTAATAGTGGCAATAGTGACAATCGAATAGGGAATATTGATCAGCGTAGACTGCAAACTCGTAAAGCCAAACGACTTAATGACCAGATTGGAGAAATTCTGCGTTCCCCCGTTGGGGATTTGAGTCACCAAAGCCAAGCCGAAGACTAGCCATGTTTTCGGGTCCAGTAGGCATTCTACGAATTGATCCCATTGCCAGTCTGTTTTCTCTGTGGCGCCTGTACCTGCCACTACGGCTCGGGTACTTGCGCATTGGCGTTCTTCTTCCGTGAGAAATTTGGCTTTGGAGATCGAGTCAGGGAGGAAGGCCCACAAGGCAAAGCCCCAGAGGAAGGTTAACAGGCCCAGCACGATGAACATCCATCGCCAGGGCCCAACGGAGTCATTGACGTGTCCGAGGCCATAGGCGAGGAGGCTGGAGAGGATTCCGCCGACGCTCTGGGGGCAATTGTTAGTAGGGAATTAATTCTAAAGGCTCGGTGGTTGATAGGGTTGAGGTGGACTCACGTTGCCTGCGAACCACAGTCCTGTTCGGGTTGGGATCTCATCGCGTGTATACCATGTCGAGGTGATGAACATGAATGCAGGGGTAATTGTTGCCTCGGCGACTCCCAGCAGGAAGCGGACTGTGATTAAACCGCCAAAGTTGGTGCATGCTGCTGTGAGGGATACTACTGCGCCCCAGAATAGCGTGTTGGCTGTCATGTATTTTGCTGCTGGTAGACGGGCTATCAGGAGGGTTGTTGGGTATACCCATCCTAGGTAGCCAAAGTAGAATATTGATGAAACCCAGCTGTACTGCTGGCCCACTAGTCCCTGAGTATTATGTTAGTTTGGGTTGTGTTGTTGGGTGGTTAACCTTACTGTATCATCACGCATCCCGAATACAGCTGCGCTGGACAAAATAACTTTGTCCATAAAATTGAGCATGTAAGTGGTGAATAAGAGCGGGATTAACCGTCTGTCGATTTTGCGTAGCACTCTTTTCGCCATGGCGTTTGTGGCTTGCTCTCCATCGGGAGTGCTTGGCTCTGCCATATTGCCCGGCTGGTATATACGAATTTCTGATAGATCAAGGAGAAAAAATACTCTTGTTCAATCCTGTCCTTTTTGTAGCACATAGTCCCTCCGATTTCTTATCTTGTTTTCCCCACACGGCTATTGTTTCCATTGGCCACCCCTCTATGTTATCGTTAGTATATAATCTTTGCGCCGCAATCCATTGGATGAAACTGGAACTAAGGTGCCAGCCAAGTCCCCTAGTCAAGCCAACACGAGCACTATCCCACTTGGACAAGAAATTGGAGTCACTTGTCTTAGATAAACCCTGACTGTTCTTGGAGAAGCATCCCTTTTAGTCACATCAGATCTCCGACCTCGGCTGCCCGCATAGTACTACCCAATGCGACACATTTTATACCTAGAATATACCATATACCTAGATCCATCAACTTCCACTCGAACTTCAAGTTTCAAAACAACGACTGCAACCAACATATCCATATCCACCAGAATGAACAACCTGGAAATAAGCCCCTTCATCAAAGCTCTGCCAAAAGTCGAGCTACACATCCACATAGAAGGAACCCTAACACCAACCCTCCGCTGGACCCTGGCAGCCCGCAACAAGATCCCCCTCCCCTACAAAACCCTCTCAGAGCTCCAAGCCTCCTACGCCGTAACCCTCAACCATCGCCCAGAGCTTAACGGCCGCCAACCAGGCATCCCAACCTTCCTAGAGGCCTACTTTGCAGGCTGCGAAGTCCTGCGCACAGAAGATGACTTTTACGATCTAGCCATGGCCTATCTAGCCCGGTGCGCGGAAATGAACGTTCGGTATACAGAACCGTTCTTCGACGTACAAGCACATACCCGACGGGGGTTCCAGCAGCTGCGGTTCTGAATGGGTACCTACGTGCGCAGCGGGACGCGATTGCGATGCACGGGGTGCGCTCACAGTGGATATTGTGTTTCCTGCGCGATGAGTCTGTTCAGGATGGTCTTGCGGCTTACCATGAGGCGCGGCCGTGGGCGGGGGGTTCTGTTGAGGGCGGGAAGGGGTTGTTCCATGCTGTTGGGTTAGCGAGTAACGCGTACGAGCGACCGCCGATGCTTTTCGAGGAGGGGTTTGCGCTGGCGCGCGGGGATGGGTTGCATGTTACTATGCATTGTGATTTTGGGCAGAAGGATACGCTGGAGCATGTGCGGCAGGCTATCTTTGAGGTTTGTGGGGGGTTGGGTGCGGAACGGATTGATCATGGGCTGGATGCTTGGAGGGAGGAGGGGCTGTGGAGGGGATTGCTTGACCGGGGGATTGGGTTGACTCTTTGTCCGCATGCTTATCATCGTCGGACGGCGACGGAGGCTTTGTTTCCTATGATTAGGGGGTTGGTGGAGGCTGGGGTGAAGGTTTGCATTAATAGCGATGACCCAACTTTGATGCATGATGTTTGGATTGATGGGAACTTGCAGAAGGTTTATAGTTATTGTGGGTTTGGGAAGAAGGAGATGGTGCAGCTGGTTCGGAATGCGGTTGATATGTGTTGGGCTGGGGATGATGTGAAGAAGTCGATTGAGCTGGAGTTGGATGGTGTTGATGTTTCCGAGTGACTCTTGTTTGAGGCCTGATCTAGAACTTGTGTGATCTCTTGTGATATCCCAGCATTCCATCTGGATACGTTGTATTTGGAATTGAAGATCAACGCCACATTCATTTGACTAGTTCAGTGTGATTAATGTACTCTGTATGTGACGCACCAGTCAGGCATCCATGGCTCAATAAACTCTCCCTGTTGTGATTGTGGCGGGTCAAGATTTACTACTGTATTATTTTTGGGTTAATATCGACGAGGAGACAATATGTATCACGGAATATCGAGCCCAGTAGGACCGAGATGGCCTAAGCCAGTTTGTCCAGTCAGTACACGCAATCAATATATATGATGCTATCATGGTGCTATCATATCTATCTGAAGCGTAAACATCCAAACCCCGCAAGCACCTCATAGGGAACCAAGCTCCAGGATCGCTATATCAAAAACTTGGCAGGACTCCGCTTCCCCTCATTTCAGCCGATATTGTTCTAGAATTCCAACGAGACGGGTCATAGAGCCAAACTCTACCCTATCGGACCATGTTTACCCACACAGGAAGGTCTCAAGTTCGAGTACGGAGCCTTGCGCTATTGCGATGCTAAGATCGGCTTCAAGAGCGCTTGGTGTGACACCCATCCAATCCACATCGATGATCTACAATGCAAGTGGCAGGACCTTACAGGGGGAAATTTATTCCGTGTCTGATATGCAGTGAGTTGAATCAAGGTTACGGATAACGTCCCAAGCGAGGCCATGCAAGGTTTGGAAATTGATTATGGTATGATCGAGATGCGTGCCCCATCTTATTGGTAGATCTAAATCCGGCTGAGTTAGGCCGCCCGTTATTTGAGTAATTTGAGGAGACTGTACTATCCTTGGGGGAGGGGGGCGAAAGGCTGGTGTTTGGATTTAGCAATGATTCGCTAGCCTCCCCAGGCTATGAAGCATGAGGTTGTTACTATGTTGCCAAAAATGTACCGATTCATCTTTAAAGGACATCTTGTGTTGCATTTGTGGAGATGCGGAGAATTCCCGCGCATCTGCATCCTGTAGGTACAATACAAGGTCTCATCTACAGATATGCAGAACTACTCCGTAGAGATGTGGCAAAATTAATTGGGTGCCGCCATCTGATCATCTTGATCCTTTCGGCCGTAAATGTAACAATGGGCGGGTAATTCCCAGGGTTGAGTCCGGGGGGGTTAGAGTGGTAGATGTCATGAAAACGGAGATCAGGAAGATACAGTAGGGAGGAATGCGGACAGGGATATCAAAGAATGGCGGCACTGCAATGCGATCCCTGGATGCCAAGCTTAGGTATGATGTAGAATTACGGAGTAGCCTAAAGGCTCATCATCATATCATAAGTTACAGGCAAGGACAAGGTTCCGGGAGATATGTCATACCCACGTAGGAGCGCCGAAGTACTAAACTCCCAGTAGGATCTGGATTTCCATGGCATCACCACTTTTCGGGGGTAAATACATCCAACCCTATGAAAACCCTATTGGAACGCTCTCCAAACCCTATTGAGCAGACCAAGTGTACGTAACGAATAGAGAGGGGCAACAGCTGTCTCAGCTCTTGACATCGGTGGCGATACTTCTGTTCCTTTTCTCCCCGAGACGCTAATGTGGCCATCCCTTACTAGCGCAATACACTCGATTACGCTGGCTCTGATTGATCGCTGGGCCGTGCTCCACTCTTTCTTCTTTTTTTTTCTCTTTTCTTTCCTTTTGGTAAACGGCGACGCTAGGAGTCGTTTGGGTCCTCGGTGTTCCCCGGCATCTCTGCCTTTCTTGTTTGCATGAACTTCACACCCTCTAGAGGGATTTCTAGGCCAATCACCCAAACGGGTCCTAATATTAGTCGTCGGGCTGAGATAGAGTGCATCAGATCTATCCAGCGGTCAAGGTATGCAAGCGGTCACCTAGCAACCACTTGACAGATCGAATGCACAATCTACTATACACATATGCACCTAGCCCCATCCAATGTGCCGACACCCACATCCTCTACCAATCAGGGTATCTGGGAGTCTTATTATTATCCAGATGGTGAGATGTGATTAGCCGAGTTCGATGCATGGGAAAATGGATGGAGACACCGCTGGAGTCGGCGCACAGGAGATGGACCAGACCGGGTTATAGAGCACATGGCCCGATCCACCTACCTGTTGCCCGGTATGCACTAGGACTGAGGATGGAATGGAAGAACTATGAGATTTTCATGCTAAGGTCCATTGCGGACTAGTGGAATGGGTGGTCCACTCTGCTGATTCCGATGAAGTTTGAGGATAACCCAAAGTTTGGATATAGCGGTGAGAAGTGTCAACGTGCACAAAAAAGAGGACTGGTATTGAGACTAAGTTACTATAGAGAGATAAACAACTACACAGCAGATCCAAGTCATAGTATAGCGTGGGTTCGACGTGTCGTTCCTTCCCAAAATAAGAGCCCGAGACTCCACCAGCCCACTGAAAATTACCGTGACAATACCAAACCATTTATTTTTCTTTCCACTTTTTTCCCAATTTTCCATTCCTCAAGAGTTGACCTTCGCCTTCACAGCTTCTTGTCGCATGGTGATCTGCCTCTGTACTCTCCCCCCCCCTTTCTCCCTATATCATTACTTCTTATTTTTTTGTTTATTATATCCCTTTTTTTCATTATAACTCTTATTCTCTACACTTTGGTGTTGAACACTCCCCTTCCTTTGGATCACTGGTTCTCTCCTTTTACCACCACTCCCTCACAATGCCATACAACACACGTCGCAAGTCACTATCCCTGCCATCTCTAGGCATCCAGTTGCCAAATTCCTCTCGTCGCTCTCCCTCCATCTCTAAATCACACGATGAGCCTTTGTCAAAAAAGGCGAAGAGAGCACACGGTTCAACCTCATTATCACCCGAGCCATCCGACAAGTTCCTGATCGCGCGCGCCGGGAGACATGGAGCATTTGAGCACACACCACCCCCCTCGCCTTTGGATAGAACAGTGGCACCCAAGATCGACACAGAAGGAATCAGTGATGATATTGTGGTCGTTGTAATTGATCAGTTGGAAAAGACAGGGAATCGCCCACATCTCGTGAAGGAGCTTGCGGCCGTTCTCGTTGCGCTCAACGCAAATGTTGCCAAGTATGTATCCTCGACACCCGTGGAGTGAATGACACTTGCTAACCCGTGTTACTCTAGTTCTGCTAATCCCGCCGCCCTCCTGTCGTCGCGTCTGGCTGCCTATATGAAGCGTCCTTGGACTGCTCTCGCGCCTTGCCCCATCGCCAAGGAACTTATCCTAATTCACCCCCGCAAAGTGTACTACTACCTTACTACGTTCCCTCACCAGCCTATTCCCGAGACTGATGATCTGGTTTCTGCCGTAGATGGCAAGCAAATTACACCAAGTGTGTCAAGTCTCGAGGATGAGGAAGACGCCATGGTGCGGCAACGTAGTCCCAGTCCCGAAGTGGACTTGTCATCTCCCGACTTTGGAGAGGATGAGGATCTGAACAGCCCTGCTAGCCATGCCGGCTCTTCTGATCATTTCCCTGATGCTAGTAACCTGACGCGTCTCATGCACTCAAATCGCGCGGCTTCACCGCCCCTGGAGGGCGATGAGAAGGAATTCACCCAGACCGCCAGTGCTGTACGTGAACGCGCTTCCGAAGAGAAAGCCAGCGAGTCAAGTCGTAGCCAGTCCATTCTCTCCGAGAGCCTGAGCGCCATGGGAGACCGTGAGCGGAGCATCGAGTCCCCGGTAAACGGTGGCTCTATGTCTCCATCCCTTCACGGCGACGGGATGTCTGAAGAAGAGTATAGTGACTACTTCTCGCACATGCCCGCCGACCATATGTCCCATGACTTGGACGAAGCTGCCGCCACCGCCCTGTTCGGAACCTCGCCCTCACCCTCTCTTGCATCGGTTGCATCGTCGGTCTCGTCTGGCACGAGCATGATGGATGCCCATGTTGATGGAAAGGACTTGGCTGCTCTTCAGATTGCTCTACCCGAGGATTCCGAGGCCAACTCCGTCTCCACCCTCAAGCGCTCACTTGACATGCTGAACGCCGGTCTTCCCGATGTTGACCTCAAGATGTCTGATCTGACCGAGTCACACGAGAGACTTACTCTCACTCCTCGGCCTATTTCTTCCAGGTCATCCGAGTTTGTCTTCGACTCCTGGAGAGAGTTGCAAAATCCCGAAATGGTGGAAGTTGATGAGCTAGATGAGATGTTTGGCGAAATCTAAACCATCGTGCCTCAATTATTCTTCTCACTTCGCCTTTCTTACACCTCTACTATTGGCTGGACTGAGACCTGCCACATTACCCCAACCTTTATTCACTTTTGCCTGTACATGTCTGTTTGGCTCGTGTGCCCTCTACCTTTTCGCTAATTCCTATTTCCACTGTACATATACGTCTTGTCGTTTTGGGTTTGTTTTTTTGTTTGTTTCGCCCTGGATGGGTAGAATGGGAGTTCTGGGAATCTTGAAAGGGACTGGCTTCACCAAAAAGTGTCAAAATCGCACCGTCTTACATACCTCAGTCCAAATTTACTAGTATATGCCCTTGAACATCTCCAATCTCCAATTTTGGTTCCGACCTGACTCAGCCGCTCTAGCCCCAATCCAGTAATAAGCGGGGAGGTTATCCTGGACCTTCATCCCGCCAGTAAGAGCCCATGGACTTCATTCGCCCTTTGCAATCTTTTTAATCCTGTTCAAGCACAAAGGAATAGCTTACTGCCATCTTAATGGATCTTTATATCAAAACTTAGCGCCAGTATTCCTTACCGGCCTTGCATAGGCAAATACACGTCTATCATTGGCCGCAACTCCAAGCCGAAGCGCATACCATCGCATCGGTATCGCAATCTCGATAACACTCGTTAACCTCGCCATCCACTACACCCTCTTAGCCCCAAAGGTGCCGCAGAAATGACGATCAAAGAAGCACCCGAGCCACAGTCCTGCGAGGGCATCCCCGTGGAAAGCGAAGCCTCCGCTCAACAGACTGAAGCCAACAGCACCCTCGCCACCTCCATCCCACCCTCCCTCACAAATACCAACTCAACCTTTGGCCCCCAAAGATCGCACACAACACCAGTCTTGCAGCCTGCCAAACTTTCTACGCAGACGAAAGTTGCGATTCCACGCCAGCGGGCGGGAATTGCCCCACGATATAATCGGCGGGTCCCACGGGCTTGCGAATCCTGTCGACAGCGAAAGACGAAATGCAGTGGGGATACTCCCGTCTGCCGGCAATGTAGGGAGTTAAGGGCTACTTGTAATTATCCCCAGGGTTGGAGGGAACGGACAAAAAAGTAAGGACATTGTGTTGATATCTGTTTCCTCTGTGATACATTGATGTGCGGCTTTGCTGACGGTTGATATTACAACAGGCAAGTGGAAAAACTCTCAGAAAAAGCGCAAGAATACGAATCCATGCTCAAGGAACTGGGTTTGGTTGTTGAGACCCGTGCCGCGGAACGGATCAGGAGCTTGCTGGACAAGGTTGGTTTTTTCCCTTGCCTTCACTTGATGTATAGATTCTGATATCTCGATTACAGCATGGTCAGGAGGGAGAGTCGTCTTCCCATAATTCACAGTCACAATCAGCAACACCTCAGGATGATGCGCCCCCAGATAATGATGAACCCTCTTCGCCTTCATCCATTGGATCCCTCGAAGCCATTGATCGCGTAGAAGAGGACCACAATCGTTCCGAAAGTACTAGAGCGACTGGATATATGGGCAAGAACTCCGAAATTACCTGGATGCAACGTCTACAACGAGAAGCAGACCAACGCGCCCAAGGTCTCCCGGGAAGTTTAGAGCCTGGCGTGAATCGAAAAGCAGACGACCAATTAGCCCTCCACGCGGTCAATTATCATCTCGACGATATGGATATCTCTGTCCCCGGACCAGTTCAACTATACGCCATGCCCTCTCGTGAAATAGCAGATCATCTGTTTGATTGCTACTTGACGACTGTACACCCATTCTACCCCATTATCAACAGACCACTCTTCCAAGCGCAATACAAGACGTTTTTCGAAAGTACGGCCCGGCCCGGTGACAAGTGGCTCGCAATTTTGAACATGATATTCGCCATTGGAGCTAAGCACTCTCAACTTATTGATGCACCCTGGCGTGCAGGGGAAGATGATAAGGATCACCTAATGTATCTGACCCGAGCTAGGATTCTCAGTATGAATGGGGACGTTTTGTTCAGTCATCCTGATCTTCAGCAAGTGCAAGTGGAGGGCTTAATTGCCTTTTATCTTCTTGCATCTGATCAAATAAACCGGTGAGTTCATTTTCTTTGGTTCCTGTAGCAAGCACTAACGTTTTCACATAGTGCATGGAGAATTTCAGCTTTGGCGGTTCGGTCTGCTATCACGCTCGGAATCAACATGAAGAGCTCCAGTCCAACTACACCAGACCTTTCGAAAGAAGCTCGCTACCGAGTCTGGTGGTGTTTGTATACATTTGAGCACATGCTTGGTATTATGACAGGCCGGTCAACTTGCATTCAAGATGGAGTGTGTACTTCACCTTTCCCAATTCCGTTTGAGGAGGATCAATTGCACGAGCCGGCTGCCGTGGAAGTACTCACCAATACGACTTTACGAGACGAACGTATCAACAATGTCGTCGCGAGTGTTTGGGTCAGACAGATGCCACTCAATCCCGCGAATGGCAAGGAGGCCGTTCATCATTCTCGAGTACGAGATACCACATGGCTTAAGAATTTGCCTCTTGGCTACGGACTTTGTTATCTGTACTACTGTGACTTGGCAGTTGTTGTGCAGGAAATTGTCAACAAAGTCTATTCAGTAGATTGTGTGATGGTTCCATGGGCACATATTGAGAACCGCATCGGTGAACTTAGATGCAGAACTGAGCAGTGGCAAGCTAGCCTTCCAAGCGGGCTTGATTTCACTCGCAAGGGAGACGATAGTGCCGACGTGCTCCGATGCAAACTGACATTGGCGCTTCACTACTACAGCGGACGGATCACACTCGGCCGTCCGTGTCTGTGTCGACGTGATGCAAGCCAGAAAGACAAGGCAGGTAAATCGACCTTCAGCCATGAAATGGCTGTGATTACCCTTGAATCTGCATGCCACATGCTCGACCTCATCCCCGATGAACCAGATGCTCTGCAGCTGTACCAGATTTGCCCATGGTGGTGCATTCTCCACTATCTCATGCAAGCTACCACTGTCCTCCTTCTCGAGCTGTCATTTGGTGTCGTCCACATGCCAGACGACGAACAAAAGTTCGTCGCCCTGTCCAAAAAGCCACGCGCTGGCTTTTCGCCATGTCAAAACACAGCGTCGCTTCTGGACGCGCCTGGCAGCTCTGTGACCTCAGTCTCCGCAAACTATCCCAGGGCATGAAATACGATGTCAGCGACATGCCTTCATACCCATATGCCTCTGAAGGCATAGCCACCGCCGGCACCGGGCCCCAGGTAACCGGTCTCTCGGGTCCCAATTCCGTTCAAGATTATTGGGGTCCTCAGCTGGAAAATCTCTCCAACCCTGTCCAACATGGAACTGAAACTCCCGGGCAGGATAATTATTACCCAAACATGTCCTCCGGGGAACTGCTGTCCTCTCTGGCTGCCGAGACCCAGGACACATATTTCCCTTATGATCCTATCACTGGCGAATTCATGCGCTCTTTCTTCCCACATGCTAGCGAGAATAATTGGGAACTGAATTAATTTTTTGACATGATATCTATGGGTAGCACATGATATCTCAAAAGAATCACACGATCACGATCACGAAAACGAAAACGATCAAAAACACGCACCCATTCTTTGCATACCTTTTTAATTCCCTTGCTTCGCATTCTGCTTATTTTTTTGCATCCGCATATTGTTTCATCGCCCATCGCCGCTTCTTGTTTTGCTTTTTCCACTATCTCTTTCGTTCGCATTATATCTTCTACTTATCCTGCAAACCACATTGTCTTTGCTCTTGTTACACGATCATTTGATTTGGGAATAAAAGGGAAGGACTCAGGTTGGCGTTTCAGTGACAGGGGTTGAAATTGACATGTTAGGCTTTCAGAAGCCTTTCGTTATATGTCTGGGCATCCAGAGCAGGACTCGATGGCTCTCTTTGGGCTAGGTTGTTTGGGTTTATTAGGGCTACGGTTGGGATGGGGGTTCATTTGAATATGCCTGGTTTTTGTTTAATCTTTTCAATGATCTGGTTTCATTATCAATGCTTCGAACTGAATCAGACTGGCATTCTGAAATCACTGAATTATTCTCTTGATCTCATATTTACAATCTTTGATCGTTTCATCTATGTATGCCCCAAATACCGAAACTATGGTATCTGGACCAATGTTAACTTGAAAAAGTCTCTATTTGATCAAGGAAGATTTTTTTTTTAAAAAAAGATATATACATTTGAAGATTATTAAACCTCAGATAAAAATACAGTATTTCCAGAACCCGTAGGCCAGGTAATCAATCAAGGTTCATGAGACTTTCGAGCCTCTTTTGACTCAGGGACATCATTAGCCAAATGCAAAGGCCAAGACGATTGCATCCAGGGATCCTCAAAGTTCTTCTTGACTCTGCTCCGGACATTATTGCCCGTAGCTGAAGCCATAAGACGACGTTTCTGCATGCGGCGCAGGTGGCCCGGGATCTCGATATCGAGTTGGTCTTCTGGGAGACCGTAGAGGAGGAAGGATCTTAGACAGTGATCAAGGACGGATTCAAGTTCTGAGGATGGGGGTTTCCCGTGGGGGTTTTGACTTTCGGTTTGGATGTGGCTTGGTTTGTAGGGGGGTGGGGTTGGTTTGTAGGTCATTGAACGGTCGAAGATTTGGGTTATGTTGTCTTCGACTGGATCCTCGTATTGGGAGGTGTTGGGTGGGGGGATAGTTGGGTGTTTTTGTTGTGTGCCTCGGTGGGAATGTGAATGTGATTCTTCTGCGTATTCTCTGACGGCTGCTCGTGCCAGGATCCGGACGGTTGTCATGTCTGCGACTGTGGCGTGGGTTTTGATCTGACGTTGCCAGGCTGGGTCAAAGTTCGGATCACCGTGCTTTTGGTTTCGCTCGTGGCTATAGAGTAGTCGGGAGACACCGCCTGGACGTTGAAGACGTCTTTTCGGTGAGACCCAGTCGACACACCACTGGTCCCAGAACTTCTTTCCGAAGACGGCACCGTGTCTGTCCACGATGGCAGCGAAGAGAACGTGGAAGGATGACGGGGGGATCATCTCAATTTTCATGGCGGTAATGATGCTTGGGTGCTTTTTCACGTCCTTGAGAATGCGCGGCAAGATTCCCGGGATGGTTGACAAGACACAGTGCATGCGATAGAGCACCCGATCCTGGTAGCCTACCGAATGGAGAGATCTGCCTTGCACTTCACGTTTGTTGACCTTAAATTCGCCGCTGAAAATGCGAAGGAAGAGGTCTGTGGCGCGGTCCAAGTGTTTTGTGTCTGCCGGTGTAAAAGTGCCATCCTGCCTCTTTTGCTCGACGACTCCATCAAGTCGAATGATCTCCGCTGAGAGCGCAATTATATTGCTGTAAGCCCAAGACTTCAAATGATAATCGGTCATGAATGTAAGCATTAGTATTACACGGTCCCAATTATGACGTGAGATGTGGAAGTTGATTAAAGCTTTGACGGTGTTGACAGAGAGTGGTGTCTTGAGGGCTTGGATAACGTCAGTAGCAAGCTCGGCATTATTCGAGGCAGCTGCGAATCGTAGAAGAGAGGGGGCCACAGCTTGGTCTTGATATAGACCGCGTGGAATGGAAGGTCCATCAATCTCAGTGGGCTGAATCAATTGATTGCCAAATTCAAAGGCGCCCGTTGTTGTAACCAGATCCAGAATGTTGGCCAGGGTGACCTTTGATATTTGCGGGACGGGCGTTTCATAAAAAGTTTGAGGAACTGTGCTTGCAGAATCAAAGAATGGGTATTCATCGTTGCTGTTGGATTGGCCAAGTTCTTCAAAGAAAGCTTCGATGTGGCGTGTCTTGCTTGCGTCAATGATGTTTTGAAGCCAAGCATATTCGTGAAATAGGCGACCGCTTTGTCGGTCTCGAGCATAACAATTAAGATTGAATTCGATCAGGCCAACCATAGCAGCCGTTTCATCATAGAATTGTGACGGTGTTTTCTCTTCTGCTCGTTGTGCTTCGTCTGACGCATCATTTGCCCACGGTGGAACCACATTGTTATTGGACCGTAGGAGTTCTTCAAAAGCAACAGGGTCGGTCCACGGGTAGAAACATCCTGCTTCCATAATCCGTATAATGCGCCAATTGCTGACCATGTTGGTTGGTCTAAGGTCATCGATCGCGCTAGGAGGCTCGATTAGTGATGTCAGAGGAGCTGATAGTTTGTCGAGCTCCTTGGGCAGATATCCATTCTCTCCAAGCCCTTGATAAGCCCGGTTTGCCAAGCCATTCCGCAACGAAACAAGCACCTCAGTGCTAATGGTACGTTTCCCAAGTCCATTGAATGGTGGCTTTTGACGACTTTTATAGATTTGAGGCGCGCTATCCTGATCAGGTCGACGCCAGGACTGCTCGACGCTGATATTGGTCTGTTGAACTGCATCGAGGTTCTTCAATAAGGGTACCCAGCTCTCGGCCTTCCATGCTTGGTCCCCCGATTTCTTAACCATTCGATTCACAAGTAAAGCTCCCTCTTTAGAATGTCCGTGCTCCACACAGCACCAAAGAATGAGCTCTAGCCAAATCTCAGGTCCCAACTCTCGAATGCTCATCTTGAAAGGCAAAAACGGCGATTTCTCCCCGGTATCTGCAGCCGCTGCAGCAACTTGAGCTTCGTGTTCATGCCATGCTGCGTCAGTCAGAACACTCATGATAGAACTTGACAAGTAGTGGAGGCCGGGTGGACGAAACGCAACCTGGCTAGCATCTGGTGTTGGATATTTGTATACTCTGTCAGAGATCAAACCTGCATGGTGTAGGCGTGCAAGAATCCGGTAAACGCAGGACATTGCAAGCTTGGATTCTTCAGGCGTGCTATCTGCAGCCGCTAACACCAAAGAACCGAGGTTGGTGAGTACTTCAGCTAGGATCTTTTCGCCGAAGAGGGTCGCCTTTGGTTCCACTGTCATTTCATCAAGTGACAGGTTGCCCGCTGGAAGAGATTTGACCCGACACCATTTGAACCGGGATCGTTCGCGTGTTCCTTGGGAGAGTTTGCTGAGAGTGGCGTTTTGATCAACGGGAATTTCCAAGGTGGTAGGGTCATCTCGGTCGACCCGGTCCCAATCGCGGATTCCAGGAAGTGGTTTTGCCCAATCGAAAAAAGGAGCGGGATGCCGAGGTACCATATGAGGAGCCATCAATTCGTATGTATCGATCATGCGGTTCAAGATGGCGTGAACAGTAGACCACTGTTTCATGTTGGACCCAAGGTGCACAAGAAGTTCATATTGGTAATGAGCTCTTGCATCCCATAAAGCTCCCATGAGCGCATGTGTTTGCTCAATGTAGGGTTCATGGTCACTGATAGGCGGAAGCTTCCCAGACTGACCAGCAGGCTTGGGAACTTGTGTCGAAACATATTGCTCAAGCAGCGGAATCCAGTTTTCGATGTGTCTCTTTTCGCCTTTCTTCAATGATGGGTGTGCAATATCGTCATAAGTTCGCATGAAATCGATCTCTTCGGGGTGATTGATCTCTTTGTTCTGCTTGCTCCGCTCCTGGATGTATCTGCTCCATGACGGCCGAGAAAAAGGAGCGATGGACCGGCGGGGGATGTACGAAAGGCGTAGGATAGCTGACCGACGACCAAATGGCAGGATGCGGCCGGGTTGCAAGCACCTGCTCATGATACCGCAACGAGCCTCGAAGGCGCCGGTATAGGTTTCACGATCTCGATGGGTACGAGTTTGGTGTGATACATGTCGATTTGGTCACAGGTGGGACATGTCTTTGTCTTCATAAAGACATGCCAATATTAACAAAGAGCAAAAACCTGTATAGCCAGGGTGCGATTGGGATTGTAGAAGAACAGAGCAAATCGTGTTGTCGCGCTCAAGAATTTCCGCGATCTGAAATGGCTGAGTCAGCTCCGAGATCTGAACCAATCAGAGATTCCAGATTTCGGAGAAGAACTATGAGAGAACAAACATTACATTCAAGTTATGCTTACTTCAGTATTGCAGATCATCTCCTCAGATATACCATAAATTGAATAGTAAGTATGTTCTATAGTTATAGGTTACACTCTACGTGCTCATTCAACGATTCATAGGTATACAAGAACGGACGATTCGGGGGTTAACCACATTCTTTTCTCTCTAACTGATCCAGCAGCCACAGAAAAACACAGAAATGATCTATCTCACAAGCTACAGCGAAGAAACTGCAAAGCGCAGAATCTAGAGCCACATAGGACGAACCTGGCGAGCGTGGAGGCGCTGGAAGCCACCTTGCTCACCAGACTCCTCTCCCTGGCCAGCCACAGCCGAAGGAGCCGGGGCACCAGACGGGAGGGCACTGGGGGAGCCAGTGGGACGAGCACCCTCCGGGAAACCGGAAGGCACGCCGCTGGGGACACCACTGGGGACACCGGTGTGGTGTCCTTTGTGGCCGCGGTGGTGTTCGGAGGGGAAGCCAGAGGGCAAGCCGCCCTGATCACTGAAGCCACCTTGGCCACCGAACCCGCCGGATGGGAAGCTGCTAGGGGCAGTTCCTGAGGGGATGGTGCCAGTAGGGAAAGCGCCAGTGGGAGCGGCCTGCTCAGTGCGACTGGCAGACTCGGCCTGGTCCACGTTCTAGAGAATAGGTTAGCAAAGAGCGTGAATCAGGTGTGAATTATGAATATACTCACGGGAAGCTTCCAGGCCACAACAGAAGGAGCCATGAAGAGGGCGGCAACGCCGAAGACGGTGGTAAACTTCATATTGAAGATTTGAATGGTGGAACACAAATGTGACAGTGTAAAAAGAATGGATGCTTGGTAGCGATGTAAAGAAAGATCTGAAGCTGGTGAAAAGAATGGAGGTGCACAGCACTGCTGGTCAAAAGAAAGTCTCATGGAGGTGGTTGTAGCTCTTTATATACCCCTAGGTCCGCTTCGTTGGTCCAGCCATGAAAGGCTGGCGAAACAATGAGTGTTCCGTGTTCATCATCGGGGAGCGAGGAGAAAGCCTCTGCAGGTGGCAACTCTCCTGCACTACTCATCCCGTGCCGCAAAAGGTCAAATCAGGGACAATCTGGGAGCAATAGCCCTATCAACTTCCGGCAGATGGGAATTTCCATGGGCTCCAAGCGCCGTGTTTCAAAGACTTACCGTGCAAAGAACCTGAAACCGACAAATGACAGCTCTCCACAGGGTTTACACGTCGCTCCTGTCGATCAATCCACCCCTGCATCAGATTGACAAAGATGGCGGTGTGCCTGCTGGGGATTGGATGAAGCACAATTAAAGGCGCAATGGAAAACACACTATGGCTAAGCGTCGGCCCATAGAACCTAAACCCAGCCCCAAAGAACCCGTTTCTTACAGGACTAGTCGGGGCATTGCGCGTCCTTTTCGCCAAGGCATAAATTGTTCGGGGTATTTGTACAAATCAGATAAAACAAAAAAAAAACAAAAACAAAAAACATCGTGAATCGTGATCAGACTTCATAGCTCCTCTTCGACGCCTTCGCCTCCAAGCTCCTGTTCCACCTCATCCACAACAAAGCTTTCGTAATCTTCTAGACCCTTTTGAACATGCACTTTGAAGCGAATCACATCGTTGAGCATGGTCTCCACGTTGGTGTGCAATTCTTCCCGAAGAGAGTTGGCCCGAAGCGTCAATTGTTCGTATTCGATGTTGGTGTTCATTTCTCGCTGCTCCATCAATTGAACACTATCACTGAGTGTAGCGCGCATCTTGGCAAGTTCCTTCTCCATCTTCTCAATCTGGGCATCAGAGGCCAGCTTCTGTGTAGTGGTGATTTCTTTGGTGCGTTCGAATTCCTCCTCAGCCGCCCGACGCCGGTGTTCCAGGGCCTCGACCTCACTTCGTTTCTCATCCATAGCCTCCTTGATATTGTCAAGTAGATTGCGCCGATCGAGATCATCATCGATTCCCTTCTTGCGTCGTTCATTAATTTCCTTTCGGAGAGACTGTAGAGTGTTTCGTACAGCACCCCGAAGGTCCAAGCTGAGCAGATGCGCCGGGTGGTAGCCAGTGAAAGGCTCCGCCAGTAGACGATCCCCTTCGGGAGAAATGCGGCTGGGCGGACCGCCAATCTGACTCGCGGAGAAATTGCTTTCATTAATGTTCAAGCTAAGCTCATAGTCTTGACCCTTGGCGTTCTCGGCACCCGAAGGGATCAGGCTTGTCTGGTAACCAAGCGTGTTGTAGGCCTTGACGATTTGTTCCAGGTCTTCCAATTTTTGGCTGGCTTCGGCTTCCTTCTCCATGACACGTGCATGGGTCTCTTCCAAACGAGCCATGGTATCTTCTAAGCTCTTCTGAAGACGTTCTCGCTCCGAGTTCATGCGATCGATGTCTTGAATTGTGATGCCCTGACGGTCGACACTGGCCTGAAGTTCGGCACGTTCTGCTTCAGATGTCTGGAGCTCGACGTCGGTTTTCTGGATCTCTGCATCGAGAAATTTGATACGGGTCTCGTACTTTTCAATTTTGCCTCTGACATTCTGGTTGTAGTCTTCAAACTTCCGCTTGTCATCTTCGAGAATACGGAAGTGCTGTTCCAATTTGGCCATATCAGGGGAGCTCTTCTCCACCTCTTTGATCTGATCGCGAAGAGCCCGGTTCTCTGCTTCCAAGGCCTCCAGCTCCTGCACATAGCGTTCATTGCCATGGGCAAACTCCTGAGACATTGCTTCGACATGTGGAACCAATCGTTTCTCAGCGGTGTCATCATCTTCGTCTTCACCACCCTGCAGCCAATCGTGGTATGCGTGCGTTAGGAAACGGAAGATAATGCGGTCGCCTGTAACATCAACACCAGCATCGGCGCAGGCGTCATCATACTCGCCAGACGAATAGCGATCCATCATCTGTGCCAATTGCATCAACCAGTGTAGCATTCCAAGGAAAGTCGACCAATTCTGCCCACCAACGGCTGCAATTTGAGATTTCGTGATGCCCTTCTCGTAGGGATACCGCAACTGCTTCAGAATGGGTGGTACCTCAGCATCCATAGCCTTTTGAAACCTATAGCCGGGATCAATGCGATGGTACAACCACTGAAAGATGTAGTTGAAATCCTTTTGGGTCGGTGAACGTAGAGTGTTTTGTCCCAAAGAATGTTTCATCTCCAACTCAAACCCATGTAATGTCAAATATTCCAACAGCTCTTGACCAATGCGCGTCTGGAAAGACCGGTCTCTAAGTGGGCGTGGGTCTCTGGGAACACCAGCAACGGTGGGGACCTGAGTGAAAAATGACTGATGGCCCATTGGCCCTCCTCCAGTCGAAGGGCGCGAGAAGACACTGCTTCGGCGCTGCGGGTTCTGGGGGGTATTTGTGGAAGTGGCTCCTGGAGCATAGCTTTGTCGACCGGCATTAGCTCCTGTAAACATGTTACTCGATCCCGGCGCAAAACTTTGTCGGCCGCTGGCTCCCGCGAACATATTACTCGACACGGATCGGCGAACAGACGAAAGACCAGGATCAGCGCCATAACCTCCACCCATTGACGTGCGCGTAAAATTAGGTTGTTGAGGTCGGCCAGTAGAGCCCATAAGAGAGGCTCGGTGGTTCTGAGAGCTGTACGAGGGGTTTTGGAATCCGATGGAGCTTCCACGCTTCATCGCCGATGCGGGCTGTGGAATAGCTGACATGTTCTGCACACTCCCGAGAGTCTTTCTCACATAATTAGTTTCTTTGGGTCCACGCGCCGATGGGACGGACTTCATACCTCTCGAGGGGGCCGCTTGATACTGAATAGCCCAGTATCTTGCGACATCTTGAAAATCAAGCCGTAAAGGCGATAATGTGCGCGTAGAGTTTAAGTCAATAAGCAGAGCTATGACATAAACATTTATTCACAGTCCAAAGAAGTCGCGACACAAAATGTGACGGAGGAGGGGTTTCGATATGGTGGTTGGCAGGCACGAGGGATTTGGGCAAAGAGATGTAAACAATGCGTCCCACTTTCACTTTAGGAAGGCGGTGTGGTATGCTCTGGAACAACAGTTTTCCCGAGAATCACGAGACGCCGGTCTGGGGAAGCTTGGCGTGGCGCAAGTTCCGAGGTCCAAACGGCGATTGCCGATGTGAGCATCTCTCCCCTAACTCCTCTTCTTTCACTTCCCTGATAGTCGACATCCTTCATCATGGCTCCTCGCGAGGAGCTGATTGCTTCAGCTGTAAGTTGCTGATTATGCCATCTCTTATCGTCCGCTTTAGGGAATGCTGCTAACTCTCCGTAGATTACTTGTATGGACCACTCGTGCACACCTTGATGGGTTAATCGCTAATCCCCTACAGTCCTACAGGATCCTTCAGTCGCATCGTCGCCAATCGAGAAGCGAGTTTCATTCCTCCAGTCTAAGAACCTGACGCAAGAGGAGGTCGACATCGCCTTATCGCGAGTGGGCGAGGACCCATCTGCCGCGGCCGCGGCCACAGCTGCTTCATCCCCGGCACCCAATTACTCTTCACAACAGGTTGCTTACCGACAACAACCACCACCTCCTCCTCAGGGATATGGATATCCCCCATATAACCAATGGCAACCGCCTCCCGAGTATGTTCATTGATCGGTCGTCGCATGACACATGGCACTAATCACATTTCAAGGCCACCCAAGAGAGACTGGCGCGATTGGTTTATCATGGCGACAGTAATGGGCGGAGTTGGTTATGGATTGTATTTTGTCACAAAGGTTCGACATTCTGCTTGAAACATATGGTGGGATGGTTTTAACCGCAATGCAGCGTTATATCTCACCTTTGATCGCCCCACCGACTCCTCCTCAGCTGGAGCAAGATAAGGAAAACATCGATGAACAATTTTCGCGCGCGTTTACTCTGATTGAACAACTTTCAACCGATACTGCTGCCCTGAAATCTGCCGAAGAAGCCCGAACCGAGCGCCTCGATAGCGCTCTCAAGGACGTGGAGACTCTTGTCGCTGATCTCAAGAACTCGTCCCGCCGGAGGGATGATGAAACTCGTCGCATCAGCGACGAGGTCAAATCCTTGAAGGATGCTATTCCCAAGGCCCTCGAGGGTGCCCGGGAAGGCAATGAGAACCGATTGAAGGACCTCGGAACCGAGCTCAAGAGCTTGAAGGTCTTGCTGGGCAACCGTCTTGGTGGTAGCGGAACCACTCCCGTTGCCGGTCGGACTGTTGGATCTACTTCTATTCCCACTGCTCCTCGCCAGACCCCGGAGGAGATCCCCGCCAGCTCCACTACCCCCGCTCCCACCAACGGTCTTGCTGCTACTGTGACCCCGGCCGAGCAAGAACCTACTCAGGCTGCTGCCCCAGTTACCCCTGCTGTCCCCAGTCCAAGCGCCAACAACCCCCTCGCCAAGCTTGGTCGGTCTGCGTCTATCCCAGCCTGGCAAATGGCCGCAGCCAACCGGTCCAAGGCCAACTCGGAATCGAGCCAGCCTTCTACTCCAGCTGAGCCTGCTGCTAACACTAGCCAGGACCAGGCTGCCCCTCCCAGCTAAAGCAGATATGATTGTTGGATTGAGCTGTATACCTCTTCGTCTGAATGTATTTACCATAACAAGACCTTTAACGTAAATGGATATTTATTAGACAAGCCGAAAGTATATTACACTTTAGTTTAGAGTCCTACAAAATACTACCGCCCTAAGTTCCAGTGAGCTGGGACTTTCATACTCAAGCTTGGCATCAGACCGATAAGTCGGCCCGCCTCGATCACCGAATAAATTCCTCACGTCACATCACCCAACCACCAAAAAATGCCTTCCCCAACCCGCTCGTCGCATCGAGCACAGTCTCCCTCGGCGCCAAGCTCCAGCCATCACCACACCAGCCGACACAGCCATTCACGCCGTCATCGACCAAGAGACAGCTCGCGCTCGCGCTCGCGCTCTCCGCACCGCTCAGACAGACACAGGTCAGACCGCCATCGCCGACATGGCCAAGACAAAGATAAACCCCGTGAACACCGTGAGCGACGACACAGAGACACCCCGGCGCAGCCCGTGGTTCTCCCCCTCCAAGCACGCGAGCTGTCCCGACGCGACTTAGAAGCATACGAGCCCATGTTCGGCATGTATTTGGACATCCAGAAAGGAAAATTCATCGAGGAAATGGATGAAGAAGAAATTAAAGGACGATGGAAGAGCTTTGTACAAAAATGGTAGATTCCAAGGTTCCTTATTCCATTGCTGCGCCTTCGCTGACATTATAGGAACCGTGGAGAACTTGCCGAGGGATGGTATGATCCTGCTACCCTCAACAGGGCGCGCGAAAGCGTAGCGGAGCGACTACCTGCTGGCCCACCAGGTCAGCGGGACTCACCTGATTATACACGGGGTAGAAAAGAGGAGAATGACATCCCACGCGATCAACCTGAAGACGATGAAGACGAAGACGAGTATGGGCCTGCTCTCCCGCGCGCTGGTTCGGGGAGAGGCGGTGCACACTCTGGTCCTACGATTCCCAATATGCAGGATCTTGAGCTCAAGCGAGGTATGTCTTTCTACTCCAATTGAGGGTTGACAATAGGCTAATGCTCTGCTAGAATCTGCCATTGAAGATGCGCAAGCTGCTCGCGGCCAATCTCGCGAACAATATCAAGCCGAAATGCGTGAGCATAAAGCTGCAAGGCGTCATCTTGAAGATGAGATTGCGCCGCGGGCTGAGGCTGGAACTCGGGAGCGGCAGTTGGAGAAGCGCCAGGAGATTGCTGCCAGTAATCGAGCATTCGCGAGTCAGCGGGGTGGCTCGCCTGAGGCTGCTCCAGAGGAAGATCTCATGGGTGGTGATAATGATTTGTCTGCGTTGAAGCGCGAGAAGGAAAACAACCAGCGCAAGAAGAATGAGCGCGAGATCCGGAGAGAGGAGATCCTTCGTGCGCGTCAAGCAGAGCGCGAGGAGCGGGTAGAGGCGTACCGACAGAAGGAGTCCGAAACTATGAGTTTCTTGCAGGCTCTTGCAAAGCAGCGATATGGGTAGGAGAGAGGGAATGAGATATATGGATACTATCTACTTCAAAATACTCAAGATATTATGTACAATGTCCCAGCTCTTGCAGCCTATAACTGATTTACTCTTCCTATGCCCTTCTCATACTCTTCCCACATCAAATCCAACATATCCATTCCATTCAAATCATCCAAATCCCCCGATTGACAGATCCGATACCCGCCACGCCAGCGGAACCAATCCGACTCCGCTCCTCGGAGGAATCCCGATCAGTATTTAGACCATCCTCAATGGCCCAAGATCAAACAACACCACATCACCAAAAAATGTTCAGAAAATCCTCATATAGACTCCCATCCCTGGACCCCCTTACAAAGCCGCGTGTCTCCAACCGCCCCCTCACCACAAAAACAAAGAAACAAAACTCCCTCCCAGCAGCCTACTACCGCGGTGGCACCTCGCGAGCAGTCTTCTTTAAACAAACCGATCTCCCCCCCTTAAGATCAGACTGGGCCCCAATCTTTCGAAATGTCCTCGGCAGTCCAGACCCCTACGGCCGCCAACTTGACGGACTAGGAGGTGGAATATCCAGTCTATCAAAGGTATGCGTGGTAGGCGCATCAACACATGCAGATGCAGATATCGATTACACCTTTGTTTCTCTTGGAATCAAGAACTCGGACGTCGACTATTCAAGTAATTGTGGCAATATGATCAGTGCCGTTGGCCCCTTTGCTGTTGATTCGCGCTTGTTCCCTATACCCAGTGAGGGCGGGAGTGAGACTAAGAACAGCAATGGCGAGAGCGATGCCTCGGTCCGAATCCATAATACGAATACCGGCAAGATCATCCGGTCCTCGTTTCCTGTTGTGCAAGGCGAAGCTGCGGCCAGTGGCGACTTTGCGATTGATGGCGTGGCTGGGACTGCAGCGCGTGTACAGTTGGATTTTGTGAATCCTGCCGGCGCTGTTACGGGGACTTTGTTGCCTACGGGGAATGTGACGGATGAGCTGGATGGAGTTTCAGCGACGTGTATCGATGTTGGGAATCCATGTGTTTTTGTTCGCGCGTCTGATCTTGGTGTGGATGGGGATTTGACTCCCGAGGAGATTGCTGCCCATGAGGATTTGCTGCCCCGGTTGGATTCTATTCGGAGGCAGGCGGGTGTTAAGATGGGTATTGCAGATGGAATTGAGAGTGTGCCGGGGAGTGTGCCTAAGATTTGTATGGTGGCTAAGCCTTCTGCTGGCGAGGCTGGTGGAGAGCTGAAGCAGACGTCGACGGATGTTGATTTGCTTGCGAGGGCTCTTTCGGTTGGGCAGCCGCATAAGGCTGTTCCTATCACTGTTGCTTTGGCGCTTGCTGCTGCTGCTCGTGTATCTGGGAGTACGGTTGCTGAAGTTGTGGATGGGCAGACTGTTGATAGGGCTGGTATCACTATTGGACATGCTAGTGGGAATCTGCTGGTTGGTGCCAATTTTGACGCCGATGGATCCTTGACTTCAGCTACGGTCTTTCGTACAGCACGACGTCTGTTTGAAGGGAGGATATTTTGGAAGAATGAGTCTTGAGCAAGTATCTCATCTTGCCAAGGGCCGTCTTGTATAATACCAAATAATTGGATGCGAAGTAAAGGGCACGGATACTAAATCAAACTTTTGTGTTGTATACAAAGTGGTATATCATCTATAAAATCCCAATCCCAGTTAAGCCTTCCTCCCTAAATCAAGATCAGCAACCAGCTTCATATCACCGCTACCACTCTCCTCAAGCCCAAAGAAAGGCTTAACAGCAACATCAACCATCTCCTCAAACAACCGTCCAACAACAACCTCCTTAAGATCCTCACCAGTCTGCGCAAAATCAGGGAACGCATTCAGCTCCAACAACCAAGCAGATCCATTACTATCAACAAGGAAATCAACACCAAACAGCTCAAAGGCGTTAGGCAGAGTCTGGAAATGAATCATCATGCCCCGAGCCGCAGCCTCAAACACCTCGCCGGTGACAGCACAGATCTGGTCGAAGATTTTCTCTTTCCAGTCGTCAGAGAGACCAGGGACGTGGTGGTCCAGATCCCAGAACCGGCGCACACTGCCTTCATTTGAGCTGCCGCCTTCTTGGAAACAGGTATTTGTAAGATGGCGGGCTAGATCGGCGACATCGTCTACTTCTTCGTGGGGGGCGCAGTATGCCTTTGCGGCGAAGAGGGCGAGCATCTCTTTGAAGACGTATACCTTGAGAGAACCACAGGCGAGGACGTAGGTGCGGATGTGGAACTTGCGGTTAGAGGACGAGGGGAGAAGGAGTGGAGGGTCGATGTAGGGCTGGACGAGGAAGTGGCGAAGCTGCGAGGTGACGACACCTGTGTCATGAGCGCCGCTGGCATCTTGGTCCTCGTCTTCGTTTTCTTCTTCGTCCTTCTCGGACCCGGACTCGTCGTCTGAGGGTTCGTCCCACTCTTCGAAGATCTCGCGGAGTTGGTCCTCGCTGTTGAAGATGCGGATTCCTTGGCCTCGATCACTCATACCTGGCTTGAGGATCCACCATTCTTTCTCGGAGTCGGGTCGCTCTTCGTTCTTGGCTAGGCTGTCGTTCAGCTCGTATGCTTCGAGAAGGGCATCATCGAGGAATTCGGAGTAATCCAATTCAAAGTCAAAGGCGGGCTTGAAATGGTTCCGTAGCACACTATCTGGATGTTTTGAGACCCAGTTGGCTACCGTGTTCGATAGGTAATGCTTGCGGATCAAAGCCTTGCGGATAACGTATGCGTTGCCTAGAGATGTCGAGGGCCGGGAGATGATGTGTTCGAACTCGAGACGCTCATACTCGCGGTACTGGAATAACGGCACAGATCTCTCTGGGAGGTCATCTAGAGATGAGACTCGCTTGCACGAATCCCCCAGACGGCGAGTAATCGCGCGTTCGATCATTTCTTGCACGTAGGTGTCATCACAGTCGATGATTGCGTGAAGGGAAGGCTGTTTATCCGATCTACAGGATGTCCATTATCAGAAAAGGCCATATACTTGAAAAAAAGGCGATCAAATCAAAGGGGAAGGGGATATCTATCGGCTAGACCAGATATTGAAAGGGTATGCAACATGTATACCGGATAGAACGCTCCATATCATGCCACTATTGCGCGCTAAATCTCCACTCACAGTTTGATCTCCCCAGAAATTCCGAGGGTATGCATGAAATTGGCCTTGAGGGGTGTGACACTGTAACAGTTAGTTGGTGATCAATAGTTCAAACTACGAATGAGTTCAACAAACCTGGTCATCTGCTCCTTGACGGCCCAGCCATCGTTGCCGGGCTCGCTCTCTTCAACGCTGCGATATACATCCTGGAAGCTGGGCGCCCATGTAAAGTGCTTGTGCTTGAGTGTAGGTCCGGCAGAAGGCTGTTCGCTGGTGCTGGCACTCTGATCAGGTGTCTTTCCTGTCACCTCACCCTCACCGCGCAACTGCTTCTCTTGCAGATCGGGGTCATCGGCAGAGGTAGGCTCGGCAACCTTGAAACAACTTCCCGAGGACCATCTATTGTCCAGCATATTGGTGTACAGAACCTTGTTCTCACTCACGCCAGGCTCCAGAGGGACATTGACACTGTAGAGATCCACACCGTTCGCCCAGTTGGCGCATAGATACTCAATCAACTTGACCGAATGGCGTGATGCCTCTGCGATAATAATAGGGTCATGGTTGCGGGAGCTGAAAGCATAGGACAGCGCAATTGAGCGCTTTCCACAGCAGGCGCCCTCCATCGCTGCACCAATAGTTCCACTGGAGAGTGCAAACAGCGCAGTGGTGTTGCGCCCATAGTTGGGACCAGAGACAATAACGTCGATAGGGCCGCGCTCCTGGAAGTAATGGTAGAGACCGATCTGGACACAGCTTGCCGGAGTCGAGTCAATCAAAACCCACTCATCACCTCCGTCATTTGGTTCTCCGTCACTGCCTCGGGGTAGGTGGTGTGTTGTGCCATCTTCTTGGTGGAGGGTACCCGGCCGGAAATAAGTGGGCTTCACAGATGCGCCGACAATATGCGCTTTACCGATCCATGATCGCTGTTGGTGAGGAAGAATGACAGAGACTGTGTGGCCGGCGGATTGGAGTGAATGGACAAGCGAGTGCACGTAAGGCGAGGACTGGTTTGACGGAGGACCGTCGTCGTTGGTAACCTAGGATGTCAGCTTCAAGCCCTTTTGCAGCAGTATATCGAGACTCACTAGGATATGCATTGAGTGCGTGGTTGAGTGAAGAATGGTGGGGGAAGAAAGTTCCCCCCCGCTCTTGGATTTTCGCAACGTCACTTTCATACTTCAAGCACAGCGCAACTTGTCGAAGTGCTAAGAGGATGATTGGATATTTTCCCGTCTTAATAATATACTAACATTTGATCTTTATTCTACCTATAGATTTTCCCGCCAGTAAAAGTCACCTAAAATCTAAAAGTATAGAAATTCCCTTGCCCTAAGGGCGAGGGTTTAAGACTCTTACACTATGGTGTCATTTCATCACAGTTGAACGCAAGAACTTGCCTGTTAGAACAAAAAAAATCATGATTTAAATGGCCAAAAAAAAAGTGAATTCTGCTCAATCTGCTCGATGAATAAAAAGACTCCGCCGTCTCTGTAGTCCACGAGCTTCGGCACTTTCAAGTCCAGATCCCATACCAGCTTCATCACTCTCGGCCGGAAAACTGTGGACCAAGCTACTTTCTGGCTGTTCCTCTCTTTTAATAGCGAATGACTCACCCGAGGAGCTATCTTCCTCAGGCTCATCTTTAACCAGGCCTTGCGGTTCCTCTTTAATCTCAGTCTTGGGTGTCGTGGCAGGGTGCAAAACCCATGTTAAGACCAGCCAAGTCAAGCTAGCAGAGCCAACCGAGACAAACCAGAAGAACGAAGTAAACACAACGAAAGAAGTAATCTTCCATCGGTACATGAGCCATCTAAAGAGCGTTAGTCCTACCATGACAAGTGACCCAAAAAGAAGAAGAAAACCTACCTCAACCCAGTAAGTCTCGCCCGAAACCCAACCTTAGCAAGATAAACCTGCATCTTTAAATCACTCTGGATCTCAAGTCTCAAACTCTGCGGCAGATTCCCCGGCCCCTTGTCAAACTGTAGATCTTCCATAATATCAACCTCCAAGACCTCCGCCTCACGTTTCCAGCCAACAACATAAAATGGCAACCGCACGGCCCGCCGCGCAACATCCACAAGCGGCGAAGCATAAGTCAGCAGCGCCGGTCTGCGTTCATGTGCGATTGGCGCGATTGTTGAGGAAATGGGCAGAATTGCCGATGCAGGACGAGAAGCATAGAGTGTAAGATCTAGCATGAAGTTTCCTGTTTCGAGGTTTGAGGGTGTGCGGGGGAGTTCAAGGGTTATTGTTACGTCGTAGGGCTGTTGGGCGACGAATTCCGAGTCGAAGGTTGCTGTTCCCCATGGGTTTCCGTGACTGCGAGAAGAATCGTTAGTTAGGTGACCTTCCTGATGGCATTGTATATAGCTGTGTGCGGGGTTTGCTTCCATACCCGAATTGAAGGTGGACTTCACGCTCCAGACCAACTGTTGGAATGAAACTATAGTAGAAGATTCCGTAGGCGATTGCTGAGATTCCCACAAGGAGTGTCGTCGCGCCCATAAAGAGCAGTGCGTTTATGTATAGGCGCAGGGCAGACTTGGATACCAGCGCGCGTAACGGCGCCAGGAGCGCGTCCTGGGGGTTTGTTAGCTGGGGTTGGGCTTCGTGACGAAGAGATGAGAAAGCTGTGGGTTTTACCGTTACGACAGCCCTGATTGAAGATGGACTATCATATTCAGACTCGTCGTCTGTGTAATCTGAGTCTGGCATTGTGGGGGAGCTGAGGTGTGGTCGGGATGAGGTGGCTTGCGGTCTCATATCGCTGCCGAGGCCGACGTCACATCTTAGCCTTACGAACTACGAGGGTCAGAATACCTTATTTTTCACAGCTTCAGTGAATGCAGATTGAATACGCATCCAAGCAAAAGCTAGTCAACAATTGCATATACACACAAGAATTATAATAAGAATTAGCATTGCCCCATCGATGCAGGTAGATGAAAAAGAAAGAGAACCGTGAAACTCCAGCTTTTACAGTCTTATCATTACAGGTCGCGGGCAGCATGAGACGCGAAATAAATCATGTAACCTCAAGTCATGCGGAAATCGTAAAATGAAAAGAAAAGATAGTAAATATGCATGCCATCCCCCACGGCAAATCCAAGCCGTAACATGAAACATAAGTCAAATAAAAGTAAGACGTTAAGAAGCAAATCGCAACCCCATGAAAGTACATGCGATAACAGACTCCTGTACCACCCGGTTTACCAAAGAAAAGGACTGGAGGAGAGATGGGAAAGGGGAATGGGGGAGGGAAGCCGAGCTTAAGCGATGGGTCGGGGGCTCTGCTGTTGGATGTGTTGGAGAAGAGCGTCGAAGAGACGTCCAATCTGGGGGGTCATTAGCTTCGGCGTCAGATGAAAGGCTTGCGGGACACTTACCTCGGGAGCTGCCTGGATGAAGGGAAGGCGGAAGAAAGAGTAACTCCGGTTCTGGAGGAGCTCCTGCAGGGTAATGATCAGACCCCACGGGTGTGGGCGGTGGACAATCAGTCGCTCCAACAGCACACGAATGATTTGCTGGCGGATATCCGAGTCATCTTGCTCGGAGTAGTCAACGCCAAACAGACGGAGGATGGTGAAACTGTAGAAGTAGGTGTGACTGTTGGGGTAACGGAGCTGATTGGCCATCGCACTGAGCAAGTAGTAGCGAGACTCAGGACGCAACACTTGGGCAAGCTTCTCGAGCAGAGCAGCGTGGGTCGAGTTCTCAAAGGCACCGCGGGTGTTGCTCTTGGAGGCGTGATCCACGGCAGCTTGCTGGCCGATGTAAAGCACAAGTGCGTTCAAGAGAACAACATCGACGTCGATGGGAACGAAGAAGAGACCAGTATCTTTGACCTCGGGATCAAGGATAGCATCACAGAGCTGTTGAATAGCAGCATCGGTAATGCTCTCATTGCGAAGCACACCGTCCACAACATCTTTGATGTCAGCGTTCTCCAAAGGAGCAACGATGTCCCCAGCAATCTTGGGGATTTCCCGCATCTCCTCAATGCGCTCAACCTTCAAGCCCTCACGGAATGGATCAGGCAGCTTCTGGAAAGAAGATGGGTAGGCGCTGAGAACAAGGTTGCGAAGCTGGGCGCAGTGAGCCGGAATCACATTACAGAACTGGAAGTGGTTCTCCGCAACGAATTCGGGGAAATCGTGATGCAGGATCAACAGAATGCGAAGGACACCTTTGTAGAGATCCTTGGCGACGTATGAGATGTTGGCAGCCTTGAGTTGCTCGCCCATGTAAGACAGCAATGCCTGCATGATTTCACAGTAAGGAGCCCATCCCGCACGGTCGGGCATGTTAAGCATGTCCGACATGAAGACCCGGTGAGAAACGAGGCACAGCCAACCGTAGACAAATCCAGGTACGTATTTGGGCTGGAATGACAGGAATTTGTTGGCCAGAGCAAAGATCATTTCTTGGTGCTGCTCGTTATGCTGCAATCGGTTCATGGAATACTCGCAGAGGATGCTGGAAAAGAGGCGGAAGAACACACGTTGGTTGAATGCCTCGCCTCTCATGACCTGGTGGTTGTTGAGAACCAGGACCAAGAGGGACATGATGGAGCTGAAGTAGGTGGCCTTGTTTGCCTTGACTGCTCCAGTGTTCTCGCCCTGGAACCGGACGAGAAGAATAACCAGCTTGGCGAGGGCATCAATGTAAAGGAATGCCTCATCGAGGCTGCCGTTGGGGTTCTGGATCTCATGCTCAAACATGGCGACAGAGATATCGATGCTGAGACGGAAGAACAAGGCAGAGTCCTCCTGCGAGTTCATCACCTGGCGATTGTGAAGATCTTGGAGGAAAGAGTGGAAGGTGCGGTCGGTGGCGCCAGAGGCCTTGTATATTCCGATCCACTCACTGAAAATGTACTCCATCTGGTCTCGCTTGGATCTCGCTTGGTCGGTGAGGAGGGGATGAACGACTTCTGGAATGCCAGACTCGCGCAGCTTGCGCACGATCTCGACACCAGGAGCAACGTTGGCATCTTCTGAAAGCCACTGGCTCAAAGCTTCCAAACAGCCGGAGAAGTCCGATCGGAGGGCTGATGGCTCATCATTGAAGAGAACACGGCTCATCAGATTATCGAGCAGCTCCAAAGCATTCACATTCTTCTGGATGATGAGTCGAGTGAGGTTCATATCCACACGACGGATATCAAGCAGACCTGCGTCAATGAGAGCAACAGTGACGGGCACATTGAACATGTGCTCATCATCAACATCGGAAAGGAGCGCCCATGTATAGCGGGCAATAAGTGTTGACATGTCGCAGAGCTTAGCAAGTAGGTGAACAAGAACTTCAATCTCAAGGGATCCGTGCGACTGGGAATACAAGGTCGTACAGATCTTCAACGAGGTCAAGCGGGCCAGCTCTTCGCCGTTGGGCGATGCAAGAATGCTGCGCAACGCCTGGTTGTATTCCTGGAGAACAGAACTCTCACGTCCAAGGTCTTTCACGTGCTCTTCGGGGGCGGTACGAGCTGATTGCTGAAGATCAGAAACAAGATTCTCAACACGCTCACGAGGGCTTTGTGCATCTAGAAATCCATTGGTCTGGGGAGGGGGCATGTGGGAGACAGCAGGCTGTGGCTGAGGGGTCCTGTGGGGGATGGCGGGCTGCTCAGCTGGAGTGGAGAGGTTGGGGATAGCGGCGTAGTGGTCACCGAGTACGTCGGGAAGTTGGCCGGGAAGTTGACCTGGAAGTTGACGGCCGACCGATGCGTCAGTCGGTGGTGCTGGGCCTCGTGACTGACGAGCGAACTCTTCATAGATAGCCAGTTGCTCCTTGTTAAGACCACCAGGGGCTTGTCTGTATGGCTCGGGGATGAATAGTCCCCAGCGGTTCATTGAAGGATCGACAAATGGCTCACCGGCGCGATGGGCCTGGTGGCGGCGACGAGCCTCCAGTTGAGGCTCGATCACCTTCTCAATCTCGGGAAGAGATTTCTCCTCTGCGGCCTTTTCGACAATGCCACAAGCAGCATCAAGGTTATCGTTAACGCACATCAAGATCAGTCCCTCGGGCATGGGCTGTTCAGAGTACTCCTGTTGGATCATGCGGATATAGTTGGTCATGCTAACCTTGAGGGGCTCCTTGCAGGTAACCAGCGCCAGGCTACCAGCAAGCTGTCTGACCATAATGCCCGCAGCATGACGCACACGCTCCTCATCAGGCTCCATGGCAAAGTCCTTGGAGACAAGCTGGACAGTGGAGATTGAGGCAATGGTGACCGAACGCTCAACAACAGGTGTGATGATCTCCGCAATAGCACGCTCAACTGCGGTGTGTACGATCTGCTTGAGGACGGTGGGGTCGACCATGCTACTTGCCGAGGAGGGGAGAACAAGAATTTTGTCAAGGTTCGGCAGGGTCGAAATGATGGCTGCGGGAGACAGCCTTTCATTGCGAATGCCTTGGCTGATAGCATTGAGGGAAAGGTCTTCGAATGGCTCGACAAGACCTTCAGGAGGATTGGCGGTTGGGAGAGATTCCTCAGCATGTGCAGTACGGTCACGAATGACAACTGAAGGCTCAATGGTCTTGTGGTCAAGATTAAGATCCTTGCAGAGAACTTCAATTTCGAACTTGAGGTTCAACTTCAACTCAGCGAAGTGGTAAAGCTCCAGCAACAGCCCGAGGATGTCCATTAACCAGGGATTGGGGGGATTGAAGACCATAGACTTAGTAGCCTGGACAAGGACCTTGCAAGTGAATGGAATTGTGACCATAAGACGTTGGGTATCATAGCCTTCCAGAAGCAGGCCCTTGAAATAGATGTTCTTGTGCTTGATAGGCTTATCCTTAGCAATAGTCAATGAACCAAGCCATGCTCCCAGGTTCTTGAGGTGACCGCGGTCAGTGGATGAGTTCAGGGTTCCCTCGGAGTTGATCAGCTTAGCAACGCTGACGTAGGTTTCCCGGAGTACTTCAGCCCAGAGAATCTTGTCACCAATACGGCCAAGAAGGTCCAGGTAAAGCTGCTGGAAGTTGGGTTGCAGCTTGGCACGCTCCTCCACCAAGTAAGCAGCGAACCACTGGTGGTGTTGGTCGCGCAACACCTCACGCAGATCCTGGAGCTTCTCGTCAATGTTCTGCTCTGACACATTGTTCAGAACGAACAAAATCTTGTCCTGGATGTCCTCATCCGGGTTTTGGTAGAGCTCAGAACGGAGAGGAGGATCGAGTTGGACGGAACGGAATTTGCGCACAGAACCATCGGCGGTTGGTGAGTCGTCAACATTGCCATTGGTTAGAGGCGCCACAGCAAGACCCTCAAACGTATTGGGACTGGTTTCGCTAACTCCGTTTCCTTGCTCCCGTAGCACTTCCTCTGCCTTTTGATAGATAGGGGTACCCTGTAGGGATGGGATCTGGAAGAGTAGGTGGCAGAAGCCAGCCCATTCAGGAAGACGATTAATTAACTGTTCAATAGCCTCAACACCGAATTTATACATCGGGTCATGAGGTTCATGCTCGCGAACAGCTTCCAGGATCATACCAAGACCGACTTTCAACGTGATGCCGTCAACAAGACGGAAGTTGATGATACCACCGAACATGACGGCAGTCTTTGTCAGGGCCTCAAGAGGATACTCGTGGTAGCAGTGGTATTCGTCAATCAGACCATGTACCATGCAAGCAAAGAGGTCTTGCTCAATGGGATCATGGGACGACTTGTACTTCCGCATCAATTCCAGCATCTCTCGGAGCGACAGTTCCTCGTGGTACATTTTGCCAAACAGCTCTTGCATTTGCTTGTCGATCGACTCGGGCAAAGTGTTGCCGTTCTCGCCGTTAATATCAATGATATCATCAAAGCCTTCACCGTAGTTGATGAGACGGGGATAAGTCTGAATGCAGATGCGTTGAACAGGTGTGAGGTTCTCGCGGTCTCCGACGTATTCCTCCAACACCGACAAGAGTGTGTACACCGTCTTGACAGCCAAGCTGACCATTTGGTGAGCAGACTGTTCCTTTCTTTGAACGTGGAGTTCATCCTCGGCCTTGATTCTCAGGAATTTAGACAGCAGGCCACCCATGTCAATGGGACCTTTGTCGGCGGCATTCCGAACCCACTGCTCAAGGTCAAACGCACTCTTACGGTGAGAGTAGCAGGCAAGATCAAGGGCAAGGCCGTTGGTAAATCCAAGAAGGTATTCAAGCCATCCGTATGCTGCAGCGTGTTCGTAAATTACTGCAGTCGATGTTGGGTCTTGGGTGAATGTGGTGAACAGTTGCTCTGAGACCCACTGTCGGTCTTGACGCCAGGCACCATGGAGAGCAAGTTGGTATCCATCTTCTTGCTTCGAGATGAATACAATAAATGTTCGCAGCACAAAGCTCTGCTGTACGCTAGACCACGGCTGTGGAAGAGCGAGTGCAGAACAAAGGAAAACCGGGAGGTCGAACTGAACGACGGCCTTGATTAGAAGCTGACTTTCGGTTGCGGCCCACGAAGCCTGGGAAAACAATGCGAGGTCGAAAATGGCCTTCATAGCATCCATGGATCGAAGAGGGGACTTTGCAGCACGTTCGCCTTGTAGTTTCACGATTTCGGGGGCATCCTCGAAGAAGTCGGTTGGGAAAGTTGCGCGCAAGCTGGCGATTTGAGAGGGATCGATACGAGAGGCGACAAAGGCTGTCAAAAATGACATCTGCGTGTCGCGGTGCTCCCAATCTCCGCCCCACAGTTTTTGGATATCCAAAGACGAGTCATCAGCCGATATAGCTAAAAGTACACTGTACAATTTAGAAAACTGCTTGGAGTCCACACGAAGACCCTCCCGGTCAAAGTTGCGGAACACAAGAGGCCAATTGATCTGTTTGTCGGCATATACAGACAAGAACGTCTCTAGTGAAAATTGTTCCCAATATTGTGACAAGATCATGAAGAGGAGAGCGCAAGCCAGGTGCTCCTCGCTCCAACCCTTTGGGTCTGCATTAATCACTTCGCTTATCGTTTCGTTATTTGCCGTAACTCGAGGCCCCTTGGAGTGCAGCTGTCGAACAAGGACATACTGGGGGTTGACGAAATTGAACATTTGAAGAGCGGAAGAAACCTCGAACGGCATATCCAACCCTAGTTTCTGATATCGGAGATTTGCTGCGTAAACTAGCTTCGCCTTGACTTCGTCGGAAAAATTGCGGGGAGGGTATAAGATGAATCGTTCAATCGTCATGCCGAGGAAAGAGTTATGGTAGTCCTTTGTGACTTCGGATGGGTTGGCCAAGCTTTGGAGGAAGGGAGTAACGGAATTTGAGATAATGGCATCAGCTAGAGAAATGGTTAGTTCGGTGGGTCGAATATGGCTGAAAAAAAGACACACCTTTGGCACGAAGATCGGACTTGCTAGTAAGCTTGAATGCCAAAGCAAGTGCAACCTTCACAACAGGGTCAAGTCGGAAGTGATCGAGGAAAGTGGAAAGGTCAAAATCACGGAAGATGTCCCCTTCTGAAGTATCGACTGTCTCGGCGATTTTCTGGGCTTGCTCCATGTCTGCAGATACTTTCTGCATCTCCTGGACAAGGAGGGGGTAGTTGCCCGCATTTTCGACGGACTTGTTGACACCTGGGAAGATTTGGGGCGCATTACCCGTTAGAAGGCGCCGAAAGTATTTAGAAAAGACCTCCATTCCGTTGGATGTCACAAGCTGTGTGAAAAAAACATTGTTAGAGATCAAGTTGGCACAAATTAAAAGGCGTGAAATGTCTTACCTTGTGTATCTGTGCGGCTTTTGTCTCCCACTTCTCTTTGCCTTCTTTCTCTGTGATTGAATCTAACAAGAGAAACACTTGGGCGATGGAGATTTTGGTGAGCGACGATTGGCTCGAGTGGGCAGCTGCAGAGGCTGCAGATCCTGGCTTGTCTGAGGCAAAGCCTGTTGGGGAATTCACGGTTGTTCCGGAGGATAGAGGCGAGAAGACGCCTCTAGACGATCCAGGCCCACCACCACCTCCCCCAGTACCTCCTCCACCTGGGGTGGAGCCTGTAGCAGAGGCCAAATGAGACCCTATGGAAGGGGTGTGAGCGCGGAACTTAGGAGATGAGAGGGCCGTGGTGTGTTGCTGCGAGCCAGATTGCAATGAAGTGAACGGTGACGATGTGGGTTTAGGACTTCCACCGGAGAGACCCCTGGCAGAGCTCAAGACGGCAGAGAAAGAAGATGGCGTAGAAGCCCCCAGGCCTGCGTCCAAGCCCCGGGATGTCGAGGGGGAGCGGCGGAGGATAGATTGGTCGCGAGTGGAGTCAACCCACGACGTGCGCCGGTCTGCGACACGGACCGACCCCAGGCACCAATATCAGTCCTGGTCGAAGAAGATTGATCGGTGCCAGAAGCAATCGACGATTGGGCGGAAGGGTGAGGGGGAGGGAAGGTCATCTAGGAGACGCGATCATTTGATCTGGGGGTCCAAGGACAGATTTTTAAGTCACAGTCGCAGTAAACGGTTGTAATCGATGACGCCGACCAATAAATTGAGGAGGAGATCGTGCAAGATCGTAGGTGGGAAAGTGTGGGGAGAAGAAAATGTGATTGTGGGAGAGGAATGGATGAGGGTCGATGAGATGGAGAGGTTGCAGGAGGAATGGGGTGCAAGGTGCGAGGTGTCGGATGTGGAGAGCCTCAGGTGTCAAGCGGGAGCTCTGTCGGGCATCACTGGATGCTTTCCGGCTTTGAAGAATACCTGGGGCTGACAACCAGTCGAGTGTTCCTGTACGTTGTATGCAGTTTCTGATGTTCTCAGGCTTGCGTATGTTTCACTCCAAAACTCATGCGCTGAATGTCTTCATCTTGAAATCACGTGGTGTGTTCATGTCACGTGTAGAGGTGGCTCCCTAATGAGGAAGTCCATGCCGCTTTAAGCTGGAGCTATCCCCGCTCCAAGTGTGTCTTACAGTACAAGGACTTTAGATAGTACGGGAGTATCACTTCGGTTCAACTATTGTAACGGTTTTGATATTGGTCATACTCGTAGTAAAATGGATCATATATATCGATGTCAATTCTGATTGAGAGCATGCTGGTGATTTCTGCATCCATGTATAGACAACAGTATATCCTAAATATGAAGACTATATCCTAAATATGAAGACTATATCCTAAATATGAAGACTATATCCTAAATATGAAGACTATATCCTAAATATGAAGACGAAGAAATAACTTGCCATAAATAGATCACCCTACGGAGCTCATTATTGAAATTTTATCCAAAAAGCATTTATAGTGATATTAGATCGATCATTGTTACTAACCTAACGCCCGGTAGAGATGCCACAGACCACTGTTCAGAAGTAAAGAGCCCGAAGACAATGCAGATCCCGAGACTGTACTGTAAGCAGTATCAAGCTAATCGCATGACCTAGAAAGGTACAGGTTAAGTACGCGGGTGAAGCTTTCCCATGATTGTCTAAGAGTAACAATGAATGCTCCAAATACTCTCCGGCACCGGCGCACTTAGTTCAACAGGTTCAGTACTTTACTACAAGAGTAAATGCTTTGAAGCATCTTTCAAGCAAAATAGCAGCAGACTTGAACTTGGTAACATGTCTAGGGAATGAGGCATGCGATGGACGTACCTCTCATCCCCATCACACCTTGTCAATTGACACTGGAAAATTGTGAATTATCAACAATACCAAAACATGCTAAGGATAAAGTCTTAGCTCGAGGGCGCCGCAAACAATTTGACCTCAGTGGATCGTGGACTTGGGAAGTTATCGGTGTGATATTCAGTATTGTATGCGTTGCACTCCTCACAACCTTTCTTGGGCAAGTGAACGGATTGGAGTACAAGTCTCGAGGATATGGGTTGTCGCATCACCACAAGTGCAAAAGCCTCCCTACTCACATCTGTTTCTTCGTCTCTCAGTCAACTAAAGTGGAATTAAGGCAAACTGGCCAGGCCAGCCGTGGGTCGTGGGGGAGGCGGGTGATATAAACTGCAAAAAAATACTATTTCTGGCTTCCAAGCGAAGCCGGGCTCATAATCTATTGAAAGATATGATGTCTAGTGGGAGAATAATGATTATTGGTCCTATACAATAGAGGAATACTGGAGAAGACATTGAGTGATTTAAGCCTGGAGTTTCATCAATGCATAGCAATTGACAGCTGAGGGGGGATGGAAGCCCTCGTCTACGTGGTCCTACAGCCAAAATAACACTTGACGATTTAAAAGCCCCATCGGATATCAAGGTAGGACGAATATTCCCATCGAGACCCCTCATATAAGAAAAGACGAGAACAATATATTGGACTCGGCATTTGCAGTAGCTGATCCATTCCATACCAATTAACGCCGAATTCCAAACCGGAAAACAGAATAGACAAGACCAAGTACAACCCACAGATAGAAAGGAAAATACACACGCACGCACGCACAGTAATGAGGATCATGTCATACCGCAATGGCAACCGGAACGAAGAAATGACGCATTGTCACGGATAATGCGAGGAATATAACCGCAAGGCCAGTAGCTTGCAGAAAGATGATCAAGATAAAATCACACAGTCAAGAAGGAAGACGATCATGTGCACATGAGTTGAGGCCAGTGCCTTGGCCAATCCAACACCAACGCCTGGTTCTGCACCAGCAGGAACCCAAAGGAAAAAGAAAAACATTGCAGGGATGTAGACCAATCAGTCGGTCAGAGATATACAGTAGCATGGGCTAACATATGATGCTTGAGCTGTGTATGTCTGCACAGTGCCACCATTGTAACTGGTATAGGTTGTCGTCGGCGTAGGCTCATTCTCTTTGATGTTCACAATCATTCCAGAGAGAAGCGCAAGGCCGCCATCGTTGCGAATCTGCATCTGTTGACAATAGGGATTTTCACGTGTTGGGTCGTCTCGGCGCTCCTCCATTTTGATCCTCCGAGGGTAGTCTGAAAGATCGGAACCACGTTTCGAGTCTTGATGTGTGCCCGCCGTGCTTGCGGCCATGCTGCTATCGGCTAATGCAGTTGTGGTGCTTGATGTCGAGTCCGCAATCGATTGGTTGACATACATGAAGAATTCCATCCTCGTATTGTTCCACCAGCAGAACCAAGGTTTGTCTCCTACTTGAGCAGTGTTCTTGAGGTTCCTGTAGGCCTCTGCCTGTGCCCAATCATCGTCGACGAACGTCCGCTTGGTAATGGAACTGACAGAAAATGTGTCCTCTGGGACAATTACCAATTTGTCGAACGCAGAAACGAAAAAGAGAGCTGGGCCCATGCCAATATCAGTGGTATCAACAGCCATGCTCAATGCTTGTGTAGGAGAAGAAGACCAATAGGGGGCCTGGGCGCCATAGGTGAAAGTTGTAGTAGGAGCGCCGTAATCAAACACAATAGAGTGGTGACCTTTTGTTTGACCAACGAAGACTTCAAATTCACTCGGTGATTGCAAACATTTCCAAGCTTTCCCGTAGTTATTCTCATCCACGCACATTCCTGACCCGTTCTGGAAGCCAGAGGGGACCATAAAGTGACCGGTAGGAACACTTTTGATATTGGTCGGCGTAGAGATCATGGATGCATCCATCTGGGGAGTTGCAGTGACCGTCACAATGGGTGGACCATGGGACTTTTGAGCTTCTTCGTCAGCTTTGCCGGCTTCTGCAGCCCTCTTGGTTCCCAGGACTCCTCCAATAACACCTCCAATGCAACCTCCGATCAGCAGCACCGTCGCGATGAGGACCAACGTCCATACAGGAAGACCACAGCATGCGGTCTGCTTTCCTTTGCGTTTTAACTTTTCCTCAAACGCCATGATGCCGGTGGTCACCGCTGCTCTTTCTCCTCCGTTGCGATCATTGTTACCATCCCCAGAAGGTTCTGGTACCAAAGGCCTTGATGATGTTTCTGAGACTGGTGGCTCTCTTCCTGCATCATTGCTGATGACCGCTTCATTGTTCAGACGGTGCTCTTCAGGTGGTGTGTTGAGGTCAGCCATCGTCTCGGCTCCTGGTGGCTTTGGAATGACACCCGTTGGATACCGTGAGTAGGGCGGAAGTGGCTCGGTGTGGCCGTCAGGTCCAATTATGTCACCTACATCATCATCCTGTCGACCAGCGGGCGGCTGATATGGTGGGTTGTGACCTGGAAATCCGACCGGAATGGGGGAATCATCAATTCCTTCCTCGACCACATTTTGTGAGTACATCGCATAGGGGTGTTGAGGACCGGTGGAATGTTCGATCGGCCGTTCGACAGGGCGTATTGTCGATGTACTACCGACACTTGGCGACCGGCTAACACCAACCTGCGGATACATGCCATATGGATGACTAGGTCCGGTGGCTCCGGTGTAGGGACTGAGGGCACGGGGAATCGAGAAGCGAGAAGAAACACTTTGGTTTCGCTGGATCATAGATGGCGTTGTGTTTATAGAGGAGGTAGAGTTACGGTTGTTGGCGAATCCCCACCCCTTTTGGGGCAGACTGGACCGATGAGGTTCATCAAAGGACAGCCGGGCGTCATCACCGAAAGGGTTCTCATTCTCGGTTGTAGCCGTGCTGACAGCCTTTGGAGGCTGGTTGTTTTCGCGTAAAGTGGCTGACGAGGCGATGGAGGAGGGACTGTGAGGGCGTTCGATTCGATCGGCGTCAATCGGTTCTAATGAGTATTCGTCGGCGAAAACATTAGGATTAGAGACCCGGGAGTTGCGACCGAAGGAATGGCGAGGCATCGAGTCGCTCTGCGATAGACGGGGGGTCTGAGAGGATCGTGAAGCAGAGCGGGAATGCTCTGATGATATATGACCAGACATTTCCTTTCGGTCTGGCAGCCCTGTCGGGCCACCTCGTTATTCGATCAATCCGTTCGATGGACCCAGTCGAGCAGGGCACGGGCGAATGTAAAGTGGCGAAATCAAATCGAAGCAGTTCTTCTCGGAGATCGAAAGAGAAGAAGGGAGTTGATGAGATAGCAATCCAAATGGAGATGTGGTGAAATATGGGGGGGGGAGGAGGTGGAGGAGAAGGGGAAGTTGTGAGGAGCAAGTTTGAGAGTAATGTGACAAGACTATTATTGGCAGAGGGGCCGAGAGTTCAACCACGCAAAAACTCGGACCAGTCAATATTTTTGGGCTTTGGGGAATTCGTCCTGTTTGACTATCATCTTTTCTCCTGCTCTTTTTCCCGTCTTCTTCAAGGGGTCCTTGGGGGTCTTGGGATCGACTGATTCCAGCGCTACTGCGACTAGGGTGCGACTAAGCCCTCCCGTGGATACGTCGCCACCAGGAATTCTATTTTTTTGCCTTGGCCTTTAAATCTAGAATGGCACAGGTGCAGTTTGCAGTTTACAAGACTTTGCAGGATTGAAGTTCCTCAAGATCCCCAGGGAACTCCCGCAGACTGGGGCTGATTTGCACCCTGAGCCACTGAAAGGCTGGACTTCTTACAGGCATCTCGCTTGCGGATTAAGTGTTTGCCGGGAAATGCGTTCCAACTGGCAGACTCTTGAGTACAAGGACGAGTGTTTTATTGGAGCTTCTCAATGTTACAAACAGGAAACATGAGGAAGAAGATTCTGCTTGACTGCACGAAAATTGCTTCCAGGGTTGATCTCGCGTTCTCTCTTGGGTCTCGGCTCGCTTCGAAATCAGACATCCCATTCCATGGAATGCCTCTTTTCTCCTACCCAAAAGGGTTGGGATATTCGCTGGGCACATTGCAGTTCCCGTGAACTTCAGATCCAACGGCCTTGCCTATCGCTTCAGGCCCCTTGGTCTCCGATGACGCGGGGTTGGAACAATGTGTGCGTAACGGGATCCATCCAGGGCACACCGGGCTCCATATTTCTCCATCTGATACAGAGACTGCGGTCTCGATTTCCGCTGTCGACATTATCCGAACCCTTACAGCTGATCCATTTTATTCTAGACTCCTATCCCTCCATCCACCGTTGTGAACCAGTTCCGCCTTTCGTTCAAAAACCTGATTCCGAATCGCATACAGTACATGTAGAATGTCAAGCTTTTTGACTAATTAGGGACCCGAAATACAGTACGGTGTTCCCAATAAACCATACAGTGGGCCAGCCGCAGAGGACCGTCGAGACTCTCTTGTCACTAATCATAATGTTGGTGGTTAGTCCACGGGTATGTCCGTCGCCCTATAAATTAGCGTTGGTGTTCAGGCACTTTCAACCCATGACCAAACATGCCACACCAGAGGACGCGGCTGTTTCGAATTGAGTATCAGATTTTCAATCAGAGTCCAGATTATTTGGGGAAACATTGTAAAATTATTGGTAACTCAGAAGTGAGATATCATTTCACAAATTTGCACCCCGTGACTGCATGCATAGTTTGAAGTGAATTGTAACAGGGCTCTCTTTTTATGGGAGATTGTGAGGATTTATTCCCTGTGACTCTCATCTGTGCATGTAGAATGCATCTACTGTAACGTTCAAGCTGGTCCACCAGAAGCCCCTATTAGTGGAGATATAGCGATGATCTGATGTAGATCTAACTTTATCGCTTGAGATATCAGCATTAACCACCAAGAGGGCTTCATTTTGATATCAGCAACCCTCCCTAAACATTCTATCTATTTTGGCTGTCGTTTTTACCATTGGGCACGGTATTATGGTGCCGCAAACTTAGCTCATAGTTTCGTACACGCCTAGATCTAGACTGACGAGAATCCGCAGCCAAGTGAATAGTCCGTATCCAGGAAATCTGATCCATGTCGGGACAAGCCTTTCTTGGCTCAATACTTTTCAACTTGGTTGATTGGTGTAAATATGGCTGTTGGAGATCAGAGGGTGCTACGACTAGTGGACAAAAGGCGAGGAGAGCGTCGCCTGCCCTATTAGACGAGATGTTAACCTCCCCATCAGAAGCAAAGAGAACATACAAGTCAGCATATTCTCAATCGGATTCAAGATAAATCATCAAGAAAGAGTCTGCAAGTAAAGGGCATCTTGGGTCCCATATCTCCTCTACTACCCCAGCTTCTCCGTGATCCCTGACATGCACTCGCATCTCAACCAATAAGCAAGACAGAACAGCGCCTCTTCGGACAGAATCCCGGGCCAAACAGCAGGCTAGACAGTAACTGGGTCGAACAGAACTTTTCTGACTTCACTATATACGTGCTCTGCCGGTGTTGAACATTTACTCGCTCGATGGATATAGTTATGGAGAGAGTCTGAGATTAATCTCCGTCTATAAGAGACCCGCGTGGTAATGATGGGTGCAGTTCTATTGCTTTTCATCTATTGAGTATCTGTCTATATTAAACGGCTCTAATCATGGGTATCTATAAGCGCAAAATCGCTGAGGACAATACCATTACATCGGTCCCATCAGCTGATGATCAAACCAGGCCTCGCTGTGCTTGCCGTTGAATGTCTCTTCCAGGGTTCCAGGTTCCCTGAGCTTACATGCTTGATCAAACAAGCGCACTTAGGCCAGGGTTGGATTATCATTTTTTTAAAGATACACAAAGTAATTGAAATCCATAAACTTTTACATTCATATGCCTCTCCGAAGACCAAGAATGTCAGATAGCTTCACTTGACCCTTCTCGCCCCAGCCCTGTACTCCACTTTGAACATCTGGTCGTACACGAATGTACCAAGACCAAGCACGTCTATCCAGCTCCGCTTGATCAAGCTTCGGAACCCAGGATAGGCAGAGCATATCAATAGCCGATAAGAGACGGCCAAGACATTCTTCTTTCTCGTCTTCAATGGTCGTAACTGACTTCTTCTTTGCCGTTGATTTTCCTTCTTCAGCTGGCTTTGAGAACGCTCGATAGAGATAAGATCGAGCAGATTCAGGCCTGAAAATGGATAGAGTATTGCCAGCGTTCTTATGTTGACCAGTGTTATGGCTGGGATATTTGACTCTCAGCGCCTCCAGGTCCACGGCCCACAATGGAGGCATTCGAGTTTGTTCATCCTCTGTGCTCTCAATTTTATCTTCTGTCTTCTTCTCACCGAGTGGTTTTCCTTCGTTTGGATCATAGTCCCATCGTTTTAGCACGCTTATATCTCGACCAAGAACTTTGACAATGGGCTGTCCTTCTCCCCACCCTTCTTGTTCAGCAGAGTTGCCTTCTTCGAGTCCCAGACTCACAGCTTTTGTTCGACTGTTGGCTGAAACCACAGCCTGTGCCAGGCTTAATCTGCTGGAAAGTGGTTGTTCTGGCATGGTATACTTCAAAACACACACCGCGAAGGCCAGCACAAGAGGCGCTCGATTTGTGACAATCACAGTATCATTGAGCTCGTTTTCGCTGGCAGCAGTATCTGGTAGGCTCATTGAAGATTCAATTTCATATGGAGTGGCGTCTTTTTTCAATGGTTTGGAGCTTTTGTTGCGTTTCTGGGGTGATGATTTGATATCATCTGAAGTTCCTCGCTTCTTGGATATTCTTTTGGCAGCATTGTGAATCTGTTTTGCAATTTTCTTATCTAAAAAAATGTCTTCCAAAGTTTTCAAGTCTGCTTTGGCGATTTGCTCGGCTCTGAAATCATGTTAGACGTAGAATATATCTCGTGAGCGGGGATTTCACGTTAGCAGATTAACCTTCTGCAGTTCCAATGTTTTGCCCATCGCCGTAGCTAAAGGAAGCTTGGCATCTTGCGACAGGAACCTCAGTAGATCTTGAATTTGCGCCGAAGCCATGATGTACTAGGAAGCAAGATTGCAGAACTGCGGCGGTGCTGTTTAGATAAGTTCGTCATCGGTAGAATACTGCTGGCAGTAACCACGATACCGCCCTCACCAGGCTCCAGACCGCCCAATTCGCGCCTCAAGATATGTTGGACAATCAGTATTCACAATGAATCCTCCTCCATATTATCTTTATTATCCACCTGCAGCTTGGATACCACCACCTTAGCTGCATCTGCAGCTTCCTTGCAACATGTCAGATGATCCGAAGGGAAAGAGCTTCCCTGACGTGTCGGCCAAGCTCTCCGCGCTTCCCAAGAAATCGTTGTTCGAGCGCCAAAAGGCCGAGGCAGAAGCCAAGCGGGCCCGTGAAAAAGCCGAGACAGCTGCGGTATATGAAGACTTTGTCAAGTCATTTGAGGACGATGTCCCGACTGGCCCAAAGTCCTCCGATGGACGACTTAACTCTTTCGGAAGCAGGGGTGGTGGGCTGGGCGGGCCTTCAAAGCGACATTTCCCAGCATCTGCGTCACGAAACAGTGGCCCGGGAACCTTAGGACCGCCTCCATCTTCGCTTTCTCGCAAACGTACCCACGAAGGATTTGCACCCTCTCATCGCGACCAACCCAGATTCGACACGGCGCATGGCGGCCTATCTGGACCGGCATCTGCATTTCGTGATTCTGAAGCTGACAGAGTTGCCGAAGAGGCAGAGAGGGCAGCTTCAAAACCTACGTTACATCTCGCATCTCTCCCTCCTGGAACATCACCGTCAGTCATCAAGGCATTAATCCCCTCCGCTCTCAGTGTGGACAACGTGAAAATTCTACGCCCACCCAGCCAATCTCCAACTGAACGACGATCCTCATCCGCGATTGTTACCCTGACTAGCGATGCAGCAGCCTCGGATATCGACACCACCGTGAGCACACTCCAGAACAGATACCTTGGCTGGGGATACTACTTAACTCTCTCCCGACATCTCTCTTCTGCTGCAATCGGTTCAAATGTACCAATTCCTATCGGTGTTTCCTCAACCGCTTCTCTTCCTTTTGGTGCGAAAACCATTCAGCCGACTTTAGGGGGAACATTGAGTCGAGCTCCACCCCCAGGGTCACACCGTGGAGGATTCGCACCTCCCAGTTCATATGGACCTCCCGCTGGAAGAACTGGACCTTCCACCCAGGTGGAAGTAAAAGCACCATCAGATATCAAACAACTGAGACTCATACATAAGACCCTGGAAAATCTACTGAACCACGGCCCAGAGTTTGAGGCGTTATTAATGAGTCGACCTGAGGTCCAACGCGAAGAAAAATGGGCTTGGCTATGGGATGCAAGGACGACCGGTGGTGTATACTACCGCTGGAAGTTATGGCAGGTTGTCACCAACCCGCGCGCTGGAAAGGCCCAAACACATAAACAGACAGCCGTATTTGAAGGCGGACCAAATTGGGCACCCCCGAAGGGCGATTTGAAATACGAATACACCACCCGTCTCGATGAGTTTGTTTCAGACGAGGACTACAACTCTTCCGACGAAGAGCATTCAGATGGCGAAGACGAGAGGCGCAACTTGAGTGGAGCACCTCCTGATGGAGCAAATTCGCACAGTGATGGTCTTGGGTACATGAATCCTATGCGGAAAGCCAAGCTCACGCACCTTCTCGCACGACTCCCAACTAGTCATGCAAGACTAAGACGAGGCGATGTTGCCCGAATCACCGCATTTGCTATCGAACATGCCGGAGCGGGAGCAGATGAGGTTGTCGATATGATTGTTCTGAACGTTCTCCACCCCCTTGCCTACACAGGGGCCAATCCAAACCGTGAATTGGAGAAGAGTTCTGCGAGGTCTGAAATTGCGGCCAAGGATAACCATGCCACAGCGAAAGAAGCATTGGATGTATCCGCATCTAAGCTAGTCGGACTCTACATCATTTCTGATATTCTCTCATCATCAGCCACCAGTGGCGTTCGCCATGCATGGCGTTACAGACAACTTTTCGAATCTGCTCTCCGCTCCCACAAGGTCTTGGAGCACCTTGGCCGACTAGACAAAGATCTCAGCTGGGGTCGCCTCAAAGCAGAGAAGTGGAAGCGCAGCGTTGGTACACTTCTTCACCTATGGGAAGGATGGTGTGTGTTTGCACAATCAAGTCAAGAGCACTTCGTTCAAGTATTTGAAAAGCCACCACTCACCGAGAGTGAAATACAAAAAGAGAGAGAAAAGGCTGAGGCGGAGCGAGCCGCCGCTGTCGTTGCAAAGGCCAAGAGCCGGTGGAAGACCGTCGATGACGACGAAATAGCCGGCAAATTCGATCCTACACGGCCTGCACCAGAAGAAAGCCATTCTACTGTTGATCTCGCAGAGGACGTTTTGATGAGTGACATTGACGGCGTGGCAATGGAAGACAGCGACCTGGAAGAAGTTGATAGTATCCCGATGAACAAGGAGCATCCTCCAAGCAGCGACGACACTCAAGACCAGCCACCCCAGAAACCACCACAAGTATCTCAAGTTTCTGAGCAGCCCGAGCAACCGGCTGGGAAGCAGGAACCAGAGGGAAGACAGCGAAAGCCACGTCCCAAAGCTGAAGACATGTTTGCTTCAGATTCGGAGTAAACTTGGGCACAATTGTAATTGTACGTGTATGGACAAAGATAATGACTTGCTATGAATCAACAATTTTCACATGCTCTTGTATCCAGTAAATTTAGGTGCATATACAACATGAACATCTTTACTGGCTTGGTTTGTTCCCTTTCCTGTAGCTATAGGAGTCTCAGCTTTGATTTATAGCGTTAGATGAATCGTTGTCCAGAGACAGCGAGCCTGTCACAGACCATTAGCTGTATCCAGCGTCGCCTTTTGCAGATGTGTACCACAGCCTTGACCTTTCTTCCACACTGAAACTTGAATGAAACTTGAATGATGCTACTATTACCAGAAGTTGTTTTCAAGGCTATCGTGTTTGCTGGTCTTGTTATGCAATCTGCTGTTCTGGTCTTTGCTGGCTTTGTTATTTACTACCTAGGATGGGAGAAGAATGTTAGTCGCCCAAAGCCTATGCATGTCCACTTTTGATTATTGGGACTGTTCTTGTCTGCGGTGGAATGTTTTATTGGCCTTCATCTCTCTTTCCTAGTAGCAGAAGCTATCAGCATTTATGAGTCAAGGATAGCCCTGGGAGCCGTAGCAGGCTCCCGCTATTTGCTAAGCACACATTGAGCATTGGCCTTTAATTCCCAATTTGCTGCCCAAACACTAGAGCTGAACCTGGCAACTTTAAGGCCTGATCAGAAGATCAGAATTATGCCTATCATATACTGAAGAACAACGAAAGGGTAGTATCTGCCAGGAAACCAACACTATCTTTGGGGTATGCGAAGCTGATCGGACATGACAGGCGCATGTTTTGTATAACATAATATTGCCACACTAGTCAATATTCGCTAGTCACTAGCCAGAAGAGATCTAGAACATCATGTCTTATAAGAGCAAGAATCTCAAAATGTATATGGGATAAGGCAGAAAGGCAGAAAGGCGGAAAAGTGGAAAGGCGGCAGAAATACATTTCATGCCCCACGACCCCTCATCAACAAATACCTTCTTCACCCTCATCTCTTACTTCTTTGCTCTCTGCAACTTTAAATCCTCCTCAGTTTACTCACAAACCTCACTCAAGATGTCCGGTATGCTGTGATACAGAGTGCACCAAGCACTCTCCCCTTCCTACCCCTCTGGCAGCGCTCTGATCCTCAGTCCTTAAACGGCAATACGTGAACAGTTCTGCGCAGTCTGGCAGCTTAGTATCAAAGTTTAAGACATTGAACAAACATAAGCTAACACAATCACTCTTTATAGACGACTCTGCCCCCATCGCTCGTATGTTCCCTGCACATCTCACCAATCTAGCAATACGCCCTCCCTCGCAATACCCCATTGAGCTGCGAACCATGTCTCAGTTGACAGTGGTAAAATAAGAGCCTATCCTGACTTACCCATCCTACAGAGGAATTCCTGAAGTTCTACTATGCGGCCTTCGAGTCAGATCGCCAACAACTGGCTCCTCTCTACGTAAGGCAGCTTTATTTGGGAGTTTGAGGCAAGAAACTGGACGCTAATTCAACCTTTTTCGATAGCGCAACAACTCCAAGCTCAGCCATGAGGACAACTCCCTTACAGGCGTTGAGAAGATTCTATCCCATATCTCGGTGCGTGAACTCCCAACCCCTCCCTGAATAGCGCTGCTTGCTACTTTTTGATAAGAAGCCGAGTATACTGATATAAGATGAGCATTTATAGAGCATGCCCCAAGTGAAGCGCGAGCTTGTCAACATGTACTCCCACTATACGAATGAGAATAAGAATGCCATCATGATCATGATGCACGGTCACCTCCTTGTACGTCATATGAACATACCCTTGTTTCTATTTCATAGCTAACGATACGTTTCAATAATAGGCCTCCGACACCCAGCGTATGAACTTTGTTCACGTCTTCAGCCTGCAACAGGAGCCTAATGGCGGCTTTTACATTGCCAGTGAGATGTATCAGCTTGTGTTCAACGCCTAGACCATAGGGTTGCAGATACTGGTTATGACAGTACCATAGGAGGAATGATTTACTTTTCATGAAAAGATTTCCCCTTGGTGGGGAAAACCAGCACCAATTGTGTCGTGTCGCAAAGGATCTATACTCCTCAATTTTCGATACGAATGAAGTCTATTTGGACCAATATAGAAACAAATAAGTCATCGTTCTATATCAAGCTACGCCAAAGCGTGTTTCACCATGGCTTATCTATAAGTCTCAAATCACTGGCTCTGAAGCAATGGCGTTTCCTCAGATGGGCGTTCGAAAGGCTCATTTTCGGCTCGCTCATCGGCACGGTCAGCCTCATGCGAAGCTCCATTAGAATCAGCATGGCGCCCAAGCTCTCCTTTGTTATCGGATCCAAAGTACTCGAAGTAGATCGCCATGACTAGCAAAGTACCCTGCAAGCAAGCCGTGACAACCAATACCCCCCATATACTCCAGCCAGCCCATCCCTTGCGCGCAGCTAAGCTACCGGCCCAGACTAGACTCCCAGGCGTCTGGATGCACATCATGGGGATACTCAGGCTCCCCACACAGCGCAGTCGGAACGTAGTGTAGATCTGCGGGAAGTACTGTATGGATGCGAGCACAGCAGACAAGACACCTAGGAAGTTCGCCCAAGCCGGCATAGCGGCTGGTTGGCGAATCTTGAAAGCGAAAGAGATTATCGTTGTTGCGAGTGCGTGGAGGAGGCACAGTCCTGTTACGACGAGTGCGGTACGGTAGGTCGGTCCGTTGGTTGTGGAGGAAACGGCGCTTACTGGGTCTGTTGGGGATGTTGCTCGTGGGAAATAGATCACGAATAGGAGCAGGCTAGACAGGATGTGTTAGAAATCGTCACTTATCATGGCACACCTGCCATTGTAAAAGTTCATCGGATGTAGACTTACATCGAGAAGAAACAGAGCCACTGCGTGCCCACCTGGAAGACGCCGAGCAGTCCTGCAAGACATGCCATGCCGCTGACCTCCTGGCAACATGCAACATCTTGAGCGGTGGAGGGGAAGACTAGGATGTTGGCAAAGGCTGAGGTTCCTGATGTTACCCCTAGTAGCACGAAATAGGGCGATATTCCAAAGGAGCTTCGGCGGGCGATGATGCGGATGTGTTGAGGGAGATATGAAAGGAGGATACCAAAGACGATTAAGCTAGGGGATTTTGTGAGTCATTTTCTGACAGCTTTGTTCCATAATAACATACACTGATAGAACAGTTTGAAAGACATTGGGCGAGGCCAGCTCGCGGCAGTATGGAGTTGATGGGTCCATGTTGGGGTTAGAGAGCTATGGAGCTCAGCTCGGAGGTCGGGGTAGCTCGCAGATCAGGGCCAGGAGCTAGCTAGAGCTGGAGCCGAGCTAGAACTAGACAGGATCTAGAGCTAGAGTGAAAGAATAGGTTTAAAGGATCACATCTAAAGCATCAAAGTGCATACAGGGGAATCAGGGGGAGATGAACCCTCTGACTTATCCCCGCAGTGACTGTTCGTGCCTCGGCGCCTGAGGTTTAGCCCAACTTCAACTTCAACTTCTTCATCTTCACTCTACATAGTGCTCACTATAGAAATATCTGGTTCAATGTTATTTCCATAACAAGATTCCTGTATTAGCCATGACGGAATACGAAATTGATGAATCATGCATCCAGCCAAGGCAAATTCCCCAACTACGTCACTGCGCAATCATCCTTGGTCCTTACTTGCTTTGCGCTGTTCACGCATTTCTTACTTCTCCTGCTAAGTTCTCTTCGTTATTCTTTCTCTTACAACATCCATTCTATTGAATTTGAAAACGAAGCCAAGATGAAGCTGAATTTGGCCACTGGCCTACTGGTTTTCCTTGCGTCCACTGAAGTCGTGGCAGCTTCTAGCTGGTGGAGTAAGGCTGGTACGTTGTGTCATCACCTGGCAGGATTGAGAGAGCTTGTCAGCTAACAGCAGCAGTCTACAACAAATGGCACGAAACTGAGCTTGAGCGATGGCTATCCGATCATGGTACGATATACTTCGCTGGTTCTCGTGGCTACCCTGTGGCTAGATCTATTAACACTCTATAGATATTCCTCACCCTAGTCCTGCCGACCGCAGAGATCTAGAGAACCTGGTCAAAACCAACTGGGATACCAGAGTGCAGAAGCCTCTGGGAGCAGTGGCCGACCAAATCAACGAACAAGCTCACCATGCAAAGGGGTGGGTTTTTGACACGTAAGTTGTTTACCCCAATTCTCTCACAAACTGAAGCTAACTCAAATAGTTGGTCCGACTCCCAGTTGAAGACATTCCTTGATCGCCATGGCATTCCAGCTCCCCAGCCCCGCAAGCGCGATGTGCTGATCAAGAGTGCGCGTGAGAACTATGAAGCCATTGCCAAGAAAGTTGGTGAAACCACCTCTTACCCTGGAGACTGGCTATACGAGACATGGTCCGAGTCCGATCTCAAGGGATGGCTTGACGAGCGTGGATGGCCCGCTCCTCAGCCGTCAACTCGTGACAAGCTCATTGCCTCAGTGCGCCGTAATTCTCGCATCGTCAGCTTGCAGGCACAGAGCATCGCTGCATCTGCATCTGCATCTGCCGAAGCCGCTACACAGTCTTTGAGTGATGAGCTTTTCAATGCGTGGTCTGATTCGAAGCTGAAAGAGTTCCTTGACGAACACAATGTCAAGGTTCCCCAGGGATCCAAGCGCAATGAACTCGTCGCCCTCGCCCGCAAGAACCGTGCGTACCTTGTTGGAAAGGCCTCCAGCGCTGCCTCCAGTGCTTCTAGTGCTGCCGAGGATGCGTTTGGTGCTGCGACCACCAAGGCTGGAAACCAGTATGCGCGCGCTACCGATGACGTCAGAATGAAGGCCGAGGACGAGTTCAACGCTGCACTGAAAGGCTGGTCTGACTCCCGCCTCAAGGCATTCCTTGATGCTCGGAGTGTTCCTGTCCCTCAGAACGGCAAACGTGATGAGCTAGTTGCTGCTGTGCGCGCCAACGCCCACAAGGCTGCTGGTGGATGGAACCAATACAACTTTGATACTTGGGACAAGGAGCACCTGTTGTAAGTGACTTTTCATACCATCAAAGTTGTTACCCCGCTAACAATATTAGGAAATACCTGTCTGCTATGAACAGCAAGGCTGCTAAGAAAGCCGATGCCTCCCGCGAGGAGCTAATCAAGAATGCTCAGGACTCCTACGCCAAGGCTTCCAAGGCTGGTGGTGAGCAGTACGCCTCTGCGTCTGCCTCTCTCGCCCAGGCCACTGGTTCAGTCAAGGACGCTACCTTTGACCAGTGGTCACAATCCGAGCTCAAGAGATATCTTGACTCGTACGGCCTTCCCGTCTACCAGGGCTCAAACATTAATGAGCTCCGTGCTGCAGCCCGTCGCAATGCCCAGTACTTCAAGTACGGCACCACGAACCCTCAGGACACTCTCTACGCCAAGCTCGTGGATACTTTGCAGTGGGCTTTGGAACAACTGAAAATCGGTGCTTCTAGCGGCCGCGCCCAAGGCCAAGAAGCTGCCGAAAAGACGCAGGAGAAGGTCTCCGAGAAGGCCCAAAAGCTGCGTTCGGAGCTGTAAAATGCTATTTCGAAGATCCGCCTGATATTTGCCTTTGTGGTGGTTGGATGTCAATTCGGTTCAGCTTCTACGATATTGCTTAGTTTACGATGATCATGATATTTGAGCTTCAGGTTGTTTTAGGTTGCTTTCGTTAGCTTGTGATTGTTCAAGGGCCTTGATTTTTGTTGATTGTCAATAACATACTCTCAAATGCAACACTCGAAAGCCCTCATATTTGACATGATGTACAATAAAAAGTAAAACCATATTTCTATAGCGATGGGACAGAATAAACCCGAAAAAAAAGTGCCGTAGCTTTTGATGCAAGTCAACAGTAATCTTGACCTGAGGTATCCATCACCAACCTAGAATGATTCCAACCTGGTTATCTCAGCTCATGGTATAGACCGGAGATATCTGCTCAATTTGGTTATTCCTTTACGACGAAGGAGCTTCCGGGTCACCCTCAGCAACCAACTTTCCAACAACAAGGTACTTCTCCGAGAAGCGCTCCTCCCACGACTGCAAGTTCTCCAACTGCTCCCCATCCAAATCCTCCAGCTTATCCAACGGAGCCGACAGATCCTTGGTCAACATCTCCTCATCGAAGCTCTGGTGAGCCAAGCCACGGGATGCGTCGCGGCCAGCAAAGTTCTCGTAAGGACCACCCTGTTCAACCCATGCATCGTCAGCGTGTGCCCAGCTCCAGATCTGGGTCTAGACCCAGTCCCATTCCTAGGTGTTCCACGGGATTCCAACACATACCGGTCCGTAGAAGTTTCTTCCGGGAGATACATCAAAGACCCGACCCCGCACTGCAAGGTAGACGGGCTGGTCGTTCAGGCCATTATATTGAATCAGCGTTTTGGGGGTGTAGGTCTTGAAGACGACCGGTGGGGGGCCGCGCGGGAGGGCAACTGGTGCCTTGGGTCGGAAGTGCCAGTACAGTAGCACAACGAAGAGGGAGAGGAGGATTAAATTGATTGGTGATGCGATCGACATCCTGTTGAGTGTAGTGTTAGTTGGTCGAGGTTCGGAGCTTTGAAGATGAGGTACGGCGGAGCGTTGGGAATGGGAACACAAACACTTCGGGCTGTGGTACAGAGTTGTCTGCTTGATTGTTAGCGGGAGAAGTAGGAGCAGGAGGTGGCACATTACCGGCCATGTTGGAGGTTGAATTGGAGGAATGCCCGGAGTCTCGGGATGACGAGAGCTCCCCGCTCTATCCCACGTGATAGTTGCCGATAACTTCAATCTTCCATCTTCGATCTTCCTTCTTTTATATTTAGCTTTCCGTTGATCCTCATATCGACATGTGTCTCCTGGGTCTATTATTATACCGATATCGATATTGCATGTGAATGATTGGAGAACAGGCCTCCCTATTGCTAATTTAAAACCGCCAGCAGGCCCTGAGCTGTTTCATCTCCACTGGACATCCCCATTTTAATTTGTCGCTTGGCCAGTTAGCTTGAATCCGTGATGCCATGTTGTTTCTTTGCCTTTCCCTGTATTCTATATCTTTTCACTGAATAGTTTCTTTTTCTTCGATCTATACTCGAGAACTTGGCTCTATTTTCCGCACACTTCCGGGCTTGTCCGTGGTCCATAAACAACGGTCTCAAACCCCCTTTCCTCGAGAGTTCTCCCTTCTTTTTGTCTTTTTTTCCCTTTCCTCGTACCCTGTACAAGAACTGCGTGAAATTGCTGCTTTCTTTTGCGATTCCAGTCGTATAGATCTGCCGTGTATCACGTAGATCAAAATGTGGTCCAAAGGGCCATTCAAGTCTCGACGGAACCCCACATCAAACCCGTCTCCGTCTCCTCCGGGGTCGCGGGATAAAGAAAAGGGTCTGCCGCCTCTGCCAAGGTGAGTTTGGCGTTAAAAGCCAAGTCGAAACTTTGAAAAGATCTAATTCTAGGGCAGGGACTTGAGCGTCAACAAACAAATCCACTCGCATGAGATGAACAAAAGATACTCGGACGTCTCGTCCATGGGATCGCCAGATCCTGGTCATGAATGGCATGGTAGCCAAAGTAGCTTCTGCGTGTCACCAATAGAGGAAGGACAAGCCTTTCCTCCTGCGCAAAGGGACTATCGGGTGTCTTCGGCACCATCTCCGATTCCCATGGAGAAAACATACACAGCCTCGCAATCTACGCTGCAGCCTGTCCAGCCGGTGCACAAATTTACTCGATTTGCGCCTGAGCGGCCAGCGGATTGGGACAATTATGCGCCTGAGCCACCCGCAACTATGACTGGCAAAATGCGCGCCACCTCATCACACAAGCCATCTGGATCCCATACATCCAACTTGCTCACCTGGGGTCGCGCACAACTCCGCCCCACCAAAAAGGTCAACGAGGTGCGAACTCGAATGAGCAGCTTCTCAAAGAACGAGCAACCTGCACCAGAACTCAGGAATAGATCCTCGTCACGTGCATTATCAAAGGAAGCATTGTCAAAGGAAACACATTCCAACCGCGTCCCAGAGCAAAGTCCCCAGATTGGAGGCTTTGGTTTCGTCCCATCAACAGTGACAACCATCACTGCCGGTGGTCCAGAATACGTGCCAGCAAGACCAGCAACAGACCACGCACCGAGTCACTCGCAGCCGAACCCGCCAGTTTTTAAATTCGACGACGACCACAGGATTGCCAGCATGATGCTTCCAAGTTATGAACCGGCTTCCCGCTTCAGCGGTACAACCGACACAACCACCGACTCGGGCAGCCATAATGCAAGCCCGCGCGAAAGTTTCCAGCTTGAGAACCAGTCTACCGATGACCTTTTGTCTGCGTCTTCTATCATGTCACGACGCAGACCAGTTCCCAACGGCCCGCCGGTCTCCAAGAAGTCTCCAATATCAATTTCCAAGAAGCCTCTTCGTAAGCCTACCCCATCTGAGGCAGCACAGATTCCTGCGGTGAATTTGACACCGCCTCCTGTGGCTGAGGAGCCCAAGGATGCGCAAGGCCGGATTGAGGCCCTGGAGATCAAACGGACCGAACTTGCCCAGCGCCGATTTAACTTGCAAACTATGGTTGATGAGTTGAACAAGGTTATCCAGCCTACCTCTATTGCTTATGATTTGGCCGCCAAAGCTGAGGTCAAGAAGAGTATCCAGAGCATGGGCAATGAGATTGATGAGATCAAAAAGGAAGAGCACGACCTTGGAATGAAGATCGCTCGTGCCTGGCGTCGGTTCGATGAGAAGGAGAATAATGGTGATGGTAATAGTCTCTGGGTCAAGCGTGTCACTAGTTAGTGACCCGATCATCTTCGTTAATACTTCTGCGGAGATTTATGCAGTGATTTTTCTGCTATTTGTTTGAAGCCTTTTTGATTTATCTTTGTTTTTTGGATGGTCTGCATTGTCACTTGTTTCCGAATATTGGGGCGTGGGTTGTTTTGAGCGTTCAATTTCCCTGCTGCGCAATTCTTGCAAGGCAGGATGATACCCCCTTCGATTCGGAGTTGTCTAAGCCATTGAGCTTTTTTATCGTTCGTTTTGTTTTATTAAGTTGCAATTCTCACTGTTCACTGTTCACTGGTCTTTACTGAGTTTGGTTCGGAGAAATTGTAGAAAATATGTAGATTTGCGATCAAATGTGAGGTATGGTATGTGTTGGTGGCTAAGGCTATACAAGGACACATAGAGAACCGATGAGTGTTGTCATAATGCTGGCGCTATCATTTTGAAACCACCCATCCTCCGCTCTCAATGAACATGGCTCGTGGAAGTCGTGAAAGAGTCGGAAAGCCTGGCGTCAGGCTATTGTGGGGGTTCGCCGATGGTTGTTCAATCATTTATTTCTTGCCAGACTTCTTGATACCCTGCTGGCCGGTGTTGAGGGGACCCTTCTTGCCCTTGGCAGCCTCCATCATGTCCTTCTTGGCCTTGGCATCTGAAAGGATGATCAGTACACAGAATCACACGCTGCCTGGTGACTTCAAGAAAAACATACCAGCCTTGAGCTTGGCCTGGTGAGCAATATCATCCTCGTCGAGGTCCTTCTTCTCCTTCTTGGCGGCCTTCAAAGGCTTGACCTTGCCACCTGCATGTCGCAAAAAAAGTCAGTGGACGAATTTCTTGAGTGTGGAATTCAGAATGCTGCGCACCTTCTCTGCCTTGACCACCCATTTTTCTAGATTTAAACCGTGGGAACGGGAAATAGAAGATCCAAATAGAAACGGAGTGTTTGGGAGGCGATGTTCAACAACGAAAAAAAAACGAGCGTCGAGGGGCGCTTATCATATAGAGGGGACTGAGGTTGACCGCCTACCCCTTCAGGACAAGCGCAGAATCTGCCCTATCTCCAACCTCGAATCGCGATGGCTCATCTTTACCCAGATCCATCATCGACACCCGCATTTGCAATCATCCATCAAGCTTGTTTTGACAAGCTATGCGCTTGGGAGGATAATCTGATACAAGGCTTTGGTGTGAAGGCAGGCCTCTTACAGCCGGTTGGACTTTCACAACTCCCTTTGATTTCAGAAGATCGTTTTTCACTGGGAGCTTCCGCTAACTGAGCGTTCTTTACTTGCTTGAAGCCTCCTCCAAAGGCCGATTCAGTCTGAAGTGAGAAGAAAGAAGAGGAATAAGAAGAAGATCACCCGTGCATTTGTGTCGATCTATACCTCGGCGCGTCGCAACAATGTCGCATCACAGATCGAGGTCCTCGTCGACCCATTCGGAGGGTGAGATCGTCGAATCAGGACCAGAGATGAAGGCAACTGCGTCAAAACCTCCTCCTAAAGGCACCAACATTGACCGTCCCACCAGAGATAGTTCACCCTCTGCGCCCTTGTCTCCCCCATCACTGGACGGCTCCAGTTCCCCACGCCGCCGGAGATTACCCAGGCCCCGATCTCGCTCTCCATACAGGAACAACAGAAGTTCCAAGCGTCGACGTGATGATGACTACGAATACGACAGATATGAGAGCCGAAATTCCCGGCCCGAGCCTTCGCGAAACTACGGGTCTAGATACGACGACAGGAACAGAGATCCATCTCCCGGCCGCCGGCCAAAATCTTACTATGACTATGACCGTGATGACAGTTATGGTGGAGGCTTGCGATACAGTGACGATTACGATCGACGCCAGGATAAGCGGCCGCGTACCCGCAGCCGATCCCCGTACCGTGAATCGAGAAAGCCCAAGAAGTACTCAAGCGACGAGCTTGATCATGAGGCGGATGGTAATGTGCCTTCAGCGGACTCCGGAAGACACAAGCCCAATGAACAGGTATTGAGCAAGCGGGAAAAGGCACCTATCGTCGGGTATTCCAAGCTTGGTGCTGAATTACGAGAGACTCAAGAACAGGCGTCCAAGTCCCAAGCCTCCGTGGCCGATGAGTAAGTTTACAGATTACCTGTAGAGAACATGGCTAACAATGTCTAAAGGGAGCACCATAACCTCGAATCTGTGGACTCGCAGCAACCCGAGCCAGTTGACGAAGCCACTGAGCTTGAGGCTCGCCGCAAACGTCGCGAGGCTATTCGGGCCAAGTATCGAACCCAAGCGACCCCGCTCCATCTCAAAGCAGTGGAAAACATCGGTAGCGGTGAGACTGATACATCTACACCTGGCACTGAGCCGGCTAGTGCAAAGGAAGCATCAGGTGTGTTTACTCTAGATTGTCTCGGTCAAGGCCCAGAAAACTAATTTGTGATAGATTCTCCCCTTGGAACTCCCCTGGAACAGCAGGTGGATCTTCCCGAGTTCAGTCTCGGACAGGACGTTGATTTGGCCAATTCCAAAGCTCCAGTCGACGATGCTGATCAAGATGAGCCTTCTGCTGCTGATTATGATCCAACTCTTGACATGAAGGAAGAGAGAGAGAAGCATAGCAACGTACAGATCAATAAGGACGATGTCTCATCTGCGTCATACGATGAAACTCAAACAGCTAAACAGGATGTTCTCATTCCTGATGCAAAAGACGATGCATACGACATGTTTGGAGACGACGATGACATGTTCGCTGAAGACGCACCGCCGGCACATGCCTCAGCAAAGTCAGCCGTTCCACAGGGCAAAGAGCTGGACGTTAGTATGATGGACAACTGGGACGACTCGGAAGGATACTACAACGTTCGACTTGGAGAGCTGATTAACGGAAGATATCACGTCACCCAGAACCTAGGCAAAGGCATGTTCTCAGCTGTCGTACGCGCGACCGACACCAAGACAGGGAACCTCGTCGCCGTCAAAATTATTCGCCAGAACGAAACCATGCGCAAAGCCGGCATGAAGGAAATTGACATTCTGGAGCAGCTCACGGCGGCCGATCCAGAACACAAGAAGCATATTATCAAGTTTGAGCGACACTTTGAGCACAAGGGCCACTTGTGCATGGTGTTTGAGAATCTGAGCATGGATCTACGTGAGATCCTGAAGAAGTTTGGTCGAGACGTTGGTCTGAACCTGCGCGCGATCCGGGCCTATGCGCAACAGATATTCCTCGGACTGAGTCTCCTCCGCAAGTGTAACATCCTGCATGCAGACCTCAAGCCGGATAACCTTCTTGTGAATGAGCAACGCAACATTCTAAAGGTTTGTGATCTAGGATCGGCGTCTCCGGCCTCTGAAAATGAGATCACGCCTTACCTCGTCAGTCGGTTCTACCGTGCCCCAGAGATCATCCTGGGCATCCCTTATGACTTTGCCATTGATGTGTGGTCTATCGGTTGTACACTCTTCGAACTGTACACCGGCAAAATCTTGTTTACCGGCCGGAACAACAACCAGATGCTCCGCTCGATCATGGAATGCCGAGGCAAATACCCGCCCAAGCTTCTGCGTCGCGGGTCCCTGGCACCGCAGCATTTCGACGACATGCTCAATTTCCACAGCGTGGAAGAAGACAAGATCACCGGACGGTTGGTTACGAAGATTGTGGACTTTAAGAAACCCACGCGTGACCTCAAGACTCGACTGATGAGCCAGGGCACACGCGGCATGTCCGACATGGACGCCAAAGATCTGACGCTGTTCGTGGACTTCCTCGACCGCTGCTTGAGTCTGAATCCCGAGAAACGAATCACGCCCGCGGATGCACTGAAGCACCCGTTCTTGACGCGCAAGGTGTAACGATGGGGGGGCATGACGGAAGGGACCATCAGTTTCAGCATTGCAGCGATTGCCTGCTGACCAGGATGTTCCCAGCCTTCCTGGACGGACCCTGTCCCGGCTTAAGCATAATGTAATCAAGATGTCGACGCTCCAGAAGGATGATCTCGAGGGGGGGGGGGTGGTTTAGTCCCTGTCCATATGCATCACCACCAGTATGTAACTTACCTCTTTAAATCTTGAAATCCAAACCAGGTCCAGATCCAATCCAATCCAAACATTCTCGGGCCAACAAAACCGCCCTTTCTCTATCTCGTTAATTGTTTTACATTTCAAAGTCCCCTGTTGCCGAGGGGGTGGCTGAAGATCCATTCAGTCCAATCCAACCCCTCAGACCCTACATACGCAGCGCTGTGTAGCCAACACACCCAACATCACCGAACAAAGAACCAGTCCAACCCCCTACATCACATCTCCGGCCACACAGTACCAATGCGGATCCTCTCCCAGCCCCAGAAAGCCCCAGCACCAACCTCGTAATCAGCAAGCCCCTCAGCAACAATGCCTACAGTACGCCCCGTAGGTAGCCTCCCAGCTCCACCCTCTCCAACACCATCGACCAGACCCAGACGCCCGGAACCATCGCCACAAAATCCAGTCGGCAAAGACCTCCCAGATTCCACAGCTCCAACAGATATTCCCCCCGGTCCCAGTCACCCGGATCGCAGCAGAACAAAGAACCCCAAACCTTCATTCTTCTCGGACCCGAGCCCCGAAGACAAATCTACTACTCCATTTGGGTTGGCTTGTTCTAGATCTCTTTCTTCCCAAACTTTCCCTCGGCTCGGTTCCGTGGGTCGAGGTACCCAATTTTGGGGTTCTGGGGGGAGGGGGGGCATCTGAAGGGCATGGGGGCCATAGACAGGGTAATTCGCCGGTTTCAGCTGGCGTGTCTATAACGTTATCCGTATTTAGGTTCATGTTTGCAGTGCAGTTAGGGGGTTCTCAGATATACATGTACTGCACACACTTCATGCTCGAGTAAGTGATGATTAAACTTAAACCTTCCATGGCGGATATCGCGGGTACTTCTCATCGAACATTCTTGGGTTTCTCTTGTTGCTCGTATTGGCGGATTGGTGGTGACGCCTTAGGCCTCCGTCCTGGGATTATTCTTTTTTTTGGATTCTTGTTTTTTTCTACTGTATAACTTATCTCATATTTCCCTCAACTCTCTGTACATGTAGGATGCAGGTCTGCTTATTGGATATTAGTGGCTGGTGATTCTTGACTATTGGCCCGGTCGGGCGTGAACGAGGTAATTGTGAGCGAATGGGAGGGGCGATGGGCTGGTTGGGTGCCGATTGGGGAGTTTGGCTTTTATTGTTGTGTTTTGTTTTCCTGCTTTTGCTTTTGCTTTTGCTTTTTGGGTGGCTAGTTCGGACTATTCATGCGGTATAGTTTGGGACTAGTGGTGTGGGCGGTGGTTGGATGGAATTGCCTTTACTACTCCGTACAGGAGATGGGATAACTGGCTTCCGACTGTACAGACACAGTTCACAATTCACAGTTCAGTTCACAGCCCATGACATAGAAGCAAGTGGAGACCAATTCCAGAAGCCCCCTTGTCCTCGCCACCCGGGTAAGAATCAAGTATCTGTACTCTGTACAGTGGACTGTACAGTAGCAAACGCAATGGCGTGGCAAAAGCAGCCGCATTTAATCTCCGACTTGGCTTACATACCACTGTAGGGATTATTCAGGAAGTACAGGAGTAATCATGATGTCGAGATGGGTTTCTATGGTGGGTCCCCCCCGCCACCTGCATCTAAGGCAGACTTGGGCGCTGAGGCAAAAAAAAAAGGAGAGACAGGAAAGAGACAGGGGAGAGAGAGAGGCAACAAGGATGATCTGTGGCGGTCGGCACTTGCAGCTGAGTCGCAACGGAAAATCCAATAGAGGCGGCTAGTTCCACGGGACTGTGACTGTGACGGGGGAATCACTGTGTGCTGTGTGATGCTTCGTATGACAGATCTTGGATCACCTCTAGCGGTGTAGACCAGACACAGGAATCAAGAGCGGGACTGGGCCAGAACTAGAGCTGAAGAAGGACTAGATCCAGAGCTGGGAACCCAGAGCTGGAATCATAGATTTCCCTCCCTGCCCAATTGTCCGTACCAGAGTCCGAGAGGAGATGATTCATGAGCAAAGAAAAAGCAAACCCTAATAAAGTAGCCGTTCGGGTCCGAATGATGACCAGCTGCATTGCCAATCCTGGGGTACATTAATCGTTACCCGGCAAGCTGCAAGGTCGAAGAGGCGAAACGGGCGAAACGGGCGTCACATATGGGATATATCAGATTTGCTATCCGGTGTTGTACATGCTACTAGTTGAACAGGGACATTCGGGTCTTAGGAACCGATGTGATGCATCGGATACTTGCTTCAGGTGATTGGACCGGCTGCGGGCGAGGGCGATCTGGTGCCCTTTGGGAATGACTTTGGGAAGGGGCCGTGTTGACTGGATAGCGATGATTTGGTTCTCACCGCAATCCTGGTCGACATATCCTACTCCGTACAATAGTCCACTATAACACCTACACTTTGGAGTGGGGATGTGAGATATGGGATATGGGGCGAAACCAGGTCTAAAAACGTCCGACTCGGATCAGAACATGGCCCTTGCCTGTTTATGACGCAGGTGGATAGAAAGGGAAGACAAAGACATGGGTGTGAAGACCCTAGGCAACCGGGGGTTCCCATGAGAATCAGTAGTCCAGCCATCCTGAAGGGAAAAAAAGGAATAGGGGGAGGCTGTGTTGCACAGGGCCAATACGAAGACAGACATAGACTCTCCAACCATCTGGACTGTCTCCCAGATGGTCAACGTACATTAGCGCCAGGAGAAGATGAGGTGGCCTGTGCCTCAGCAGGGCCAGGTGTTCTCGAAAACGAACAGGGCCAAATGGTTGGCCATAGCGCCCCTCCCTCATCGCCTCACTTCTAGACTCGGACTTGAAAAAAGTGGAGTCGGGAAAGACGGTGAGGTTGATCTTTCACTTTCTGTTTCACTAGTTTCACAGTTAGAGTCATGGAAGTGGAGGAAACCGCATTCAACCACTCAACAGTTCTCTGGGAAAAAGTAGTATGGGTCCGATCTTGGAAAGCGGGGCTTAGGGAAGGGGGCCATGAGGGAGAATGCGTTGGCAGATGTGTCAGGAGGTTTGGGAATACGTGGGCGTATTGCCACAGACTGTACTGCTGTACTGTACGGCGTAGAGGGGGGGGGAGTTGACCATTGGTAGAGCAAGGCAGAAGGGAAGAAAGGGGGGGAGGGAAATTCTGCAGGATGGAGACGATCGTTATGTCCAGCTGACCAATCACGGGCGGTGGCGGATGCAGGCAAGAGGCAAAAGGGCATTATGATTGGCAGAATGATACACCGCTATAGTTAGACGCATCATGGATTATTGGATTTTTCTTGGGGATTTTAGGGAAAGTGGATTATTTGGGGAGGAGTGATAGGTAGTCCAGGTGTTATATTGGTAACATTACTGTTATTGCCTGTATTGTGTCTTGTTTTGATGTGGATCCTCCACGAGGCTGCCCATCTGCTATTAATATTCCTCTTCGCCGCTATACTTCTTGTCCTCATACACTTCTTAACCCTATACTTCTGTTGTTTTTATACTCTCCTTTCTATCCCTCATCTCTCTCTCGCGCTTCTTGTTCCTCTTCTCCCTTGCTCTCCCCCCTCTCTCTCACGACCTATTATACCCTCACCCCATCCCCCAGAGGATTTGGAATGGATGCCTTGTGAATTGCCGTGGACTTTAGGACGCTCTTAAATCTCTCCCTGGATCTCTCTCTCCCTTGGTCTCTTCTATTCTTCCAGGACGACTGTATCAATGAATCCGGCCATGTTACCAACACCTCCACCTTCGCCAACTTCCCGCTGTTATGCTCCCGAGGACCGTTTAGGATTCATCTTAGCCAACCGGCTGGAACTGACCTCAGTCCTGGGCGTCGGAGCCTATGGTGTCGTTTATACTGCGGTGGATATCCATACCAACGTGGTCTACGCTGTCAAGGCTCTCAACAAAAATGGACTGGATCCCCGACAGCTCAAGTTCCAACAACGCGAGATTAGACTGCATCATCTGGCCAGCCAACACCCCAATGTGGTTTCTTTAGTTCGCATCATGGATTCCGTGGACTGCACCTTTGTCGTCATGGAGTTCTGTCCAGAGGGAGACTTGTTCTCGAATATCACCGACAAAGGCCACTTTGTCGGGAACGAACCCTTGGCCAAGAGTGTGTTCCTCCAACTCCTGGACGCTGTACAGTTTTGCCATTCTCTTGGAATCTATCATCGGGACCTTAAGCCCGAGAACGTACTCGTTACGAACCAGGGAATGACCGTCAAGCTGGCCGACTTTGGCTTGGCTACCACGGACTATTACACCTCGGACTTTGGATGCGGCTCCACATTCTACATGTCGCCTGGTAAGTCAACTTCGTCTCGTTGACAAAACAAAGTACACGGGCTAACTTGCAAAACAGAGTGCCAGCAGTCCAATGCCCGCCCCATGTCCTGCTACATGTCCGCCGCCAATGACGTCTGGAGTCTGGGCGTGATCCTAGTCAACCTCACCTGCGGTCGCAACCCATGGAAACGCGCCTCAATCGATGATTCCACATTCCAGGCCTATTGCAAGGATCCATTCTTCCTGAAGACCATCCTCCCACTCTCCCCCGAGATGGTATGTATCCTGAGCCGCGTCTTCGAGCGCGACCCCAGTAAACGCATTACCATCCCTGAGCTGCGCCAGCTCATTCTGGAGTGTCCTCGCTTCACGGAGAATCCCATGGCTCCCGCCCAGGCTCACACCCCCTGGGTGCCGGATCACCTCAACTACATTCCTCAGATGCCAATGTTCATGGGCCCCATGGAACCCCTGCATGCCCAGCCCTCCGGCTCGTCCTCGGACTCGTCGCAGTACTCGGCCTTTTCTCAATCGGCTGCCTCCGACGGCTCCGCTATCACCGAGGACTACTCGGACAACACTATGTCGCCCGTTGCCTCGGGCCAGATTCCGGACTGCAAGGTGGTATTCCCGTCTGCTTGCGCTGAGCCTTTCTACCCGGCGGATCCTTATGCTTATGGGGGGTTGGACTACCATCCCAACCTACCGCTCGAGGTCCCTGTCTAGATTGTGCCTTTGCTTCATGGGAACTACCCATTAAAACGCCAGCTGCATGATACGACGCCCTATACTCTCCACTTTCAGGCCTTCAGGCGTGAATTCTTGAATCCTGCCTGATGTTCATACCTGCATATTTCGGGTCTTTTTACACTCCACCTTTTTCTTTTCTTTTTCTTTTTTTTTTTTTGATTCCGCCCAGCGGACACCAAAAGCTGCCGACAAAACAACAAAAAGTTGATCGCGTTGATCTTGATCCACTGGAATCGGCCACCAGCTTTTCTTTCCTTTTGGATATAATTCTTTTTTTTCCCCCTGGACTTACGACACAGCGGTCTTGATTCCTTTGAGGATCATCAGGCCCGTCTTTTTCTACTGTTTTAATACTTTGGACACATACCGGACCCTTGTTTTTTACCCCGTTCCGTGTTAATATATTGGGAACTATGACTTGAAGAGAATCGCCCCTGGGAGGGCTGATGAAACGTGGGGTTTTGATTATTTGTTTCGGATTTGGCGTTGACCACTTTAGGTCTTGATTTGGGATTTGGATATTGGGTTGGACGTTTTTTTATTTTCTCTGTTCATCTTTTGGGAAGGAAATTTGGGGATTTTTTGTTCTGGGAGATGTGATATTCTCGTGCTTCCTGTTTCCTGTGCATAGACTTATGTTTTCTTCTTCTTTTCTGGCATTGGCATTGGCGGGTCCTCTCTTGATTCTTACGATATGATACCTCGACTGCGAAAATATGCTACAATCCACGCAATTCTATTGCACACAACTATACAATATACACCTTTCTGCCTCATTCTGCTGTGCTCGTATCGTCCTGACTACCTTACACCATCTCACATACGCCAATCCTTGGTTAACCTTTGGCCTCACCCGTACAGACTCTTTCTTTTTCCAATACTTTCCTGTCCAACGTTACCCCGTCCAACACGACTCGATCGCTTGGAGGACGTTTCGTGTTTTTGTGAGATGGGACCGTGTCACCGTGGAACCACTCAAATCAGACACAAGAGATGACTGGTCCATTGCGAGTGACAGGGAGATGACTTCCTACGGCCATTCTCAATTATATGTTTTATATGACTAGCACAGGTTGAATGATCAGTCAGTTCCTAAGGCTGTGTTTTGAGACACTCTGGTCCATCGCAGCAACGGGAGCTTATAGCAGATATATATCGCTACCAACCATCACATACATTGATATTGACCATGATTTACATATTCCTACCCCCAGTCACCCGAATAGTCTCCCCATTAACATAAGAGAACCAAGGCGAAGCAACCCCCAAAATAGACCGAGCAGCCTCAACAGGACTAGCCGGTCGCCGCAGCGGGATATCAGGATAAGCATTGGCATCCGCCTCCTTCTTTTTCTCCTCCTCCGCCGCAGAGCCCTTCTTACTAGCGAGCTGCTTACCCGGAATCCCAAGCGCAACCTTCGTGCCGTCAGGCGTAGTGATAAAAGCGCCTTCTTCCTTGGCAGCTGTCAGGCGCGTCGTCACATAGCCAAAGGCAATGGTATTCGAGCGGACGCCGAACGCAGGGCCCCATTCCTTGGCGATTGTTTTCGTGAGGCCTACCACGCCAGCCTTTGCGACGGCGTAGTTTGCTTGCCCACTGATTTTCCAATTAGTTTGCCGTCTGCGGGGTCGGACCGGAGGGATGTCTATATAAGACGGGACTTACGCATTCCCGTGGATTCCACTCGTGCTGCTGATGTTAATCACAACGCGCGGCTCTTGATCCTTGACGCGGAAGTAGGGTGCTGCGGCGCGCACGAGACGGAAGGGTGCGGTGTTGTGCACTGCTAGCATGGTGTCCCATTGTTTATCGGTCATCTAGAGATAGTTCAACACGATGCATTAGTCAATTGAAGATATTCCCTTGTATGCAATGAATGGGTGTGTGGAAATCAGACACCCAGACCGTTCACTTACCTTGTGAATAACTCCATCCCAAGTAAATCCGGCATTGTTCACGATGATGTGGATCTTGCCATTGCCGAATTCGGCAGCACGCTTGACAAGCTCGGTCACATAGTCGCCGTCGAGAATATCACCCACGACTGCTAAGGCACGACCAGCCTTGGCCGCGTTGATTGCGTCTGCGACGGCGTTGGCCTTTTCTGTGTGAACGTGGGTGTTAGATGTGCAATATGAATGGCAGGATTGAAGGGTTGTTGCTTACTCGCATCGATGTCAGCGACAATGACCTTTGCGCCCTCGTTTGCAAATAGGCGTGCGGCCTCTGCTCCAATTCCCTGGCCTGCGCCGGTGATGATGGCGACTTGGCCGGCTAGCACGCCCGCGGGGTAATTGAGGTGTTCATTCACCTGAGTCAGACGGTCAGAGGGGGCCATTTTGAATATAGGAGTTCGTGATGGGGAGTGGTTATAGATGTGAGAGGGGGAGTTTCTTATAGAGCTCGGCGATCGTTGACTGCCGAGGCTGTGCCGGACCGAGCAGTGTGGGGTATCAAGTAGGAACTGCCCTACTTCAACTTCGAACTTCTAACAAGTCCACGAGAAGAATTGTGCACAGGGAATGGATTTGATTTCGTGTTCTTGATATAGCCGACCTACGTTTACTGTCCAGCTATCCTTGCCTTGCTCTTCTTTCTCTCCGGTACCTCGTCCTTTTCTCTACACATCCACGTCCATCCATGTCCTTGTCCAACCGTTGGTGCACAGATAACGACAGAAACGATAGAATAGAGTTGACTCCCTATGCGTGCATGTACTTTCAAATCAAAGAGACTCGTCGCACATCATCGCCCGCCCAGAACCGCAGATACATTCTCCCCACGATGTCGATTGTAGAAATGCCGACACGGTGGCTTCGTAGCCGGCAATGATAGGTAGGAGACCTTCACTTCGGGGGGTGGATGAAAGCTCAGCATCTAGGTCTGGGAGTAGACCAACATGCTCAGCGGGAACCCAGTGTTCTTCTGAGGCCTTTGATTTAGACGACTCATTCTCGGTCAGCGTGGGGATTTGGAGATCGGTGGCTGTGGCCGTCATCTTTAGTGTCAGCAACACCTCTCTACATTGAAGCAGGAGGCCTCGCAGCAGGAAATTACGGATCTGTCGATTTTCCTCGAGGCAGATCTCGTAGTATCCGTAGCGGATATCGATGCCATGTTCCGGTCGTGGGATGCAAGATGTCTCGCGCGAAACCCAGTATTCAAATAGTTGGAGCGTGAGATTGAGGAGCGAGATGGTTAGCAGGAGGTTTGTGCTGTCTTTGGTACATTTGGCACATTGGAGGAACATTTGGCAGGCGCAGAAGGTGCATTTGATTGTTTGCAGGCTGTGGTCGAGTCGGAGTGGTAATGATCCGGCCAGCAGGTGGTTCAGTCGGTTCATGTGGAAGAGTTGCATGTCTAGACATTCGCATGGCGAGAGTGGATATGGTGATGTTACAGAGTCTGCCAAAGACGGGCTGGCGATCCCGTCTGCTAATGACTCCCCGGATAAGAACGTCGGTGTGACTGGCGTGTGTGGATATCCTATACCACCTGGGATTGCTGGACAAGGATCTACGAGGTCGGTAAATGGTGAGCCCTCGACTGTTGATAGCTGTCCAGGGCACACGGACGATTCCAGGGTTGTTGTATTCCCGAAGCTTCGGGGACTTTCCCAGAACCCGGGTTGACTTGACATCAAGCAGACCTATAGTTCGTCTTATTAGAAACAATGTACCAGGGAGACAATGTGATCACTTATACCTACATCGTCGTCAATCACTGGATCCGCAATATGACTTCCATAGACACTACCAAGTGGTTCCATGTCGGCCACAGGTGCGACAAGTCGGCTACTGCGAAAACCACGCATGGTTGGCTTCTCTTCTTGCAGTTGGCCCAACTTACGAAGAGTGGCCCGGTTTTTGCTGCCCTTTGGTTTTCCGGATCGATTGGCAAATCCGTATTGGCACTGTAAGCCGTGGCGCAGACAACGAGTGCAGACACTCTTTCCCGACAAATTGCATTTCACCTTGGATTGGCGGCAGTTTTCGCATGCAGTCCGGAGCTTAGGCGCATCTCCGGCATAAGGTCTGTCATTGGACTCGGCGAGCATTGAGGCCGCTTTGGGGGACAAAGAACAACAAGAAAGGACGAAAGAAGGAAGTGGAGTCTTCCCCATACGATGTGGATGATACTATGGCCCAAACTGGATCAAGGGGAAGAGAAATATAAGAAATAGAAAAGCCAGGATCCAATAATACCACACACGTCCAATGAGGCAAACGCCTCACCCCCCTCCCTCCTAGCCCTTGGATATATATAAACAAGCTCAAGCTTCAAGGAGTAGGAAATGTCACTCTGGCATCCGGATTCCATGTACCGGCGGCAGCCGCATACAGAGGTCAGCCGCTGTGAAACCCCAGATGCTTCCATCTGATCCACCACGCATGGGAAGCCAACTGGCACCGCTACGCAGAATGGGAATGAGGCAATGTCGAAGACCCGGCAATCTGACCCATCCAAATTAGGAAACAAGCACAATTGCACTCGGTTTATGCGACCTTCTCTTTCAACTCACTGCCCGTGATGAACAACAGCACAGAATGAGGGCCCTTTCAAGCGCATGGGAACCAGCCCAGGGGTCCTTTTTCTCAAGTCGTACATCCTGATGCAACATTGAAAGCGCCAATTTTCTGGGTTAATTTTGTGGTGGAGAAATCAACGAACCTACCGCCAACAAGGGCAGTTGGTCTCTTATCTTGTTGGGGGCGACGCGCTCTATCACACAGGTACCTCTGGACGGCGCCCACATGTGAAAGAGAAGAAAAAGAGCGGGTTCTCAGCGGCTGACCCCGATTCAGCCACTGCAAATGAACTATGTGCTCACCGCTTCATCTCTTTCCCGTCGTCATTGTTGCACATAACTGAGCCGAGTCATCGTCAGCGGAGACTTGACGCTCGAGAGGGTTGTTGAACGTTGGTCACGTCACGTACGCTACGTGAATGTTTCATTCCAGGCTACCTCTTCGAGAATGCCATGAGTATGCTGTCCGACCTCGATTGTGCTGTGCTAGACCCCAATTTCTCAGCCGCGTGGAATCTGACAAGTCTCGGCCACCCCGCTGTGCCGATAATCAAATGCCTTCAACAGCCCTGTCAGGTGAGCAGCGGCTGCGCAGACCACTAACACGTGGAAGATTTGATGCGAACTCCCCACAATGTCGAACTTCCCGGGCATAAGGCGCTCCGGTACTCGGGCCGCGTAAATGCCTGCTCCAAGGATATACAAGAAGCCCTGGAGGAGTAGCCAACTAAGGCCAATCTGCTGTCGCATTTGATCGAATCCAAAGTGGGTAACTCCGTGGAGCACAGGGAAGACGGCAGACAAGCCCATCCCGACAAACATGGCGGCACGGAATGGACGCCAACGAGGCGTGCGGAACCGAGGCAAAATGGACACAATTACACAACCCAGTCCAATAGTACAAATCATAGTCCAGTACCTATGCTGGAGCTCGGGTACACAATAAAACCCATAGAAGACGCTAGGAACAAAGCTGCCCACGATGAGTCCCACGATCCCAACGTAGTCAAGTGAATTTCCAATGCGTGCAACCACCGGTGAATGATTGGAGATGGTGTGATAAGTGGCGGACATGCCTAGGCAAAAGGCCGCCCCCGCAAAGAAACAGCCAAAGGCAATGATATCAGATTCGGCGGCATTCTTATATCGGGGAGCAAGCAAGTGGTAGAGTTGGTACGCGGCAGGTGCTGCAATCACCGCCGGTAACAGGTGGGTGTAGATGTTGACGGTCTCATTGTGAACGTAACCCAGCGATTGAAATGAACCTAAAAACGAGGACGAGGCGGGCCGATATCCAGTATGGATGTGATGATTATCGCGTTGCCAATGAGGTAGATCGTCCCAATGAAGCAGTCGCTTTACGACCTTGGGAGGCACATCGAAGGTATTGGTCATTACTGTAGGCTGACTGTCTACCTGCTTGTCAATAGGGCGACGCTGGTGAGCCATCACATGTGATATATGCAAGTATGGCAGGATGTCAGGGGACGTTGTGAACTTGATCCGCAAAACAAGTACAAATGAGTCAAAGAGTAAGTAGTCCGATTTTGAAGAAAAGAAAGATATCCTAGAAATCTAAGAAAAAGGAGAAATACAATGTTGGGCAGTTGGGGTAAACCAGCGAAATTGCCCTGTTGGGAAAAAGCCTCGGACCAGACGATGCAAACCGTGCAAACAGGTCCGCATATCAATCGACGACGGTCGTTCATGTGCTTCACCAACCCCGGAAAACGATGAGCCGCCTACGCCCCGTGGCGGACTCTTTGGAAAATGTGGGCTTCGTGTCTAAGGGCGATAAGAAGTGTGTCTGAGATGCGCACTTTCTCAAAATACCACTAATATGCATTTCGCAGGCTACTAGACTCGAAGGCCCAGACCGATTACTTTGAAAAGATAGTCGACCGATATATGCGCTTCTGCGCCCACCACTCCAAAGACCTCGATGCCGCATTGGGTTCCCTTCCCACAAGCGCTTCCAGCGACGCAACCTCCAATCCGCCTGCTGCTGCCCTGCGATCAACATCAAACCCCGCTGTGCGGGGTGTTCCGCCACCGGCAACGGAGCTATCTACACTTCTCCTGTCACTGCGCAAGCTGCGCGAAGCAGTCTTAGCAACAGCATCCAACAAAACCGTGGAATTTTCACAACGGGTCCACCTATTCTCGATCCGGTTCTCCATTCTGGCGCATCACCCTCCGTCATATTTCCCATCTCTGCGATATAGCCTCGACAAACTACACTCTCAATCACACACACTACCAGACTCCGAAGTCAAGGAGCTGGTCACATATCTTATCTTGGATTATGCCTGCCGCCAACAGAACATGGTAGCGGCCTATGAGTTGCGCGCCCGGGCACGGAAAGAGCATGCGTTCCATTCGCAAACGGTCGACAAAGTTTTGGCGGCATTGTTGCACGATAATTGGGTTATTTTTTGGCAATTGCACAACAGCGTCGATTCTTACACTCGCGCTGTGATGAACTGGGCCTCGGATCGCGTTCGCAGGCACGCGCTCAAGGCTGTTGGGAGTGCTTATCTCAATGTGCATATCAGTTGGATTTTGGGTGGTTGCACGGGTGATGAGCAGAGTTGGACGTGGGACAAGTTGGTCGAGGTCGAGAAGCTTGGTTGGGCGAGAGAGGACGATAAGGTTATCATTAAACGGCCGAGACAGTTGGCTAAGGCCAAGCCCGCGCCGACGTCAATATGAGTACATGAGCACATTGATGGTGGCTTCTTTTGGATAAAGGCATTTTGGGGCGTTTTTACATTCATGGCGTTGGCTGGACGTCATTGGAAGATTGGTTTTCTTTTTTTTTCTTTTCTCATGGAGTATTCATAGACAGTGTTCAAATTGGCATCTACATGTGGTTCATTTCGTTGGCCTCCAGGGCACAAGTCCAATTTCAGATTTATAATTTCAGATCTGAGTTCGGTCGATCTAGATTAGTATGTCCTGTGACAGGTTGTTTGGAGATCGTGTCAGCCAGTTGTCCCTTCATATGACCTGCATTATCAGAGCAAAGTTCGTAGACCGTTGCCATGTTGAAGACCAACCCCGAAAATGAGTGGTTGGCCGCGACTTGAGCTCCAAGAATCTGACGAGACTGAAAGAAGGTCAGCAAGTTCCGACTAGGGTTTTGGATTATCCTTGCAAGTAAGCACATACCTCATCCAGCTGTCCGGTGTAAAGTAGACAGACTGCCATGTTCTGAGCTATTAGAGCCCCATCTGTCCGCGTTCTATCTTCGCCAAGGGTTCGCCATTGTGCAACTGCATCTGAGTAACGGCCTTCCGCCATACTCAGAAGAGGCTCCAACAGAGCAGCCTCTTTGGTGTCCTTGGAGCCACCAAATACCTGGCTTGCCGCGTCAAGATCACCAATTCGTAAAAGCAATAATGCTCTCCGGAATTTGGTAGTTTCAGTCTCTGACCCAGGTACCTGCAAGGCCTCGAGAGATCGCCTGGCTGCATCGAAGTCACCCATCTCTATCAACGAGTTCACACTTCTTACACCCAAGTCTGCCAGTCTCTCTCGCCATAATTTCCGTTCATCCTCACTGGTTTCGCTTCGAATGATTTCTCTGCGTGCCTCCAAGCCAATCTCATACAGCCCACCAATACTTCTGCGTGAATCACCAAAGCCAATACTCTGGAGTCGCACAGCGAGCACGCGAAGAGGCCACGGGACGATATGACGAGGATCGGGCGCAGGAGCATGAACTGGTTCATGACTATCATTTTGGGAAGCCCCGTGCTTGTCCAGGGTGAGATCGATGTAGTAAAATGCCGAGCTCAAGTCCTCGAGAGCCTTCGATTCTTGTGCCGCAAGAACTGTATTTCCTGACAGATCCAAACACGCCAGTCGGGTGTAAAATAGGGAGAATACGATTTTTAAATCCGTCGAAGAGATCAAAGACGATGTCAAAATGGCTGCAGCGAAATGCGCCGCAACGAGGAACCGACCCTCAGCCACTACCTTCTCGAGGGTGCTAAGAGAGGTTGATAGGGGTTCTCCCGGATTAAGGATAATGAATTCGGAGCGCAAAGGTGGGGGAATATCGATATGAGAAAGAGGGTGGTAAATGTTGTGTCGGAGCAGAAAAGAGAGGTCCTTCCCCAAGGTTTCTGGTAGATCATCTGGGGCGAGCGGATCTAGCTCGTGGAATGATGCCCCGGTGAACTGATCTGAAGCAAGCATTGATTTGCGTTTGGTTGGCGAACCAGGTAAGCTGAAAGTTGCAAGTGGACTGAACAGTATTAGAATATTGGTGTAGCGGTGGAAGGCAAGGTACAGTGCTCACTCGTCTGGTGCATCTAGAGGACCTCTCGTTGAGCTGCGGGGCCGAGAAGCTGCATAGGCAATCAGCAAGGGGCAATTAGGGAGATTGACGAGGAATGAAGTGGCGCTTACACCGAGAGACATTTCGCCGATGCTTGTCTTGTACTGGATTCATTTTGAACACTTCCAGGTGTGACTGTAACAAGAGACCAACCGCTCTGCGATGAACAAAACATCTGATAAGCTATCGGATTCTGCCAGGGCGGTGGACGCCGGATCTGGCGACTTGGCCGCGATCTGGCGTTGCCGGATGCAACAAGCTGCCACACGTTCCCTACTCTTCGCTTCTTTTTCTAATTTCCTTGATCTCCTTGATCTTGTACCGCTCCTTACCTCTTTAATTGACACTTTACGATTTTCAAAATGGGTGCGGCTAACAAGTACTCGGTCATTCTTCCCACCTACAATGAGCGGAGAAACCTCCCTATCATCGTCTGGCTGATCCAGAAGACCTTCAACGAGCAGTATGCGCCAACCTTGACTGAAACTCGATAATCAAGTAGCTAATGAATGTTTCTAAATCAGGAAGTTGAACTGGGAGATCATTGTTGTTGACGATGGATCCCCTGACGGTACCCTCGAGATCGCGGAGCAGCTCCAGAAGCTCTATGGCAAAGAACACATCGTCCTCAAGCCCCGCGCAGGCAAGCTCGGCCTGGGAACTGCTTACGTCCATGGCCTGAAATTCTGCACCGGAAACTTCGTTGTCATCATGGACGCTGATTTCAGCCACCACCCCAAGTTCATCCCCGAGATGATCAAGATCCAAAAGGCCACGGATGCCGATATTGTCACTGGAACCAGATACGCCAACCTCGGAGATATCAAGGGTGGTGTCTACGGCTGGGACTTGTTCCGGAAGTTCACCTCGCGCACTGCCAACCTGATCGCCGATGTCATGTTGATGCCCGGTGTTAGCGATTTGACTGGTAGCTTCCGTTTGTACAAGAAGCAGGTCCTTGAGAAGGTTATTCTCCAAACTGAGAGCAAGGGATACAGCTTCCAGATGGAGATGATGGTGCGTGCCAAGGCTATGAACTACAAGGTGCGCGAGTGTCCGATTACCTTCGTCGACCGTCTCTACGGTGAAAGCAAGCTTGGTGGATCTGAGATTGTTGAGTACCTCAAGGGTGTTTTGAACCTGTGGCTGAAGGTCTGAAATGTTCAATGCGCGTCGCCATTGGAAATTGTCTCGCCCTGATGGTCAAATTCATCTTGCCCTCAAGTCCAGTCCTAATTCATGCCTGGACTGTCTGCTCTACTGCCCGTGCTGTGATATACCCCTTTCTGACCTCTGCTATTCCAAATCCGTGCACTTTTGGGTGGTGTTTGAATGACCTGTTTATTGTCCATATCAATTCAACGTTCTCTGTCTTTCAATCAACTTATGCATTCTATGTCTCAAGATAGCTATTTCTCGCGGCTGATGCCGTGCAGGTATCGTAGAACTCGACCAATAAGATCTTGTTGACCTTCGTCCTTGACATTGTGGCTGGCTCCGACGACCACGCCGCTGTTTTCCGCATCCCATGCGCCGCCTCCCGCTTCAGTAGCTTGCTGCCACCTCTGCAACAGTTTCTCTTTGTCTACCCAGTGGGGACAGTATTCGTCATTGCCCGAATACAAGAACAACAGCTTGGACTGGATGGTCCCTTGAGTGCCGATCTTTCCAAACGTCTTCTGCAAGCGCTCATCGCTCAAGTCGGAGCTGAAAAGATCATCCTCAGATGGATGCTCGGGACTTTCAGGACTAACCAAGCTCAAAAATCGACGAGCACTTAGCGGTGTGTCGGCAGGATATGAAAGCTTTGAAGTGAGATGCATCGGGAGAATATTATCAGTTTTCTCTGTGGATACGTTCTGCTTAGAAAATTCCACAAGGTCGTTGTACACTTTCTTGAGCTCATCAGGGTTTGGAGAGTTGGCGATGATTGCCTGTAAACCCTCTCTATCTGACGCAGGAGCCTGCAAAATGGCACCATCAAGCTCAGGGCGACGTAGATGGTCCACTGAGGTGGGGTTGGCTGAATACAGGTAGTGAAGGACATCTTGGCTACCCGTAGAGTGGCCCATGATTGCAATCTTTGCAGAGCCCGCGGTAGGTCCGGCTTGTCGTGAGGCTTTAAGATCGCGAATGAATCGGACGCATTGACCGAGTTCTTCTACATCGCGATCGAGGCTTCCGACTCCCCATCCGCCGTAGGAAGAAGAGAGCAGAATAGAGAAGACAGACCACTCGGTGTTTTCCAATGCCTTGGCTAGCTTGGAGACATAAGGGACTGTGCTGAATCCATCTGTCAGGCCTCCTACGAAGATCAGGCTGTGTATCTTCCTGACCTCTGATGGTGGGGTGAACTCGAAAGCCACCAATCTTGGAGCCTAGGAGAGTTAGCTCGATATATGTAGATAATAGTTTAAATTCTTACATATTCATGAAGGACGCCGGCATGCGAGTCACCGCGACCCGTGAATGAAGACATGATGTAGATGTTGGTGTTGGTAGACTGAGTGTCGAAAACGACGGTGGGTGATCAGCAGTTGACATAGGCGGGGTCGGATCATCTTTGATTCAATGTCCTTCCCCCTAAGATACCTAGGCAAGGCTCTGCATTCATTCCATGAAGACATTTTCTCACATACAAGACCCCGGCGCCTATTCGCTTTAGGCTTAGCCGGTTAGGAACTGAGCACCCGCCAGGGCGAGTGCAACCTCGGGAATATCATCGGATGACTCAAGACGGTCTTGCTTCGTGTTGCTTACATTAAAGGCAACTTCTGCTCACAAAATGTGAGAGTAAGAATTGTTAAACAATATCTTCAGATATGAATCCGATCACGAGGAGACGTCTCGTTCGTCTTAAGAGCTCCCAGCCAATATGCCGATCCTTCAACATAAACTACCGAGCTGATCAAACAATGAGACTTCCTGATGGAAGGATTTTAGGATATGCCGAATATGGACCTGAAACAGGCTACCCATTGATATATCTCCATGGCTACTCTCAGTGCCGCTATGAAGGCTCCGTCATAGAGAACGTTCTTCATCGACATGGGATTCGCATGGTTGCCCCAGATCGGCCAGGCTTTGGTCTGTCAACAAACCAACCCAACCGCCGCATTGCAGACTGGCCTGATGATGTCCAAGCCCTGGCTGGCCATCTTGGTCTCTCTCGCTTCGCCTTGATGGGTGGTTCCGGAGGTGGTCCCTATATATTGGCGTGCGCGCATGCACTTCCTCACGAAATGATGTCTGCTGTCGGCATTCTTGCTGGAGGAGGAAATTGGAAGGCCGGGGCACACCACATGCCTTTTGTATATCGAGCATCAGCCTTTGCAGCGGAATATTGGCCAGCTGGATTACGATCTTCATTGGGCATTCTGGTTTGGATTATCAGGAGTGGATTGACTTCATGAAGGGGTATGCAATGGCTTGATAGCTATCTGAAAAAAGACCACCAAAAGCATTTCAAGACAGTGGAAGAGCGAAGAAAAGAGATACTTCGTGCTTTGTTTGAGCCTTTCAAACAGGGTGCTGGCCCTGCTGCATACGAAGCAAAGCTATTGTCACAAGACTGGGGCATTGAACTTGGAGGTATCACGTATAAAAACCTTCATATCTGGCATGCTGGAAAAGACTGGAATTCACCGTTGCCAATGACGGAGTATTATGTTAAGCAACTGACCAACGGCCCTGTTTTCAAGGTTTACGAAAATGATACACACTGGACAATCCACCGGCATCTAGATGACGTGCTATCAGAATTGATACCTGAGAGTTCTATGACAAAAGGCTAGAATGCTACTACCCTGGTACTACGTTAATGTGCAGCAACATCCATTCTCGCCCAATGTTGCAATCCTATGAGGTCTTGTACACTAAAGTTAGAATCTCTGCTCAATCATATGGCGTTTTATGTCAACTTGATCGTACTTTTAAACTGTTTTTCTGTAACATCTTAGACCTGTCGTTGCATCCATGGAGTAACCTGTACTATTGGAAATTTAATTATGCCATAGTGCAGGAGACAATTTCTATCAGTAAATGAACGCACCTGGCTAGAGTCAAGCAATTCTTCCAAAATGCATAATATTTGAGTTCCCATATAAGGGACGTAAAGTTGGGTGTGTATGATATGTGATCATTTTCTCTCTGACTCGGCAAGGTGGTATACTCGCCCACCATCCCAAGTGAACACTGATTCTTGGCTTTGTGGGAATACCGGTGAAATTAGATAGACAAAACAAGCAAAAGTCTCATTTCCGAGAAACTTGGTGAGTCCAGGGGGATAAAAAACAAGTTATAATGCCCAATGTGAGCGCGGCACGCATGTGGACTTTAATTTATTGTGCAGAGCAACTTATCTTTTACATAAACAAAATTTTCAATTGGAGATTGGATATTACAGTCTATATATCTTGATTGAGATTTGTCATAGGAATCTCAACGGATTGTTATGCCATCGAGAACAGGCGACTCAGACTGGTCGATTAAACAAAAATTACCGCACTCGCTGCGGTAGCAGCTTAAGCTTGGATATTGAAGTACTCAGTGACAACTCTGGTGCGCAATTCGGGAGAAAAGTAGTCGTATCCAACCATGATATTGCAGTTGCTCACGTAGACTGTTACAGGAATCACCCCCTGGTACATGATATTCCACTTAGAACATCGTCGTTAGTTTCAACACCGTGTCTGATCACAGTAAGCTGAATATGAGAAGGGCTACTTACAGCTGCCACAGGGTCATCGTTGAATTGTCGCCGGACCAGTCCACCAAAAACAGCCTCATTTTTGACTAGTATGTCTTCAGGAAACAGAGGAAAGTTCGAGTTAACGTAGCCCCTCCATATGACTGGCTCCTGGGAGTCATGGCTATAGGTGGTCAGAATGTTATCCACCAATCCTTCTTCAGTACAGTTGGCGTAATCGAAGTAGGATGAGGCCAGACTACCATTGTAGGCTTCATCCACCCGAACAAAATCCTGGGATTGCGAATTATTGATAAAGCCAGTCGTGATATGTGTCAGATTTTGATTCCTGATACTATTAGTATGACAATGGAAGTTGATCGAGCATCAGTGTTTGTCACCTACCATTTATGTTGGACAAAGTTGGTCTCGTACTCGGCCTTTATCACAGGAGGATCTGGCTGTTTGAATCCAGAAGAGAATGCCGTTATTGAAGAAGAAAACAGAGGACAACTCGAAGTTTTCACTGCCAGCACCCCAGTGGCAAGCGAGACGAAGAGTAGTTGAAAAAAGTGCATGATTCGAAAGTGGAAGTTGATGGTTGATGGAAAAGGCAATCTTTGGAAATGAAGAAGGCTGTGTCTATTCAGTCCTTTGCTGAGGACTGGCAGCTGTTTTATACTTGCAAGAAACAAACATGGGCATATCCATAACATCGTGTGTCTCAGGGAGCCAAGCTCGTATCTGCTCCAAGGGACGCTCAATAGATACTGTTTTAGGCCACCGAGGCTTAGGCAACAAGTTAGAGGGTAAGTTCCAGGATGGGACCGGATTCATTGGTGCTTAATCATAACCTAATTCGGGTAGGCTGAGCATACGTTGATTTATTGTCTTATTAAGTGTGTGGCCAGCCCCTCTAGCGCAGACGCAACCTCCCTAGTTTAATCGATGAGTATTACCAGCTAAAGAGTATGACCAATTTCTGATAAACCATATCAGAATATCCCGGGAGAGCAATTCGGGATTCTGTCAAAACACGAATTCCTTGATACTAAAACTAGCCCTGAAGTCTCAAGTTGATATGAACATTCCACGACTTTTGAGGTGGAGCTCTGTGGAGTCATCAATGCAATCGGGAGGGGCACGGCCGTTTTAGGCTCGCACACGCTCGAATATTTCCCAAATAGGTTAAACTCTAAGCGCTTAACCGGTTTAGGAATGGTTCTAGTCTCGCTTGACCCAGCTCAGGTTTATTGTAATCCCTGATAGATACAGTCACTCCAACAATCGAACTGTTCAGATTGACTTTGTGCTTCTTCTGGCCTAGTCGTCTTTGACTAGATGTGCCAGCAGTGAGTCACGTTATTTCCACGACCTCTAATTTTCAGCCCCTGTTGGACGGTTGAGCGTATTACGAAAGATTGAACCATGACAGCAGACCCATGGATCAGACCTAGCGAAACCACTAGGCGTACTATTGGACCTCTGGACAAGCGCAAAACTACAACCCGCTGTCAGCTTTGTGCCAACCGACGGGTAAAGGTTTGAGCAACCAGCACTTTGTTTCAATGTGGCCAGTCAAACTGACACAGAAGAACAGTGTGATGGGAGAAGCCCATGCGAAAGATGCGTCCGCACGAAGAAAACCTGTGTGCCGCAGTATCAACAGCAGCCAGGAATAAAATTCATCCACGTTTCGGGACATGCGTTGTCTTCTACAATTCCCATGCAAGTTCGAAAGCATGATGACGCTATATATCTGGAACATTTCGCTTCTTTCATTCAGCGCTGCCATTTCAGTGAAGAATTTGCTGCCACAAATACAGATATAGTCACTATCATTGGGAAATATCCTCTAATTTTGCAGATTTCTATCGCAATTGGAGCTTTGGATGCCAGTAGAAAAGGCTCTTCTAGATCCTTTGGCGCGCTTCAGTCTCCTCAATATGTTGCGTTTCGGGCTTGCGGTAGATCATTGCAAGACCTGCATTCGGCAGTCTCGACGGCAAACCCAGTCTTTCGAGATGATGTGCTTTGGAGCACATTTCTGCATGGCATTTTTGAGGTATGGGTTCTTTCATTATGTTAAAGTCTACTAATCATCCGTTATAGTTGATGGCTGAAGATTCCGGAAATTCATTCGCAAAGCATATGGCTTTTGGTACATCTAAATTACTGCTCCTGTTGGAAACGAGAAAACCGCTTCCGTTACCCACGGAAAGCTTGATTGATGCTTTTTGGATACTGGAGACCAACAGAGCCATTCTTTATGGTGACAGTACTATACTTGCTCCAGAAAACTTACAGTGGGTTTCAACGCGGAAAAGCTGGCCAAATCCCATGAGGGAAATTCTCATGCTCATGATAAAAACATCCACATTTGCAAAAAGGCAAGTCAACCTTGGAAGTTTGACTGACAGATGCAGCTAACTTTATAGGCTCTTTGACGAGATTGAAAGTATCCCTCAAATGTTAAGACCGTTTGATCCCAGGGTGCATCGTATTGCAATAAAGGGACTTGAGATCAAAGAAAGTCTACTCAATTGGCAGCAAAGAAGGCCTTTGGAGAGGTTGCCGTTAGACCCATTTAACCAATTGGCTGTGATCATTCATCGTGCCCTTCTTTTATACCATTGCTGGAATTTCACCTTCTATTCATGCTGGATGACACGGGTAATTCCTCAGCTTGAGCAGAGTGAGGTCTGCAAACATGTCGCCACAATTTTGGATCTGTCTCAAAGCCTTCTGTCGGATACTTTTATTCCGGGACTTCTCATATTGTTTCCACTGCGAATGGCTGGAGTCCACACAAGCGAGAGTCGCGTGCAGCAAAAGGTGCTGGACACTATTCGCAACATACAAAACAAGGGCTTTATGGCTTCAAATAGAATCGAGGCCGATTTGCAGGAATTTTGGCGCTACGAAAGCAAGTGAAATACCTGCGAGCTACTTCTAGTCGAGAGTTTGTTATAATAAGAGCATGTTTTAAGCGGCCTCTATCAAAGAAGAAATATATATTTATAAATATAATAATTTTTTAGCCGTTGATCTCTCTGCGCGCTTTTTAGCCATACAGCGAAATTCAGCTGAGGTCTCTCACTCGGCTCAGTATATTCTCACCTAGATAGCGTCAGAACGACTGGATTAGATACGACAGAGCCTCAAGGCTGATCTTCCATATCTCCCTAGAGGGTGGGACTTTCCTAATTGAGCTGTCGCTACCTTGACGAGGATCGTTACACTTTGGTTCTTAGAGTAGATATTGGCACGCGCTCAGAGTCAGTGATAACTGTGGAAGCTTAAACTAGCCATGGGTATAATAGCTTAAGTAATTTTGTGAGAAAAAAAATTTACTAGATGATTTTAGAGGCCATAGACTGACAAGAGCTCAAAATGCTGCCCAAAGCTAGCAAATGGGATCGACATATTCTTTCAAGACAATCAAGATCCATGTATGAATAGATTTCCTTTACCCTTTTTTATAAAAAATGTTAGAGCTGACTGAGACGCGGAATGCAGGCTCATTCAAAAGTGGAAGATCGACCTGTTGGTAAATAAACAAAAGTTTGGGTTGGTTCTAGATAGTAAGCTAAGTTTAAAATATGCTTCATCTTTTCGTAGCATCTGTGACTACTTTCGTTGCAATTCAAGTATAGAAAGTCATTGGTGTAGGTTGCTGTTAGTGCTAGCTGAACCATCACGCACCCACCAATAACAATGACTCTGCTCGTTAGGATCCAAGTGTGGATGGTTAAAGCTAAGAGTTTTCCTCGTTGAACGAAGTTCATCCTTTGATAAAATCCAACACGCGCTAGCCTATTTAGGACTAGCGCCACATCCCTTTGCCGGTCATTGAAGCTTCACGTCATTCTCTCATATCAGACATTGAACACATCCAATACACAAAGCGAGCTCTGCGAAAACTTGATCTCACCTCTTTTATCTGCTTGAGCTTTGAAATACTGGATGGATCCTGCGCACACCCACCATCGCCGTCGTTGACGCGACATCTCCAAACAAGATGCCATCTTCCCGCAGATCTGGGCGTGCCACTGGCCCCAGGAAAAGTTACACCCAGGATGTTTTTCAAGTAGCTGGAATCAGCGATGGATCTGACAATGATGAACAAGCAGTGTCTTCCATGCTCAAACCCAAGCGCATCAAGAGAGAAGACTCCCCTTCTGATGAGGAGTTTATGGCAACCTTCGACGATGAAACCAACGGCAGATATGCTAATGAAGAAAATGAAGAGGATGCCGAAGAAGAAGACGAAGAAGAAGCGGAAGAAGCACCTGATGAATCCGATTTGGATGAAATGGACATCGATGAACCTAAGGTCACCAAGAGAAGTGGGAAGGGAAAAAAACGAAAGAGCATACAGCAAGTAAAAAACGCGATTTATCCCTAAAAAAGCGAAAGCCTGATGGAACAATTGTTCCAGATGCGACGGAGACACATTCTCGCGGTATTATTGATCCCAAGGACCATCTATCCAAAAACACATATTACAACTTGACATTCGGTGCCGATGATCGTGACTTGATCGCTGCTATCTTTTTCCGTGGCATATGGAACCAGGGACGTGACTCGGTCTTCCCAACTCGCGCCACCCTGGAGGGCCCTAGACCGGGTGGACATGTCTACGGTCCGACGCACGGCGTCCATCCAGACGACGTGAAGAGGGAGAGCACTCGTGGATGGGACTGGTACTATGACAAAGAGTCTGGAGAAATATTTCGAAAGCGACAATGCACTGAGAAGATTAAAGAAACAACGGCTTGCCAGAAGTACTTACCACAACCAAAGCACCGGCACCACGATATTCTTCTGGGACCTTATGACAACCAGCAGCTTTTCAGCCTAAGGTACCATGAGTCATTCGATTATGGAAAGGTCTGGGGAGAAAGGCAGCCCAAAGCAAATGAATCAGCAAGCAAGACGAATAAAATCCGAGAGGGGTGGATCCTTAACCTGGGTCACAAGATCAATTGCATGGCTTGGGCTCCGAACCACGAAGGGCTTTCTCAGTACCTGGCTGTGGTTGTACCAATCACTGAAGAGCAAAAGGCTGCGTACAAGCCTGACGACGGCGAGCCTAGCTCATCACTAAAACCCTCTCCACCTTTCCCTTGTGCGATACAAATATGGGAGTTCAGAGCCAAAAATAGTGATACATCCACACAAACTCTGAACATGGAATGCAAGCCTCAGTTACGCCAAGTTCTCTGTGCTGAGTGGGGAGATTTGACGAGAATATCTTGGTGCAGATTGCCGCGAGAAAAACGAGATGAAGATGATGAAGAAGAAGCAACAAAGTCTGTCGGACTGCTAGCAGGCGTTTGGGGAGATGGAAAAGCCAAGGTCCTGGATATCAAACTACGCCGAGGGTCAAAAGCAACTGAATACAGTATGTGTTATCTATCAATTCTTGCGAGTCCCACTAACGCGCAAGCTCTAGTTAAACTCCAATCGCCCGCTTTTGAAGCGAAGCCGCCCGGCACAATCTGCACATGTGTTACTTGGATGTCTCCTAGTGATATTGCTGTAGGGTGCAGCAATGGATTTGTCGCTATTTGGAATATTGCATCCTCTGCATCTGAACCACTTCCGTTTTTCTATCAACCAATTCACTCAACATGGGTGTTAGATATTACGTCGGTATACCCAAATCATCCTCACCATGTTATAACCATGTCCATGGATGGTGAAACGTATATGTGGTCCATTCTCGATCCCGTGGCCGATAAAGTCTCGACAGTCCGCATGCGGATGCCAGCTCCCCACATTAGCTATTCTCCCATCCTTCAATCTGCTGTTTCAGGTGACGAACAGGAATTTGCCCGCATCATGCCAATCCGAAGATTCTTTACGAGTACTGGCATAGGCAGGTTCTCCAGCAACGTCTCGGCCTTGGCTCCATGCAGTTTTTCGCACCCCTGTGTACTTTATGGGAGTGCTGCAGGAGAGGTGATGGGAGTCAATCCTTTCCGCCGTGTAGTCTACAACAAGGAGCAAGTGTTCCAGCAAATGTGGTTTACACACGAATGGGTCCCAAGCTCGAAAGCCGACACCGCGGGGACTAGCCGCTTTTTCGATGGATACCGAGCAGACAACCAGAGACTGGTTAAACACAAAACCACAGACACTAAGCCGATCACCGGCATTACAACCTCCACAATTTACGAAGAAGGCACTCACGTCACAGCCCTCGGGTGGAACCCCAACCAGTCTTGTTGTGCGTGGGCAAGTGCAGCACTGGGGAGCGGATTGGTACGAGTGGAGGATCTAGCTATCTAGCCAGAATCCTACCGCAGCAACTAGGCTGTAGTCACAGAAATCATAAGATATACCTTCTATTGGCATGTCGATCAGGGTCATTTCTCCATCATAGTGATTCTAGAGGTTCTAATAAAAGTAATTAGGCGACAGTGAAACACTACTTTACAGTACGTTGTGTCAGAGTGGATCCCCCAGCCACACCAGATGTGCTGACATAATGTAGATCATGGCCACGCCACGTTATCCGGCAGCGTGGTTGGCACATCCATGGATCCGGGTGGGGCGCAATTTAGACATAAAGTGAAGGCTGGTCTGAGTCCGTATATTCCCAGCCATCCCAGCCGCCTATTTTTGGCCCAATGACAGAGTGGTGGATGAAACCGCCAATATGATTCATAGATTCTGTTATTTTTTCTTCAACTTTTAAACCCTCTGCTTCTTCGTTTCTCAACTCTCCATTCACACCTAACCTTCCGCCTACCGCACTCCATTGTTTACATATTGCAATTCTTTCTTCTCGGTATTCAACTCTAGTCCTATTTTCTATCTTCATTACGAGCGAAACTTGTTCTATCTCATTCACAATGCACTTCTCTACTGCGGCGCTCCTGGCCTTCTCCTCTGTCAGTGTCACCTACGCTGCTCCTTTCGCCAACACCCAGAATGAAGACCTTTCTCGCCGCAAGGCAACCTACGAGGTTGTCAACGTTGATGGAGAACCCTCTTCTTCTGCCGCTCCTGAGATTGATACCGTCTTTGAAACATCAACCGTTACTGCGCCTGGTGCCAACCCTGTGCCTGTGACTGTCACTATTACCGCCACCCCTTCCAGCTCTTCCGTCGCTCGTGCTGCTAGCTCCACTCCCTGCTACGAGACTCCTGTTGCACGCATTGATATCCCCCTCCCATCCATTGCTCTCCCGGAGGCTGGCTCAAACTCTTTCTTCCGCCGTGGCTTGAGAGCCGCTGGCCAGCCAGCTCTCTTTGCTCGGGAGTACGCTAGCTCTGCTTCCAGCTCTGCCTCTGCTTCTCTCTACGCTCGCGAGTACCCCCAGCCATCCAGCACCGGCGCTCTCTATGTCCGCGATTACTCTACCTCATCTGTTCTGCTCTCTGCCACTCCCTCGGTCGCTAGTTCCCTCTATGCTCGCCAGTGGGGTACTGCCTCCCCCTCCTCTTCGGTTTCCTTGGTTCCCAGACAGTTTGGCGGCTGGTATTCTTCCACTCCCTCGCCTACTGCCAGCGTGCCTGTCTCCGCCACTCCTCTGGTTGCCCGTGATTTCGGCGCCGGATCCTCCACTGACGTTCCTGCGTCCTCTTCTGCTACTTCCTCCAGCTCTGCCTCTCTCATTGCTCGCGGCTGGTACTCTTCTGCCTCCGGCACCCCCTCTTCCAGCGTGATCCCCACCTCGGCTGTGCCCCTCGCTGTCCGTGGTGAGTTCGGCTGGTACTCTCCTATCGCCGGCTCTTCTTCTGTTGCCACCCCTACTGCCTCGCCCTCTCTTGTGGCCCGTCACTACGGCAGCTGGGCCTCTTCCAGTGTCTCTACCCCCGTCTTCAGCGCTTCTGCTACTCCTGTCGCCTACTAAGATAAATAGCACAAAGCTATTTGTCTTCTCATGAAATGGCGCAAGCATGACCTTTCATGAACTTATGAGATCTTTTTTATGGATCGATATGACATATGACTGCAAACACGATACATATTTTGCCATCCTTGGATCATCAACATGGATTGGCCTGTGAATAAATTGACCTTGCCCCCATAATGGATTTGGGGATGCATTCTCGACTGGCGTTTTTATCGGAGTGATTTTCAGTGTGATGTTTCACGAACTTACGATTCATCCTATGTATTCTTCATCATTTTTTCTGGGTTATGGGATGATTGATTATTGATTTGGGCCACATAGACTGTGATCGAAGATTTTACGAGCCCCCGATTACATAGATAGGTTGCACAATGCAACGAGAAAAATGAAATAAAAAAAGTGTTTATCAATTCCAGCTTTCAATCAATTACCTTCAAGATCAACAATGTAATTAGGTAGCCATAGCAGGTTTGTAGTTGATCTTAGGCAGGAATTAGGGCCGAATGGCTGGAATTATGTAACGGGTGCATGACGGCCGCGCGGTGGTTGCCCCGAGAGACGCGCCCGGTAAACAGCACATCCCTCCGGTCACCTTCAACCTCGACACATTGTGACCTCCAAGGGTCTCTTTTGTTGTTTCTTCACAGTCTTATTGTTCTGTTTCTTACTTCTCTTATCGGTCTTTACCGCACCTTTTAATTTGAGCAAAGACTGGCCGAGGCTCAACCACAATCATGCCTGGGACGGTGGCAGATGGACCTACGGTCTCCATGTCTTGTATGCTGTGCTCCATTATTATCCATTGCCACGCGCTAACATCACTTTAGTCGCGAATAACTTCTGGGGTAAAGATGACGCCGGGCTCCAGCCTATGCTGGACCGCATGCATAGTTCAAAGGTTACAAACGATGAATTGAAGATTTTCTACAATCGTGAGTGGCACACAGTACAGTCGCATACCTTGAGATACTAACATTGCCTCTAGTTCGATCTTCTATTGAAGATGAATACGCGCGCAAACTCCAGGCCCTCTGCCGCAAGACACTCGGCTCATCTGAGACAGGATCGCTCCGGAACTCGCTTGATGTGGTTCGGGGAGAGACGGAGGCGATTGCCAAAGCACACGCCGCAATCGCAGGACAAATGAAAACGGAATTGGAAGAGCCACTGGCCGCATTCGCCAGTGGTATCAAGGAGCGAAGAAAGATCATTCAACAAACCATCGAACGCCTTCACAAGACCAAAATGCAGCAAACAGGTGTTGTTAACAAAGTACGCATCTTTCTGGAATTAAAATTGAGCAACCAGCTAATCATGCAGACCCGTGATCGTTATGAACAGGACTGCCTTCGCATTAAAGGATACCTGGCACAGGGACACATGGTGATGGGACAGGAAGAGCGCAAGAACAAGGCCAAGCTTGAGAAGACACAAATCCAGCTTGCGTCCAACAGCAATGAATACGAAGCCGCCATAAAGCAACTCGAGGAGACCACTGGACGTTGGAATAAGGAATGGAAGTCTGCCTGTGACAAGTTCCAGGACTTGGAAGAGGAGCGTCTCGACTTTACGAAGAGCAGCTTGTGGACATATGCAAACATTGCCTCAACTGTTTGTGTTAGCGACGATGCTGTATGTTTGTCTTCCCTAAATGCGATGTCTCATACTAACAGATATTTAGTCCTGTGAAAAAGTTCGTCTTTCATTGGAAAATTGCGAAGTGGAGAAGGATATTCTCGCATTTATCAAGTCGAACGGAACCGGTCAGGAAATTCCAGATCCTCCCAGATTTATCAACTTCTGCAAAGACGATGACACCGGATCTGAAATGGACGAGGCAGAGGGTTATTCAGTAGCCCAATTTCAGCGCACCATGAACCCTGCGTTCCGCACATCATCTCCCCAGCCATCAACCTTCGAGTCTCACAACGACCCATCCTCTGAACTTGCGGCTCAAATGGGCCACCCTGCTCCTCCTATTAATGAAGCACCGATGCCGCAACCCGCCTCTCAGCCTGCACCTTTGGATTTCCGACGTGGAGGTGCGCCGCCTCCGAACTATGACCCTGAGCGACATGGAGAGATTGGAGCAGTTCCCCATAATGCGTACCCCACCGATGGCATGACCATGTTTTGTCGTGCGGGTCCTCCATCGGAGCGTAGCTCGGCAGCCAGCGCGTATCGTCCATCCAGCCGCGACTCTCAGAGTGAGGTTTCGAATCCTACCTCTTTGTCCAGTGTTGAAGCAACGCCTACCAAGCACGCTATTCCGAAGCCAACGAACAGTGCGCCAATTTCCGGCTCCTATGAAGACAAGCAGTCACCATCCCCAAAGAAGAAGAGTGCATTCTTTAGCAACAGCCCATTCCGTCGCAAGAGCCGGCATGATAAAGACCGTCCTGTTATTCCTTCTCAGCCAGCTATGTCCCCTCAGGCCGCGCCACGCAGTGGATGGGACTCGCCTACTGCACAATTGACCCCCACTCAGCCAATTAGCCCACCAAAGCAAATGAGCCCACCTAAGCAGATGAGCACTCCCAAGCAGATGAGTACTCCCAAGCAGATGAGTACTCCCACGCAGATGAGTACTCCTAAGCAAATTAGTCCTCCCAAGCAGATGAGTCCCCCCAAGCAGATGAGTCCTCCCAAGCAGATGAGTCCTCCCAAGCAGGTCAGTCCTGCTAAACCTCCGGCTGGTCCACCTGCTGTGGCGGCTCCTCCAACTCGCATCTCCGCGAGCCCCGAACCTGTTGACCCCCGAGCCAACTTCCAGCTCAATGTTGGAAACAATGTATTTGACGTTGCTTCTCCTGAAAAGACTTCTCCAAATAAGGGGGCCCAGGCGGCCAAAGGAGCCGAAGATGACTTGGATCCCATGGCACGTGCGCTGTTTGAGTTGAAGTCAAATGGAAAGCAGTCTGCCACTCGAGTTTCTGCAGACAGATACGCTGGTATCTCCACGCCCAACCCATCTGCGCCTTCTTCTCAGTATGGTGGTAGCAATGCCAGTGCTGCTGCAGCTCCTCCAGCTTACAATGACCCGTCAGTCAAGCGACTCGGAGCTCCCCAGCCTGCCTTCACGGCCAAGCAAATGCAGAAGACAACCCAAAAGTACACCGGTCAAGCTCAAAGCATGCTTCGAGGCCAAAACAACAGCATGGGATCCCGACACAGCGGTCAATCCCAGGAAGTTCCTCGTGCAAGATCACCCGCACCAAGACGAAGCGTCAGCCCTCAGGTTGCACCTCGAGCTGCATCTCCACGTGTGGACACTCGAATGAGTCAAAACAGCAGAGGAGCAAGCCCAAGCCCGGCCTCGTACCAGTCCAACAGCATGCGGAGCCAGTACAGTCAGTCCCCGACTCCTCGTCGTGCTGAAAACCAACCATACTCTCCAAACGACTTCCAGAGAAGACCTTCACCCGCTATGAGCAGCCGTGCAGTGTCTCCACAGCCTCAGTTCCGACAGCAAACCCGTCCCTCGAGTGCTGGCGGAATGGAGTTGCAGTTATCTGGTAGCCATGGTGATATGTACGGCGCTAGCAGCCCTGGTGGATATAGCTCGGCCCGCTCCACTGGCCGCCCCTCATCTACTTATGGTGATGGTCCGCCCATCGGTCGCTCTCGTAGCCGTACTCTGGCTGTTGCAGAGCCTGGACGCAAGTTCAGTCGTGATGGCCGTCCCATTTTGCATTTCGGTAAGTTCTATATCACCTTTCTTTCGCTTCATCAGTATCTAACTCGTCATAGCTCGTGCCATGTATACCTACAATGCTGCCATCCCAGAGGAGCTCGGCTTTGGCAAGGGTGATCTTCTTTCCGTTCTGCGCCTCCAAGATGATGGGTGGTGGGAAGCCGAAGTCACCAATGCACGCGGCCACCCTGGTCTTGTGCCTAGCAACTACCTGCAAATTATCTGAATACCCCTCTGATCTCACGACCCGCCACGACCCTCGCAAATGATTGTCCTGCCGGAGATACTCTTTCTCATGTTCCCACGTAGATACCATGCTTTTGTCAACCCTTTTGCACATTCACGATCTTTTTTTTTTGAACTCGACTCTATTTTTACTTTTCTTTTTCGGCATGGTGCTACAGTCTCCCCTCGATATCACGAACGCCTCGTTCAATCATGTATTTCTGCTCTAATGGATGCTTTTTTTTGGAACCTTTAGCGTGCGTGCTTTGGGATCACAGTTTTCTTGATATTGCGCTTCGTGTGAATTTGTTGGATTTACATTTTTCTTCTTCTACGGGATCTTTTCAGATGAAATTGTATGATGGCTGATCTCGGGCCACAGAGTCTTCTGGGGCTCTGTGGTCAACTTCTTTTCTATGATTCCTTTACCTTTGATTGTTGATGGTTATGCTGGACACTCGTTCAATTTTATGGAGAATATGATGTGACTTGTTCTAATTGCCCTTCCTCTCTATGGGTTTACTCGTGCCGCTGCTATGTAAGTTGTATGCTACTCAGGCGTTATAAGGATGTAAACTGAATGTTATGTAACAACCCTGGTGCGTTTTCGGTCTCGTCTAATCAAACATATTGTAGATCGTCTTCCGATTGTCGAAGTCCAAATTCCGTCACGTTTACAATCAGTAGAGCCCTGCTCCCTGAAAAAAGAAATAGAGTCAATTTGGCCCTTCTTGAATATTGTAATTTATTTCATTCACTCCTAAGCTAGCGGTAGCTGTTTGGTCGCACATTAAAAACTGTTCAAGAAGAGGCCGCGAAGACAATACCTCCAATTACTATGGCAACCCACGGCAAAATAAGTACTGACATGAGAACGGCACGATGGCAGTCTGATGAGACATATATGTCGTTACTGAGTGGAGAGAGCATGGAAAGAACCTAACAAAGGGGTTAGGCAATTGAGATAGAGGGCAACCAGACTTACTTAGATGATGACCGTGCTCGGAGTGACGGAAATTGTATTTGTGGGGGGATTGATTTTCTAATTGGCCCGGGCTGGGGTAACAAGAGATGGTCTGTCATTGGTCCGGGCGAAGAGCTCGTTTCGCGAATGAAAGTTAGATATGAGAGATGGATTTTCATTGGTCCGGGCGAAGAGCTCGTTTCCCGAATGAAATTTAAATATGAAAGATGGATCATCATTGGTTCGGGTGAAAAGGGCGCTAGTGGGAAGACCCGGACCAATCAAATCTGTTGCCGACATCCGAAGTATAAACATGCGCTTCTCTGATCCTATCTTCGACCTCATGCCGAGTCGCCTGAGTGTTGTTTCTCCCACCATGTTCAGCTCTTCTCGAAGCCTTTTGAATATCATTGTTCCCTATCCAACATCCGTAACACATACCTTCAGTCTGCATTGAAGCTCCTCGTTCCTCGTTCCGTTTCCAACTTCTCGCGAACTATCAGACTGCAACTGTTGCAGTACGTATCATGGGCATGTTTTGACCAATTTCTCCATTGTTGAAAAGTCGAATTAACATCCTGCCAGCTGAACAAATCATGGACGAATCATCTTCCTGGAAGGCGGAGGCGACACGCCTTCTCTGCGCCAATGCTCATTCCTTTGATCTCGAAGACTTCCCCAAGATAAACTATGACATCAGTCAACTGGGAGCAAACGGCCGCTGCGAAGACAGATATCTGCATCGAACGCTTCCCTCCGCTGGGGCTGATGGCAAGGACTGGCTTGCCTGGGCTGTATTTGACGGACATGGTGGACCGCAAACTGCAGACTGCTTGACAAGAAATCTTCTGTTTTTCGTTTCCCATCATCTGTCTCATTTCAAGAAGAGTTGCACCAATGGATACTTCCCAAACCGGCTGATCAAGCAAGCTCTCACGAACGCATTCTTGGACTGCGATAAACAGATTCTGAAGAACGCTGTTGAAGCCCTCACCAGTATGGAAGATCTCCCACATAGGATCAAAAAGGTTCAACCTGCTATTTCCGGCTCCTGTGCTCTGCTATGTTTGTATGACCCTACCACAAGCACGATGCATACGGCATGTACCGGCGACTCAAGGGCAGTACTCGGACAACAAAATTCAGATGGTAGCTGGGAGACATTCGCTCTCTCGGAAGATCAGAAACCAAAAAGCCAGCGCGAGATCGACTTGCTCAGCCAGAAACACCCTGGTGAAAATCACATTTTTAGACACGAGCGGCTTCAGGGCTTGCTGGCAATCACACGCGCATTCGGCGACGCGAAATTGAAATGGAACCTTGATATCCAAAAGGAGATGCACAAAAACTTCGGCTTTACCTCCACCATCAATCCACGCCACTACCACACCCCGCCGTACCTGACCGCAGAGCCTGTCATCGTGCAAGCCAGAATCAATCCGCAAAAAGCTTGTTTCTGCGTCATGGCCACAGATGGCCTTTGGGACAACATGTCGAGTCCCCAATGTGTTAATTTGGTCGCGGAGTGGGTGAAATGCGAGGAAAAGAAGGCGGCCGAGTCAGAGGAACATGACACGTTCGACTTCAGTCGAGTCCTCGAAGGACTGGAGCAGTCCTTCGTGGAGCAGCGAACAACGGTCCAGGATGACAATGCAGCTGTACACCTGATCCGAAACGCCCTCGGTGGCAACCAGCATGAGCTGGTTGCTGGACGGCTGGCCGCTGAGCCGCCGTTCGCTCGCAACGTGCGAGATGATATCACCGTCCAGGTGATCTTCTTCAACAAGGAGGAGAATGGGGGGCGTTAGATCAATCAAGCATTGTCAAATGTCTATTCACTTGTTGCACCCTGAGTAGTGTCATAATGAAATTGTAGGCGCTTCGTTCTAGTTGAAGTCAGAACTGGCATTCTCTACGCCTGATTAAGCTCTAGTATAGGTATTAGTTGGCTCTCAGAGAGAGGGAGTCAATCAATAGTATGAGACAACCCCTTGGGTGAGTCGTAAGACAAAATTGAATGGAAAGATCCATCAGTTCCCTTTCAGATATCCTCTCACTCTTGCTCTCACTCTTGCTCTCACTCTTGCTCTCACTCTTGCTCTCACTCTCGATCACACTATAAATGCACTCCACATCGATATCTCAGCCATGTGCAGACTTTCGGGATTTTCAGAGGCCCTTTCCTGCTGCAAACACTCCCGCTGCTACGGCTCTCGAAGCACCAGCTGGTTTTCCTTCGCCTCTCTGAAGGGCCTGGTAAGTCAGATACCATTCGCTTGGTCCAAAACGCTTGTTGACTGCTTGCTGACTGCTGGTCAAGGAAAATTACGGACTATTTCGCAGTTTCGACATCCCTGACAGCATCCAATTCTCTTAGACCACTCCCAACCAGCGATCGAGGACACCCCCTCCGGATAAGCAACACGCCTGAAGGCCGCTGTCACTTATTCCGACAGAATTTTCGACTGGGTAGTATGTTATTAGGATGTGGACGCGCTGGTCAAACATAGCATCCCAAAACCACATCATCGTGGTTTGTTCCTAGGCGTAGCTGGCGGGACTCCATGTTCTGGCTACGTCGACGTTGAAGGCTGCGTTGGAAAATCCGGTAAGCCAACTCTAATTTCAATCAATCAAAGTTCAATTAACCTGTTGCAGCCTAAGTTGTATCATAATGGCTATGCAGGCGCTTCATTCAGTTGAAGCAAGAACTTGTCCGTACGTCTGATAATGCCAACCCCCTCTTCCCCTCAAATCCTACATCATCTTAGCGGGTGCCGGTATATCCTCAATTCAGTCTTAATTGCTGTTCTAATTATTGATGGCGGAAGGGGGTTTGACTAAATCGGCACCGTGTATTCGAATAAATTGAAGCCTGCTAGTTCGTCGTCGGATTTAAGCTTAGCGTGTTAAAACTAAGTGAGGAGGCCGGTGAGAATCCAAATCACGTATTTTTATTCTTTAATGCTCTGTTGAAGCCGGAGCCCTATCGGTAGTAATAAGAGCTTATATCGAGAGCTATAACGGAAGTGCTTCTGAAAGTGCCGCTAATTAGTACTGCCCCACGCTTTTGTAGTTCAACTAGTTGATTTTCGAGTCTCTTGATCTCCTACGTAGACATGGCTCTTGCTGCTGGGCAATACCACGTCGAGATACTCCAGAAAGCCGGAGATATAATGGCAGCTTGATAGAGCTTACTTACGAATCCATGATGCCCCCCACCCGTGGAAGTAGACCCTAAGATGTCTGTATGGTTTCTAGGTGGCCTGACGCCTTGGCTAGTAGCTTCTTGCGGTGTACGCTGAAACCGAGATTTTTATCGAGCCAAATGCCTAGATACTTGGATTGCTCGGAGGGTTAGAGTGTCGTTGGGTCGTCGCTAGGCATAACCACTGGCATCTACTTGTGGCCGCATAGATCATCGGGAACCTCCCAGATATCGGGTGGCGGGGAATAGGAGCTAACTCTAGTATAAGTGAGAAATTAATGTCAGTAAATGGTGAAACAGCATATTTGAATGCGCCCGCTCTCGAATCACGCTCCGAATGTCACTCTCGAAATCTTACAAAATACGCGTTCAAATGGGAGCGGTGCGATGGCAGTCTCACAAAACAGATAGTAAACTTAGAGCATGAACTTTACCTAATACCAGATTACCACAACACTCGAGTCGAAAATTTCAAATTGACAGGAAACCTGATTTAGACATTAAATCCATGGAATTCAAGCATGAGCTGTACACGAAGAGGAACGAAAGCAAGCAAGCACAGCAAATGGGGTATATGAAGAATAGACATGCTCCTCCGCGGCTTCAATTCAAGTACAGGCAGATCCCAAAGCAGTAATGATATTCACGCTCATTCATCATCAACAAAAGAGTTGGCCAGTCGACCGAAGATAGGAACCTCGAAGTGGTCCAAGGTGTCGACTAGAGGTGGTCGGTCAGTGTTGGAAATCTGATTGATGCAAATAGAGCATGTTTTTGGAATCAAACTCACCATCTTGATAGGCATGCATGGCAAGGAAAGCAATCAGAAGCAGATCGATGATGAGAAGTGTCCATGAAAGGAAGCTTGACCAGCAAAAGATGAGATGAATAACCTATGTGGATTGATATGAGTAGGTATGCGACCGGGAGAATAGCAGGATACTCACAAACATCACAGCAAATACCATGCTTGATTGCCAAGCATGGAATCTTCAATCAAGATTAGTGTATTGTTCAGTGAAGAGGTCCAATGACCGGCACATACCGCACGTAATCACTGTTGTGCTCAATAAGCAACAACAAGACGCCTCCGACCGGGGGCAGAAGCAAGTAAGCTAGCATAGCCTCCACCTCAATGCGGATTGGAAGACTTGTCTCAAAAGGTCCTGGGGTTGCAAGACCCCCGCTATTGTAATTGTGACCGGAGGGCATATTGACATGTGCATCGAGTGAAGCTCGGGGCGAGCGGAGGTTTGGCGACACACGGTATCCATCATTTGGAGGAGATAGAGCACGCTCAATATCCGGCGACTCGTCTTGGTAGGGAGCGAAGTTCATGATGAGAATGAAGCGAGGAAGTGGTTAGGGGAGGACTATTGATGTCGGGGTAAATCCTTATCGTTATCGGGGTCGCGACGCGTAGGCCTAAGGTGGAAAGGGTATATTGATTTTTTAAGAGATCGTCTTCATAACATAATTGGGTATGAACAAGTCAAGTATGATACATGAAAGCTACAAATATTATCTAAGGTTTTGAGCGACCGCGTGAAATTCCACTTCCTCGCGCGATTCCACTGCCTGGTCGACTGGTTGCCGTGGAGCCTCGGGTTGCCGTTCGGGATGTACTAACGCTCGGGGTTCTTCCAAGTCCAGTGCTTCGGACGGTAGCTCTGGTGATTCCTCGAGTACCACGAGTGCCTCTTGTAACTTGTGTGCGTCTCGCTTCAACTTCCTGCGCTTTGCGCGCTGCTGCCTCTCTTTGTTGTTGAAGTAACTGCTCGCGTCTCTCCGCCGCTTGCTGTCGTTGAATCGTTTCGTTCTCAAGATCGGCAACATCCTGGGTAGCACCTTGCCAACTGGGGTTTAGGATCAGACGTTGGTTGTGCTCGGTTTGGGAGAGAATACGGGTCCAAGTGTTGAGGAGGGTGGATGCCGAAGTGACCGTTCGTGATACCGTCTAGACTTCATCGTTAAATTGTTCTGGTGATGTGAAGGAAGAGCATCATACCTCCATATTTCCCTTTGCAGAATCAAGGCTGCTTAGCAGTCCTTCGATAACCTCGTTGATGTTCCGCACACCCTGCAATTCTGTCTGGAGCGCGGCTTCTCGCGCTTCCTTGTAATCGAACAGAGGATCCCCGCCATCGTGGGAAGCTCGAGGTTCCGGGGTGCTTTTTTTCTCGGGGGTTTGGGCATCATACTTCTTTTGAGCTCCACGTTTGGAGGGGGAGTTCCAGAGATCCTCTGTATCATCGTCCGATAGCTGGAGTCTCTCCATTTCCTCTGCCGTGCTGCGGAATGCCATAGTGGTTTTGTGCCGGGAACCACTGTATGTACAGTTGTGAGGTAGCTGGATGCCCCGGTGGGTTCTGCTGGGGATTGTTTACAGTGGCGAATCAAGCGAGCCCCGTCTATCGAATTGAAGATCCACAAAAAGAAGAAAAGAAGAACGGAACGAAATAGGAAGGACATCAACAGTCGCGGGGTTTTCAGCCACCCCAATTATCGGGCGGTGAAGGATGTGGCTGGGCCAAACATCCAGCCCTTCCTAGCAACCTCACCCTTCCTTCACTACCATCGTTCTTTGTTCTGGCTTCCTCCTGGAAATTGAATTTACTCGCTTGGTTTTCGAGCCCATCAATATCTCTTGCGCCTTTATTTTACTTGGTCAACATTCGGCTAAATCACGTTCCGCCCTTGTTTCCTCCAACCTGTGCCCTCGACAATCAAGGTCGCGAAATCCAACGACAACACGCACGTCTACTGTGATCAGTAAAGATCGTATTTATTCTTACAAATAAGGCAGTCGGTCTCTATAAATTTGTTAAATTGCTCTATCTGCCATGGCGTCAACACCCCCACCTCCATCACCAACGTCGCTCCGGGTGCCTCGAGCACCGCGTTTTGGACCCAAGCACGATAATTACGAACCCTACCCTACTCGGTCTTCCGCTAGACTAGCAGGTCAACGAGAAGTCAAGTCCCGTCAAATTACGCCACCCACAAGTCACTCCAGCGCACCAAACAAAATGGGTGTTCCTAAGAGAACCCTTTCGCCCTTTTCACCTGGAACTGGCCAATCTGCCCCCAGAAAAGCTGCAAACTCTCGCATCTCACAATTTGATTCTGAATCCTCACATCCCCACACTTCGGCTAGTCAACCATCCCGATCATCTGCAGAACGAGCTTTACCTACTCCTGCCAAGACACCCTCGAAGAAGAAGATAATTAGCACTGAGTCTTCCACCTCTCGCGCCATTTTCCCTCCAAGCTCTACCCCGAGACGCAAGAAGGTAGACATCGCAATGGATCCATTCGACGACCTTGGAACCCCCCTGACTGGCTCGACTGGATACACTACTCATGTCCGAGGCCAAACTGATCCAGCTCTGATGCGTGATCTGGGTATTCCATCTTTCCCAATTCACACTGATTCGCGTGACCGTATTCCCATGCGCGCTGGACTTGGTGGAAACCCCTTTGCCTCCAAGCCTGGCAGACCCACAACTCGTTCGACAACCACCCACGATGATGGAGTCTGGTATGTTTGGTAAGTACACCTCTCCCCTCTACCCTTATCGACATTTCCTAACTGAATTCCAGCCGTGGCAAGAAAGTCTTCAAGCGTTTTGATGAAATGGAAGCAGATGAGGATGAAGATGAGGATGACCTCGGTCTCTTGGCTCGCCGCCCTGACCTGTTCGCTGATGAGCCCGACATGTTGAAGAAGGTCAAGCCTCTCACCCGATCTTCTATCAAGCCTCGTACTCTATTCAAACAGCCTGAGCCCGAGAAAGAGCTCGCCGAAGAGGAAGATCTCACTGATGTCGAAGATAATGATGCCCCATCTCCGACTCCTGCCGATCCTGCTTACGACTTTGCTGTTGACACCGTCACTCCTGAATTCGAACCAATCGACTCTCTTGTCGCTCCTGGTGCACCCGGCAGCAAAATCATCCCTACATCCAACAACATGGTCCCTGGGTCCAACAAACGAGTTCGCACCGACAGCGGCGCTAGTCTCCTCAATTATTACCCTCTCACCAAGAAGCTATCTGCAGTTGAGACCCGCGCTGATCGCCTCAAGCGTTCCCGCGAGTCGCGAGGCAGCCCTGCTCCACGCATCCGGAAGGCTCTGCGCAGTGGAACTTCTGCGGAGGCTCCGACCTCTTCGGAGCCTGTCGCTGACGTCTAGTTACATCAGAACCTTTTTTCTCTCTTGCTTTTCAGACTGCATAGTTGTTCCAGCGCGTTGCAAATTCTTCTCTTCATTTACGCTTGCGCGGGCTTGTACTCCCCCCAGGATATTCGATGGCATTTTTCATTTTCCAATGCACATCTGTACCCTCGCAGGTATACCCTTTTCTAATGCGCTCTCCCTATGATTGACCACTGTGTCTTTGCGCGGTCTCTGGGATCTTGTTACTTTTCACTCCTCGTTTATTGCGTTGTTTTCAATTAAGTTTTTCGTGAACTGGCGCGTGGGATAGGAATTGCGAAACCTCAAGGATACCTAACGACAACGTCTTCGGCTGAATAAGGGGCGTTTCTATTTTTTTTTCTTGTCTTTTTGTCAGGTCTGTATTGTGCCTCGACTCACCTTGTGTTTCTGTCGATCCTCTTCTCCTTCCTTCTTTTGATTCTCGGACCTCTTTTTCTGGTTCTCGCTGTGGATTGGAATTGCTTGGATATGACTCTCATGTGTCTGCTCGGTGGCTTTGGGTTTGTTCACAATCGTGGGAGGATAAAATAACGACATAGCGAGCGGAACACCCCAAATTGAATTATCAAATAGGTATTCTTTGGCCCATTTTGTAGATCTCCTTCCGTAAAACATGTTCCTCTCGCCTCCATCGGTTGCTTCGCTTTGACTTCGACGTCATGAGCGATCCCGTGACCCAAGTAGCCCTGGTTACGCACCGGCTATACTTAAGTTCGTAATCTACAATGAAAATGCATGCGATAATAAATATATCCATTCTAACAAAGACACTATCAGCCGCCACCCTGGAACAAACCCAACACAAAAAACTTCGCCTAATGCAACCGGTCCACTCGGGACATGCTTTGAATTCGTAACAGCGTAATTATGGTTCTTCCCCAATGAACACAATGAGAATAGACTGGTTCACAGACTGTCATGCGCAAACCGCATCAAACAAACTCTAAATCATCATCGTCATCATCATCGTCCAAGATCGCCTGCCTCCCGCCAGCCGTAACTTCAGCCGGTGCACCAAGACTCTCCCGGCCAGCTTCTCTAATCCCCTTCGAAGTGATGAATCGCGTCTTTTTGACCCCACTGCCATGCGGTGTGCCATGGGCACGCTTCATAGGACTCAAACGGACGTTTCTGGCTTTGCCGAAGGTTGTCAGATCCATCCCTCCCGTAGCCGAGGGACTCTTCGGTATGGCAGGTGTACCGGGAGTCTTATCTTTGTTTGGGGTTTCATTTCCGGCTCTTGTGCGAAGATATTCGGCGCCTACACCTCCGACTCGGCCTGAGACGAGTTTCTGGGTTATGTCTCGTTCGCGTTGTTGGGCTGCGAGACGACGGCGCATTCTTTCTTCTTTGTTTTCTGACCGGGGACCCATCATGCCAGAGGCTAGGAAAGGGTCGTCGTGTGCATCGATGAGGTGTGCGGCTGAGCCTGCGACGGGATTATAGGAGGCTCGACCGGCGCCACGGTTCTTTGGGGCTGGGGCCACGTAGTACAGGGATTGGGATCCCATGTCATACGATGGGCCATCGCGTTTCAGGGCCTGACCTCGTCCGTAGCCATCGGTGCCTCGGCCAGCTCCTCGCTTAGCTCCTTCATTGAAAAGGCCAGTTCGCGCCCCTGATTTACCACCTGATCCGAACATGCCGGTGTCGGCGTTGACTCCTGATCGTTGGCCTTGAGTCTTGCGTAGTTGGATATCAACATGGAAATCGCAGAATTCGGTCTTTCGACCATCTACCCAGGATTGGCAGGTCTTTCCATCCTTTCTCACGGTTTTGCAGAATCCGATATCGCGTGCGTAGCCAATCTCGAGAACTGTGTCATCGGATGATGACAAAGACAGGCTGAACCTGTTCGTGTCCAGCTTGTGTTTGGGAGGGGGCATGATTGTAGGGTTCAAGATCGCAATGAGGGTACCTTCTGAAACTTTGTAGTAACGCGGGAAAGCAGTCCCGAAAAGAAACAGATCAATGGTCCATTTTAGGTCCGTCAAAGTGATGACCATATACTTGTTTGTGTTGTTCAGACCGTCATCATAGGGATCATCTGTTTTAGCAGTTGTGTTTCCAGAAGGCTTCACATCTCTGGGGTCAGACTTAGATGCAACAATTCCGAACACCACAAAGTCTCCATCAATGTCTTCGGGTAGCTCAAATGCAGGCGCTTTCACTGTTTTCAGTAAGTCCGGGATACGGAGAACCTTTTTATCTGCGAGTGTACGGCTCAAGAATGAATGGGGGAGGACCCGATTTGATAGGTGTAATGATGAGTAGGACTCGAACTTTGAGGAGTCAGGGGGCTTCATCGAGTCGCCATCTTGCGATGGCCCTGTTACTTCTTCCGTCGTGTTATTTCGTCTATGTAGATGCGACTGTCGATCATTGATACCAGCATTGCTGTCAGTGCGGCGGAGGCTTGGAGTTGTCTGACTGCGCTGAAGCCCAGACGGGCGAGGTTGACCCATAGCTCGAAGAATATCCTCGCGACTAAAGGATTCCGCGGGCCTCTCCCGTACCGGAGAAGATGGCTTTGTATCAGCAGCAGCTTTGTATGCCTCAATTTCCGTTTTATCGATTTGGAAGGCCGAGCTGCGGTTTGCTTGGATTCGTTCGGCTCTCTCCATCCGAGATTTTTCCGCTGCTCTGCCCTCTGCCATCCTCTCACTGAAACTTTTGATTCGACTGATCCCCCGGGACCCAGGAGACGTCTGTGGTCGGGACGAAAACACATCGTTGGGGCGCGCAATAGCGCCATCTCGGAACCCAATTTGACTGCTTGGGCGGGGATCGGTTCTTGAACTCGGAGGTCGTTTCAACGAGACATCGTTGGCTTTCCATCCCTTGTCAATGCCCATCTGGTACCTCCGTGGTGAGATGGGGTCTACAGAAGGTAGCTCCCTTCGCGTAGGTGATGCTGGGACTTGAATATCCTCGCTCGTCTTCCTTCCAAGGGTCGGCTTGGCGGTTCTCGGTGTTAGGGCATGAGACTCAGCTCGCGAAGCACTAATAGCAGAGTTTGGGCGAGCGTCTTCTTCTTCAAGATTGGAACTAGATCTGCCGCGGTTCTTCTGCTGGAGCTTCTTCAATCTCAGGCGGGCTTTGATCTCGGCAAGCTGAAGCTGCAGTGTTTCCTCATCCTCCTCGTCCGCATCATCCTCGTCCAAGATCTGATTGGCTTTCGATCGAAAATTCGGTGTAGTGCTTGAGCGCTTCAAAGGGGACGTAAAATTATCGCGATTGCGCTGCATGTCTTGGTATCGTCTTCGTCCAGCGGGTGAGCTCAAGAGAGCCGCGCGGGGCGACTGGGGTGGCCACGCAGGCTCGGTCACTGTGGAAAAGCTTGTCAGAAAGCGATTAGCGTAGATAGCAGGGAGGCGCCGTACTGATGATGTATTAGAGGTTCAAGGGTAATCAAAGACCGAAAGCACCATAGCCTGATTGGCCTAGGCCATTCCCTGCGCAAAATTGAGTGCTGATACGCCCGATACGCGCTTCGATATAGATTTGCAGGGGAGCGAACACTAGAAGCCCAGAAAGAAACAAAGAAGAGTCACAGGGAGCTGAAAGTCGGGGAATTCGCGATGTAAGATGAAACACTCGCTAATGCAGCAAGGGCAGTGACTGATCACATGCGGGCGCGTCGCGTCGCGCTCCCCTTCCGTTCCCACTCGACACTTCTACTTTTCAACATCAACATGAAGACCCGATCAGCCCCTGCCAAGGGCAAGAAGTCCGAAGAGACTGTCGACCAATCTCAGCCAAAAGCTCTTGTCTCGGAGACACCCAGCAAAACGTTCATCCTCCCTTCTGCTAGCGACAATGCGCGACTCCTCAGCCTTCCTCAACCCCAATCGGGGGAATTGAGCCGTTATTTCTTCTGCCCGGAGCGTGGCTTATTCGAATTTACAGTGGTTGCACCACCTGCTCATATGGCGCGAAGCATCCTATTCACCCCCCAAGCACCCCAATCCACACCCCCTTCGGAAGAGGAGAACGAGGGAAATGACCAGCCCTCCGCGAGGCCTACAATTACGAAGAAAGCCGAGCTTTTGGTAGCGACGCCAATTGATGCCATGTTCTTTATGGTTTCATTGTTGGCTCCATCCTCGAAATCAGGACAATCCTTTTTCCAGCCATTGGATGATATTATCGACTCGAAGGATGATATGCCGAAGCACTTTCGCCAGGTGTTGTACGACGAGACATTCAGGACCCACCTTCTGACTCGCGTGGAGGCTATTTGTGATAGCGTCGAGGCAGGCGACGAGAAGATGTTCCGCTTCAACGAGACCAAACTAGTCAAGGAACTGATCGCAAAGGCAGAACGGATGGCAGATCGGGGACTGCCAGTGAGTCTGGAGGAGCGTTTTATTCGCCAGGCACTGGCAACACCCTTGATGTCCGTCAAGCGTGAAGATATCGTAACTAGCCAGGAACCACCCAAGGACAGCGAATCACCCTCCAACTCGGAAGAAAGACAGGATTCACCATCGACGGTAGCTACAAATAGCACACCCTCCATTTCAACGCCCGCTGGAGAATCTACACCTGTACCTCAGCCACCTGGCACAGACTCAGCAGCCCTGGCTCATGTTGCTCGCCTACTCCGGATCTCCACCGCGCTATCCTACATGAAAGAATCATATCTACCCGACTCTATTGCCGCACGGCTAGATGAAGTTCTTGATTCGACAGAAAGTCCACTTGACTTAAAGCCTTTGAAGGACCGCCTGAGGGAGATCGCAGAACTTCGTGCCCAAGCCATCGCATCCCGTAACATGTCCGACTTCACTCGCAAACGTGCCTTGGATGATGAGGAAGAGGATGTCCGCGCCGAGAAGAAGCGGAAAAAGGATGAAGAAGAAAAGAAAAAGAAGGCTGCTGAATCCCATGCTGTTAAAAACCTGAAAAAGGTCAACACGTCCGGTATGCAGAAGATGAGTGCCTTTTTCGCGAAGGCGCCTCCCAAAAAGAAGACGTGAGAGATCTACATTGATCCTCACACAACTATTTATCCAGTCCCATCTTGCGCTTAGGGCTTTTTGCGTGGCTTGATGGACTGTTATCAAGCTTGAACAGTGCGCCCCGTGCTGCCTATGAACATGAACTACATTGACGTACTGGAGGCAAGCTCCCCGCAGTTAGCAAACTTACTCAAGAGCACCATCCGCATAATCAAGGGACACACTTCGTCCCTAAGGGTCACGTTTCTAATCCTAGGAACCTGCATGATGGCCTGCCAGAAAGAGCCAACCCGGCATGCAGAAGCAACGTCCGTGTCTCAAAATCGATACATCAATATCTAATCTGGAAGATCTACCTGTCACACTACTGTATACTACGTTGAACAACAAAAACCTCAAGTTGTATATATATACACCCTTTGAATGAACTATTCAACCGATTTTGTATTTTGATCAAGTAAGAGAGGCCAGTATGTAGACATATCTTGCTGCTCACCAACAGTCAATATTTAGAGAGGAATCTGGTCAATAGCAGCACCGGTAACCCTAAAATCCAACATGTTAGCCATGATCAACCATCACCCACATCTCAGGGGCGAGGGGAACATACAAGAAAGAACCATTGGAAGGCTTGCTAATAACCATAGCCTGCTCCAGCTTCTCCTGAGTAATATCAGGGAACTTCATCAGATAGTACTCATCCCGCAGGGCTTTGGTAACAGCCTCGACCTTACCCTGAGGCAACATATGAACAGTACATCCACCCCAGCCGGCACCAGTCAACCGACTACCCCAGGTACCAGCCCGGCGAGCAATAGCGCAAATATCATCGACCTCAGGCGCACTGCACTCATAAGAGTCGCGACACGAATCCTGCGACTCGTTGAGCAATTGACCCAGATAGTGAATGCGCTTCTCGTCCAGCTCCGTCGCCTTGCTCAGACAAGCCTTGAAATCGAGGACGCGGCGTGCTTCCTTGAAGCAGTGGAGTGCGCGCTGGCGGAGGCGGAAGCGCTCCGCTTGCACGGGGAAGGCGGAGAGGAAGGTTGATTCCAGTTCTGGGACGGTAATGCTGAGCAACGCGGCCATTTCTTCGCGAGTGTAGCCTTCTTCTTTGGTGAAGAGGTCTTGTGTTGCTTGGATCACTGAATCGATTTGGTATTCCAGTGGGTCTTGCAGGCGGCCTTCCTTGGTCATTAGCTCGTTTTGGAAGTTGCGAAGACTGTAGCCTAGAGAGCTGTTGTCCTTTGGTAGAGTGAGGCCGTAGTTCTTGGCCAGGATTACGGCTGCGAGGGTGCACTCTGCCACGCGCAGGTTGTAGTGACGAGGAGCGGTGTCGGCTTTGTTGGAGGTCACGAAGCTTTGGGCCATGAGGAAGGTAATTTCATCGGCGGCTTTGGGGATTGGCACGTGGTGGGCATTGAACTTGGGGAAGAATTGGGTGTACAGGAGGTAGCCGCGCTTTGAGAAGATTGAGGCAGCTTGATCCATGCTGTTGCGACTTCTTGTTAGATTTGTTCTCACGGGGTATTTCGCGATTGGGGGATTGAACTTACCCGCCGGAGTAGACACCGACAGCGCGCTCCGAAACTACCGCAAGGTCCAGCAAATCCTGCTTGGAGACATTGTGGTCGTTGGCCTTCATGACAGCCAAGGCACTGGCGCAAACGAAAGCAGCACTGCTGGAGATACCACCACCGGGGGGAACATTGCCGTCCACCAAGATCTCCATGCTCGCCGGAACGAACGATCCATCGGACTTCTGCTTGCGCAGGAATTTAGTCGCGCCGGACAGACCAGCGCGGAAGTAGTTCACCCACTCGTGCTTCTTGGGGTCAATCTCAATGTCCTTATCGTGAGGCACGCTGAACTCCCGCGTGGGGAACTTCTCCGGCGACACATTGGCGATCTTGATGGTCGATTCTGTACCACTGGCAGGGACTACCTTGACAGCCATGATGACGTCGACGCTCACGGCAGTTGGGAGGACATCGTACAGCGAGTAGTCGATGTGCTCGCCAATGATATTGACACGGCCGGGACTGCGCGCCACGAAATCCGGGCGGTAGCTGTAGGTCTTGTTAAATTGAGAGATGAGGTTTGTCCATCGCTGCTGGTGCTGCGGTGCAACGGATGCTAGCGAAGCCTCGTCTGTGGCATAGACTTCGGCGATGGACTCTGTCTGCGGCACGAGCTCTTGAGTCGACATGGTGGGGGCGGGGTAGTTCAGGATGAGTGTCAGGAAGAAGATCAACACGTAGTCCCAGGGTAGAAATAGAAGAAGAAAAAAGGTGCAGTTACGAGAAAAGGGACCACAACAGTACAGACCCCGGTTTCAACCCCGGGTAAATTCAGTGGGGAGCCGATTGTCACCTTTTCGGTCTTTCGGTGTCCGATTGCAGGGCCTTTGCGGGGCCCCTTTCGGCTTTCTCCAGGCTGTTTTGGTCTCCGCGGCTTCTGATTGGCTCGTACAATTCTCCGTTGGTCCCACCTCTGATGACGCAGGGCCGTTGTGGGCAGAAACCTTTTCCATTAGGGCAACATGGTCAGTTACTGCTCGTCTACGGATGACATTTGTCTGTTCTCCACTTCATATTACATGCTGTGATTTGTGGTTTCTGTGACCTCCAGCAATAACAACAGATAGCCATAGGCTTGTCGGATTGGGTTCATTCTACTAGGCTCCTCGCCAAAAATCACTCCGGTAATTTCTCCATATAACGTTAGTGGATTATAGTCGCGGGGTAACAATAGGACAAAAAAAAATAGATGGGAGATTCTGCCGAGAGACAATTGAAGGCACTAAACCAAAGTACCTCCCTTGATGATGGCCAGGGGGCAGCTTTGAGTTCGGTCGACTTGATGGTGACAACCTGCTTATGTCTACTGATACAGCATGGTCATATTGGGACTTGGAATACTATTATTTATTTCTTATCAAAATGATCATCGCTATCAGACGCACCGGGGCATATTGAAAGATGGGATTCACATCTTCCGATCAATGACAGGTGTCTGCACCATTCCCGTCTCCGCGTAATATTGCTCCCAATGCTGGACTAGTCGAGCGAGAGTATCCGGTTCACTCACTGCAAGATCATGGATCTCAGCGGGATCGGTTTCAACATTGAATAGCTCCCACTCATCTTTGCCACGGGGCTCGGCAATCCAGACTGCCTTGTACTTGCCCTCGCGAATGGCTCTCATGCCAAACAGCTCCCAGCCATGAATGTGGACATCTTCCTCATGGACACTGGTGGCCTTATAGTCGCCAGATGCGAGGTGAGAAACCCATGACTGCCCACGTGGAAGAACGACTTCTCGTCCCCGGAACTGTGAGCCTGGATGGGATACGCCGGCCAGATTCAGGATGGTTGGAAGAATATCCATTACTGTAGTGAATGCGTTGGTGATGGCGTCTGGTTTGGCATGGAATGGGGGATAACGAATGATGCAGGGACAGCGAATTCCGCCTTCAGTCACCCAGCCTTTGAAGCCTCGCGAAGGGGCGGTTGCGGCGCAGGCCCAGCGAGCACCTGGTTTATATGTCAGGCACGATTCTCCAGATAGATCTTTTGAAACCGACAACTCTCAGGATACATACCATACCACACAAATGAGTCAGGCTGACCAATATTCTCCAATGTGTTGTTATAATATTTGGAAATAATATCTCCCATCATCTTTTTGCCGCCCATGAGCTGAGAAGAAGTTAGTCAATCATCCTGTACTCAGATTGTCTGGTATTCCATACTGGTAAAGCTTCCAGAGCTGCGCCTTCTGCGCCGTTGTCTGACATGAACAAAACGAACGTATTGTCCAGCTCGCCCGTAGACTCAAGGTGCTGGATGACGCGGCCAACATGAGTATCGAGTTGGTCAACCATTGCAGCGAAAACCTCCATTTTCCGGGCCGACAGCTTCTTCTCTTCCGGCGACAAAGAATCCCATTCTTTCCCAAGTTTTCCCACTGGGGACGCATGTTCCACAGCCTCATCTACAAGCCCTAACTCTTTCAGACGTTGAAGACGCTTCTGTGTCAATGCATCAGGTCCATCGTCATATTTCCCCGCTGTGACTAGTCAGTTATCAAACTCCGATTATGAAAAGAAACACTTACCATATTTCTCAATGATTTCCTTGGGAGCCTGCAGAGGCCAATGAGGCGCTGTGTAGGGCAAATAAGCAAAGAATGGCTTTTGCGACTCCTCTTCTGTCCGATTTTCAAGGAAACCTATCATCTTATCGGTGAATGTTTCAGTCGAATAGAAATTCTTAGGAATATCTGTTGTTCGGTCAAGGACTTTCTCTCCTTCCATCCAGAAGCCAGTCGTGTTTATACAAGGTGCCTGGAATTCACCGTCTTCCAACTGAGGCTCATAGTTGTAATGATTACTGGCACCCGGAAGCAAAGAGAAGTTCTTGTCAAAGCCTCTGGAACATGGGGCGATTTCTTTGGTCATTCCAAGATGCCTGTTTCGTTTTAGTCGTGCGTTGATTGAAATCAGGGCGAAGAGACTAACCATTTTCCAGACATGAGTGTGTGATATCCTGAGTCTTGCAAGATCTCTGATAGAGCTGCTACTCGCCAGTTCAAGTATCCCTCGTAGCCAGGCTTGTTCTTGAAGTGATCTCCAAAGCCTCGCATGAATTCTGCCATTTGTCCTAGAATGCGTCTCAGCATGTGTCCGCTTTGGAATTGAGTATCATATTTCGTACCAAGTCCAGCAATATGGTTATCGGTTCCAGAAAACAGCATTGACCGGGTTGGAGAGCATGCAGATGCTGTGTGGAAGTTGGTCATACGAATGCCCTCTTCGGCCAGCTTTGCAAGCGCTGGTGTCTCAATTTCACCGCCGTAAGGGGCAACATCACTAAATCCAAGGTCATCGGCGACAATGACCAAGAAATTGGGTCTTTTCTCTGTGTTGCTCATCGTTATCGCAATGCTGGATGTATAAACACGTGGAAGTCAAAAAGATCGAGGATTTCGTACGCCGGGACAAGGCCTATTTATATATCTGTGGTAGTATCTCACTGGATCTGAACCAAATAACAAGCTGGAATATCCGAGTCTACTCAGAATTTATATTCTCCGGTTGCGCAATCAGGCGTGTTTTGTCCAATCGTACTGGAGTATACATGCGGGGGCCCGCCTTGGTGAAATCGGCCCCGAGCTAAAGTATTTGCCGCCCCTCTTCCTCATTGTCAGGCGTTATTGCGCCATTTTAATGCATTTAGTGACTCGAGCATCTCGCTTGTATAGAGCATTGGATTCTAATCTCATTTCGCTTAAATCTGTAAATATTTTGGTTGGGTATCTAATCAGATGGCGGAACCTCGTCATCTAAACTTTTTGAGGTTACTATATTGAGCCTCGTGCTTATAGCGGTTTTGTATCAAATGATTGTTTGATACGCACGACCTTTAAATTATACTCGATTGCTTATACTGTGGAGCAATTTGACTATTGTGAACTCTCTGTACTTGCTGTGTATATATCGGCATTGGCCTGTCTTCCGAAAGCCCCCAGTTTGGGCTACACATAATACCGGACTATTGAGAGATGTATTCTGAATCAAATTTACCAATACTGTTAGCAGCCATAGTGTAGCTTTTTAAATTCAACCGCCCTTACAGCTCCCAGTCAAACACTCTGACAAACTTCATGCTCATATAGTACTCCCAGTTGAAAATAGGAATATATCAATCCTACTGGCGAAGATAATATGAAATTCCAAGAAAGAGCTAACTTAAAGCAAGGGCCGCACATCAATTAACAGTGCATGAAATATTAAACACTTTCTATATGAAATCATCCAACTGACTGTACCATTTGATTTATTGTCTGTGCCTCAGCTTGAGCTACATCTTTTGCCTCTTTCGATCCATTTAGTGAATTCTTGAGATCACACCAAGATGGGTGCAGAAAGACCTACATTTATGAGCCCGGCCACTGACTTGCTAGGGCCAGCCAAGACTTACGCACGCGATAAAAATACGCAGCTTCAAAATCTACCTGCAGAGCGACATACTATGTGATTGATCGCAACGGTAATTCACTAGCGATTAATAAGCATAAGATTGGTCATTCCTGGTACCAAACGGTATGCGTTGTCTTCAAAGGCTAGGGTGTAGAGGGTTGAAGATATCGGCAAGGACGACGAGTAGGACAGGGGTCAAGTATAATTTGATATGTCAAGTACGGGGGAAAAGAAAGAGGCAACGATGAAGACCGGGGTTGAAATTGATAGCACTAGACTTGAACAATGTAGGGCACAAAGCCATGGAGCGAGGAGTCCATAGCTTCACCTTTATACATCCCGGGGAGCTTAGCCCAGATGCCCGGACGATCTAGATCCACCCGACCGATAATGGTCGGGATCTAAAATCAGGCCACAAGGCTAGAGCATCTGCATTTTCGCCGACGAGGCTCAGAACCCATTGTATTATAGTTATTATGGTATGGATAGAAGGTGAATTAGCTCAAGATCATATAACCTTGATTTCATTCGCTGACTGGCATTGAGTCTGTCGTATTGGCGGTTTGAATCTGCCGAGGCGATACCACGTGACACGAAAACACAAAGATCATGTGACCGTCGGCGGCCGAGGTCGGAGGGCGCGGAGGCGCTCTGGACCAATAAAAAGCCCTGAATTGGTTGACTCAGAGCGGTCGGTCCATTTTGGTTTAAGGCGTTTTCTCCCCCAGAGAGTCACGGCAATCTTCAGCGGTCAATTGAAACTCACTTTTCCTTCACCACTCTCCTCTCTACACTCCTGGCCTGGCCGTCATCCACGATGATGCCTTTAAGACCATCAACAAGCGCTCTGCGCGCCTTCCACATCCGGAATATCGCTGGACGTCGGTCTTTTTCGACATCTTTTGTGGCTTCGGCCGCTTCGCCCCACCGCTCTTCTATCCAGAAGCGTGGCCAGAGCACAGCTACGGCTTCAGCCCCGTGAGTTTAGATCTGCTCAATGCAATGGCTCAGTTCTAATTTGATCAATCGTTAGTGAGACCAGACCTGTTCCCAGTCCGGCTTTCAACCAGGAACCCCATCGCAATGAGATTTCTCCCTTGCAACACCGCCAGCTCCCCGAGCTCGATGACTCGTATGTTCTTTCTATCACAGCTACAGAACACAGGAAACTGATTTTCGGAAAAACAGAATGGTTGGCATGAGCGGTGGCGAAATCTTCCACGAGATGATGCTGCGTCAGGGTGTGAAGCACGTCTGTGAGTAATTTATCCTTTCAGCCAAATTTGGGCCAACGCTTATATTTTATAGTCGGTTACCCCGGTGGTGCCATTCTCCCCGTGTTCGATGCCATCTACAACTCCAAGCACTTCGAATTCCTCCTCCCCAAGCACGAGCAGGGTGCCGGTCACATGGCTGAGGGTTACGCCCGTGCCTCTGGCAAGCCCGGTGTTGTCCTCGTTACCTCCGGCCCTGGTGCTACTAACGTCATCACTCCCATGCAAGACGCTCTCTCCGATGGTACCCCAATGGTTGTTTTCTGTGGTCAGGTCCCCACCAGCGCAATTGGTACCGACTCCTTCCAGGAGGCCGACGTTATTGGTATCTCGCGTGCCTGCACCAAGTGGAACGTGATGGTCAAGTCAGTTGGTGAACTGCCGCGTCGTATCCAGGAAGCTTTCGAGATTGCCACTAGCGGTCGTCCCGGTCCCGTCCTGGTTGACTTGCCCAAGGATGTCACTGCTGGCATTCTTCGGAACCCCATCCCAATGCACAGCACTATTCCCTCGCTCCCAAGCGCTGCTGCCATGGCTGCCCGTGAAATGAGCCAGAAGCAGCTCGAGGGCACCATCAGCCGTGTTGCTAACCTCGTTAACATTGCCAAGAAGCCCATCCTCTACGTTGGACAAGGTCTTCTTGCTCGTCCTGATGGTCCCGAGATCCTGAAGGAGTTTGCCGACAAGGCCTGTATCCCTGTCACCACCACCCTTCAGGGTCTTGGTGGTTTCGATGAGCTTGACCCCAAGGCTCTCCACATGCTGGGCATGCACGGATCCGCCTACGCCAACATGGCTATGCAGGAGGCTGATCTGATCATTGCCGTCGGTGCCCGTTTCGATGACCGTGTCACCCTCAGCATCCCCAAATTTGCTCCCCAGGCCAAGCTTGCCGCTGCCGAGGGACGTGGCGGTATCGTTCACTTCGAGATCATGCCCAAGAACATCAACAAGGTCGTCCAGGCCAACGAAGCTGTCGAGGGTGACTGTGCGGACAATCTCCGTCTTCTTTTGCCCCATGTTAAGTCTGTTCCTGAGCGTCCCGAGTGGTTCGAGCAGATCAACGACTGGAAGCAGCGCTTCCCCCTTTCGCTCTACGATCGTCAGACCGAAGAGGGCCCCATCAAGCCCCAGGCTGTCATTGAGAAGCTCAGTGAACTTACTGCTCACATGAAGGACAAGACCATCATCACTACTGGTGTCGGTCAGCACCAGATGTGGGCTGCTCAGCACTTCCGCTGGCGCCATCCTCGTACCATGATCACCTCCGGTGGTCTTGGTACAATGGGATTCGGTCTTCCTTCCGCTCTTGGCGCCAAGGTTGCCCGCCCCGACTGCCTGGTCATTGATATTGACGGTGATGCTTCTTTCAACATGACCTTGACTGAGCTTTCCACCGCTGCCCAGTTCAACATCGGTGTCAAGGTTCTCCTGCTCAACAACGAAGAGCAGGGTATGGTCACCCAATGGTAAGCGTCACTTCATCATACAATAATATGGTACATTCGACTAATATACTCATAACAGGCAAAATCTCTTCTACGAGGATCGTTACTCTCATACCCATCAGCAGAACCCCGACTTCGTCCCTCTGGCCAAGGCTATGCGCGTTGCTGCCGACTCCTGCTTCAAGGCCTCCGAGATCGAGCAGAAGCTGAAGTGGCTGATTGAGCAGCCCGGTCCGGCCCTCCTGGAGGTCATCACTGACCGCAAGGTTCCCGTCCTTCCCATGGTGCCTTCTGGGCGTGGTCTGCACGAGTTCCTGGTTTACGACGAAGGTAAGTGAATTTTGCTCCAATTTTATCATATAATCAATGCTGACACAATTTTTACAGCCAAGGAATTGGAGCGCAAGGACCTCATGCGCCAGCGCAACGTGGACTTCCACGTTCGCAAGGAGTAAGTGACAACCTAACAACGTCACTTTGCCAATCATGTTTCTGTACTTTGATATCCATGGCGTTTCTTGGCTGGTTCACCAAAAGCGATTTGGGCAATGTCTGTTAAATTCAAAACAAGATATCCCTTAACAAGATTGCTCCTGGGGACCTCCATGGCAGAAAAGTTCGGTGCTCTTGGGCTCTCCACCGATGGAATGCGTGCCCTCCACCTTATCCTCGAAACAAGGATGGCGAATTGCATAAAATGTGTCGCATTCTGCAGTTGTCATCTTGTCATGTCTGGACTCTCTTCTTTTGCCAGGTTGATCCTCTTGTATATAATCATTGACGTCTCAGGTCCCATGATGGGATGTGAACATTGATACGTTCGAGTCTCATAAAATAGGAGTATTTAGTCATTGAAAGTATCTTTCTTTTTCGGACTTTGTTTTTGTCTTTCTCTGCAAACTTACATGGTTTTCCGTTAGTCAATATAGCAATTGCTTGAAATGATGGATAAGCTACAATCTGATTGATAGAACATGTTATTCGACGGCAATTTGCATATCTATTTCTGCCACTGTTCGCTTGTCAAGACTGATAATTTTATATCATGTTTCCATCATTGACAAGTGGCTTATCTGTCTGATATTTAAATTTGAGCGCAAAGGCTGCTAAAGACCGTTGTGGTTGTAGTTGAAAGGCATATCGTCACTATCGATGAGAGATGGTCGGAGCCCTAAGTTTTGTTTGGTCTACGTTAAATAGCATCAATGAACTAGTACGTAGCAATTTCCGTAAAAGGAGCCTGTTTATTTATTCTTATCTTTTACTCAAAAGTGTCTCTGAGGAACTGAGAAATTAGGAAGGTAGAGGCGTAGTCGTCGTCGTCGAACGAGTCACTTGACAAAGTTCTCACGATAGTGCACATGTTCGCGATGACCAAAAAAACACACGATATTAGACCACAATTCTGAACTTCACCATCTTTCTTTTCTCATCAACTATCCTATCTCTTCGTCTCCTTCATTTCCTTCTTCCTTCGTCACGTCACTCCTACGCCTCTGCAGACAGGGGGCCTGCGCATTATCAAATCCAGCAGGCGACTGATCTAACGGGGGGAAAGAAACTCTCACTTACCTCATTTCACTACGCTTAGTCGTTCACTTTTCTTATTTCACCTCACATCTTTTCTTGACGCTGCTTGATCCGCGATATCTCTCTTACGATCTTGCTCTCTTCAACAGCTTCATCAGAGACCATACCGTCATCATGGCCTCCATAAGGTTAGCCTCAATTCTCCGCCACTTGAATAGACTGCAAAAGCTGACTTGATAGACTCATGCCGTGCCGTGACTTTGCTCGAGGAAACTGCAAGTGGAAGAATTGCAAGTATGCTCATGTGAGTCCGCAGCAGGGAGCCCAACGTTCTCTAGCAGATCCGGATCACGCAAAAGTGTACGCTCCAAGCAGGAACCTTCTAGAGAAGGAAGTGCAAGCTTGGAAAGAAAGTATCACTCTGGACAAAGCTGCACCTCGCTCTCCATTGCAAACAAAGTCTGTCATCATCCAGAAAGCAAGAAAGCTCCTCGACACCGATGCTACTTCGCGACAGGAAGTTATCCAGACACTGGCTAGTGAACATGGCTTGAATTTCATCCTGGAACTTGTTCTGGATGACTTCCAGGACATGTCTGTCACGACAAAGGAGAATATTTTCAAAGCTCAGATTCTCCCGCTCATGCAAACGGTCTCGCATTCGGATATCCTGTCTTCATCCGCGTTGGAGCAGTCGGTGGGGACAATTTACAACATTTTGTTTGGCATTGATGGATCCCGTGCAGCTTGTTTGCTAAACTTCACGTGTGATGTTCTTGCAAATTCGCCGAAGAGTCAAGGCACTGCTTTGATACTGGAGACGTCTCTCCTCACATTTTCCCGCATCGTCGACCTCAATTCCTCGGCCCTCGTTCAAGAATGTCTCCATGCCGAAGTCAAAAGATTTGAGGATATTTTCACCTCAATGAATACCAACGAGCTGACGGGCACGCTTCAGCAGTCTCGCAAGCACCTTGACCACATTACCCAACGCATGAAGATTGGAAAAGAAATTCCAACCGGCGATGGAGAGAATCATGCCAGTCACACACTTGATCCTGGATTTATGACTCAACATGGAACTCCCGGAGGCAGACACGACAACGATCATGCCGACATTTGCGATATCAGAATCATGCCAAGCCTGGAGGAAATCTCCTGCCGACAGACTGAGTACTTGCCTGTTGTCAATCCATTCCAATGGCATGTTGAGGGCCTTGATGGATTATTGGATCGAAACTTTCGCCTCTTGCGAGAGGACACTGTCGGCCAGCTGCGAGACGCCATTCACCATGAACTAGACCAGTCTCACCTGGTTGATCCCTCACGAAAGCAGCTACGAAAGTTTGTTTACCATGATCTTCGGGTTATCGATCTCGGCTTTCACTGGATTTCAGGCTTTCATTTCGAAGTCGAATTCCCGCAGCCTGCTGGAGTTGAAAACCGAACACCCATGGCCCGAGAGATGTGGTGGAAGACATCCAAGCGTCTGAGCCCAGGTGCCCTGGTCTGCATGCTCGTCAAACAGACCCAGAAGGAAGACCTTGTACTGTTTTGCATTGTCGCAAATCGGATCTTGTCATCCAGGAAACGACAAGAAGATGGAACTCCAATGTTCAAGACAGACCCGACATCATTATGGAAGAACCCCCAAAGCGCTTGGGTCACCCTGATGTTGGTTGATCCTAGCCCAAGCAATCTTCAAATCGTTCTTGATATGAAATGCCCCGAGAGAACCGTCATTTCACTGGTAGAATTCCCAGGTGTTCTTCTTGCAGCTTTCGCGCCTGCACTCAAAGCACTTCAGTCCATGAAGCGCGATAAGTTCCTCCCATTCTCGGAGCTTTTCATCCCTTGGGATACCAAAAATGGAGGACTCCCTGTGAGTCGCCCTCCGAGATATGCTATGACTCCTGGATTTGAATTTAATCTCCGCTGTATCATGAAAAATGACGTCGATTTCTATGTCCACCATAATCGACCAACTGATTTCGAATATCTTGAAAAGAATTCAAGCCTGGACGGGGCGCAGTCTCGTGCTCTCATCAATTGCCTGGGGAGACAGCTTGGTTTAATCCAAGGTCCACCTGGCACTGGCAAGAGCTATACCGGTGTAGCTCTGATCAAAGTCTTGTTGGCCAACCGAAACAGTAGCACAGGAACAGGTCCCATACTGTGCGTCACATACACCAATCATGCACTTGATCAACTCCTCGAGGCTTTGCTGGAGAATAAGGTGACAACTCAAATTGTTCGCATTGGTGCTCGGTCCAAATCGGATAGGTTGGAAAAATTCAACCTTCAATTGATCTCCAGAGAGGCAACAAAGACCAAGATAGAGAGAAGAGAAAGATGGCGCACGAGTGAGATACTCTCTGGGTGTGAAGATGACTTCCGAGCCTTGCGTGTCAAAACAACTCCCCCGACGTACCATTTCAAGAAGTACCTTCAAACTCATCACCGTCGCCAACACAACGAGCTGTTTGGGATCGAGGAAGATGGTTTCTGGAAACAAGTCAAGTCCACACCTGAGGCCGTTCTTGACTCCTGGATTCAGTCTGCAGCAAAAGAAGACACTCGCTCTCGAACTATGAATGAATTGCTAGAAGCCAAGGTCTTTGAGATGTCTGGAGAGGAGCGCCAGCGCCTTTACGACCATTGGGCCACAGGAGTTCGCCAACACTTCGACGCGGAAGCTATTCGGCTTGTCAATACCCACAAAGATGCTAAGACTCAATTTGATTGCGTGCAGGATCAAACGCATCTGCGCTGTTTGTCTAATGCAGATGTCATCGGTGCAACCACAGCGGGTTTGGCTAGACGGCTTGACATGTTCCGAAAGCTCCAGTGCCAGTTCATGATATGCGAAGAGGCTGGTGAGGTTCTTGAATCGCATCTCATGACAGCTTTCCTGCCCACTGTTGAGCATGCGATCCTTATTGGAGATCAACAACAGCTCCGTCCACAGGTCCAGAACTACGAGCTTTCCAGCGAGAACACTCAGGGCGGAAATCGATACGCACTCGATATCTCTTTGTTCGAAAGACTGGTTAGTCCAAGCCCAGGTCCAATGAATTGCGGTCTACCGTACAGCACACTTGAGACTCAACGACGGATGCATCCTTCCATCGCCCGGCTCGTTCGCGATACTCTTTATCCGAAGTTGAAGGATTCACCATCAGTTGAAAGCTACCCTAATGTGATGGGAATGCAGAAAAGATTGTTCTGGTGGGATCATCGCAAGGCAGAAGAAGGAGCATCAGGCGATGTCACGTCAACCTCTCATTGGAACAATCATGAAATCAAAATGACCGTTGCACTAGTGAATCACCTCATCCAACAAGGCAAATACGAAAATGGGGACATCGCAGTACTGACTCCGTACTTGGGTCAGCTTCACCGGCTCCGACAACAACTGGAACAGTCTTTCGCCCTCGCCATTGGTGATCGTGACGAGGAAGATCTCAACAAGGCCGGATTCGTCAACGACGAAGGCACAGAGAAGACGGTAGTCAAGATGACTTTACTCCAGACTCTTCGCGTAGCCACTGTGGACAACTTCCAAGGAGAGGAGGCGAAGGTTGTCGTGATATCTCTGGTCAGAAGCAACCCAGAAGGCCGATGTGGATTCCTCCGGAATACTAATCGAATCAATGTTCTCTTGTCGAGAGCTCAACACGGGATGTACATCATCGGCAATTCTCAGACCTCAATTCACATTCCCATGTGGGCCAAGGTCATTGATATTCTACGACAAGGCAATAACATTGGACCGACCTTGGAATTGAATTGTCCTCGACACCCACATTCAATGATCAAAGTCTCAAGTCCGGATGATTTCCCCAAATCCTCGCCCGAAGGAGGTTGCAACCTACGCTGTGTTAAGCGTTTGGCTTGCGGACATGCCTGTATCCAAAAATGCCATTCGGAACTTCTTCATAATGCCGTCCTGTGCCTTGAGCCTTGTCCTCGACCTTTCCATGGATGCAAACATTCTTGTCCAAAAAGATGTGGCGAGAAATGCTCAGAAAAGTGTATGGCAATTATCTTCGAGCAGGACAGAAAACTCAATTGTGGCCATCGGATGCAAAAAATTCCTTGCTGGCAGCATCAAGACATGATAACTGTTCAATGCCCAATTCTTGTGAGAAGGAAGATTCCAGGGTGCGAGCATTTAGTTACAATTCCATGCCATGTCGATGTGAATTCGCCCAATTACAAATGCATGGTCCAGTGCCGGAGCAACCTGCCCTGTGGACATGCATGCAAGCGCGTGTGCCATCACTGCCTCAAACGTGGACTTTTGCCTACCCAGGCATTTCATGACAGATGCCAGCACCTGTGTGATCGAAAGCGCTCAACCTGTGCTCATGGCTGCGACATGTTGTGCCATGTCGACAGCCCTTGTCCTCCATGCCTGGTTCCTTGCGATGTGCAATGCGGCCACTCGAAATGCGGACGCAAATGCTACGAGCCTTGCACTCCTTGTGCAGAATCAAAATGTCTTTCGGAATGTCCTCACAGCACTTGCTCAATGCCCTGTGCGGCACCATGTGATCACATACCATGCTCGAAACGTTGCGAAAAGAAGCTTCCCTGTGGTCATCAATGTCCAACGGTGTGCGGAGAGATATGCCCTTCCTCCACTTTCTGTCAGAATTGTGCTAGCGACAATATCAAGGATCATTCAGTCGATTTCATACTAGGTCTGGCGTACAGAGATACCAACCTGGATGAGAACCCATGCATCATCCCCAAATGTCGACATTTCTTGACAATCGAAAGCATGGATGCGCAAATGGATATGGGCAAATATTATGAGCTTGATACCGATAACAAGCCCATCATGGTCAAAGGATCGTCGACTCCATTTTCAATTGAAGACATCAAAAGTTGTGCTACCTGCCGTGGACCCTTGAGAAATATCGCTCGGTATGGTCGATTGATCCGCCGTGCAATCCTTGACGAGTCGACGAAGAAGTTGATTTTGCTGCTCAACCAACAATATGTTCCTCTTGCACAGGAGCTTCCCACGCTCATTGAAAAGATGCAGAGCCTACCGAGCGATAAAATGTCTTCGTGGCCAAGCTCAATTGCCATCGTTGGAACACGGAACGAACAAATCAAGACAATGCAAGAAATAATCAAAGCCACAAATGATGGTCGATGGAATCAGATGATTGACTTGCGAGTTCAGATCGGCAGATACCGCAGTCGTGTTGCACCCCAAGAACAGCCCTTTGAAAGGGTCCGTGCCATGGTTGGGGATGCTCAGAGACGCAAGAAGACAACGGGCGAGCTGGATTTTCCTAGCAATATTCTTCAGACAAAAGGGTACATTCAAGCCACGGCGCTGCTACTTCGCCTGGATATTGCGTTGTTTGCGGACTTTTCCAATCTCGTTTTCCAAAAGGGTGCAAACGATGTCAAACTTCAGGTTGACCTACAGAAGATCAAGGCCGATTGCGGGCTCCTTACTCGTGTAGCTCATGAACACGACCGAGTTCCGCAGCAGGTCGAAGGCTTCCTTTATCTAGCACAACTTTGCGGCCTCGAACGAGCACATATCCCATCGAATGGGGAAATCAATCGCAATCGATGCTTGCTGGAGGGCCTATTGTTCATCAACGAAGCCAGGAAGCGTTGCATGACATACCCCGGTCAAACACGAGGATTGCCTGATGAGGTGGATTGCGCGGAGACCCTGCTGAGAGGAACAGCGTTCTGGTCGATCATCACTAGTAAGGAACGCATGGAAGTCATTTCAGCAATGGCCCAGGAGTTCCAGGGCACTGGACACTGGTACTACTGCCGCAATGGACATCCATTCACTATTGGAGAGTGTGGGGGAGCCGTGGAGATGACCGCCTGTCCCGATTGCGGCGCTCCGGTAGGAGGAGAAAACCACCAGACTGCAGCAGGAGTTACTTTGGCGGAGGATCTGGAGCAGAGATTGACTGAACTGGGAATTTGAACAAGAAATTGATGGAGGAGTCCATGGCTTTTAAGGAGGAAAATGTTTCTTTGTAGTTAGCATGTTAGTCAATACAATCTGTGACGTCCACGGGTTTCGGGGAATGTCCCAGTCACGTTTACTCCATAGCTTATCCTCAACTCACCTTCTTCCACTCCCCATCCACTCCCTCGATTTTTCCTGAGTTGCTTCGATCGCAGCCCTTTTGTCTAGATAATTGCTTTCTGCAGTGCATGTGTTCACCCGCCAGATCTTCCTTCCCCTAGCTTCCGCCCCTCATTCGTTCCACGATGGCTAGCCCACCACCCGTCACCGAGGACCAGAACCGCCTCCTCGAGGAGGCATTGGGGGTGGTGAGGCAGCAATCAGCCTTGATGCGCAAATGTCTAGAGACTCCTGGAAAGCTCATGGATGCGCTGAAATGCGGGTGAGCTCCCCTCTAGGCAGCGACCTCGGGTGGTGCGCAATGAGTCGAATGCTAACAGCTTGGTATTTTTACGTCTACAGATCAACCCTTGTCTCTGAATTACGAACCCCAAGTCTTGGCCCGAAGCAGTACTATGAATTGTACATGGCAGTCTTCGACGCGCTGCGACACCTCTCCGTCTACCTAAAGGAGAACCACCCGGTCAACCACCTCGCGGACCTTTACGAACTCGTCCAGTATGCGGGAAACATTGTCCCCCGCTTGTACCTTATGATCACCGTGGGTACTGTCTACATGTCCGTCGAAGATGCGCCGGTCAAGGAGATTATGAAGGACATGATGGAGATGAGCCGAGGTGTTCAACACCCGATCCGCGGACTGTTCCTGCGTTACTATCTATCCGGTCAAGCTAGAGATCACCTACCATTGGGAAGCGGTGACGGCCCCGAGGGAAACATGCAGGATTCCATCAACTTTGTTTTGACGAATTTTGTGGAGATGAACAAGCTCTGGGTCCGGCTTCAGCACCAAGGCCCCTCACGAGAGCGCGAACGGCGGATACAGGAAAGACGCGAGCTGGAGCTACTCGTGGGTAGCAACATTGTTCGCCTCAGCCAGTTGGTCGACCTTGAAGGCTACAAATCTGGCATTCTGCAGTCGCTTCTGGAGCAGGTTGTGCAATGCCGAGATGTCCTTGCGCAAGAATATCTTCTGGAAGGTAATGATTTCCTGGAGGTCATGGGTAAATTCCGTACTGATTTTATCACTAGTCATCACCAAAGTTTTCCCCGATGAATTCCATCTTCACACCTTGGATCTTCTACTGTCTGCAATTGCCAGACTCAACCCGCATGTCGACCTCAAGAAGATCGTTATAGGATTGATGGACCGCTTATCTTCATATGCGGCCAGAGAAGCGGAATCGGCGACAGAGCCAGAAGCACGGAAAAAGAGCGAAGAAGAAGCTGTCTCCCAGCTATTGCAGAAGCTTGAGATTGCCAAAGAAACCAAAGAAATTGAATCGAAAACAGAGCCCACCACTACCACCAACACCGATAGCCCGTCCAAAGAGAACGGCACCGAAGAACCAGCCACGGAAAGTACCGAGCCTTCTGAATCTACAAAGGAAGAGAAGGCCAAGGAAATGGAAGACGGAGACGAGAACGGAGACGATGCAAAGCCTGGTATTCCCGCAGAGATCAAGCTCTATGATATCTTCTACGATCAGGTGGTTAGTTTGATCAAGACACGCGCCCTACCGATCCAAGATACTATGGCCCTATTGGTGTCACTTGTGAACCTCGCATTGAACACCTATCCGGATCGGTTAGAATACGTCGACCAAGTCTTGGACTTCGCCACTCAAAAGACCACTGAATATACAGACCACGCAGATCTTCATTCGGCACCGACCCAGCAGCACATCTCCCACCTTCTCAATGCCCCTCTTCAATCTTACATCTCTATCTTTACAGCATTGGCATTGCCACATTACCTGCCACTCTTGAGCTCGCAGTCATATCCTACTAGGAGAGCTGTCGCCAGCGAAATTCTCCGCAGTCTTTTGAGAAACAAGATTTCCATTACTACAACGGAGAACCTCGATCGTGTGCTTCACGCGGTGAGAGTTTTGATCAAGGAAGGCATGCAGCAGTCGGTTGGATACACTGGGGCACAGTCTGGACGACGAGGAGGGGAAACCGATGAGACAGTGGAAGAGCAAGGGTGGCTTGCAAGACTGGTGCATCTGATCCAGGGACCAAACAATGACACACAACTTAAGGTAAGACCGTGTCGAATGGTCATATCCAGCAATTACTCACTATTCGAAACAGCTCCTTCAAGCTACCCGCAAGGCTTACACAGATGGCAATGAGCGAATCCGCTATACCACTCCCGCAATTGTCACAGCCTCTATCCGCCTGGCACGAAAGCTCAAGTCCAGAGAGCACTATGACGATAACTGGCAATCGCAATCCTCCGCTCTCTACCGTTTCATGCACCAAAGTATCAACAACTTGTACCAACGGGTAAATCCCGGCTGTGCCGATCTCGCATTGCGGTTGTTTGTGATGTGTGGTGAGGTTGCAGACCAGACTGGATTTGAGGAAGTCAGCTACGAGTTCTTTGCACAGGCATTCACCATCTATGAAGATGCCATTAGTGACTCGCGCGCCCAGTTCCAGGCCGTCTGCATCATTGCAGGTGCCTTACACGGCAGCCGTGGATTCTCCAAAGAGAACTACGATACCCTCATTACCAAAGCTGCACTGCATGGCAGCAAGCTCCTTAAGAAGCCCGATCAGTGCCGTGCAGTCTACCTCGCCAGTCACCTTTGGTGGGTTGTTGAGAATCCTCAACGTGGCGAGGACGACCCTAAGGACGTAAGTGTAGACCATCCCCCCCTACATTACGATCTATATTAACATCAACCTTTAGTTATACCGCGATGGCAAACGGGTTCTTGAATGTCTCCAGCGTGCCCTTCGTGTCGCCGACGCTTGCATGGACACCGCCGTCTCCGTCGAACTCTTCGTTGAAATCCTCAACCGCTACGTTTACTACTTCGACCAGCAAAATGAGACCGTCACGACCAAGTACCTAAACGGCCTCATTGAACTCATCCACTCTAACCTGCAGACCAGTGAGGACGAGCCTAATCCTAGCCTCGATGGTCCTAAGCGCCACTTCCATCGCACCCTGGAGTATATCCGCTCGCGGGAATACGAAGGTATTGTCACAGAGCCGCCCAAATAATTTCTTGATAGGTTTCTATGTCTACCCAACTGGATCTGCATCAATGATTACGAGGGGAGATGGATCATATGCAATATGCCATATATGGGGTTTCTGCTTTTCTGTTCTCCCGGTCGCTGGTGCTTTTTTTTTTTTTTTCTCCCTCTTACTTCGTCTATTTCTTTTTCTCCCTGTCTCTTTCCTGGAAGCCAGCCTCTTTTTCTTGTGTTGCTCCTTGTTTTCCTTCGTTCCTAGTACATACAAGTGTATCACTGTCTCCGGATGTCACCCATACCCTTCAATGAGAATTATATCTGGTTATAGGCAACCTTCCGTATCTGTAGGATCAGCACACATCCGAATTGTGTCCGAAGACGTCCTTGCTTCTCTGGGGCCTAGGTTCATTCTTGACATAGCCGTTTCCACCCCCAGAAGCTTCAATCCCTTGCAATAAACTTTTATTCTCCGTGATATCTACCTATAAAGCCTCAACTCTAAGCCCAGCAAGCCCCTTACTATCAATGATCTGAGCAATTTCCTTCAAATCAGAATGACTGGTGATCTTGAAAATCGAAAGATCTTCAATATTAAAGAAATAAAACGGCCCATCCCCAACCTGGAATAGAGACAAAGCTTCCCCGGCCTCGGGGTCCATCGCAAAAAGCGGCTTGACTTCACCCTCAATGCCGAAGACTGTGATCATTCGCAGGACATTGCCTTCCGGACCCCATTGCTCATCACCGCCCATTTCGTCGTAGTCGTTTGTCCATTGGGCTGGGGGTTGAACCTATTGGGTTGTTGGTGGGGTGTTTGGGGTGGGGGTTGTTGAAACTGGGAGGGGGCTTACGTCGGTGTTAGTTAGGACTTTGCCGTCGACAAGTCTGAGAAGATCGGCCATTTTGGGTGTTTGTGGCTTGGTGTTGGTTGCGATTGGAGAGCTAACTTATACCGTTGCGCGGGATCGAATTTGATAGTGGGGTAGATTTGATCATACACTTCCCGAGCTCGGGATGGTTGATTTGCCCTAAGCCCTGATTGAGTTGTTAATGAACAACCTGAAGAGGAGACATGACAAGGAAATAACAATAGAGTGTATCTTTGTGTCGGATGGACTAGATAATGACTAGATGTGTTGAAAATCAAGCTACGAGCACGACACCATCATGAAGCCGCACTCCAAGAAGTATTTAGTGTACCATATTACGCAGCAGACTTATACAGTTGGACTATTGGCAGTGAAAAAGAAGCCATAGACGAAGAAACCTTCGATCATGCAATTGGTCAAGGACGATTGACGGAGTGGGTGATTAACCCAAATCTCCACGGATATCGCTGCATAATGTAGAAAGGCCAGAGTTTCATACCGTACATAAAAGAAAGCCGGATACCCTCAAGGATCACTCGAGACGGGTACCAGATACACACAAACAAATAGCCCATATCGATAGCAAGGACCTTACAATGGGGAAAAATGTGACGTTAACCCATGACGCTTCAATGAAAAGAGGATAACATGAAAAGGAAAATATGGAAGGGGCATTTCAAAGTCGTTCCAGCAAAATATGCCGAAGGAGGCCGTGGAGAGATTTATCCCTGAGATCGAATGGATATCAAATCATGCTTAGGATAGGGAAGCCCCGCCGAAAACTCCAGCCGAGGGCGAGGAATATTGACGCAGTACTGAAGGTGCTCCGCCGAATCCACCAAATGGGGCCGGGTGGCTGTTGCTGGGGATGGGGCTGCCAATGTCACCGGGAACTATGCTACCCCTGTGTCCAGAAATCGCACTGTTGGGATCGGGCTCGAACCTGACATATCTGCCTTTCTGGTCTTCTTTGATCGAGAAAGAGCCGCCGCCGTTCTGAGAGCTTCCCTCTGTATCGCAGATATCAAGCATCTCGTCGAGCAAGATTGGTGTCTCACCCAGAGGACGCAGGTTTTCCACTTGAGCGAGAACAAGTTTCATATCGTGGAAAGGCCCGGCACCCTTTTGTGGGCTCATCATGCTGTTGAGGTGCTTGCATGCTTGAATAACTAGGAGACGGACGGTGACAGCTCGAGAGGTGTGGGGGCGGTGATGTGCGCCAGCCGTAAACGCATTGTTGTGAGGCCATCCGGTCCCAGCTGTGGGAGCCCCCCATGTGGCAGAACCACCTGCAAAGGGGGAACCTCCATAGTGCGGACCCCAGGTATTATTTCCCAAACCAGAGCCAACCGGGAAGTTATTTTGCGGTGATCCCAGGGGATCCGAGAACAAGGAGGACCCTTGGAAGCTGGCTCTTGTCGGCCCAGGGAATGGACCAGGCGCGGGGGCACCAGGTAATGACTGAGAAAGGTTTGATGGATATGTGGCATCTGTATCATCGAGGAGCGCACTGCTGCCGAGATGAGCACTCAAGCCATCCACCTCTCGCTGTACCGAGGCATTGCCATTGTTCTGTCGATCGTGAGCTGAGCTGGACGGGCGCTTGATGGGGCTAGGACGCGTGATTGGGAATGGCTGGGAACCATTGTCCAACGGAGAGCGATCAAACGAGGTAGAATGTTGTCTGGAATGGGTCTTCGGCAAGCCGCCTTGCTGCAGAGGGAATCCACCCGGAACGCCATGACCCGTGAAGCCGAGGCCGTGGCCGGAATCAGACGGGAACACTCGGCTTGGGGGCATGGGACGAACATTGTTCATACCAGGGGGAGCAGTGATTCCGCCAGGACCAGGAAAGCTTCGTAATGGGTTCATCATTGCACCATTTGGTGAATACATCGAATCTGGAGGGAGGCTTGACCGCGGGGTCATTCCTGGTATGCCCGGAGGGTTGGATGACAAGCCTCCGAGACTTGGGAAGCCTGGGGGATTGCCTCGGCCGAGGGGTGAAAGAGGAGCGGATGGCTGAGGGTGATGCAATGGAGGGGGCTGGGGATAACCTTGTCTGTTACCACCGAAGTTCACCCCGGACTGCGGGTGGGCCATTGAGCGGGGAGAAATGGAGGGATGATGGGACGAATCCGCACTGTTAGGGTTGGAGTGAGGGGAGGATGTAGAAGAGCCATGGTTAGAGGTCTGGCGTGGCCTTCCAGGAGTCGAAACCTTGGGAACAATGGGCGAGGACATAGAATGGTGAGGAGAGGACAGGAAGCCAGGAGGAACATGAGGTGGGAAATTGAAAAGATGAGTACCGAAAGAGTGTGGCGAGGTCTTCAGCTCGCGCTTTCCGCCTCGCTCTCGTAGTTCCTGCTCAGCTTGGTCCTTTTGTGCCTGGTCCTCGCGTATCTTGCGCTCACGATCCTCCTTGGCTTTCTTCTCCTGTAATTCGCGCTCTTCCTTCTCCTTGCGCTTGAGCTCATCTCGCTTCTTTTTCTCTTCCCTCTGTTCCCGCTGCTTGCGCTCAGTTTCGGCTTGCCGCTCTCTTTCCTCCTTGAGACGTCGTTGCTTCTCGGCTTCCTTGCGGGCACGCTCCTCCTCCTGGGCCTTCCGTTCGGCCTCACGCTTCTTGCGCTGTTCCTCTCGTTTCAGTCTTTGTTCCTCGGTTTTCTTCTCCTGGGCAGCCTTAGCGGCGGCTTCCTCGGCGGCTTTCTCGGCATCCCGGCGCGCTTTTTCCTCTTCCTTAGCTTGCCTCTGTAATCTCTTTTTATCCTTCTTCTTCTGCGCTTCCCGGGCCTTTTTGGCATTCCGTTGCTCGTTCAATGTCTCCTCCTGCATAAGTTCGTCAATCAGCTGCTTCTGGCGTTGTTCGGCAACCTTTTCTCGATATGCTGTCATAACCCTTTGCTCAAACATGCGAGCCGCAAATATCTGGAACATTCGACGCCCTTCCTGCATGCGCTGTGCTTCGGTCATGGTGTCCTGTTGCCGTGATCAGTATATGGACTTAGCAAGTAAACATGGACGCGTACCATCTCGTCTTCGTCGAACTCTTCCTCGTCTTGACTGTCATAATCCTCATCTTCTTCCTCATCGTCATAATCTTCATCGTCCAAAGGACCATGATTATGTCCATGAAAGGATTGATGGGCGGCAGCTATTCCGTACTGGGTATCTTCTTCTCGTTGCATTCGCCGTTCAGCCAATTGCTCCATCATATCAATGAAATGCTTGCCGTCGTTTTTAAGGAGATCGTCCGCAACCGTGAGAATTCCATCTGAATGAGCGAGAGCATCAGTTAGCTTTGCAAGGCTTTTCGTAACAATAGATCATCTGGTCGCATACCTTTGACGGTTAAACTATTACCAAAGGCGAAGAAGTCGGCTCGCGCTGCACGAGCCTCATCATCCTCGAGATCCTCGTCGCTGTAAAGTTCCTCGTCGTCTTCTTCCTCTTCATCATCTTCCTCGTCTTCTTCGTCGTCTTCCTCGTCATATTCCTCTTCTAGATCCTCCTCTTCATCTTCGTGCAACTCTTGAACTCGACTTCTTGATGGATGGAATTGGCCGTGTGTTCGAGTATGCTGCCCGGGTGATCGTAGAGGTGAATTATAGAGTCGAGGCGGAGGAATTATTGGAGCTCCTTCATCGAAGGCGCCTTGATTGTTGTTCGCATACTGTTCGAGCTCTTCGTAATATGCGTCGTAAAGAACTTCAAGCTCTTCTTCAATGGCGGTGCGTTTCCTCCCACATACTGTACAGCTGCAGGAGTGCTTTTGCTGCTCCTTCATTTTTTTCAGAACAGCATCTTTCTCCACTTTAACAAGTTGTCGCCGCTCGTCTTCGCCTAATTCAAACCAGAAAGTCCGAATATTCTCGCGTTCTTCCAGAGAGGACTGATTCCAGATGCTGCTGTTCTTAATAGGTTTGCCCGTGAACCGACTGATGTAGGGTAAAGCTTGCGGAGGCGGTGGAGGGTGAGAAAATGTGGCGGACGGGGTAGAGAGCGGTGTTGAGCTACCATCAGCGTGGTTGTGCGAGTCAGATCGACCCTTTCGATTTTTCTTCCTCTTCGATCTTTCGCCGGCAGGATGTTCGTCATCGGGGTCGTTTGTCATAGATCCGCGGGGTAGATATGATGCTCCATATCCGTAGTCGGCGCTTGGAGCTGTGCTGTGGTGAACTGCGTGATCGAAATCGTGGTCGTCATCGCATGAATGGTGGTCATCGGTTGTGAGCAAGTCCGCCGCATCTCCGGGAGCGTAAGCGTTGGAATGCTCCGCAGCTAAGCGGGCGGCTTGCTTCTGTCGGCGTTTCTGCTTCTTGCGATTCACGGTCGCTGCTGGTGTAGTCATCGTTTCGGAAGGTGTGTTGCCCTGAGGACCCCGCGCGTGGGATTCGCCGTTGGTTGCTGACGGAGTTGCTGACACATGTGTCGACATAATGGACGAGACTAGAGCTTTCGGGGCTGCTCTGGCAGCATACTAAACACACCAAGAAAATATGTGAGTCAGAAGAGCAATGTTTCGCAAGGTGGGAACAGGTCAGGAAGGAAAGCGGAGAACGGAAGACCCAAAGCGTCAACCAACAAAGCTCCGGCGGCTGCAAGGCCTGGGTACCAACTCACCGGATGTATTCCCCTTGGCAGACGCACGGACAAGGAGTCAATCGCGCTCTTTGTTTTTCGCTCGAAACGCGCTTCCGTGGCAAACAGGAGGGGGTGGGAGGTAGGATAAGATGGGAGGAGGGGGTTGACAGGCAATAATCCCGGCGGGTCACGACGTGTCTGCTGGGGGTTAGGGCTGTAAGCGTGTAAGGTGTGGGAAACCAACGGTGTGTTAAGGCCAGGACCAGCAAGTTATCGAGGCTGAGCGCCGAAGAGGTACTGATCGAACGCCAATGGATGATGGAATGATGGGCTTTCCTGCGCTCTGGCTGGTTAATCGTGCCGCCGCAACGGGATAGCCGCCGCAAGCGAGCTAATGCCTGAATCGTCAGGCGTGAATCTTGAATTTGACTTGGGTAGCAAAGTGGGTTTTCTGAGAAAGGGGATGAAAAGAAAGATGGAAGAAGTAAGCTATTCGCAAGGATATTCTCCGTCACATCAATCCAATTCCTCGACGAACTAGGCTATAACCAGGGACAACATGCAGTCTTGACGCCGTCCTGCTGATTTGCTACGTGTCACGTGCTCCACCGCCCCATACTGCCGGCCGACGCAGGCGGTCAGGGAAATCGCAAGGGGAAACATGTATGAGCGTCAGCTCCACCAGAACTGTGTGAGACACCCTAAAAAAATATCCCCATAGCAAGCCGAAGGAAACATAGTGTGCCTATAGGACGATCAGACGGAGAAGATACCATCTGTGTATCTAGTTCCCCTCAAAACTTCGCCTAAGTAATAAATCTCCGCTTGGCAGTAAGCGCCGTCTTCCCCTTCATCTTATCGTCAGCTTCCACTTTTTGCCTTCACCTTTGACCCTCACACACTCTCTGTCTCTCTTACTCTCTCTCTCTCTCTCTTTCTCTTTCGAAATTTCCACCTCTCTTTTTTCTCTACCTTTCTCGCTCTCCTTTACTTGGACTTCGTGTCCACGTCAACCGATCAGTCTCAGCCCGCTTCCCACCCCCCAACTCTCGTCACGTCACTAGCATCCCCAAGCCACCCGTTTGCCTTCTTCTCGTAAACCTTTTGGGCACTGACTGCCCAGGGCTGAACTCTTCCCTTGCATCTGCCCACCTTCGTGACAATTCGTAATCGATTCTCGACCTGACTAGAAGTGTCATCTCGAGTGTTGATCCACCTCCGCCTCCGCTTTCCATCCATCACCCTTGTGTTTCGCGAAAGTTCTCAACACCATTAAACATGTCGCAACCTCAGGATGATAATGTGATGCGAAGGTATGTGCTGCACCGTTTGTGATCACTCGCCCCTCATCGTTTCACCCCTCACCGTCTTGTCTTATGAGGGGTTGACGCATCGCTAAAGCTGTTGCCTTGACGTTTGCGATCCGATTGCTCGCGGGTTTGGAGTCTCCGGGATAATTTCAGAAGCTAATTCAAGTCTATTCACAGGAAGCTTGTGATCATTGGCGATGGTGCTTGTGGAAAGACCAGTTTACTCAGCGTTTTCACCCTCGGGTACTTCCCAACTGTGAGTTTGTTCCTAACAATCCCGAAGCCCAACGATCAAAACTAACATGTCCAATTGCAGCATTATGTTAGTATTACGGAAATACCCTCCTTCTGCACGCATGTATTCTAACCCCCCGCTAGGTGCCGACGGTCTTCGAAAATTACGTGACGGATTGCCGAGTCGACGGCCGCTCGGTCCAATTGGCTCTTTGGGATACAGCAGGACAAGAAGATTATGAACGTTTGCGACCTTTGGCATACTCCAAAGCCCATGTGATCCTCATCGGATTCTCGATGGATACTCCGGATTCGCTGGAGAACGTGAAACATAAGGTACGTCTCGGATTAAATCAAGGGTCATCAGTGGTACTGATCTGCGATATAGTGGATCGAAGAAGCAAACGAGCGCTGTCCTGGTGTGCCGATCCTGCTAGTTGGGTTGAAGAAGGACCTTCGCGAAGACCCACTAGCAATTGAAGAAATGCGCAAGAAGTCCCTCAAGTTCGTGACAACGAAGGAGGGCAATGATATCGGAATATCAATTGGAGCTCGCAAATACCTCGAATGCTCATCTCTGACAGGTGAAGGCGTCGACGACGTCTTTGAAGCAGCTACCCGTGCCGCGCTGCTCACCTTTGACAAGCGCAAGAGTTCATGCTGTGTGGTCATCTGATGATGCGATCTAGGATGTGCAAAATGTCGAATATTTCTCTGCCAGCGCTCGTTTATTCTCGACTTGGAACTCGATGTCGCCGTCTTTCTGGCGATCTATTGACGCTCCCTTGTATCATGCATCACTGGCGTTTGGGAGGTTCTTATGCTAACCTGGTTGATTGATCCGGGTATGATGTCTGCTTTCCAGCACTGTTGGCTCTGTCTATTGTTTTCTGCTTTTTTTACGTCTTTCCTTTTGATATTTCTGTTTCACTCATGCACGTGAAACTACGGATTCCCCTCCTTGCCTGTCAATTCCCCGAAGTGCGTTGCGATGTCGCTCCTTATTTTCTTTTCTTCTCATGTAGTAATTTCTGTCGCTTTTGGCGCTTCATACATTGCGCTTGCCATTTGATCGGCTGCTGTCTAATCAACCGTTTTCTTCCGGCTTAACATAATAATCAGACAGTCACATGTCAAATGTATCATCACATGTAGAGGCAACAATCCAACAAAATAGTCAATGATTTCGATGCAAGTGTAAGTGAAAAGCGGAAAAAGAAATATAAGAAAAGAAATGCATATGATACACAGCGCCAAAATGATACATAGATCTTCGACCCTAACCTCAATTCCACGAGGTGAGATCAACCCAACATCAGATCGAACCCCCAATCCGGACTAAATCCAGCCAATCTATTTCCGCTCCGGCTTCTTCCAATCATAATTCCACCCCTCGGAAGGAGGAGAATCAGTTTGCATGCGAGCATACTCAATAGGGAACATATCAGTAAAGATACCCTTCTTGTTCATCGACACACGGAACAGCTTGCCACCATCACCAGCACCAGTGCGCAGCTCCTCACAGGCCTCCTGCATGCTCTGATACTGTCGCATCAACTCGAGTTCCTGCTTGCGGCGCTGCTGCGCTTGGAACAATTGCCAGGCGCGGTGGATGGTCCAGTGACGGAGGTAGCGGTTACGGGAGAAGCGGAGAGGACGGGGCGTGAGAGGGTGGTGAAGGAAGTAGCGGATCATAGCTAGAGGTGAAGCTTGTTAGTTTCTTTTTTGGGTTTCTTTTTGGTTTGTGGGCTGGGTTCTTGAGTTGGGTAGATGGTGGACTTGGGTGGTCGTGTGATGATAGCTCTCGCCATTGGGATTGGGATTGGACTTCGGGCTGGAATAGAAACGTACTAATGCGCTTGTCGGTAGCTGGACCACCGTTGTTTCTCTTGGCCATTGCGCTCGTCGTCGAGAACGAGGATGATTGCAGCGCTGCTGTGACTGGACCGCGCTTTTGTTGTTGGCGAAGGGTCTCGTGGCAGACGCGGGAGACAGATGGGCGCGCCGGTGCCATTGACATTGGGACGCGGAAGACATTAGCCAGGGAGGCTAGGGCTGGTGATAAGGACTTCATGGTGCTGTTGGTCTGTTTGGTGGAAGGGTGTTGGGACACCTGATGCGTTTTGAGGTGTACGGGGGAATAATTCCTTGACGGCAGAATTGTGTCCGCCTTTTAGACGCGCGCTTGTTGGTATCCGCGGAAGTGGGTCCCTGTCAATGTCAGGATCATGTTCAAGGCTTGTTGGCACATTTGTTCTTGAACTTGATTATATGGCGTAAGTTTTGTTGATTTGGGGGCTCAGAGATGAGTCTAAGTCTAATTTATTCTCTTGCAGAAGCAAAACTATAGAGCAGGCTGGCAATTGAGATATTCGAGTAATGCTAAGAAACTCGGGTTTTACATCTGATAACTTATTGATTTAAATTACCATGGATTCTGTAGAATTGATAGTAAATGCAGATAGAACCATATTTCCGAGAAAGAGACCATGATTGAAGATCGCATCAGATAGGGCGATGAAGTGGTATTTGGCGGGAGAGTCAAGTATCGTGATGGGCATCAATTGTCAACGGTGCTGCCAAATTCGTCATAGAAAGTGCCACAAACGCCAAAAAATGCAGTCAATGCGCCGTAAGTAACCTGGCAGAAAGATATGACTCAAATGAGAATAGGAAAAAGAGATGATTCGAGGTAGGACCTAGCCCACGGAACGCTTGGATGCGTGGTGCTTCTTGGCTCGATCGTAGTTCAAGACCTTGCGGCGACGGTGTGACTGAGCTAGTTTCCACCGGCAATACAGCACCAGCGCGTCCTTCAATAGAACAAAGACGCATCCACCGAGAACGCTGCGACCCCAGCGAGTTTGCAGGAGACCCGGGCGACCACGCTCCAGGGCCAAGGATGGGGTTGTCCACGCTTTGGGTAAGACGTATTTCAACAACCCACCCATAGAGGCTGAAATTGCGGGAAAGACAAGTGCGCCGAGAATGGCATCAGCCAGGTTGCCAGTATCGTGAATGATCTCATTGCGTCGACCCAATCCAAGCGGATTGTTGTTTGCTTCGGGGGCGCCAGCATTGGCACCTTCTCCTTGTCCTGCCGGAGCAGCTTGACCATTCGGGGCATCCTCCTCACCCATACCCATCTGAAGCTCGAGATCGATCTCCATGAGAATCTGGCCGTTCCCATCCTCGAACCGGTTCAAGCCCTCCGCCTGATCTTGTTGCTGTGCATCATCCAATATCTCCTCCGCAGCCCGCGGTTGCACTTCAGCAATCCATTTCTTCTCTAGTCCCCCGAACAGCCGCTCATACAAAGCCCCGTAGAAACTCTTAACGTACGGCAGCGCAGCAAAAGTCATAGCAGGTGTAGGTGGCCAGATATCAAAATCAGGATCTTGACCAGGATTATGCGCAGCAAAGAAAAGAACCGGGATGGCCGGGAGAAGACCTTCAGCATATCGAGTCCGAGAAAATATCAAGACAAGAGGAATAAGCGGCAGTCCGAGATTCAAGCCGGGGTTCCATGGACCATCGGCACTATCGTCCATAATCTGTTTCGCTTCTTCTGTTCCAAAAACAAGGTACATGGAGTATACACCGTGCGCGCAGCACCCGGCCCAAACGGTGCCCGCCACCGTGAACACCATGCCTGGGAGCACTAGTCGGCCTGCTACCCGTTCAAATAACCGGAGAATATCTACCACGTAGCTGCGGGGGCGGGTGACCACGATCTCAGTCTTGCATTGTGGACATTGCATTGTTATTGCGCTCCCATTGCCCCTGCGCGACCGCGGGTTTTCCATATCGGCGAGCCAGTCGAGCAGACAGGCTTCGTGGGCTGTGAGGGCGCATGGGCATGGCGAGCGCCATTCTTGATTCAGAGGCGAGTCTTCGGTTTCGTCTGTGTAGCAGATCCAGCATTTGCGCGGTTCGTCTTGGTCTGCGGCGGCGGAATTTGATGATCGGTCGAGGGATTTGGGGGAGGTATCCGAGCCGCTCTCGATAGCCTTGGGAGTTGAGGTGCCTTTGTTTAAGAACACAGTCTCTGCGTCTTCTGTCGACTCAGCCTGAGGGGTGACACTTTCTTGGAATGCGGAGGTTTCGTCATGGTTTGTAGTGCCATCGGACGATCTGGTTCGACCAGGCGCTGAGTATCCGGCGGACTCCATGGTAACTGCGTGCAGCGAAGATCAATTTTGGCTAAGGAAGCAAAAGAAGATGGATCATCTTCGACATGAAATCGCCCCAAAGAAAAAGAGGGGAGCTTGCAGAGGTTGGAGTCGGCAGAGAGCCGCGGCTGTCAATGGGGTCACGTAATCACGTCATTACCCCGGGCCGTTTATAGTCTTTTGCTTTCGGACATTCGACTGGTTTACTTTGATGTCTCAATGGTCTAAATTGACTATGTCTCTATTTAATAGCAAGCTGACAGCGTTGACATGCTTAATAGATGACAAATCGCCTTCCTTAGAACAGTTCCTGTTCATTCCACCAAGTCTAAAGCGCACTAACTCAGTCTCTTCACATGCTGTCTCCTAGCAGTTTTAATCAAGGCACCGAGAATGGAATCTCGTTCGTATGATGTTGACTATAGTTTTGTTCACAAGATAATTTAACAAATAACCCCTCAGCTTGGTTTCGTGCGATTGATTGTGCGGATGTGCCATGTCCTAGTGATTGGCCGGTGCATATAGTAGCACTGCTAGATTGACTTCAAAGCAATCTTGACTCACTCTTAGAATACAGCGTTCAATAAAGAGAGTGCGGTGAGGAATTCTTTTCGGATCTATAGTGATGATCGCCGGTGGATACTATGATGTCCAACTCTAAATACGACCTAACTACAGTACAAAGAGCATAGCATGCCTGCCACTCAAGCAATTCCAGGATTCAAATAGTAGAGCAAGACTCCCAAAACTGATGAGAAGCCGACATATCTTCATTCAAGTGCTAGTGTGAAATTAAGGTCATACTGGCCCAAGTACGCACCCCATCAGTCCGATACAAATCTACAAGTACAGACGACCATCCACCATAGAGACCTGAGACTCGAACTAAAAAGGTACCCAAGACCAAGACTCAGATGTCGCAAATCAACTAAAAAATTCATTCATTATGAGAAAAAGGAATAGGCTACTATTTGTTCACGATCTGAGCAGAAGACATGATTGGCATCATAGAAAGAGGGCGAAAGTCAGCCAGGCAAAGTTAGCCTACGCAAAGCAACCAACCAGTCAGATCTACTCCTCGTCATGAACATGACCATCGGACTCTCTCTTTCCATCAGCTGTCGCAGCAAGCGTCTCAAGTGCATTGTCAAGCTGGCGCGCAGCTGATGTGGAATCAGCCAACGACTGGGCAACACTCGTCATCTCAGAAGGCTTGCTCTGCTCTGTGTCTTCTGGGACCACGGGCTGTTTTGGGGAGCCAGCTTCAGAGACTGCATCGACAGATGGCTTTGTTGATGATTCGATTAAAGGCTTCTTTGTTCCTGATGATGCTTCTATCGCCTCGGGGGCTTCTGCCGAAATTTGGATGTTGTCTAGCTTTGGTTTCGTTGCTCCCGGTGAAGGTGGAGAAGCAAGGTCTAGAGCGGCGGCCGGAACTTCCGGGGTAGGCTCTATGGGTTCTTCCTTCGTGTTTTGGCTGTCCACACCTGGAAGTTCGACTGGTTCATCGGCTGGAACAGCTGGGTTTGGCACTGGCGCTGGCGCAGGGGAATCTTCTTTCTCGGGGTTGCCAACTGTTAAGCTACCGTCGTGTCCGATCTGCCAGACGTTCATTGCTTCTGAAATCTTGATCTCTGGGATTGTCGGAAGCTTAGGGGTCGTCTGCTCCGCAGCTGGCTTTCGGCGGGCCGGGCCGCGGGCTCTACCCTTACGAGCATCGCTTAAAGGTTGCTTTTCTGCCGCGGGCTCCGGCTCCTTTGGCTGGGGCTTCGGCTGTTGAGGACCCATTCCGAGACGGGAGTTAAGATCGGTGAGGAAACCAGCTTTCAACGCGGCAATCTTGTTTCCACCGGGACGAGCAGGGACTGCAGGCTTAGCCTTGACTGCAGGAGCTTCTCGCGAGGCTTCCTCGGCACCTGTCGATGACTGGGAACTGGATTTTGCAGGACGAGCAGGAACCTGGGGCTTCGGTCTGTCTGGGAGTGATGGTGGCTGACGCTTCTCCACTGGTGAGGTAGATATAGTCTGCTTCTGGGGGCGGGGAGGGATACTGGGCCGAGAAGGTGCGTCTGGACTTTTAACTTCCTCTTTAGCAGGCTGAACCGTGGTCACCAGCTGCTGACTATCCGGAGCATCTTCCCAGATATCTCTACTAGGGAAACGCTGTTTGAATGTGTCGGGACGTGTGGGCTTCTCCTTGGAGCTTTCGCCTTCCAGAATATGAGTTGCAACTTGATGTGAGTCAACTTTGGTTGTTTGCATCCTGCGATTTGCCTCTTGTTCAGGTGTCTCAAACGTCTCGGCGGTGTCACGTTTGGGTAGATCCGGGGTAGTCACTGTAGCATGAAGCTGCAGACTATTGGGTGTATCCTCCCAAATGTCCTGGCTGGGGAATCTATGTTTGAGTGAATCGGGTCTCTTCTTGAAGCGATCCGCAGCTGATACAGGACGCTCATTCTTGGAATCGTCTTCAGGGAACAGCGGCTCATACTCTTCGACGTCTTCGAGAGGCGTATGAGTGTCCTCGCGGGAATCATAGCGAGTCAGCACAGGGAACTGGCCTTGTCCGCTAGCCGATCGACTGTTTGAACGACTATGCGAGGCGCTCCCAGTGCGACTGCGGTACTCCTCCTCGAAACTTCCCCGGCGATCAAATGTTGGCGAGATAGCAGGATGCAGATATGCCGACTCGGGACGAACTTCATCAGCGGCCAAAATTGGTTCTTCCTCTTCCTCGTCCTCCTGGAAAGTTGGCTCGCTCTCCTCCGTCGCGGGAGTCGGGGCAAATCCATCCGGGTGATGCAAAGGATGCTTGGGATCATCCACGTGGATGATATCACTATCTGGGTTGCCATGCGAGCTGGCTCTACGATGACGCAGCGGGCTTCCTGGTGGCTTCTGACCAGCTTCCACAGGGAAAGTCATATGGCGCAGAGGTGACTCAACGACTGGCTGGGTTTCATGTCGAGCATCAGGCGGGGGAGAAGCAATCCGGTGCATGTACTCATCAGATGCCATATATCCGACCTCCTCTTCGGGAGTACCCACTACAGCTGGAGATGTACCTGATACTAATTAGCTTTGAAACAGTGACTAACTCGCTCGAAAATCTCACCAAGGCCGGAACCGGTCTGAGCAGAGCTTCGAACGATCTTATTGAGGTCATCACTACTCAATGCCCAGTCGGGACGCGGAGTGCCGACACCAGGGCCATATTGACCTTCCTCCTTGACAAACTCATCGGGGTGCTTCTCATACCAAGCCTTCTCAAACTTATCGGGATTCTGCACACCATGTCCATGCAAGCCATAGCTTCCAGGGGGCAAAGAAGAGTCACGATGACTACGGCTGCGGTTGTGGTTGCGGCCCGGACGTTGTGAGCCTTGTTCGAGATAAGGGCTCGGGGACGGTGCCTGGACATCACCAGCATTGGGATACATGGGCACACGGAAACCCTGCTCCTCACTTAACTGAGCGGAGTGACGACGGTCATTGGAAGCTGTCGAGGACTCAGCCCGCGAGCCACTGGCACGAGAATGTAACGAGCGGCTAGAGCGATCTTGCTCATCGCGAGCTGGGGAAGCTTCGTGACCTATTCCCGCAGCGGCGGCCTGCCGGGAATCGGTGCGGGTGACGGCCTGGACTTTCGCTTTAGCACTTGTAGGGGGCAATGAGGGTCTCGGTGCATGGATCTTGAGATCACTGCTAACATTGCGAGTCTCCGCAGGGGTTTGATGATGAGTATCCGACATATTGCCGGGGTCGAGGTCGGCATATTCGATACCCTCCTCGCCGAGCGAAGGGATTGTCACACTAGGAGGACGCGGGGGCAGATCATTGGAAATGGTACGAGCCACCCCGGGGCCGCTCCATTCATTGAATGGCGAGGGAGCATAGCTGTCACGCATGGGGGATACTGAACGATCGACGCGGCGGTTGTTCGGGCGGGGAGGAAGATGAGGAGCTTCTAAAGACGACGGCGGCGGCTGAGGAGATCTAGCCGGTCGAGGGGGAATGGCCGGAGCAGCTTGGGTCGACATGATGAAGTACTATGACTATGAGCTATCGACGAGTCAGCGGCAGCCCAACGGAATGCCCCACGGCCACGATGGACCATGTGCAGGCTAGATAATAACGGGGACTTGGCGCCACCAGGCTTGCAGGGATTCAGAGCATCTCAGGGAAGCTCCCGCGGGGGGTGGAAGTATGCATCGTTGACGCAAGACAGGAGAAAGCACCAGTGCCCCAGCAACTGATAAGAACGTGCAGAATGATTTGCTTACCCAGATTTAGTATGAACCAAGATCGGTCCAATTGCAAGAAAGTAATCAAAACAACAGAGGCAGAAATAGCAAAAATGCAGAAGTTCAAGCAGATATTGAAGCAATTCCGCGAATTGCGAGGATGATGTATGAGTGTCCGTTCTGCCCGTGACGTGCTCAGCTAATACGTACGGTAATATTACTGTACAAGTCTATGGCAACCAACAATCTTTTCCTCTTTTTTTTTTCTACACTCGCCCCATGAAATCAGAGAACTATGAATAGTGCCTTGTTTTTAGGATATTTGAGGCATTTTTCTTGGGCTACCCGCAAATACCTCACTTGTGGCTTGGGGGCCCAATAGATCAGCATAGGACTATGCAAGTCATGTTCTAGATGACCAGACAAATGATGCGGTCTCCCAATGCAATTCCCCTTGAAATACCAAAACCAGTCTAGACTTTGCACCTGATAAGACGATTATTTCACCGTCGTGGGATTGGCTGTTAGATCCGAGGCGGTGAGTTGGTGCTCTCCGCATTGCATCATCGTTTTTCTATACTTTGTCGAGGTTGATATCAGATTTCCTTCCTTGCTTCTGTAACGGCGACTGTTCATGCTCGTCTGGTTCAATCCAGCTCCAGGAGTCTATACAGGTCTCATCTCTGGGGTGATCACTGAGCCTAGGAGGATTTGCGGGGTAATACATATGACCAACTATTCCAAGGTTCTTCCAACCATTAGACCAACCATTTGCGTTCCTGTTTGGTTTCTATTTGGCGACTTGTCTGCGGGGGCAACCTTGGAAGTGCCAAGCCCCAAGGTTGTCAGCTCGGGTATGTGGGCTTCTGGGAGTGAGATCTATCTAAGAAAAAGGCCTCGTGGTGGACATTTGCAGGGGTATGTATTAAGTATTTCGATGCTCCCTACTGGTGGTGTCTTATCAGGTTTAGGCAGTTGCCGCCTTGTCACCCCACGTGTCGAGATCGAGACCCATGTATGTAGACTATTGTTCACGCCGTCTAGGCATCGTAAGGTAATGAGCTGCACAAATTCTGGCCCAAGTAAGTGGGTCAAGCCAAAAGTTCAATGTATGCACCTTTAAACCAGCGATCATAACATCTAGTCTGGACTCAATCCACAAAACGAGGGAAACTAAGAATATATCCGCGGGAGAAACGCTCATCGGTATTGGGGGGGGGAAACAAAACAAAACAAAGACATGCTCAGGGTCCTCTCGAAACAGACCAAGACATACAAGTACAGGATGGTTGAAAAACACCAAACGAATTCATAGCGCGTTCCTATGCCAGTTGCCTGAGTGGCATTTTATCCTCCGGCGTCTGCATCGAGTATCTCATATCATCACTCCATCCATCATTAAAACACCAGTATCTGGCTGGAATGGAGGAAAGTAAAGAACAGCCCGGATCAGCGTCGTGGTATCGGTTTTAGACAATCATCTGCGCAACACCCTGGCCTCCCAAAGTCTTGCTGCCAACAAACTCCTGGTTCTTCAGACCGGCCAGGCCGTAGAAGAGAGCTGCGATGAGGAGAACCACAGCGGCGGCGATTAGGCTGGATGTGCCGACGGCGATACTGGCGAATTGGATACCACTGAGGATGCCGTACATGATGGCGCGCATCCAGTTTGTTGTGAAGCGGCGGACAAAGGCATCGAACTTGGAAGAGGTGGGACAGATTCGGAGGAGGAAGGGTACTTCAACGAAGACGAGGACGAATGACGAAGCACTGTTTGGGTAAGATACTGATGATTTTGCGGGGAAGGCGGGCAACGGGAACGGCAACGGTAACTCACAGGCAAATGATACTAAAGATGAGGCGAAGTCCTAGGTGGAAACAATTGGCAAGACCAAGTGCGAAGCAAAGGACAATGCACACCACACCCGTCCTGGATATATCGTTAGAGTCATCCCTTTGTATGCGAAACTGATCTCCAGGGTATGAAGAGCTTCAAATGAAGCGGCAGGCAGCGGTCAATGCCTCAACCATTATGCTCCCCTGCGACAGTCCTCAAGCTCAACAGCCATCAGAGGGGAAGGAATGCGACGCGGTAGACTAACCATTGTCCGTAGATGCCTGGAGAAGAACGTTAGCGCGGATGATCTGCAGGCGGAACACACCGGGTACTTACTGAAGTTGCGCGAACGGAATTCCTCGGCCAGCGTCATGATGGAAAGATAAATCTCAAGTGACCTTGGATTTGAGAATAGAGAGATGCGGATTCAGAGATGTCGGAGGTGTCAGGTCGGCAAGGTGCGCACGCGGCTTAGCTAGGGCGGTCAAAGGCGGAACAACAAACAAAATAGTTGAAACGGAAGCAAATCTGAGCTGATTATGTGCGTGCATGTATGAATGAAAGTGGATAACTGTCGATCAAATAATTATATCCTTTCGCTGCGATCATTCAACGTTTTCCAACCTAGATCCGACTCCGAATTCTTTTAGGCAGACACTAACAGGCATTAGTGGTCTCGGTCAAGCGAACTAAGGCTCCAGCGTATGGCAATGTTCGGATTTAATTGAAATCCGCTTAGTGGATTCATCCAGGGGTATGAATATATGAATGGAGATGGTTATAAGGAGGTCTTGAACTGGGCATCCCCAAAAGGCAACGTATGCAACATCTCGGCTTTGATATGCACTTGTTATAATGCACTTTGATCCAGGAAGAAAGGGTCTCCAGATATCTAATGTGCATAACGTGGACTACATTAACATCTACTCAAGTCCACAAGCAAGAAGAGAAGGACAGTAATTCTTGGCTTAGAATGTTGCTTTTGAAAGGGACTGAGGGTTTCTATTTGAGAAGGTTTAGACTGTCTCGGTCATGGGAATGATATGATTGATGAGAATCGAGTGTATGCTGAGAGCTCAGGGTATGCAAGTATGGAGACAGCCAATTACTTACACCCCAGGCTGCACACTGGCCCCAGGAGCAAGTATATCGGGTTCTGATACCCTCCAATTCGAGCTCAGTGGCTTGACAATATCTCATACCACTTTGTGAGGTAACTCATCAGTATATTCTGGGCAGAGATTTTATCCAAGTTTGAGTAGAAGTTCTTGGCATTTTATTGCCAGATGTTAATTTTTGTCGCGGATCTCGAGCTCAGCCTATAACTTATGACCTGTTTGAACACTGAACTTACTCAGCAGATAAATTTATGACCAGAATATTCATTCAAATTGTCTTTTCAAGCTCATTCGGCTCCAATTCAAGCACTCTGCTGGTTTCACACCAACAAGTCTGGCACATTCTGGTGTTGAACAGACATACCCCAGTAGTACAACGCCAACCTAAAAGGATTGACTCGAATATATAAAAGAAGCCCCAATACTGCAACCACCTTATTTTGTTCCGGAACTCGCAAGCAAACTACACCTCACTGTCATATAACTTGATAGCTCCACTCTCCATCTAATGCATTTCACAATCTGCCCTGCCATTGTGGCCTTGCTCTGCATGCAGGTCCAAGCCCTACCTACCAACAATACCTTACTCGGCTTGATCATGCCAGAGTTTGAATATGTTCCCTCAGACACAGCTTATAAGCTTTGTACCCAGGGATGTCTTCCCGCTGCACTTGTTTGCGGGGATGCAGCGCCGGTATATATGTCTTCACCCTACTTTTCAACGAGTATTCCTCGAAATCATCTCGCAATTTACTAATTTTGCATAGAACGGAACACAAGCGACGGCCTGTAATTCGATCAGTTTCCATAGCCCGCTTCTTGAGTGGTATACCCATAGAGATTTTGGGGTCATCACTTTTGGGTGCAGCTCACCTGCTGATACTCCAGACTGTTGGACTTGTTGCATCAATATCAACCCTCTGTATTAGTAGGTATGCAAAAAGTGGCTCCACATATAAGTCATATTGATCGCGAAGCTTGTAATAATTATGTGTTTTCTAGTGTAAGGTAGGACAAGAAAAATCTGGGTAGTAGCCCTTACCTCATAGTTTACTCCATACAGCTTATACCTAGGTACTTTAGGCTTAAGGTGTATTATAACCGCATACCCCTATTCCATGTATCACCGTTATATCAATTTATACGTTCATGTTATCATTGCCCAAAAAGGACCAGGAAATTGTCACTTTGACTTTTATCATTGATCAGGACTTATTTCCATCCCAACATAAAGCCAAGTCATTCCTTGCAAAACCCCCCCCAAAAACCTTGTTCTAAGCCGTGTAATCCATTTTTTAAATGTTCGTATAGCCCATGCCACCCATCTAAAGCATATACCTGAAAAGAGGAGATCGGTCGCCCAGAGAGTCTGGATCCTCAGGATATTCAGACGGATCCATAGCATCTCGCTTGCTGTTAATGCGTTGATAAGACAAGCGCAGAGCAACCACTGCCAGCATGCCAACTACAACAAAGGCAAGCTCGAGCGCGTGACCGAGAATATATTTAGGTGCGTCCTGGGAACGGTAGAAGTTCGACGACATTGCTATTTTAACTATGTTAGCACAATCAGACATTCAAGCAACATATAAATAGTTACCTCCGGCGAGATTGCCGACTCCAATATGAATAGCCATGCCCGCAGCCCGTTTGTAGTCACCCGCCATGTTGACACTTAACCAGGTAACGTTTCCGGGGAAGGCAGGATAGATACCTTTCAGTCACTTTGTTAGCTGGTGTATACCCGAATGACACTCCCTGCAAAATGAATGTACTTACCGATGACTGCCACAAAGACACCAAAGTAGACAACACCTGGAACGCCACGCCCTGTAGATGCGAGAACGATAATAAAGCCAGCAGCAATCATGGCCATGTAGAACAATATAACTGGCGATCTCTGCTTTCGTCTGTCTGAGAACCATGCCGCGACAACTGCTATAACTGCAGCAGTAATATAAATTGGCACCTGCAGCGGAATTATTAACACACAGGGGCAGAACATAGCTTCGTGTCACTTACAGTGAGAAGTTGAGCAGTAGATGACTTGTACCCTAGATCCTTGATAATAGAAGGAAGGAACAGAGATATTCCGTATAGAGGACAAGTTATGCCCCAGTACACTGTCTCTAAGTTAGAAAAGAAAGACAAAAAAAAAGACGACCAGACTTACTTAGGATGCCCAACCAGATCTGCCAATCACTCAGTGCGTCAATCACATAGCGAATGTGAAATTTCTCACTCTGCCGAACCGTCTCGTGGGAATCCACCGAACTTTGAATCCGCAAGCTGTGGATAACAAAACGACGCTCCTCCTCAGTCAGGAAAGTGGCTGTCTCCGGGGAGTCATGAATTGCAAAGGGGGCGACCAATGCGACAACGATAGTCAAAAGGCCTTCGAGGATGAAGATCCATCTCCAGCCGGCATATCCACCCACACCGTCCATTTTCTAGAAATATCAAGACAGTTCAATATGATAAACTTGAATAATAAGAGGAACGCCATACCGAGATACCGTACGCCAAAAGCCCAGAAAATGCCCCCGCAACACTTGCAGCGCTGAAAAAGAGTGCTTGTCTGAATTGTGCTCGGTGGCGAGGATACCAGAGGGTGATATAGTATGCCACACCGGGGTAAAGACCGGCTTCTATATTTGTAACAGCACTTAGTTTGAACCCTTGAGAATGCTCCTCGAATGTCTGTTATCAATTTACCTGCAACCCCCAAGAAAATACGAGTAGCCAGTAATCCTCCGTAGCCTTTGACAACCCCCATTAAGGTCTGTATGCAAGATAGTCCTCATTAGCATGCTTTGCCATTCACAACCCTTGATGTTCAAGTGCTCACCATGCAAATTCCCCATGCAACCATGATAAAGGGCAACCATCTCGAAGGTTTTAACTTCTTCAAAAGAAGGTTGCTCGGCAGCTCAAAAGCAGCGTAGGTGAAGAAGAAGACAGTCACTATAGCAAACAATGGTCAACACGATCCCAATGAGCTGATCCAAAAAAAAGACGCATACAAGTCCAGTTGTACTGTGGTCCAGTCATATTGAGATCTTCTACCAACCCCTCAATCTTTGCATTTCCGATGTTACCTCGGTCCAGAAAGGCAAGGAGATACAAGGCGCTTAGCATTGGGATCAAACGAAGGTCCATCTTCCGGAGGACTGCGTTCTCATTCACGCCCTCAAATACGACTGGACCGAGGCTGCCTGATTCGGCATCTGCGATTTGCTCTTTGTGCTTGAGATCGGTGCTATTGGGCGGGGGAGGGACTGCATTCTCGACCTCATGCAGGGCGGGTTTCTCGGGGGTGCCGCTTGATTCTATCATCCTGAACAATGGATAAAACCAGTTCTTAGCAAAGAACTAGAATCAATGGGGTCGAGAGCGAGGAAGGGAAAGTCAGGAAGCTCAAGATAGAAGACAGAGAAAGAACTCAACCTGCACTTCTGGCAAGATTCTCAGCTAAGAACTCAAGAAAACCCTCAGACCGGACATCATTCCGCCATTTATACTTTCTCCAACAGCGTCTGGCCTACCCCGGACAAAGTAGAGAAGATCAGCACTTGGCATGAGGGGTATGCTTTTCACTCATTCTAGTGGCGTGTTTCCTTGGATAGTTGCGTAGAATTCACACTGCAGAGATGTCTATTTCCGAACTTGGTAGTAAGTGTGACTCTCTTGTCGTTTGAACCTATGAGCCCTCGTATAAATTATGCTATATGGGTTACGTTTGAAGGTATACATCCACTCCAGACCCTGAGTTCTGGAATAGTCGATAACCCCTTGAGCTCTTATTTGCTACTGATTCCCTTGATAAAATGCCTTCTATTCAACTGATTCCAGCCAACCTTCAGCCACCCGGCAAAGACATCCGCCATCAGTTAGATCATCGCCGGGAACAATCCGGCGCCAGATCATCATAACATCATAACATCATAAGTAACAACCCCGAACAATTCAATGGCCCAACACACATCACTTAGCCTATCTATTCCACAAGACCTGAAGTTCTCTCATCCCCCAGAACTGCCCACCCCCCTCAAAACAAAGCCACCATGCCCTCAACCCCGTGGATCAAACCAGATACCAGCACCCGTCCCATCGCCGTGATCGGTGCCGGTGTGATGGGCCGACGAATCTGCATGATGTGGGCAGCCGCTGGATTCTCGGTAATCCTATGCGAGAAATCAGAAACCAGCTCCGACGGCGCACTCGACTACATCAACAAAAACAAAGGCGCACAAGCAGCCAAGCTAGGCACAAAACCAAGCGAGGTGCAAGTCACCGCGTCACTGCAGGAAGCCGCCAAAAACGCATGGATGGTCGTTGAGGCCGTTCCCGAGAAGCTGGAGATGAAGATCGAGGTTCTGGCGCAGATTGACAAGCTCGCTCCGCCGGACTGTGTGATCGCGAGTAACTCGTCGTCGTTGAAGACGAGCCAGATGATCGTGAATACGGAGAAGAATTACCGCATCTGCAATGGTCATTACTACATGCCCCCGGAGCAGATTTACTACGAGGTCATGTCGTGTGGACATACCGATCCGGATATCTTTCCGTTTTTAATGGACAAGGCTGCTAGTGCGGGCTTCCAGCCGGTTCATGCTAAGGTTGATTCAACTGGGCTGGTGTTCAATCGAATTTGGGCTTCTATCAAGCGAGAAGTGTTGTTGGTGCTGGCGGAGGGTGTAAGTGATGGTCAGACCATTGATGAAATGTTTAAGGGTTGGTTCAAGGCTACCAAGGGACCGTGTCAGATGATGGATACTGTTGGCTTGGATACTGTTTACAATATTGAAGTCATTTATGTTCAGCAGCGCGGGTTGGACCCTACGGCCAAGGATTGGCTGAAGGAGAATTATGTCGACAAGGGTAATTTGGGCGCCAAAAGTGGCAAGGGGCTTCTCGGCTAGGGTTGGTCATACGGTAGCCTATTTGCAATAAAAGTGTTCTTGGGAAGGCCTTTGACAGACTATTATTGTTTTTGTAAACATTCCAATGTTCTGAGATTATTGATTTGGGTATCAAATAAAATTGCGTTCTTGCTTCCGGGTATATGGGGATTACTTCACGTCAATACGTCAATGGCGTGGCTGTGGTTCACAGCAGGCGCTCACATTATGCACGGCCGGCGTGAGACCAACAGCAGACAATAGACTGGTGATGCTCCCCGAAGCTTATCGCCAAATAAATGTACAAAGTCGTAGAAGACAGGAACAAAAGGGAAAAGAAAGCCAAAAGAGAGTGAGAAGAGGCATAAAGACAAGTATTGTCTGGGAAAACCGGACAGGAAAACGGCAGTCATGAAGTATTAGTATCCATGGTGTAAAGAAGGAATTAGGGTAAGGTATGTGGGACGTGCGAAGAACAAAGAGGTCCAAACAGGAAGAGGAAGAGGGTATGTATACATACTCTTCCCACTTGGGTGGTAAGGGGTATAATGAATTGAAGACATTAGGGGCTGACCACAGGGTGCAAATTGCAATCATTAGGGTATAGGCACCCATTGGATCAGAATTAGGGAAAGGGTATGAGTTAGTCAAAATGGAAAAGGGCTCCAAAGTTTTGACCAAAGAAATTAGGTCTTGCGGCGGCGATGAACCTTCCACTCCGCTTTGGCCACACGCATGAACATTTCGACGTCTTTGATGGGCACCCAGCTAGTCAAAACTTTCATGATGTTTTCAAAGTCGGACTCAAGGATGATATCACGCATACCATCGATAAGAGCAGCAGACGAAGCGTGTAGAACATCAAGCCCTTGGCCGAATGTTCGTGGGTTGTCAGCAGAAGAGTCGTCATTCTTCCCCGAAGCTCCTGACCGAGTATCTTCGGCATCCCCAAGGAGCATGAAGACATCCCATACCCGGAGTTGGGCCGGGAAGGGGATTGAGTAGTTGAATAAGGTGAGGTACCAACGAGTGCCATAGGCCGTGGGTGGAATTCCAACTTCATTCTGGAAAGAAATGTTGTTAGCAAACGTGCAGTACATGGGTTGGGTAATTCAGCTTACTAGTTTGCTGGCCACTTCACCACCGGCCAACCACTCTCGTTCAAAGTCAGCCAAGGCTTCCATCAAACCAGCAAAGCCGGACTTGTATAACTCCTCCAGGCCCCGTAGCTTCCATAGTCTTGCCAGCATGATGAAAGCGTGTTCTTCGTCATAGTATGCAAGTAGGGTAGCTGCGAGAGCTGCCATGCCCTGCACATAGCCCGTGTCAGGGAAATATAGCGACATAGCATGGAGTACACGGAACAATAGTCTCTGGCCACCTCTATACCGTCTCCGGAACATGATGTGACTTGAGATGGTTCTCGGCACATCGATGTCGATCTGAACATCATCAGGCGACGAGACGTACTGAAACTCATGGAAAGCATCGACGAGCTCTTGTTCAGAAGGACTGTCTGCGTGACGTCTAGCACTGGCCTCGAGGAATGAGTACCAGGCTGTGGATCGCCATCTGTCTGGAATGCCCTTCCATGTCCGCTCAATCAACTTGGAACTATGTGTATCAAACTCAAAGGTCATGCCACCGCCGTCTTTGGTCTTCCGAGTTGGCTTGGCCATCTTCGTCCACTTGTCCTCGCGCTGCCATTCCTTCTTGCGCATTGCGCGAGAAATCGCAGTGTCTTCTCTCGGGTCAGCAGCGAACTCGGTGGGCAGAGTAAGCATGTCAGCAGCCTCATCCTTGGCCTTACGGTCTCGATTGTGAGGAAGACGATTGGTCGCAGTACGTAAACGAGACGTCGAGCGGCGCAATGGCGCACTGAAATTACTTTGCGACGACGATGGCCGGCCAGCCATGGAGCTTTGGCGGGTTGGAGAACGACCATGGAAGGAACGGTTGCCAGCGGAAGCAGTAGGGGGGACGAATGGAACGTTTCCGTCTCGGTGTCTCAGAAGCCAGAAGAAGACTCGTGGTGACTCGCTGTAGCGGGTTGATCTCCGAGCCATTGGCAGTTGTTGGAGGCCGAATGAAGCCATAACGATCGACTTCTCCGGCTTTAACATCATGCCAATACTCAGCACCTCCTGCTAGCTCTTGTGTCTCCCTCTTAATTCGCTTGCGCTCGACTTCAGCTGAGGCTCGGGGCTTTGTTTCAGGTTCAGCTTGTTGAGGGCCAGGGGCTTCGGAGTCTGTGGCGGCACCCTCTTCCCACAAAACACCATTATCGCAGGCCATTGCTTTCGCAACTTCAGAGTCTGTGACGTTATCGTCACCCCTTTCGTACATGAGTCGAACTCGCCGTGACAGCATGTCTTCGTCCGCTGAAATGACCCTACTTGGAAGACTTAGCTGTCTTGGGCGAAGGGTTCCTTGCGGTTGAGTACGTCGCGGAACTGCTTTCGGCGTTCCATTCTCACCTTCCGTTCGACTTGGAGTAAAGGAAGGGGAAGGGGTCAACTCAGGAGTTGAGTCTTCCGAGATTTGTTCCGGCTGCTTCTCGGCCTGCTTCTCGGCCTGCTTCTCGGCCTGCTTCTCGGCCTGCTTCTCGGAATGTAACTCGGGTTTTTCGTCTGCCTTCTGAGGAGTGAAGTCTGGCACTTGTTCAGGGTGTGCCTCGAGCTTCTCCGTGGACGGTTTCGGGCGGGGGCGGTTTGCATTGCTCTTGATCAAGCTTCCGCGAGTAGAAAAATTCATGGGTTTATTCAATCCATCCAAGTCAGCCGTCGGTATCTCGAGGGGAATACCAGAAAAGGGACGTTCGATTCGAGGTACAGGCGGAGGCGAATCCGAGCAAAATTGCCTGTCCATCTCCGCCGAACGTTTCCTCAAACCACCCCATTTGCGCTCCGACCACCGAGAGCCTGGACGCGAACCTGGCCGTGAGCCTGGTCGCGAGCTTGGACGAGCGTTTGGCTCATCTGCAAGAATGCTGGGCACACTGCGCAACGAGGGGGGGCCCTCCGATCGAATTGTTCGGCTTCCATCGCCGGTTGGCGTGGATGGCGCAAGACGCGAGTCATGCTTGATTTCGTGCAGTGATGCGTATGCAGAGGAAGAATTGTCACCGGGACCAGTCGAGGTAGCGCTTGTGCTTAACGATCGGCCATTGGGAGCTAGTGGCGCATCTGGCGTAGGTAACGAGACCGACCGAATTGCAAGAGGGGCGTCAACAGGGACGGTATTTTCGAAGGGCACGGCACGAATCGACGAACGGGGCCCCGACCGGTCGGCGAACGATGTAGACAGCTCATTAACCATTATCCTGGCATGACTTGCGCATGGACTGAATCGCAACAAGGACCAAAAGGAGTGCGGCGCAATGAGAAAAGATCAAAGGATGGAAGGGATTGAATCAAACAGAAAACTCTAACCAAGAAAGGAGTGACAAGGGTAGAATCTCCAACATCAGGATTTCGTCAGGGTTGAGATTAAAATTGAGGCCCAGGAGATATGGGGAGGTGGAGTATTTCGGGGGAGGTCTTGGCGCTGAGTCCAACACATCAAAAAGTGCTCTCATTCCTCGGCTAACACTTCAACTCTTTTCTTTCTGCTCTCTCTCTAAAATAAGTTCAAGGGGGTTTCATGTCCCACCTTCACCCGTGTGGATCAGAAAGAACAAGGAGTTTAGTGGAGCCCGCTAGTTGTGCTTAGATTAGAACCCCCATGGACGTGCGGGATCAAAGACATTCCCCATAGTCTACGTAAGTCGCCCATTGAAGCAAAATCCTCGATTTCTTTTTTTTTTTTGCAACTATGCGCCTCCAAAATGTACAGAACGTGAACTCCGGGACAGGCTGGGCCAGCCAATGCAATCAAAACAAGGGGGGAACCCGGCCCCAACTATAATCACGGGAAAGGGTGTCATAAGGGCATGAAAGCGTCATTGCGATCCAAGTTTACAGTTCGATCTTCAAGCCACAGCAGTCGTGTTAGCACCAGCTGGGGAGTCGCGAGTAGGTCGACTGCGGTCCACGGGCTCTTTGGGCAATAGTTCAATCTGGCGGACTAGGAAGCTCTTCTCGTCCGTAAATTGGTCGTCGTCAGTTCGGTCTTCCAAGAATTTAGGCAGGAATCGTAACAGTCGATCACGGTTGTTGATCAGAATTCGTTGGACCGCTAGTGATTTAGTTGGGTTTGCCACGAAGACCTAAACATTATTAGATGGAGGGTTGATAGAATTTGGAGAGAGGATATACCTTGAAGACGTGGAACCCTTCGTACTGTACCATCTTGCGATCATCGCGCAGTAATTTCATGCAAAGTTTCAGGTTTTCACCACTCTCCACATATGCCATCATCACATTATAGTTCGCACGGTCCAATAAGATCTCGCCCAAAAGCTTGATGCTCTGTCGTTTGGTCACATACGAGTCCGAGTGGACAAGGATGTTGTTAAATCGACCGAAGAAAATATCAAAGTTGGTGGCCAGGTATGCAGTGACGAGGCTCTTATGACGGGTCAAAATCTCCTGAAGAACGTGATGTTAGCTACCGAAAACCCAGAACCATTGTTCAAGTCATACACGGAAAGTTGTGAACGCATCTGCGCTCACTTCGAAGTTGCTCTTGTCTATCCAGTCAAAGAATCGCCAAAACACCCCGTCTCCTCTCTGAGGTAGGTTCGGTTTCAATTCCGATAAGCGCACAGCAGCTTCACCCTCACTTGACTGGTCATACAGCACCACGGCGGTGATAACGTCGAACTTTAACGCCTCTCGGATAATGACACCACATGGCATGGCACTCTGGGGTTGCATGTACCCCCGGCATAGTTCAATGATTATTTCCGGTCGGTGGTGGACAAGATATGAAATCACCGGAGGATCTTTGTCGTCTGCATATGCAACAGGTCGGAAGCGAAGGATATGAGAGAATATGGTCTGTGTGTCTTTTCTGGCTTCGAACGGAAGTAGATGGATGCTCCGAGATAGATCATAGAGCAGGTCTTCTTGTAGAGTTGCTTGGACAAGTGCGTGAACTTGTTCGGGTGATGTAGTGACCTCTAAAGATTGATATATTAGTGATTGACTCCTAGTTTGAGGCGTCCATAAGACAAACCCTGTGTTCCTTGCACCATCAGCTTCATTTGGCCAAGCTGCTTGGCCAGCTCGTCTTCAGTCTAGTTCATTGATTAGTCGATATGTTCCATGGACCGACAACGAGTTGTTTGGTCACCAACTTTGAGTGCATTTTGCGAGTCATGGATCCTTGCTAGTAACTCCTTCGTTGATCGCACGATCTCAGCGGGTTGCCGCGAGCGACCGCGATTGAAGAAGAAAGCCATAGGAAGAGGGTATATGCGTGAATGATCGGGTGAGAGTTGAGAGCCGTTGAAGATATCACGGCAGCATGTGGAAAGCGCGACAATACAAGGGAGAAGGTCGAGGCAGCAAATGTGATGTATTCGGTTTGCCAATAAACAAACTCGGGGCGGGGCAACGGGGGATTGTGCCTGAGGCATCCACTGATAACGTTTTTTTTTCTATCAAAATGCTATCTGCCCCTCCCCTCCACTCTACACATCTTGTGCAATTGAACAGTCATGTCTTCTGCTGCTGTGAACCTCCCTGTTCGCGAGGATATCCCTGACTCTGTCTCGGATTCCTCTGATACTAGCGATGAGGAGGGCTGGGAAGATGTTGAGCCTGATGAGGAGTCGAACCCTGTCGTCGGGCTCTTTTCCGAACAAATTTTCTCTGATGCGCGCTCAATGTTGAAGGAGTGCAAGGAGAAGTATAACTTTGACTTGCTGAAGATTCAGAAGGACCTTGGTATGCGTGGAGTTCTCTTGGGGTACTATCTCCATGAATCGAATCGAAGCTAACTTCTTTTTTCATCTAGACTTGGACTTCCTCGACAATATCAAATTGGTCAACTATGTCCGCTCCGAAGTTAAGAAGGGAAACACCACCCCCGATGTTTCTTCCAAGGCCAAATTCGAAGACGATGCGTACCTGAAGCCCGTTTTGGAGGACGATGCGCTTTTGTACAGCCTGGACGATCTCGCGGAGGAGGATGAAGCATCTGCTCCTGGAACCGAGGCCGAGCGCCAGGTTATTGAACTCCAAGAGAACCTTGAGCGCCTCCAGACCCAATTTTCTGAGTATCGTCTCGCTGTGCAGCAGTCCATGGACGATCAGCTGTCCAAGGAGGACCAGAAGCTTGCCGAGTCTACGCCGAAGCCCTCATCCCACGCTATCGATAGACATCAGGAGGCCGAAGATGGCTACTTTGTCTCTTACGCCTACAACGGTATGAATTTCTCTTCAGTTTTTAATCAATCCAGTACTAATTTATTATGATAGCAATCCACGAATCTATGCTGAAGGACAGTATCCGCACTGACTCCTACCGCGATTTCGTCTACGAGAACAAGCATGTTTTCAAAGACAAGGTTGTTCTTGATGTTGGCTGTGGAACTGGTATTCTTTCCATGTTCTGCGCTAAGGCTGGCGCAAAGAAGGTCATTGCGGTGGACAACTCGAACATCATTGATCGGGCTAAGGAAATTGTTCACGACAACGGCCTCGGAGATGTGATTACTTGCATCCGTGGTAAGATCGAAGAGGTTGTTCTGCCCGTTGAGAAGGTCGATATCATCATTTCTGAGTGGATGGGCTACGGTCTCCTCTTCGAGGCCATGTTTGATTCCGTCATCTATGCCCGAGACCGCTACCTGGTTCCCGGTGGTCTCATGGCCCCTTCGCACGCTACCCTGCGCATTGCTCCCTTTGCTGACCCCGACTTTATCGCCTCGCACATTTCGTTCTGGCACAACGTCTACGGCTTCAAGATGGACAGCATGCTTCACAAGATCTATGATGAGGCTCTTGTTCGCAGTAACCAACCATCCACTGCTGTTGGAGATGCCCAGACTTTCTACACTCTGCCCCTGCACACCATCACTGTTGAGGAATTATCCTTCTTGAAGGAATTCCAGGTTACTCTGAACCAAGACATCGACGCATTGGACGGATGGGCTATCTGGTTTGACATTTTCTTCATGCCCTCCAGCGAGTCAGTTCTCCCCGAGGACGCCATTCCCACGGAAATGCAAAAGAAGGGAGTTGTCTCCTTCACCACTGGTCCTCACGGAACTGAGACCCACTGGCAGCAGACAATTTGTCTCATTGACCAGGCCAAGCACAAGAACCAACCTCTGAAGAAGGGCCAGACCATCTCTGGCAAGGTTGGCTATGAGAAGACAGAGAAGGGCGCTCGTGGTGTTGATATCAGTGTCCAGTGGGATTCCGATGTTGAGAAGGGCGTCCAGCTCTGGAGCCTCCTATAAAGTGGAGCAATTTTGTGACGATTTCTACGCCAAAAAAAATATATAGGACCATTTGCATGAATAGATGCATAGTGAATACAACATTATTTGCATTGAAAATTTAATCAAAGGGTATCATAATAACATATTGAGTCAGGTGGTGTAGAAGAATGCCCGTTAGGAATGGGTTCTTGGTCCAGATCTCCTTGAATGCCTGGAAGCCTCGCGGACATCGTCAAGCTTATTATGATGGCTGTGATACGAAGACCGGTGGTGAGAGCGACGAGATGAGCGATCTCGGCTTCGGTCTCGACTCGAATCTCGACGATGGCGGTGATGCCTGTGGGAGCTTCTTCCTTTTTCAGATGCCTTGACAGAACCATCAAGTTTGAACCCTTCAAGACTGTCGGCTGATGTTGATCGCTTCCGTCTATACCTAGACTGGCGTGTCTCGTCGGTCTTCAGCGACTCGATCTCCTTGCGCTTATTGTCATTCCATCGTTTGCGCTCTTGCTCTGTAGCTTTCAGCTGTCTGACACCACGCTTCATAGCAGCAAGCGGATCATTCACATTTATGCGAGCGCGCTCTCTCTCCTGGCGCCTCGGGTCCTCATTTCCCCACACATTTTTCTCAGACATAGCCCCAGGGGCTGTCGCATCTTGTCCAGCGGATGAATACCACGGCTTCTGGCCAATTGTTTCTTTGAACCCTGCTGCGTTAGAGAAGCGCATGGTATACTGATCTTCATAACTTCGCTTTTTGCGTGCATTTTCAGCTTCAGCCTCTGCATTTTTCTCCGATTTGGCATTTGCAGCCGGGAACAGGTTGATATGGCCCGCGGCATCTAGGATCGGTGCTTGTGCCGTCTTGTCCAGCTTTCGAGACGCACGTAAAAGTTCGTCACGCTTCACACTAGCATGTGCTGCATTCTCTCGAGCATATCGGATATCTCGGTCCGTATCGTCTTCTCCGGCTATGCGCCTCCTCTTCCGAAAGTGGCCGGTATCATCGCCGGCTTTCCTGTCTGGTCGGATCGCCGGATCGGATGAGGGCTGGGATGGTGGTGGCGGTGGAGGTGTGGGCGGACTTTCACCACGAAGAATTTTAATCCTGCGCTCGGCATCGACCTCCTGCATGAGGCGTTCATCCTCCTCTTCGCGAGCTTTCGCCTGCGCCTCATCACGTTGGACACGGGCGACATTCTCGGGGTTGTAGACATTCCATGATTTCTTGCCTAGCAAATGGCTGAATGAAGAGCATAAATCAGTAGAAGTATCTTGGCTAGCAAGAAGTGGCACTTACAGAGGCATGTTTGGCTGGGTAACGTGGACCCTGACACGCAAGATAGAGGAAGAAGGCCTTATCGATAATGACGTCCCGCGGGCCGACGCTGTTCCCGGAGTGGCCAAAGTGCCCGGACAGCTTTACAGCTTCTGACTTCTTTCACCTTTCTTCATATTTGTGTCTTTGGTGCTTCTCTACTCATCCAAGGCCAACACACTGCTTTTACGACCAAGTTTCAGCCTGCCGCGTCGCAAGGCTGACTGATCAACATCGTTGCCTACTCGTTCCCGACAGAGTGGCGTTACAATAGCTTTGGCTACTCTCCCCTCAACCTCGTTAATTAGCGACTCGCAACTGATTCACCATGTTCAATCGCGGTGGTAATTTGAACCCATTCGGCTCCAAAGGCGATTCCGGGCAGCCGTCCCCACAGGGTTACTCGAACCCCAACCAAGCACCCCCACGGTATGATAATAATCGCAGACCTTTGTTCAGTGCAGGATTTGCAGCTCCTGTCCGCGATTACGATGTACCGATGACTGATGCGTTTGTTGATCAAAGGGGATATGGCGGCCCACCACCTGCAGGAAGACCACAGCAGATGCCATCTAGAATGCCAGCAGGACAGAGGGGCCCCGGTCCGACTTGGACTCTTCAACCAAGCAAGAGTCCGAACGACAACTACACCTTCGGTAATCTGTGAGTGATATATTTGCCGGTCATCATGTTCCATGGCTTACTGTTACAGTGTCGCGGTTTCGCCCCAAGATATCCCACCTTCACGAGATGGCGCCGATGTCCTCCTCCTCATCAATGATCTCTACGTGTTCTCCGCTCGCCCTCTCGATGGATTTCCTCCCGGTCTCATGAGCATGTCTGACCCTCAGCGAACTTGGGCGAACATTGGACTGAGAGATGCGATCAAGGTGCAGCTATATGATCCGTTCAGCCAAGGTGGGCAGGCCTATCTGGGCTCTGCGGATATTGAAGTCAGCTTCGCATCTACCAAGAAGCGCGTCGAGGCTCCTTATGATCAAGATGATTTGGCAAAGGCCGTGATCAAGGTAGGTCGATTCCGGTGATACCATGAGCAAATGCTAATACATTGTAGAACTTTGAGAATCAACTCTTCTCCCCCGGTCAGAAAATCTTGATGGACCATAAGAGTATTCCCCTACTTCTACAAGTGAAGACCGTTCAGCGGGTTGACTTGACATCCGAGAAGGTTGACCTCAGCTCTGGCGAGGTTGAAACTAACCCAGCAGCTCGAGGTATTCTCACCCGTCATACTCAACTTAACTTCTTCAAGGATGCTCAAACTGGCATCAATGTGAAGGCTTCTAATCGCCGCCCAGCGGCCAACTCCATCATTCAGCCCGGCTTCAAGTTCGAGGACATGGGCATTGGTGGTCTGGACTCAGAGTTCAGTACAATCTTCCGTCGTGCTTTCGCGTCTCGTATCTTCCCTCCTGGTCTGGTGGAGAAATTGGGCATTCAGCACGTTAAGGGTCTTTTGCTCTATGGACCTCCTGGCACAGGTAAAACCCTGATTGCTCGGCAGATCGGAAAGATGCTCAATGCCAGAGAGCCCAAGATTATCAACGGTCCCGAAGTCTTGAACAAGTACGTGGGTCAGTCAGAAGAGAATATTCGAAAGATGTTCGCAGATGCCGAAAAGGAGTACAGAGAAAAGGGCGACGAGAGTGGTCTTCACATTATCATCTTTGATGAGTTGGATGCCGTCTGCAAGCAACGTGGCAGTGGAGCTGGTGGTGGCACCGGTGTTGGTGACAGTGTAGTCAACCAGCTTCTGTCTAAGCTGGATGGTGTTGACCAGTTGAACAACATCTTGTTGATCGGTATGACCAACCGAATGGATATGATTGATGAAGCCCTGCTGCGTCCTGGTCGTCTGGAGGTGCACATGGAGATCTCGCTTCCAGACGAGCACGGTCGAAGCCAGATTCTCAACATCCACACCGAAAAGATGCGGAATAATAACGTCATGGATGTCGATGTCGATCTGGCCGAGCTTGCTCACTTGACCAAGAACTTTTCTGGTGCCGAGATTGCGGGTCTGGTCAAATCAGCTTCGTCCTTTGCATTCTCGCGTCATGTCAAGGTTGGTACCATGGCCAGTATCAATGACGACGTGGTGAATATGAAAGTCAACCGTGCCGATTTCCTTCAATCACTTGACGAAGTGAAGCCCGCCTTTGGTGTCTCTGAGGAAGAACTGTCCAGCCGCATCCAGTATGGCATCATGCACTACTCTCAGACTATCAATGAAATCCTACGCGAAGGCGAACTATTCGTCAAGCAAGTCGGTCAGGCCGAGTCAACGCCCCTCTTCTCTGTTCTGCTTCACGGTCCTACCAGCAGCGGCAAGACTGCCCTGGCGGCACGTATTGCCATCGACTCCGGCTTCCCCTTCATCAAGCTTATCAGCCCAGAGGACATGGTTGGCTTCAGCGAGCCCGCCAAGATCTCGCACATCAGCCGGATCTTTGACAGCGCTTATAAGAGTCAGACAAGTATTGTTGTCATCGACAACATCGAGCGAATCATCGATTGGGTGCCGATCGGTCCTCGCTTCAGTAATAGCGTACTGCAGGCGCTCATGGTCTTCTTGAGGAAGCAGCCCACCCACGGGCGCCGCTTGTTGGTTTTGGCTACTACTACTGAACGTGCCTTGATGAAGCAGCTGGACATTTACAATTCGTTCAACTCCGATATCATGGTTCCCAACGTTAGTTCCTTTGGTGAGTTGAAATATATTATGGAACAATCAGGTGCATTTGATGCCCAAGAGATCGCAAGTGCCCTTGAGAGCATTGGTGGTCTTGCTGATGATGGACGCGTCAGTGTCGGTATCAAGAAGGTCCTCTTGGGCATTGAGACGGCTAAGCAGGATTCTGATAAGGTTGGCCGATTTGTTCGTGTTATCAACCGAGCCATTGAGGAAGAACAAAGCTTCCAGTAAAGAGGTTCTTTAGATGAGTCTGTTAATTATTTTGAACAATGACTAAAATTAGTTCCCAATCGGCTTGAACTTTTAAAACCTACTTTCAACGTACGTATCTAGCATTTCTTCTTTCTGATTGAGGGGTGTAGGTATGCCTATCGTCGGCATCAGAACGCCAACTGGCTTACTTGGTTACCATTGTCATGAAATCATATAAGGAGAGGAAGTCAGTATTGGAAGGAAACCTATAAGCGAATTTGTAAACAGTATCATTGAGACTTTCATCCACCATCCACTCAAGTCATCTATGCTTAGGTCGTCAGTAGTCTTTCAAGTTCTCATGAGTCCTGACGATGAAACCGAAAGGTAGAATATTAACCCCTTTAATAGGTTTAATAGGAAAACAAGATAAGGCCCCTGTCCTTTAATTTCAGCTGATTAACAAAGGATGTTCCTAAACGGGAAAGGAGGGCTAACCAACTACAAGCACCTGAAACATCTAAACCCTCGGCCTCAGGCTTCCAGTACAGCTATATAACATACCGTACAGGGGGCTTCCCTCTCTACAAGGGGGTCAAGGGCATACTCCAAAGCCTACTACAGTCAATTAAATGCCTCAGCTACGAGCTCATACGACGAAATCATGTCAAAACGAATACCATTCAGAGAATCCCCTCCCTAAAAGCCCAGACATACGACTTCCCTCCCAGAATATACACACGGGCCTAGAAAAGAAACACAGCGTCATAGACGCACCAAACCCAACTAGGAAGACAAAAACGAAAATAAATAACACCTTATATCCCAATCTGATCCCAAAAGACCCCGAATTTTCCCATTATCCCATCATATCAGTCATCAAACAAGCCGGACCAGCCCGATTCAGTAGCCATCATAGCTATACTTCTTCGAAGACCGGCGGTACTCATCAGGATGAGCCTTCTCCGCCTTACTCTTCAACGCACTATCCCAAAGCCGCATTCGTCAGCTTCAGCTTCTAGAAGAACATCTCATCGGCGCTAATGCCGCACAGCCCGCATTGCCTGCAGTGCCCAACGGCTCCTGATCGACGTGCACGTGCCAAGCTCTATTTTCCGGCGGAGCGGAGGCCCCTGTCGCGGAGCGGAGCGGAATTTGCACGTCAATCGGTTCGGCAAGGGGCTGTTTTGAGGGGAGGGGGTTTCTTGCTTGCTCACCTTACACGCTTTTGTGTCCATTCAAGGTCGCGCTTTGTTTCTCGGGCTGTTTTGAGGCCTTCGGAGAAATTGGCGCGGACGCCTTTGAGACGTCGTTGAGCTAGGGCTTGGAGTTCTAGCAGTTCTTGTTGCTTTGCGTTCAATTGGCCCGAGCTGGTAAGTTAATTTTCTGTTAGCTTGATGCTCGCTCATTGCTTTTAGGCTCTTGGGGAGTTTGTGGATCTCTCGAGTTTGTGCTCCTCGCGGGATGTCTGTCGAAATCGACGACTCTGTATCTGGCGCTTTTGCGCTGGAATTACTCACGTTTGCGCCTGTCTTGCTAGACCCCTATCCAATGGTGTTGGATCGAATGCGTTCTGCATGCGGTCGCTCAAGATATCGACGACATCGACGCCAGAGTACGACGCAGAGCTGGAGTCATAGTCGCCAGCGGAGCTGAAAGTAAGTCCGCCGGACGAACGACTGCCAGCAGTGGTGCTTGCATCAGAGAGACTTGGCGGAGAGCCAGGCACTCTGGAAATTGGATACAGACCCGCTGGTGCCGGTGCCTTGGAAGGCGTATGGATGGGATAGGCGGCCGGTTGATAGTAGTGACGAGAAGTGGACATGATGCTGGACTGCAACGACGGCAAGTATATCTTTTCAAGGAGACAGTGAGAGTATCGAAAGACTATGAACCTCTATGGAGGTAAGGCAGAGCAACCAAAGGTGTGAAGAAAGATTCCAAGACTGTCGACGGGCTCAGGTGAGAGTGATGAGAAAGGAAGAGGAAGAGAAGTCAGAGGGCCCCGGACCAGAGACGGGATTTTATAGCCTTCCACGGAGAGTCTTCCCTCCGGCGGACCCTCTGCATCCTGACAGAGGAGGCGAGGATGACGGCAAGGATGTGAAGGCCTCGAAGGAGCCATTGGACTACTCGGGGGCACATTGGTCTCCCTCAGTCCGGGACCTCCAATCCTCGAGCTCCGCCTGCATCTCAATCTCCGTATCTGCCCGCCAATTTGCCTCTTGGACCGCCCGAACCCCGCTCAGAGTGGGAAAAAAAGACTCAATTTGTCTGGTCTAGCACACCAGCCTTCCTCCACTAGGGTTTCCGCCGTTCCGTGGCGTCTTGGTCCAAAATTGGTCTCGATCTACGCCCCCCTTATCATGTCTAACTTTCTGCGGCCAAAGCGTTTGCGGAAAGTATTCAAAAAAAAGGGTCAGGAGGGCTGTGGAGGTTGGGTTCGAAGGTGGTAGCAGAGGTGGAGTTGGTCAAGGTGAGATATAAATATGGGCTTTGCCCTCCATATCTTTTCTATCTTTCTTTTCCGCTTTCCGCACCCCAATTACTTTTTTGCTCCTCTTCCACCGAACTTATTTTGCTTCGAAAATTCGGTGGCTGGGAAGAGGGTCAATCAAGGTTGATTCGCTTGCCGAGATAAGCCTGTGAACTACACAAGAACCGGTATGACATCGATATGTTTCTCAAGAATCTAACTCCAAATCTGACAAGATTATTAGTTAAGACAGAAAGGCTGTGCGGTTAATATCGCCGGTCCTCTTCGAAAAAAAGCCCAAAGTCAAAAAGAAAGGAGAGAAGTGTCGGCCTTACATCATGAGATCGGAGCCTAAGAGCCCAAAAACGAGGCCGAAAGAGGGTCACACGGGAAGATCAAGAATGTTGGAATGTTGGACATCACTGCATGAACCGAACACCGCGGAGCAACGGGCATTGATTCGAAGGAACCAAGATTAGTGGCCCCATGCGAGGTTCGAGCAAGATTGATCCCGGACTTGGTGTGACCAAAAAGTCGGATGCAAAGGGGTCGAATTACGAGACAAAAGGGCTTGCTGATCCCTGCTACGTCGTTCGCTCCAATGCGGCTATGAGTTGCCTTGCAAAGACGACAGCCAGAAAGTCCCTTCTGTCGTCCACCAATGGCCATCGATCTCCACGGCCAGCAACAGAGTCGTGCAGCAGCAACAAGCGCAGTAGACGCCCCATCAACGTGGAGCAGCCTAGCAGCCTCTCTCTCCACTCTATGCAGATGGTCGATGACTTGCTTGACCCTAACTCTAGAAGAAAGGGGAGGGGCCCATTCTGCAGGCTACAAATGCAATCCAGCAAATGTTGTGCCGCATCCCCATCATTGGATGAAGATGCTGACAAAAAAAAAATTCCAAAAAAAAGAAAGGCTCTCTCTTGCAGAGCATATCCTTCAAAGGGCCCGGGTGTTTGATCTCGAACCCTGATACCTGCCTAAGAGAAGCCTAAGGGCAGCCTGACCACGATATGCCCCGTCGATACTACCTGTGACACCACCTCCCAATCTACGGTCCTTAGCTCGAAGAAGGCAGGGATGCTATTTGTCTTTGGCAAATTGGCTGGGCATTTCTATTCGGCCACATCAGACATGACGCGCACAACCTTGAGAATTGGACATCCTTTTTCCCTGTCAAAGCCAATACCCGGCCTTGATCCACCCCTCCCTCTCAGGCCCAGAGCCATTGCGAACCTTTGGTCTACAGCCAAGTCACTGTACATGACGACCTATCCGGAGTGCGTACATGATGTCTGAACCGGGTCTCTATCCACTAAGGCCAGAGCCAGACTCTGGGTCGAGGGTGGATAGAACGGTGGATACTGATCCTACTAATTCAGTCTTCACAGTGCAGCCACCCATTTGATTTTAAGCCTCACAAAGCACCAGACACCATTCTCAACTTGTCAAAGACCCAAGTATGATTTTTTCCCGTCTTCTTCTTCCAACGCACAAGTGGGGTTGAGGCGGGGATTGACTGCTTCACCGCCACATGCAGCGCCATGACTGGCCATGGCCAACTCACTCGCTTTTCCCTTCTGGGCTACTCTGCTTCGGTCTGATTGGAGAATCTCGACCTTACAATTGCTTCGTGCTGTTCAGCCTCGGTCTCTAAGCACTATTTGTTTACAAGGATATCACAGTATACATACTTCGGAGTATCTCGTATACGGCTGGACTTTTTCTCTTCCCGGAATCAGAGATTTGGTGGCTTCAGAGCGAGGCTGATTCGTCTCTTGGAACACCCATTCCGATTGGTCTCGGGTTATCTGGTCGCCCATGAGTAGACCTCAAGTACCGATGATTCATAGTTGACGCCTTGTATGTCTCTGATGCCTAACGGTGGTTTCCCTTGTAATCACTAGCCCCTTTGGTCTAGAGTCAACGGCTTGATCCAGGTTGTAGTGGTCTACCCTATGGTAGATGGATCCTGGCACCTGTCAGATCTAGGGAACTGCTGAGATCTGGGCGAATTGGGAATAACAAAACTATACAAGGTTTATGTCTATATCTGGAATTCTCTTCAACATAGAAAAATCATACCAGCAATAGATGCAAAATTCTAAGAGGATAGAGAGAAAAATAAGTGAAATTACATAGGTCTAGGGGGAAGAGTTGAATTATTAACAATACAGACCCAGAAAATATATGAAAGTCGTGCGCTCATAGTCTGGTATCACAGGAAAGGGAAAGGAACAAGATACGGGAGAAAGGGCGATGAAAAGAACAATTTTGCTTCTGTTTGTTCTCGAAAACCAACTGGCGCCATGATGCACAGGACCGGAAGGCAAACAGAGGGACACCACATCGCAAATGAGGAGTCCGAATAGGTTGAAGTAGAGAGAAAGTGCCATCCGATTCCGTGAAAATGCTGGGGAATAGTTCTCAAGGCTCAATAGCAAATGCAGATCCGTAGGTGGCATGCAGCACCCCAAAAACCAATCCAGCCTATACAACAAGAATCAATGCAACAACACGAATTTACACACTCTAGGTGTGTCTAGCACGATTTCAGAGGGTCAACTGTATATGTTATCGATTCCAAAATTCCCAAAAAGAGTCGCTCCATGGTCCATCATGATAAAGCGAAATGAAAGAGCCAGCGGAGAACAAGAAGGCTAAAAAGACAAGAATAATAATTAAACAAAATGTGCGAGGCGAGCAGCCGAAGGGCTGAAGACCCAGATGACCAGGAGGGGTGGTGAAGCCATCTGAGATGATATTAACGACGAGCAGCAGTGAAGGCATTCTGATGCTCTGGGCCGAGGCGGTCTCTTAGAAGCATGAGAGGTCGACCAGGTTCGAGAAGCCCCATCATCATCTTGCCCAATTCGTTATGTTTGATAGGCTTGGTGACGTAGTCATTGAAGCCTGCGCGGGCAGCGTTTTCAATTTGGTCTGTCATTGCGTTGGCCGAGAGGGCCATAATTGGAATCTGTGGATAATGGTTCTTCTGTTCCCAGTCACGGATATCTTTACAAGTCTCGTAACCGTTTTTGATGGGCATTTGGATATCACACTGCCATCATGTTAGTTATAGACAAGAAGTAAATGGCTGGTGAACACTCACAATGATGAGAGAATAGTATCCAGGTTCTTTGGAGAGCACCATGTTGGTACACTCCTCTCCATTGGATGCCGTTTCTGACATGAGTTTGATTTTATCCAAATATTTCAGCATGACCTGTGTATGCGTTAGTATTTGCTTCCGCTGGAATGTTGGTGTTAGGCAGAAACTCACATCACGATTAGTTTCGTCATCTTCCACCAACAAAACTCGATAACCTTTGTTACCCAACACTTCTTTGACCATCTTTGACACTGTCTTGAAGTTGTTGTTGATTTCGCGTGCCATGTCTTGGTTGCGATCCTTGCTCAATTCACGTTTGCTCTCGGGGTCGAAGATGGTTGAGAATGCAGAGGGCTTGACGGGCTTTGGCACAATGAAGACCTGCTTCCCTGATGCCGCTAGCTCTTTGACTCGCGTGCTGATCTGGCGTTTCTGGTATAGATCTGAGATGACGACTACAACTGGGGCAGGCTTTATCTGTGAATCAGAGATAATGTGAATGACCTCGAGGATGTCATCGGTAGGAAGATTCAAGACCAAATGAGTGCAAGGCTGTTGATCGGAAGTATGATGTATCATATCCTTCCACTCATCAACATCAGGCAACGATTTGATGTCGAAAGGAATTTCCCGAGGAACAACTTGCTCTATGTGCTGTTTTGTGGCCTTGCGAGAATACTCAAGCGAACACAAGATCACAATAGAGAATGGACCAGTAGAAGGAACTGCGATAGGCCCTATTGCTTCGTTGGGAGATACAGAAGTTTGAGAGGAAGGCGAGGTTATGCGGGCTGGCGGACTTGTTGAGCTTGCACCAGGCTTTGTGACAGCAGGTTCAATTTTTCGACTTGAAACAGTATCCGGTTTGTTTAACAGAGTCTTGTTGGTCTGGTCCAAAGGAGGCGGTAATGGATCGGAGCCGATGTCTGGAGTGGGCAAAGCGGAAGATGCCATCGAGGGCGGGTAAAGACCTTTTGAGCTGAGCCCAGAAGGCGAGTCAGAACCTCGAGATTTCAAAGACGGCGCTTGTTGATAAGAGGTCGTTCTGGAACTTGCTGGTCTTCTGGAGCCGTTTGAACCATGGCGAAGCAATTTAGGTTGTTCAGAAGGTGACGGTGGTGGAGGAGCATCGACCTTCACATTAAAAGAGAACTTTGCTCCTTGACCCTCTTTGCTACTAGGGGTGAGTTTGCCGCCATGCATTTCAACAAGTTGCTTTGACAGGAATAGCCCAAGGCCACTGCCTGCATGCTGCTGAGAACCATTTTCTCCAAGTTGACTAAACCGTTGCATCAGTCGTTCCGCATCCTGTGGACTGAAACCCTTCCCGGTATCTACGACCTCAAAATTCATGAATGCTTGGGTGTCCTTATCATCTGTAATCTCATCGTGGTGCATCTTGCAAGCGATATGTATTTCGCCGTGCGCGGTGAACTTGACCGCGTTTCCGAGAAGGTTAATGAGAATTTGACGGATTCTGAATCGATCTCCGATCACCATAGATGGCACGTCTGCGCTTATGAGATAGTTAATCTCAAGGCCCTTATCGATCGCTCGAGAGGCGATGGTGTCAATCACATCCTCGATCATTGATCGGATGTGGAACCAAGATTTAACCATTGACATTTTTCCAGCTTCGACACGCGAAACGTCAAGGATATTGTCAACCAACTCACGGAGATTGGTGGAGCTGTTTTGGATGGTGTCAAGCATTCGCCGCTGATCACTGTCAAGCTGTGTATCGAGAATGAAGGGAATGGTGCCCAAAATTCCATTGAGTGGAGTGCGAATCTCATGGGACATGTTACTGAAGAACTTCGTCTTGGACTCCATTTGATTGTTCAGCTGTTGCATAGCCTTGTTGAGTTCTCTTTCAAGGTTCTTGCGGTCATTGATATCGGTACACGTGCCGTACCAAGAGGCTTCCTCGCTTCCGAAACTGCTAGTCTTGACACGTACCAAGCGAACCAAATGCCATCTGAAGTCACCACCTCGGGAACGTAGACGGATTTCGGTAGAATAGAACACTCGGCCATTTTCATCTTTCTGCAAAGATGCAACTCCGCGTCTCACCAGTTCATCAAGAGCTGATCCGACTCCTATGATGGATGATGATGGGGCAATGTCGTCCGAGTCTGCATAACGAGCTGCTTTGTTCAGGGATAATCCACCACACTTTTCCAGATCATCGGGATGCACGTGTTTCGCGAATCCAAGATCGTGTGCTTCCTCGAGGGTTTGACCCGTATACAAATTCCACTGTTCGTTTACGAAGATCAACCCGCGATTTTCAGTTGCCTCGAAAACGACCTGTGGGATCGAATTAGAGAATGCCCGGTACTTTGCGTCGATGGCAAATTTCTCTTTTTCTTGAATTGCTTCAAGTTCAGCAATGTGTTGCTCATGGATGTCGAGGAAAGAGCCGATCCAATACAGCAATTCTCCTGTTGCCGATGAGATTAATGGATTTGCTCGGAAAATGAACCAACGGTACGCTGATTCATCATTGTATCTTCTAACCCGAACTCTTTCCGTAAACTGTGCGCCTGTTCGTAAAGCATTGGCCCATTCACTATCCACATGCTCTCGTTCACTGCTGTGTATATTTTGCCACGGATCTCGCAAGGTATGCTCCTGTGGCTGACTTCGTCTGTATGCATCAAACTTGCTGTTGGTCCATATTACCTCGCCGCTCTGGGGCTTGGCCAAGAATAGATGCAATGGAATTGAGTTCAACATCAAATGGGCGATTGTATCAGGTACCGGGCGTGAGATCTCTCGCTGCAAGTGAGCATACAATGAGTTTGTAGAAGCTTGACGTGATGACTGCTGAGTTGGAGAAAGATTAGGAAGATGAGGTCTGGTTTCTTGCAGTGGAGATCCGACAATTACACCCAGGTCTTGTGGATACGCGTCCTCGCAAGTGGTTGCTTTGCCAACCACTTTGCCTGGGGATGCTGGTGTTGAAGACCCAATGTTGGTTTTTGACTTTGGGAGCCGAGGTCTGGTTTGAGGAACATTTTCTCGATTGCTTTTCTGTGATGGGACATTGAAGTACCCATCAGCGCCTTCTCCCCCAGAACGCGAGGTAAATCTTGGAGAATAATTCGAAAAACCGTCACCATGTCCTATATCAAATCCTGGTGTGCCCATTGCAGAAACCGCGGGACTGAATTTCGTCGATGAACGGTCGCTGGGGCTGGTGATGCTTGTATGCGCAGACATTGGGTGATTATCACCGACGGAGTAGTTGACATGGCCACTCAGTCCCGCAACGAGTTCCAGCTCGCTGCTTGCATCTGAAAATGTTCCTCCGAGACCTAGCAGGTTACCATAGCGTGGGGTCTCCGCTTTGGACAATACCTGCTTTTCAAGCTGAGTCACTCGTTGAGCCAAGCAAAAAGAGTTCGTCAAGTGAGGCATCAAAAGGGCGAGTGATTGCCTGAGATTGGGTGGATAGGGCACAATTGTAGACAGTATTGATACAATAGCCACAGGAAATCTCAATGTCGACGAGGAGTCCTGGTTAAAATGACCACCGTGTAGGAGAGGAATGTGAACGACACTTCTGGATTCATCAATTCCAATAGCTTCCAGCGGGAGATTGTTGGAATAATCATGCGAGGGTGGATTCTTGGAGAAAGCATCTTCATCAACCGCATGGTTTGAAAAAAATGGATTTTGGTCTGCATGGGTACGAGGTGCAGGTGAGGGAGCAGGAGACTGGGACCATGGAGATTGAGGGATTTGCTCATATTCATCGTATTGCCTCAGCCTAATGGAGCCTAGGGCAGAGGGAATCTGTGGCGGGTGTGTGCCATGATTCAGGCCAGATTCTGGGCCATCGACAATGGGAGTGATTTGAATCGTCTCACTTGGACTTTGAGCAGGCTCGGGCCAAGGGTACAAGTGATCCTCAGGGTTCGCTGAGTATTGGCGAGTCAAAACTGCAGGACGGGTCCGTCCAAATAATCTGGGTACGCCTGTGCGCTTGATAAGAGGATCTGATTCCACCTCTAATGCTCGGGGGACCGGGAACACAGCTGATCGTAAGCCACCGAGGAGGGTGTTGAGGGTATCGTCTGCAAGCTCTTCTTGTTGGCCAGCAATTTGGACGTGCTTTTTCGCAGACTTGACATTGGTCTTGAGATGTTGTGATCGATCTATGTCCGGGGCTTTTACCTTGTGCTTGTCAAATCCCGCGAAAGAATGGCGCGATGATAGGGAAGGCCTCGTGGTTGAAGCATTGCTCTGCAAGCCGTCTTCAGGCTTCTTCATGGCCGGTTGTTCGTTCTGACACGGGGTGGCAGGTGTTTCCGCGGCTTCGGGAGACAGAGGCCTATCAAAAGAACGCGATTGAAGGTCATCCAACGAGGTATCGGTACTGCCGTTGAAGACTGCTTTTTGACCCCATGGCACGTTCTCTAGATCTGTGATGTCCCCAGGAACAGCAAGTGATGCACGATCGGCGCCATAATGGGTCTGCAGAATGTCGATCAAATTGGTCCACCACGATTCGAGGCCTGACAAAGCATTTAGCTGTAGTGTCAGATCGTACAGGTTGGGGCTGGCAAAGTTAGGGTCTTCGACAGCACTTTTATGTTGATCCGGTAGAAACACGGGGGTGGGTTGCGTGTCATTTGCTAAACTTTGAGTCTGAGACTCCGTTGTGGGAGGTGATTTCTCAGTGGGCAGCTTCAATCTGAATTGTCCAACGCGCCCTACTGGTTCAAGTCCCATCTTGGCAGCTCGTTGCTGCATTCGTGGAAAGGGGTACGATGGTGTCGGTTGTGGGTGATCGGGTGATGGCATTTCAGTATCGACGCCTTTAATTGTTCCGGCCGAGTCTGTTGAGCCTGTGGATGGGTGCACGATGGTTACTGGAACCTCGACGGAGGTGTTGGATAATCTTCTTTTTCTTGGGGTATCATTCGAAACTGGTTGGGACTGGGGTGGATTGGCGGGCTGGGTTTGCTGCATTTGCTGATAAACGAGCAGTTCTTCCATCTGCCTCCGTAACTCCTTTAGGGTATGTGAGCTCCGTCCTTGCTCTTCCTGTCGCTCACGTTCCGATCGCGGGTTTTCGGTGATCGGTGTCAGACCAATATCATTACTTTCCGTGGAGTCGCCACGCGATAAACGAGGAATCTGCACCGATGCCTTTTCCAAAGCGTCTACCCTCTCTGCGAGTTCATCAGCCAACTTCTGGGACTGCTGACTGTGTGAGGGGCGGTAGCCGGGCGATCGGAGCAGCTGCATCTGAGATTGCGAAACGGATGACGATAGGGTCTCGGTGGGCGAAGATAATGGAGGACTTCTCCTACTATGGACGTCCCCCATTCTCACCGGCGAGAAAAACTTGTGGGAAGGCTGGGGCACAGGGAGGATGAGGTCATGTCATGACCATCGAGGGAAAGGTCGAAAAGGCGCCAAGGAAGAAGATGAGTGTTGGATGGATTTAGAATCCAGAAGCCAAAATCCTAAAAGGGAGGAAATGTGTTGGGCTGTTAGAAACAGGCCCCATTGCTTGGATCGATTTAGGAGTGGATGAAGGAAAGGAAAAGTGGACTGGCAGTGATGCACCGGCTCTGGGGGGGGGGGGGGGGGGGAAGGATTATGACGTAGCGTCTCCCTATGAAATAAAAGCTTCGTCTCATCACTTGAGGAAGGGTGTGTTTGGTGATTCTGTTGACATGAGTATATTCCGATCTATGATTACTCTTAGAATCCACCCTTGATTCTTTATTTTCCAGACTTCATAGTGAACCACCCTGGTTATTGTGCGCTAAAGTACCTGAATTCATTCCTTGGATCCTCGATACCCGGTACCGGTGCCACGAACTCCTACTATACTTATACTCTCCTCACTCATCCGATCTGATACTATACTCTTTTGACACTACTCCCGTGATGATCCTAGCCTGAACTTGACATGAATAGGTGACCCGTGGGATATGGTTGGTCAAAGGATGGTTACCACATCTCTTACCGCTGGACCGCTGGTATTGTCGTCACATAGTGGTCAAGATATGCCAGAGCGCAACAAGGAGGCCCTAACCTAAGGTCTAGACCAGAGGGGAAAGGGCCATTGACCCCCTTGATCAGCCTCCAATGTACTCGGAATGGAGAGTCTAGAAAGCCCAACATGGATGGTGACGCCGTGCAGCGGCCAGCCCTGGGAACGAGGAGATCGACCAGCCGACGTCAACGGGGCTCTGGTGGCGCTAAGTTGGCTCGATTGGGGAACGATTGGAGCATGGGGCTGCCGACGCCCCTTTTTGCGCAAAAACCCACTGCAGACACAATTTGGACAGGGTAGGGTATTGTATTCGAAGCCATGTCAGCGCCGACGGTCATCCGATCTATATCAGCTGAGGAACCCCCCCCCCTGTCGTCAGTCGGTATAATAGTTAATCCTCCAAGGCTGACTGGCTGTCCTGGGTGTATATACAACTTCTTTTTTTCTGTCCTGTTTCAATGAGCCTGCATTATCAACCTAGCACTCCAAACCCAAAGTTAGCGTTGACAATAACCCTAAAATCTAGTCCCTGATCATCTCTTGGCAATGCCAACTCCTGTTAGGATATTGTGGGAGTTCGGAGTGTATTGGATGCCTGATGAAATAGGCATGAACTGCCACTCAGCAACTAAACGTGATCGGGACAAGAGACTAGAGCGCAAGAGAAGCGTGTTCACTGAACGTGATATGGATGAGAAAGACTATAGTCACATAACCTAACCTTCCTTTGCTTTTAGACATTAATGATTCGCCAGGATTCCTCATCCCCCCTTTTCCCCACGCTAAGCAGCACATGGACTCTATTGTTGTACTATCACCGCTAATCAATCTAGACTAAAAGATCCACGTTCATGTCCTAGTATCTGGAATTGTTTGTTTCTACTCCGTCTGGCTATCAGAGGTGTGCGATCCCAAAGATGGGACTTGGCTATCTGCAAAGTTGCGGATGTGTCCGTAGTTGAACCAAAAAAGTATATTTAGACCAAAGCAGCCCATATTTCAATGACGTAGGAGAGGAACCTACAGATGTCAGATGTTGGAAGTCATATTGCAGCTCACGAGGCGTTGACTGTCCTTTGAGGCTAGCAAAAAGCAGTCACCCCCTGATCCGGTGTCTCTCTCTCTGCCCATAAAACCCGAGGGTCCTGGTAAAAAAAAGATGACTAATCTCAGCCTCAGGCAGAAAATCGTTATTTCCGAACGTTTCAAGGTTCCCTAGATAGTTTCAGCATACAACCTATTGTTAGATGCCCACGATCTTCTACGCCTCAAGGCGACATATTTGATCATTAGACGGTAACGCGACCGAGCTTGCATAGTTCATTGTCTTGTGGCCGCGTGTATCCCTCATGTCCGATCTTCTGTGATCCTATCCTCCGCCCCCCACCCACTGAAATTCGACCCACGATACTCCTGTCAGAGACAGGCCGATGGAAATACGTCGGGCTAACCCCACAAAAGACTGAGAGATGGAGGATACTCTTTTCGGCGAGGACCTGCCACTTCCACCGGCCCGCCTGTTTGAACGATTAAGTCAGTTGCCTGGCTATATCTGGGACCAAGCAACGGAGCCCTTCCACTCAACATATAACCACTGGCATATTTCAGGACTTCGCCATGCCCTGGAATCCGATCTGTCGACCCCTATCGCCAACTCCTCGGGGCCTGCTTCCTCCGGACCATCGAGCTTCACCCGCTTCTCCCCTCGCACAGAAAGCCGGCCGTCAGCTCGAGCTTTGCGCAGACCAAGCGCTAGCGAAACAAGCAGTGACATCTCACTTTCTCGGGGCGAGCACGAACAGATATGGATCCCCGTTATCGCACGAATATCTACCAACATTGTCCGACTCGAACGCGAATTTCACATGCTGAGGTCGATTGTGCAATCATCCGATCCGGATTGCAACCACACAATAAGACCGATCGATTTAGTCCGGCTACAGGCAGACTCTGGCGATTCAAAGACACTCCTGGTTGCGATCTTCGAATCACCAGGTCATGATAGGCTTCGGGATTTGGTCACTTTTGGTCCTGCCTCATTCATCGCCGGATCCAGAGGGGAGGGCAACAACGCCACACCAAACGAGCAAATCTCTTTGCAAGCATTTTTCGATTTCGCAATCGGCGCTTGCGATTGCTTGGAAATTTTGCACTATGGCTTGAAGACGGTTCACGGTGAAATTCGCGGCGATGCGTTCCATTTCTGTGCCGACACTGGAGCAGTTAAGCTTGCAAATACAGGGAATGGTGCAAGGGCATTTGATAATGTGCTCAGCGAGGGGTGGTCCTCCGTATCGCGCGAGCTTGGAGCCAAATACAAGTTGCAATTTATTGCCCCAGAGCAGACTGGAAGAATGCCGACGGAACCAGATAGCCGTACTGACATCTATGCACTGGGCCTGTTCTTCTGGTCGATGCTGGTCGGGAAACTGCCTTTCGATGGAACCGATCCCGTCGAAGTTGTGCAAAATGTCCTAGGCAAGAGATTGATACCAGTTTCCGGGAAACGAATGGATATCCCAGATGCTCTCTCCGCCGTGGTCCAAAAAATGACTCAAAAAGTGGTCCATGACCGTTATAACACAATCTCCTCAGTGAAGAGAGACTTGACAACTATCATGAAACTGCTTGGTGATGGAGACAGTGAAGCCTTGAGTAATTTCAAAGTTGCGCAAGATGATGTTTCTTCCTTCTTTACGCTTCCATCACAGATGTTTGGACGGCAACACGAATATGACAAGATCATTGGCGTTATCGAAAAAGTTAACAAGCGCCAGGAAGCAACCTTGGCCAAAGCTGGTGCGCAGAGTCCCAGTACGATGCATGCTCTCACTTCATCGTCGTCTATTTCCGATAGTCGTGTCGAAAGCTTTGAGTTAGCTTCTGTCTCCAGTGGTGATTCTGGCTCCTTTCGCCTGCCTCCAACATCGACCTCTGGTGCCGCCAGTTTCGGACTATCACCTGTAACCCCCCATGACGCAGCGCCGACTAGCGAAACGTCATCTCAAACACCAACGCATGAGAGTACTTTGAGCCAAACTGATGATGCACAAATTCCGAAATCCGATTCCACTCGGATGAAAAGCCCCTCACATTCTCGCTCTTCTTACAACACAGACCTTTCTACGACCCATAGCAGTCAACCACCTCAAAGTCAGCACGCTGCCAGCACATCGGAATCGTACAGTTCTCTGCCCAAAAGATCCGGAGGGTATAGCCGCCGCAGTGATCGTTGTGAAGTGATCACCATCTCGGGAGCTGCTGGTATTGGAAAAACAGATCTCCTGAATCGGATACAGCCAGCAGTTCGAAAGCTTGGCTGCATAGCTATCACACGCCTGGACCGAGCAAAACGCGTTCCATTTGAACCTTTTGCGAAGCTCCTAGCAAGCTTACTGCGGCAAACATTCTCTGAGCGAGATGTCACAACAAACTACCATGACAGCGTTCGGATGGCATTGCGACCAATGTGGCCAACTCTCTATAGAGTTTTGGATCTTCCCGAGCAGCTGATGTCTCCAGGTGCGAAATACAGACCGACCGATTCCAAGCACACATTCAATATGCCAAAAGGCGAGCCATCCAAGCGCGTCAACATTCCGGGTTTGGATCAAGGCCAGACTTCTCTTGATTTCTTTTTGTCCAATGCTGCTTCCAAGAATATGAAACTCATGGACACATTCCTCGAAATACTTAGGACGCTGTGTCAATTTAGACTGATCACTGTTTGTCTTGATGATCTCGAGCACGCGGATGACGAAACGCTGGACTTGGTTTTGAAAATCATCAAAGCAAAGCTACCCTGTGTGCTCATTCTTTCCAGCCGAAAGAATGAGATTACATCTGATCAAGTCCGGGCTTTGTTCGAGACAGATATGCCTCCAATCACCCGCATTGCCCTCGAGCCTCTTGCAGAACAGAATGTCATGGAAATTGTGGCTGCAACAATGCACCAACAGCCTAATCCAACACTGACTCCTCTTTGTGCTGTGATTCAGGAGAAAAGTCGAGGAAACCCCTTTTACGTCCGTGTCATGCTTGAAACCTGTTACAGCAAAAATTGCATTTGGTATTCCTGGAAGGACTCGAAATGGCTATTTGATTTGGATCGAATCTTCACGGAGTTTGTAGCCCCTGAGTACGGAGAAGGCCTTGGCCTTGGGTTCCTCACCAAGCGTCTTGAGGAAATTCCACCCGCCGCTCGCTCCATTATAATCTGGGGAGCCCTTCTTGGGAGCCCATTTTCGTTTTCATTGGTGCAAAAGCTTTTGACCAGCGAATTTCTCTATTCAACAGACGGCGATGAAGACGTGGATCTGACATGCCCGCAAAATGTCACACTCATCAGGCAATCACGCGGTGACATAGTCGTTGGGTTGCAATTTTTGGTACAGGCCAATCTATTGAATGCCGGCAAGACCGATGATGAATTCAGGTATGTGGGTTGATTATGTTAGACTCACAAAGACTGACAAATTTTCCAGGTTTGGCAACGAGCGACTTGTGCAAGCTGCCCTCTCTTTGAATGAGAGCCGCAATATAGAAAAGATGCACTTCATCGCTTCTCAAGCATTGATGAAATATTATCATGACCACCGCAGCCGCTACTCTATGGCTCATCATGTGGCACTGGCGTCTCGCACTATTAAGTCCCGCGTTCCGAAACGACTTGAATATAGGAAGATTCTCTGGGATGCTGGGCAAACCGCTGCTCAATCAGGCGCGCGTCCTTCTGCCCTTTGGTACTTCCGTCATTGCATCGCTCTACTTCAGGACGACCTGTGGAATGACCGCAAGCCCGATGTCTATTACGACGAAAATATGCGGCTCTTCATTGCGACTGCTGAAATGTCTTGGTCTCAAGGCCAGAATGATGAGGCGCTCCAGCTGATTCAGGAAATTTTCACTCATGGTAAGGATGCTGTAAGCAAGTCGAAAGCCTGGATCATTCAAGCCAAGATCTTCGCGCAGCTAGGCGATCACCATCGCTCGATGGAATCTCTCCTCACTTGTCTTGATGAGCTTGGTGTTCATCTTCGCAAACCTACGTCCTTTGCCGACTGTGATGCAGCGTATCTGAAACTCAAGTCGCATATTGACTCCCTCGATCTGGGTCGTATTGTTCAACAGCCGCCAAGCAAGGATCCAATCGTTCAAAATATCGGCGCGGTCATGGCTGAGGCGATGACAGTCACTTACTGGGATGATGCGTTGACCTTCTATCGCATGGCAATCGAAGTGATGAACATACACATCTTCAAGGGCGGTTTTACCCAAATAGCCATCGGATGTTCCCACCTTGCGATGATTGCCATGAGTCGCTTTAAGGACCTCGAATTTGGTGCAAAGCTAAGCGATTGGTCTCTAGAACTTCTTGAGCGTTGCCCTGAATTGTGGACTCAGAGCCGAGGCTCGATTGTTCATAATCTCTACGTCAGTCATTTGCGTGTTCCCATGGCATCGACTTTACCTGCCCTCGAAGCATCACTCGAAGCCTCATTTACAATGGGCGATCCTTACCTTACCCTCATCAGCATCTCATCAATGGCTATGGCTCGTTTATACCTGGGCCAAGACATGGCCGAGTTAGAAGCCTTTTGCACAGAAAGTCCCGAGGAAATTCCTTTGTGGCAACAGGACACGCGTGGCGGAGCTAGTCTTCTTGCAGTCCAACAAGTTGCACGTGCTCTTCAAGGTAAGACTGAGTTCCGCTTTGCTGAAGGCATTATGTCCGATGTCAAACACAGTACCAATGAATATATGACACATTTGGATGTCAGCTCGAGCAACGCCGACAGACCTCGCGACATTTACTGGGGTCTCGCAATGTTCCCATTGTACATCTACGGTCATTATACCAGAGCAATCGAAGTGGGTACTCAATTGTTGGTGACAAGACACAGGCTTTGGTCAACTCGTGTGGCCTATGTGATCCAGTTCTATCTAGCTGCCTCACTTCTCACGATTCACAATGATTTCCCTGAGCGGAACTATCTCGATGGAAAGATGGATACGCTGCTGGGATACAAAGCTGAGATTGATTTTGCTCGAAGCGCCTCGGAAGCAAATTACGGCATGTGGTCTATGATGTTGGAGGCTTTGATATCTGAGGTCCGCAATGACCACAATGCCGCCATCCAGAATTACGAGGCTGCGATCGACCACTGTCAAATTCATGGGTGGCCCTTGGAAGAAGCCTTAGCACTGGAGCTGCAAGGTGAATTTTTGGTCAGGCGTGGTGCGAAGCGAGCTGCTCGCGCTGTGATTCAGGAAGCCATAGCCGCATGGAATTCTATCAGCGCTGGTGGCAAGGCAACACATCTTGCTGAGAAGCACGAGTGGTTGCTCAAGACAGCGACATCAGCGAAGACCGTAGATGTTAGCTGTCAAACTGTCGACTCGCTTCTTGAGATCAGCCGTGAAGTTGTGCAACAAGAGATACTACTTCCTCAGCAACTGGAAGAGGAAGAGAGAAGACAACATTGGATCGAGAAAAATGGTGGCGAGAACCAATCCCTTGACATTTCAAGCGTGGGGCTGGATATCATTGATCTGTCTAGCATCCTTGAGTCCAGCCAAGTCATGTCGTCTGAACTTCAAATCGACAAGCTCTTCACGAAAATGCTTGAGATTATTCTCGAATCCTGCAATGGCTCTGACTTTGCAATCATTGCCACCGAATTTGACGAGCATGGCTTCGCAATTGCTGCAGCCGGTGACGCTGAAAGGGGTCAGAAGTCATACCCGGAGGGTCTTCCATTCCCTGAAATGGATGATCGAATGGCTTTGCAGATCTCACAGTATGTTATGCGTACAAAGGAAGAAGTCCTTGTTCACAACGTGCTCGAAGACGAACGGTTCTCCAACGTAAGCGATTCTTACCTGGCTAACTTCCCCGCGGGTCGCTCTGTCATCGCGTTGCCAGTCGCCCAGGGAGACCAGCTACTCGGTGTGATTCACTTAGAAGGAAAACCAAACTGGTTCACTCAACGCAACGTCGTCGTCTTGCACTTGCTTTGCAATCAAATGGGCATTTCCTTGTCGAACGCGTTGCTTTTCCGTGAGATTCGCAAGGTCAGTGCTAAGAATGCTTCAATGATTGAGTCTCAAAAACGGGCACTTGCACTCGCACGCGAGGCAGAGCAAAAAGCAAAGATTGCCGAGGCTGAAGCCAAGCACAACGTCAAACTCAAGGAAGATGCAGCCAGAGCCAAATCTATTTTCCTCGCCAATATCTCTCATGATCTGCGCACACCCATGAACGGCGTGATCGGTCTATCGGAACTTCTGAAGCGTACCTATCTAGACAACGAGCAAGATGAATACGTTGAATCGATTCGCGTATGCGCTGATACTTTGCTCACTCTTATCAACGATATTCTAGACTTCTCAAAGCTGGAGGCTGGAAAGATGAAAATTTCTACAGTTCCCCTCAATTTAAAGGAAACCATATCGGAGGTAATTCGAGCTCTGCGTTACACACATCGTGACCGAGGCTTAGAAACCATTGAGAACCTCGACAAAGTTCCGCCAGACCTTGTGGTCCTTGGTGACCCTGTTCGCTTGCACCAGATTTTCATGAATCTGCTGAGCAATAGTTACAAGTTCACCCCCAGTGGATCAGTTACAATCAGCGCTAGGGTTGCCCGCGAAGGCAAGGGTCGTGTTCGCCTTGAATGTTCAGTCGCCGATACTGGTATTGGTATTCCAGACGAGCAAAAGGCGCGACTTTTCCGGCCTTTCTCACAGGCTGATGCCTCCACGGAGAGATCGTATGGTGGCAGTGGATTAGGATTGTCTATTTGCAAAGCCATTATCGAAGATGTTCTCGGTGGAGCTATCTGGCTTGAATCCAAGTCAGGCGTGGGAACCACCGTGACCTTCCACTTGGTCTTCAACAAAGCGCCCAAGAAAACAGCCGTCAAGGCTGCATGGTCTCAGGATCTGAGTCAAACCGAAAGCAAGGAATTACCCACGTCCTCAGCCCGTGACCTTACCCAGATCCCCCGTGATCAGATCCGAGTGTGCATCGCCGAAGACAACCCGATCAATCAAAAGATCGCAGTCAAATTCGTCACCAGTCTCGGCCTTCAGTCTGAGGCATATAGCGACGGCAAGCAAGCCGTCGACGCCCTACGCGCGAAATCTAAAGAAGGCAATCCATTCCACGTAGTTTTGATGGATGTGATGATGCCCACTCTTGACGGATACAACGCCACCCGCGAGTTACGCCGCGACCCTGATCCAAACGTGAATCAAGTGCTAGTCATTGCCATGACGGCGAGTGCCATTGAAGGCGATCGCGAAAAGTGTCTTGAGGCCGGCATGAACAATTATCTTCCGAAACCAGTACGCTCGCCCATCTTAAGTGAACTTTTGGACAGATACCTCGCACCCGTGCCATCCTACCCCAAATCCCGCCTTGCCATTCGCGAAAAGCGATCCCGAGTCAGCATGGATGCTGGTGCTGGTACACCCACCAGCCACTCCTCTTCTGCATCTGACGAGCCGAGATCTTTCCCCATGCAGTCTCTGCCGAGGAAATGAGTCTCCGCATTATTACTTATACCCCGAGTTGGAAAGATAGGAACCAGGCGTCATTGGGGTCAATCGTTTTGTTCTTTTCTCTTATTATCCTCATTCCCATTTTGGTTTTCGTGCTGTTGGGTTGTCATTGGAATATTGAACCTGTTTTTGTCATTACTTTTATATCATTATTGTCTTCCGTTGATAGCCATGATCGAGTTTTGTATCTTTTCCATGGACTTGCTTGTCTATATGGTTCTGTTTATTCAATCTTCTTTTCTCGACTTGTTTGTTTACATATGGATATGTGATGAAAGACCAGTCTATAAATGACATAGATACTTAGTTGAAGGCGGAGAAATGCTAGATTTAAAATTTAACGATTTTACGAGAAGCGCTTGGTATTACAGAATCTGCATTGTCATCATCAGCTATGGATATAAGATGGCTCTTGAACAAACCCAAAGGCAAGACTAGTCACTGCCTCAACAACTCCTCGCCGTCGCACCTGCTTCTAAAGCCTGGGACATTAGCCTCTACGCCATGGGTAAAAGGGCCTCATGATCATAATTCAGTCATGTGGCTTTGTTTCTTCGTCATGGCATTAGGCATCAATGCGAGTGCAGACAAGAGGGCACAATATAGTGAAGCCCAAGCTACAAATTTATTGGTTGAACCGGACTAGTTGTTTAGCAGGCTAAGTCCTTGTTATTGTCCTTGGGAGGTTGCACGAGGCTGGGTTGGTAGTGTACTCGAATCCCTGGTCAATAGCAGCCGTGGGACATGATGCGCTTTGAGATGCGTCAGTTCAAAGATGTACGGTAGGGACACTGTTCTATTAATGTATTAATGTGTGTCTTTCTTGGACGCTCATCTGGATAGAATAGTTCGGCCGAGAGAGCCGAACGATTAACCCATGCAAAGGTGCAGGAGCCTTCAAGGGTCGTATTCCCTTGAGTTGCTGCACCTTGTTGACGAATAATAAAGATTACAGTACAAGGATTGTAGCAGTCAAACTTTCACCCAATTTGCATCAGAGAAATCCCGGATCTCATCGGAATTCCGAGATTGAGCACAGCTTTCAATTGGCCTGTTATTGATCAGTATATTCCACAGTTTGATTCAACGTATTACAATGTGATACAATCAATGCGACTCCTGGGCTCGTCTGTTGCTATTACCTCTGGTGCTGAAATACTCCAAATGCCTCACCTGAGTATACAACACAAGAGATGTCACTGAAATTGGCCTCATAATATTGACCGGCTGTGTGACACGGCTTGAAAATGTTGCATCAAGACTGGCTACATGATTTCGCCCATTTTGACGCCTAGAAAGACTCACGTTTGCTATTGAGTACGAACAATTAGAAATGATATTCGTCAAACTAGATTAAACACACGCCGCAGAGTCTAAGCCAACGCCTGCAATGCTTCGATCTCCTGTTGCTTGGATAGACAGAAAGAAAGAAAGAGCAAGAAAAGTAGTAGCAACCAAAATCAAAAACACTTTTGCATCATCCTTTCTGAGGTGCATCCATTGTAGCTTCCAGTCTTTTGTATCGCCACTCATAAACCGCCAGTTCTCTCATGACACCTGGGGAGAAATTTTCCTCCTTGCCTGCCAATTCCTTTTCACTGTCCATTAAAGCTTTCCATCGCTTGAGGATTTGGCCTTGGGCTTCGGTGACCGAAGTCAGGTTGGAATCTTGCGAAGCCATGCGCTCGTCATACGTGGATCTCCACGCTAGTTGAGTCAGGAAAAGGGTCATTTCGAATTTGCTGTATTGGAGTCCTTGAGCCTCGGGCACCATGTTGTCTTGTGCGCTCTTCGGGGGCATAGCGGAGGCAACACGTTTGAATATAAATGTGCCACCGTCGGGATAGCAGTAGGGGGTGTCTTTGAGAATTAAAAGGCTGTAGTAAAGAAGATAGTATTATATTCATGAAAAGAAGTCTGTATATCAGACCGGCACTGATGAAACAGATGGATCACTAATATCCTGTTCGTCGTGCACATGTAGACATAGGAATAACCAATGCAGCAAAAAAAAGACCAAAGATTGACAGGCTAATGAAGAACAAAAAGAAAATAAGAGCGAGCAAGTGTTAATTATACCCAAGATCATGTTCACCGTCATTCTCCTTCGGAGGAAACATCGCCCCTCCAATACTCCAATACCCGACACCCCGGTATCACACTCACCTCAAGGCTGCAGACGGGGGCCATAGCCACCGTCAAGCCAGCCCGGAAATAGAAGGAGATTGAAAGACACATGCAAATTCATACATTGGGAAGAATTTCCAAGAATCCAACAGCTCAGCTCAGCTCAGAATGTCTTTATTTGTGCCTCTGAGCGCCATACTCGAGAAGGGCCCTGCACATCTCGTGTTGAGCAGCGATGACTCGTTTGCCTCCTGGAAACACTGTCTTCTGTCTCGTGATGAGAGCCATCGAGCCATTCGACATGATTGCCAGCTCACCTGAAGTCCCCATTGGAAGAGTCATGGTAACACCAATCCTCTAATCGCCAGACCACGTAACTGGGCGTGCATGACTGAAGGAGTTGAAAGGGCAAAGCATCGATCAGGAGGTGCATCAGTCCCGTCTCGGCCCGTATGGCCATGCGTACATGTCTGTGTGTATTCATTTATCTCAGGGTCTATACCAGGGGACCTATGGTTATGCAGTGGAGCATAGATGGCGCTTGAAACGGCTGGAAACCAACTTGTATTGGATCTATTTGGTCGGCAAATGGGCATCTCCAGCATGGACTTGCGATTGAGGTTTATTGGCGCTGGCTTTTATCTCATTACTTTATTGAGTCTTGCCACGAGGCCTTTTCGATAAGACATTGGTAGGCAAGCAGCCGCATTACACGAAAATAGAGTTGATGTAGCCTGCCCGTCATTTCCACTTTGCCCGCTGGTTATTCTCTATGTTCCTGCACAGATCTTGATATGAGCCATTGTCCTTCGCTTTGAAGCTTTGACAATTGTACACATCTCACCACTTCCCCTTGAAGAAAAGGAACTTTGATCTGCTGGTAACCTCGACGTCATATGGACTGATGCTGTGACTGGGCCAGACTATAACTAATATGATGAGTTTGCTCCAATAGAGACATGCATAAGTCTTCCATGTCTGAATTAGAATGTCCAATTAGATTCAATCAGGCAAATATCTGATTTGGCTCATCTTAATACTTCCTCCGACTTGCGTCACCAGTCAATCTCCTCAGGAATGGCCATATTAGGGCTACAGAGCACCAAACCACATGGTCTGTGCCATTACATGCAAGAAGGCTGTTGACCGTTTTGCCCTTCTGGCCAAAGCGCATGATAGGATAATAGAGATGAAAATAGCCCTGAGCCAGAAAGATACTTGTTGAAATGCAAAGTTGAGAAGAGCTTCGGGGCCGGAGGTCAAAGGTTTAACTCGGCACCTGATTTGCTTGTGCAACGCTGCAAGACAGGATGTAGGGGAATTGTAGAATATGATTGGATTCTGGACTGGTAGCAATGATACTCGGAGAAAAAAAGAGTTCCATCGGGCAGGGTTGTCGGGAAGTGAGATGTGCCCAGCCAAGCGTCCGGGCATTCTAGGGCTCATGAGATCATCTGATGTGTGCCATTGAGGCTATTCCACAACGAAGGCACCCCTACCGCATGCCCTTCTGGGACCTCAATAGAGTCAACTTGTATGTAATCTCGTGTTCCTGTTGTCTCATGTACGTTTGAGAAGACAGAAGACGGATACTGTGTAACAGAACAAGCAACCCCCCGACGGGTAGGCACAGGGTCATATCGGGTCCAACGCGTTTCATCTGTTTCACCTGTGCAGTGTGGTGGTCAGATCTGTGTGTAATCTTTAATCAGCTTGAAGCTAAAGTCTACCTCTATGGGGTCGATTCAATGAGCAGATATGGAGCTGAAGAATGGTTGCTCCGCTCCAATTACACCTGAAAAAATGTAGAGTTTGGCTGAAACCACAACAGGAAACATATATCAATGACATTAGTGCACTTCCTTGAAATATTGACTAGCTGTTTCTCGCTACAGAAACTTAGTATCCAAACCTAGTCTCCTCGTCCCGTCCCGCGGCGCTTCTCTCCTTTTTGGCCTTTTGGATGTCCAACGACATCTTGACTGGCGCAACACCGGGTGTTTCGAACACCGTATCAATCTCCTCCAGAGAAAGACCGGCGGTCTCTGGGAAGATGAAGTAAGACAAGACAAGCTGGACGGTGTTGTAAACGATATACACCACCCAAATCTTGTATCCAACCTTGGCGATGCCGACTCCAATTCCGTACGTTTGCGCGGCTCCAGCACCGCCTTGGATCAGGCCATATAGACCCATTCCCTTTGCACGAAGAGGCAGAGAGAGAATCTCAATCGGGTACAGATTGTGCATGGTCGCAATGAACGTCGCAGAGAAGGTCTGATAAAGGAAGATCCAAAGGAGGGTGAGTGCCGCCACAGCATTGTTGGCACTGAGACTATACTGCCACGATGTGATGGTAGTCGCCGTTTGGAAGATGATCATGCTGATTAAACCAACAAAGATCAAGGTCCGCCTGCGGAACTTGTCAACGAGAAGGGATCCAACGGCTGTAAAGACAAAGTAAACCGCTGTGGTTCCAATGGTAATGCCAAGTTGCTGCCTTGTGCCGGTAATTCCCAGTTGCTGCAGTGAAGGTGTCATCTGCTAAATGTTAGTCAAGACTCCAGTTTCAGGATTAGATTACTAACATAGTATGTGATAATACTGCCGCCGTTCCATTGTTGGAAGATCGAATACAAGACCAGGACCAGGAGACGGTATCGTGCTGTCTTGGTGAAGAAAGCTCGGTAATCCCAGAAGGCCCTGGTACCTGATCGATGGCGATCTGCCTCAAGAGACTCCTCGATCTGTCTGATAACAATCTCGACAATTGGTTCATTGATATCCGTGCTGGTGGTGTGATACTTGGCCACGATTTCCTTGGCCTTTTGTCGATCGCCCTTCATAACATAGAAACGAGGCGACTCGGGGGTGACAAGGTAAATGCCCACGCAGACAATGGCTGGAAAGAGGGCTTCGAGGATGAGGGGAATACGCCAGCAAAGATTACCCGACAGAGTAGAAAGTCCAATCATCGCACCGAGCATGGTCAGACTGCCGACTTGGAAGCAAGCTCCGAAAAAGCCGACCATGCGACCACGGAGGTGAACGGGGGATATTTCACCAATATATTGCGAACTCGACATAAGAGCAGTACCGAAACCCATGAAGAATCGTCCAGCCATAAACATGGGCAGGTTAACGGCCAGGCCTTGCAGAAGAGCTGCGAAAATCACAATCGCATTGCCGGCAAAGTTGATTCCACGACGGCCGATCACATCGGCCAAAGCCATAAAAGGAGCACCGCAGACAGTTCCAATCTGCATCAGGGCATTGACAAGACCATATGTACCACCTGAAGTGTCAAAGCCAAAGTAGTCATGCCATGGCTGGAGGGAATTGATACCACCAATGACACCCCAATCAATTCCAAAGCCAGCTTGGTTGCACCCGTGGATGAACATGATGAGACCCAGACGGAATCCAGTCCATGACCATATTTGCAACGACTCCTGGGACAGCTTCCACAAGTCTTCCTCGGTCACGCGTGCCAACGCTACCTCCTCAATATGTTCCTTGGTGTTTTCCTTGTCCAAGCTTGCCTCGACGGCGATTGCAGCCCCCGATTTTACCATTGCTCTGACGGACGTATCGAAGAGTAAACAAACTGGGTAGGTAGGAAGGTCCCAAGAAATGGATCGAGAATCCGCGATCTGCAGTCCAGCCAAGAGGGATGTGCCGGGGTATTTCTGCTTCGCTTGCGACAGTCACCTAGCGAAGCTAAGGGGCGAAATGTACCACCGGCATTTAGAATGTTGCTAGTGACCTATTCCGCCACGGAGCAATGCAATCAACCGGGTGTCAAGAGGACAATTTGGCCACTCAATTCACTTCCAGTGGCGTGATATAACCACTAGGGCTGGTGATCATTGGTCGAACGTGTTTAATAGGCGTATTTGGCGTCAGTCACGTTGAACAGTCGCAGGATCATCCTTGCAGATTTGCTTTGATCATTGGATGCACTCTGCGTTAGCCGATATTTCCCACCACTAAGCGACAAGTGCGGGGGAAGCAGTCTTGAGTTGACTGGTCTTTGTTGCCAACGCTAGTCTTGATGGCCGGATCAAAGGGCCAAAGGGCGTGGGGAATGTCGGGGGCATTTAACCGGAATCTGGGGATCAGATTAGGGCTGGAACTTAATACTGCATTAGTCCTGATCCTGTCTCTGGACTCGTATCATCGTGAACCTCATTTGCACTTAACAATATCTTGATATAACCGGTTGTCCATACTGAGTTCCCTAAATAAGCGGTAGACGGACCGACACGCCGAACCTCAGATCTCAACCCTCTGACCCAAAAACAGCCTTGAAGGGCGAATCCTTCCATCCATATCCCATTATGTCGGAATTATGGTACGAGCAGCCCGCAAGCGATTGGAACTCCGCGCTACCGGTCGGAAATGGGCGCTTAGGCGCCATGGTGTATGGACGCACCGACACGGAAATGCTGCAGCTCAACGAGGATTCCGTATGGTACGGAGGCCCTCAACATCGCAACCCACGTGATGCTTTGGGCTTTCTCCCAGGTCTGCGAGAAGCGATCCGAGCTGAAAATCATGTCGAGGCGGAGAAGATAGCCAAGCTGGCATTCTTTGCCAGCCCAGCCAGTCAGCGAAACTACGAACCGCTTGGAAACCTCTTCTTGGACTTTGGTCATGACCCAGAGCAGGTCACTCATTATCGGCGATCACTCAGCTTAGACAGCGCCGTTTCGTATGTCAGCTATTATCACCAGAATGTTCGCCATCAAAGAGAAATCTTTGCCAGTTTTCCGGATGATGTGCTTGCAATCCGAGTGCAGTCATCAGTCAAGTCCGAGTTCGTCGTCAGATTGACGCGTATGAGTGACTTGGAATATGAATCAAATGAATGGCTAGATGATGTCAATGCTACCGAGGAGTCAATCACTATGCACGTTACCCCTGGTGGCAAGGACAGCAACCGGGCGTGTTGTGTGGTTGGTCTTCACTGTGAAGATGAAGACAGCACTATCAACAGGATTGGAAACAACCTTGTGGTGAATTCGTGTAATACTCTGCTGCTTATCGCAGCACAAACAAGCTTTCGCCATGGAGACATTGATCGGCGGACCCAGCAGGATATCAAGGATGCCATGAACCTTTCATCTGTGGACCTGGCAGAGCGGCATATGGCAGACTATCAATCACTGTATAGTCGAATGGAACTCAGACTTGAAAGCAAATTGTCTTCTATTCCAACCGACAAACATCTTCAATCGTCTCGCGACCCAGGACTCATCGCGCTCTATCACAACTACAGCCGCTACCTCTTGATATCGAGTAGTCGAAATGGACACAAGCCATTGCCAGCGAACCTACAGGGAATCTGGAATCCCTCTTTCCATCCAGCGTGGGGATCAAGATTTACCATCAACGTCAATCTCCAAATGAACTACTGGTCTGCAAACATATGCAATCTTTCAGAATGTGAAATGCCTCTCTTTGAGCTGCTGGAACGCATGGCCGATATTGGCAAAGACACGGCTCGAATCATGTACGATTGTCGAGGCTGGACCGCTCATTCCAACACAGACATATGGGCCGATACAGCGCCGGTTGACCGTTGGATGCCGGCCAGTATCTGGCCACTTGGGGGTGCATGGCTTTGTTATCACATCTGGGAACATTACCAGTTTACTCGCGATGAGGCTTTCCTCCAACGCATGTTTCCAATCCTGCGGGGGTGCGTTGAGTTTCTCCTTGACTTCTTGATTGAAGACTCCGACGGTAAATACCTGACAACCAGTCCGTCTGTATCTCCTGAGAATTCATTCTACAACCACGAGGGCAAAAAGGGAATACTGTGCGAGGGATCGACCATCGATATCCAGATCATCGATGCTATATTTGGCGCATTTGTGTCTTGCTCGGAGACCCTCAGTGTCGAGGACGTTCTTCTTTCAGCAGTACAAGATGCCAGGAAACGCCTTCCACCAATGCAGATTGCGACAGGAGGATATCTACAAGAATGGGCCAGCGACTACGCCGAGGTGGAGCCCGGACACCGTCATACTTCACATCTATGGGCGCTTTATCCCGGAAATGCTATTACCGCAACACAAACCCCCGAGCTTGCAAATGCCTGTGGGGTGGTGTTGCGTCGACGAGCCGAGCACGGCGGCGGTCATACTGGCTGGAGCCGTGCTTGGTTAATCAATTTGCATGCACGGCTATCCGAAGCCGAAGAGTGTAACAAGCATCTCGACTTACTTTTGTCTCGGTCGACGCTCCCCAACCTGTTAGATAGCCATCCACCCTTCCAGATCGACGGTAATTTTGGGGGCGGGGCAGGCATTATTGAAATGCTGGTCCAATCGCAGCCTGGGGTGATTCGCCTTCTTCCTGCGTGTCCGAGGGGCTGGACGGGGTCCATTCGAGGCGTACGGGCGCGTGGTGGATTTGAGCTGCAGTTTAGTTGGGAAAATGGGCGTGTTGTTGGCTTTGTTACCGTGCAGTCTGAGTGTGGGGAGAAGACCATTCTTGATTTTGGCGAGAACAAGACCGTCGAGGTGACAGGGCCTGGAAGGCATTTAGTCCAAGCTCTATAGACTGAACAGAATAGAGGAAAAGCAAACATGATCCACTGAGAGCAGTGCTTGCCCTCCGACTATGCCCAAACCGCCACGGCGTAACACCCTTTCTCGCCCTCAGGCTAAATCGCCCACTTAACCGGACAGATTCCTGCGGGGGATCTTCTCTATTGAAGCTCATCCAGAATCCCGAATAAATTGCCTCCTTGACACAATCCAGCCACAAGCCTCCAACATGGATCTAAAGTCAGTACAAGACCTGAAGGGCGTCCTCCGGCCCGATTTCTTTCATGGCTACGCTACAGCAGCAGCCCAGACAGAAGGCGCCTGGAACAAAGACGGCAAAGGCATCTCCATCTGGGATGAATTCGGTCACACGCCAGGCAAGGTCGCCGACGGCAGCAACGCCGATGACGCCGTGCGCGCTTACGACTTCTACCGCGAAGATGTCGCCCTCATGAAGTCCTACGGCGTGAACGCCTACCGCTTCTCCCTAGCCTGGTCACGCATCATCCCATTGGGCGGCAAAGACGACCCAGTCAACGAGCAAGGAATCCAGTTCTACTCCGACCTCATTGACGAACTCCTCCGCAATGGAATCACACCGTTCCTCACGCTGTTCCACTGGGATATCCCCCAAGCCCTGGAAGACCGATACGGAGGCATGCTCAACCAGGAAGCGTACACACCAGACTTTGTCCGATACGCGCGTGTGTGCTTCGAGCGCTTTGGCGACCGCGTCAAGCACTGGATCACATACAACGAGCCGGGCGTGTATACCCTCGCGGGATATGCAGCAGGCGTGCACGCACCGGCGAGATCGTCTTTCCGCGAGCGCAATGCCGAGGGGGATTCCTCCACGGAGCCGTTCACTGTCGCGCACACCGAGTTGGTCTCGCATGGCCATGTGTCGCGCCTGTACCGGGACGAGTTCCAGCCTGTGCAGAAGGGGACGATTGGGATTACGTTGCATGGTAATTGGTCTGAGGCTTGGGATGAAGAGGACCCGCGCGACCAAGCGGCTGCGGAGCGAGCGCGCGAGTTTGAGATCGCTTGGTTTGCTGATCCGCTGTATAAGACGGGTGATTATCCGGCGTCGATGCGGGCGCAGCTGGGTGATCGGTTGCCGAGGTTTACGGCTGAAGAGTCCGGGCTGGTGCTTGGGAGCTCGGAGTTCTATGGAATGAATAGTTATACGACGTTCTTCATGAAGCACACTGATACCCCGCCTGATATCAATGATCATAAGGGCAATGTGGAGATTCATGATGAGAATAAGCAGGGCGTGCCTCGCGGGGAGGAGAGTGATACCCCGTGGCTGCGTGCTTCGCCTGGGGGGTTCAGAAAGCTGTTGAATTGGATCTATCAGCGGTATCAAATGCCCATCTATGTGACTGAGAATGGCACGACGGCCAAGGGCGAGGTGGCGCCTACGCCGGAGGTCCTGGAAGACACGTTCCGGATCAGGTTCTTTGAGGGCTATGTTGGTAATGCATTAGCGCGAGCTGTGAAAGAGGATGGTGTTGATATCCGGTCTTACTTTGCTTGGACCTTTACTGATAACTGGGGTAAGTTATTCCTCTGTCAATTTGATATTTGTTTACTGACCTTCTGGTTGTAGAATGGGCTGCTGGATATGCGGATCGGTTTGGTTGTACCTGGATTGACTTTGAGTCGGAGGAAAAGACTCGATATCCCAAGCAGTCTGCGTATTATTTAGATAAGTTGTTCAAGCATCTGATCCAAGATGCATAGATGCTCTGCAAGACAGAAATACAAAGACATAAGCCATTGGCAATCCAACACAAACTTCGGCTCTGACGCTTTTACCGGTTCGGGCAGGTCATTGCGATTATCGGCAAATTCCCCGCTTGACTCCAACTGAGGGGAGCTCGGCTGAGGCTTGACGGCAACGTATATATTGGGCGTGGGCGTGGGTGTAATGGACAAAACCAATATCTGTATCGCAATATGTCGGAAAACGAACCGATCAAACTCACTCTGACGGGTTCGCCCCGAGAAGTATGTCGTCCAGGACATCATTTCCAAGCATCTCCAATAACATCATCATAGATCGGATTCCAACATGGCCACTCATTACGAGAGCAAATCCGCGATCAAATATCCATTTACGAGAGCATGTTCCAATCGACATCCAAGTTATCCTGGAGCGACGTACGCGAAGTCGCAAAGGAATTCCAAGCAACGCTCGAAAAGTTGACTCCGCATATATACGCCGAGATGGAAGCGATTGCAGAGGGTGCGGGGCTTGATGTACTGGACATTGTCGCCCTCAACGCTCGAAGTGAGATCGCTCTGGGCAAATTCTCCGATGGGTGTACAACCTTGTGCTGGAAGAAAAGCGATGAAGCGCGAGTGCTATCTCAGAATTGGGATTGGACGGCGAATGTCAAGAAGAACTTGGCTATGGTCTCTATTGAGCAGCCGGGAAAGCCCAACATCTATATGGTAACCGAAGTGAGTGCTAGTCCTCCCGGCTTTCGGACAAGTCCGCATATGACTGACACTCAGCAGGCAGGAATCGTTGGCAAGATTGGATTCAATGCTGCCGGAGTGGGAACTTGTCTCAATGCTATTCGTGCCAAACCCATGATCAGCAGCAAGATCCCAATTCATGTGGCGCTTCGGCTATGCTTGGAGAGCACGTCTGTTCAGAACGCCGTGCAGACTCTCGAGTCTCTCGGTGGTGTGGCCTCTGCCCAGCACATCCTTTGCGCAGATAGCACTACAGCCCTTGGGCTTGAGTTATCGCCGGTAGGAGACAAGCATATTGCAGAAGATGCATCGGGGTTGATCGGGCATACCAACCACTTCATTGAGAATCGCTATGTGAATGAACCGCCATGGCTATCGGGGTCACCGGTTCGGTTGGAACGACTGGGACAGTTGACACTGGATCTGATTCAAGAAGGATTCAAGGGCGACTCAATCACTCCTGCTCTGTTGCGAGACCGGATCTTCTCTGATACGTATAATCTGCCGCAGGCGATCTGCTGCCAAGAGGATCCGTCACGCCCTGTCGCCAACAGGAGTAGTTCTTTGTTCAATATTGTTATGAACTTGGACCCGAAACAACTTGGAGCAGAGGTTGTCTTTGGCCGGGTTGGATCTGGAGAGGAAGGCCCTGTGCTGAGAATGCCCTGGAATTAGATGAGACACTCCAGATCATCTTGATACAATGCTTTGATATCACAGAAAGGGTCATGCAGGTATTTGTGCCTGAATTTCTTTGTTGTTGTGATACAGTTTTACTCTTTTGTTTCGCATTCTAAGAGATAAATTGGTCAATAGTCCCTTTTTGTAGTGGAAAGAATAACAATCAATACCAGGTCTTTTTTTCTTCTTTTTACAAGGAATTGATCTCTCGATAGCCTGAAGCTCGACTGCAAACACCATCCACCTCGGTCACGGCACAACCAGGCGGAATCAAGCAGCGTTGAAGGCATTCGAGTGTCTGTTTACCGTTAGAACCCCTTCTGAAAGAAGTTCATACCCCCACAATGTCTCAGCGCCTACACTACAGTGCATGGCAGGATGAGCGCGACTATTTTGTATCCACCTTAAGCATCCAAATGGATATTCTCAAGCACTCTCCGATGCGTCGTGACGAAGTCATCAAGACATTGGATCAATTGCTCCTCCGCACCCCTCGATTTAGACTAGCTGGTCAGGCAGTTTGTGACCGGGACCGTAGCCTCTCCAATTACCTCTGGACAAAGCGGTGCAATGAGCTTTTCGACAATGTGGCTGCACTGAGACAAACCCTGCTCAGGGCTGTTGATTGCGCAACTCTGGCAGATTCGACGGAGATGCTGGCCCTGTTGCAGTTGTGTACTTTTGATCACCCGCAGACCCCCGAGACAAACAGTCCACGGCGTCGCCAGAATGGCCCCAAACCAAGGAAAGGAGGATCGAGTAGCTGGTTTGCCAACAATGGGCTCCTTATTTGCCGCCCACTAGGAGTGGCGGGATTTGTATAGGATGATCCACGGTCACATCCCACATCCCTCGATCATGCTCTAATGCAGAAATGATGCAACAACGCAGGCAGTCGAGGCAAGGCATATCACAGCCAATCAGATCATCGCCATTCTTTTCTGGCAAATGCAACTGGTATCATCAGCTCCACATTGCGGGAGGCACATACCGTCATTGTCACCAGAGATCACGACCATTCCCCAGTGAAGTGATTGTTTTTCTTTTTTCGATCTATCCACGGCTTAACCATGGATGAATTGCGTCACCGCCTTTTTTCTTTGTTAAAGTCGTCTTTTGCTCAGACTGCATCAGATCAGTAACTTCTCTTCTCAATCTCAATCATGGCCTCTGCAACTGGCATTCCCCAAGAGCATCCGGTGACGATTGAGTCGCGAGACGATGAACCTCTATTGGGTCGGGAAGAACACTCACAGCCACATGGAAGTATTGCTCGGAACTTGTTCACAGGTGGGTGAAGCCCTAGTTGATTCGGTGTCTCGACTGACTTGGTTCCCAGGCACGGCAAGTGTTGCGCAAGCCGGCATCTGGATTGTAAGGTTGGACTGGAACTGTTTCCCCGCAGAGAACTAACATCCAACCCAGCTCGCAGCGTTGGTCTGGCAAGGAGTTCTCTCCCAGCCGGTTTCTTTCTTCACTCCACATCCAGTAAGGAAGATTCCCAGTATTCCTAGGTTCACGCTGACACCATCCTTTGAAGCTCCTCGGCAGTTCTGCGCTTCTCTTACAAGTTCAGGCAGCGCTTATCTTACAACCAACTGCCACTCCGCAACAGAAGCTCACAGGCACCCGAATTCACTACCTAATCCAACTACTCAGTGTGGTGCTTTTTATCTCAGCTTTCGTCATTATCGAGGTGAACAAGGGGTCTCACCCTCACTTTGTTTCCCCGCACGGCATCCTAGGTCTTGTCACATACATTTCGATAGTGCTCCAAGCGCTTGGAGGACTGGCTCAGTACTTATTCCCGACAGTCATTTTTGGCAGTGTCGAGGCGGGAAAGCGCGTCTACAAATATCATCGCTGGGCCGGCTATGTTTTGCTACTGCTGGAGATGGCGACTGTCGTGGCGGCGACGCAGACCACCTACAACATAGCGGCGCTGCATGTCCCGCTATATGGGGTCCTTGTGTCGGCTGCCTTGATTCTGCTTGGGGTGGGCGCAAGAATCAAGAAGCGCAAGCTGGGGCTGAGAAATTGAAGAGAGTCATTATGGTGGATCACATATCTGAAACCCATGGCACATTGGAACTATCAAGATTGCATATTTCATTCCATTTACATAGTTCAATGAACGATATCCCTTGGAACCGAGCGCTTTAGTAGAGAAGATCGAAGACAACGGTAACTAACGTTCGTTGTATACTTCCGCCGATCCCCTAAAAGGGTTTAGGCGGGAACTTCACTCGACCTTTGCAACTCGGCTTCGTTTCTTCTCTCTCTCAACCTCGATCAATGGCGCTAACTTCCTACATCTGCTTCAATTGCAGGCTCACATCCAGAAATGGAATAGCCCGAGCCCCATTGCGCAACTTTTCGGCCGGTCGGCGCTATCGTGACGTGTTGCGACCCGCAACAGCTCCGAAACCTACGCCGGATGTCAAGCACATCCGCCAGAATGCAGACCTCTACGCAACCAATTGTATAGATCGCAATTATGCAGCACACGCCGACTATCCATCGAAGATTCAGCAGTTATCCGAAGAAGCTAAACAACTCGACCATGACCTGAAAGATCCGCGGTCCCGCATCAAGCAATTAGAAAAGACGATTGCCAAGTTGCATATCGCGGCGCGGCAAAATACAGAAAGCCAAGACGAACAGAGCGTGAGCGAAGAGATTGCCGCGCTAAAGTTGGAAGCCCAACGATTGAAAGACAACTCCCAGGCCATGACCGAGCGCAAGGCATCATGCACAGAAGAGATCAACCGACTCGCCCTCGCCCTACCGAATCTTTCCTCCGCATTCACACCCATCGGACACAACCCCACTCTCGTATCATACATCAACTTCAACCCACACGAGCGTCCATCATGGACAAGGCAGTCCCCGGAAGAGCTCCAGGCGCGGTCCCACGTCACAATCGGAACAGAGCTGAAACTCCTGGACTTCGCAAGCTCTGCCACAACAACAGGGTGGGGCTGGTACTTCCTGATCAACGAGGGAGCCATGCTGGAACAGGCACTAGTCCAATACGCCCTGCAAGTCGCCCGACGCCGCGGCTGGAAGACCGTCGCACCACCATCAATCGTGTATTCTTACATTGCCGAAGCATGCGGGTTCCAGCCACGCGACCAACACAACGAGCAACAGATCTGGTCTATCGAGCAGAACGAGCGCGATCGCGATAGCAAGCCCCAGCGCTCGCTCACCGGGACGGCCGAAATCCCCCTCGCGGCCATGTATGCCGGCCGGGACATCCACGCCGCCGAGCTGCCCATCAAACTGGTCGGTGCCAGTCGCTGCTACCGCGCCGAGGCAGGTTCTCGGGGCGTCGACACAAAAGGTCTCTACCGCGTCCACGAGTTCACCAAGGTCGAACTATTTGGCTGGACGGATAGTCTCAGCTCGGCAGAGTCATCCTCCCCAGTCCCTACATCCGATGACCTCTTCAACGAGCTCCTAGAAATGCAAACACAGATCCTTACCTCTCTCCATCTCCCCTGTCGAGTCCTTGAAATGCCCACTGGTGATCTGGGCGCCAGCGCAACTCGCAAGCGTGACATCGAGGCTCTTTTCCCCTCTCGGCTACGTCCTGCCGCGTCTACCGGCACTCCGGTCGACCCGCAAATTCATGATCTGGAATCTGCCTGGGGCGAAGTTACCTCCGCTTCTATCTGTACAGATTACCAAAGTCGTCGACTGGCAGCGCGTGTGCGTGGTGGCGCGACGAAGGAATCGCGCTTCCCGCATACGGTCAATGGCACTGCTATGGCTGTTCCGCGTGTGCTTGCTGCCATCTTGGAGAATGGGTGGGATGCCGAGCGAGGAGTTGTTGTCATTCCTGAGGTTTTGCGTCCCTGGATGGATGGGATGGAGACGATTGGTCGACGCTAGACTTTCGCCGAGTCTTGTATAGTATGTACTTTAAAGCAACTGGTCTGCATATCATGGTTATGGATATCACAACTCTATTCCGTCATTAAGTAGCATTATAAAAGGGACAGCGGATGGTTCTCGGTACGATTGCATTATGGGTTTTTGGTATCTTTAGCAAAAAGAAACAAGGGCAGAAACAAAACAAATAGGATATCTTAAATGACTCCTAGCCGCTCGCCCAAGGGTAGATAGAGTAGGGTATTAGATCGACCAGAAACCAAGGGCAAGACCAAACGAGAAAGCCAACCCTTGAAAACAATCAGAGCAGCGGCAGAGCCATTCATAAGTTCGTGGACACATAACATAAAACAACAAGGAAACACATAAATCAAGAAAAACATCACATCATGGCAAATCCCAGAGCACGGTCTGAACACTTCCAATCGGACATGGCCAGCAGTCCAAGAGGGGGACAGACAGATATCCAAACATGACGGTCACAGCAGCAGACAGGGAAGAAAACGAGATCCTGCACTGTATGACTGCCGAATGCTCCAAGCGAACGAACAGGCGCACAAGATCGAGCTCACGTCCACGGCAAGTCCATCTCTTCGACGCGAGTACACGTCAAATACGGCAGACCAGCAGAACTACCCTCACGAGAACCAGCAGCAGCGCCACCCGTGGAATCGGCGGGCGCTTTCAGCTCCTGTTCAAGAAAGTTGCGCATGAGCGGCTTGACAATATCCCGAGCAAGTCGTTTCATCTCGTCCATCTTACGCTCGAAGCGTTTCAACGTCTCGCGCGTGTACAGCGAGCCAGAGGATGGGGTTGGATGGAGTTTGAGGAACTGCTTGAGCTCGTCGTGGGCTAGATATGCTTGCGAACTGGAAGACCCGATCAATCTATAGATGCGCGCGGACTCGTCGGCTGGGACAGATGATCTTGACGAGCTTGTTGGGTGTGAGGCTGATGGGGCGGGCTGTGAGGAGGGTTCGTTTGGTGCTGAAGAGTTCTTGAGGATTGGCGCTGGAGGTGGTGTCGTGCTTTCTATCAGCCATTGACGGAATAGAGACACGACTAGCCAGTCCAGGTATGCATTTGAGGGCCCGACACGTTCGCCTCGCGAGGTTCTTAGAGATAGGCGTAGGAGTTTGTATTCCACCCGGGCTTTGAGGTCCTCCAGGTCCTCTACTTTGTCCTCGATGAGATCGAAGACGGAGTCTGGGAGAGGCGCGTAGGAGCCGTTGCGCAAGCTTGGGAGAGCTGCGGGCCACTGGCCGACGACGTGGATTAAGGCTTCGGAGAAGATCACCCGGCTGCGGGCTAGGTAGCCTAGCTTGAGGTAGCTGGGCGGGTATTTGCCGATTTGCTTGAAGAGACGAGATCCGAAGCCGAGGAGGTGGTGATCTACGCGCGGGCCAGTCACTAGGAGCGCGTCGTACATATCCGCGAGTGCGAGGAGGGCTTTGCATTCGGTGTATGCGGAGGCGATGTTCACGCTGTTGAGGGTGGGTGGGTGGTTATAGAAGATTCGTAGTAGGTTGTCATAATCGCGTATCAATGGGTCGACCCCGGATCCATGTTCTGTCGTCGGCGGTAGATGGGCTACTGATTGCATTCCCGTGAGGTTCGCCATGGATCGGAAGAAGCCTGCCTGGGCGTTGGAGGGCTTGGTCATCGTGGGCGGGTGGGCGACTTGGTCGCTGCTATACATGGGCGCATAGCTTGGTCGCTGTGACAAGACGCGATCTTAGCATTTTCCATATGAGTGACGGTATGTGACGCGCCGCGACTCACCTTCTGCATGAGAATGGCCTCTTCATCTTCGGCGCGATTCTCCCAGTCCAGCTCGTATCTCCAGCGCCTCTTCTCGTCCGGCCGCGACGATGATAACCCATGATCCGACGGCGCCAGTGTCGATCCGCTGGATAGATCATCCTCTTCGCTTACCCGCGACAGAGTGCCATCTGGCTTGGCTCGTCCTGGCGCAGTCTGGCGCGACCAGTCTTCGTTGGTGTTTGCCTCGAAATACCCCGAGCATTGTGCCAATATTAAGCGGTGCAGCAGGTAGCGCCGTTCTTGCGACCCGGCGCGAATCACGACCTCCGTGTCACCCGTATACGTGAAGATGGGGAAATCGTTCGAGGAATGCGAGGAGCCGCCATGGTGCGAGCGACCGGAACGGTGGCGTCTGGAGTTTGAGGGACGCGATACCAAGGAAGTGGCACTTTGCGTCGTCGCGGTGCGATCGACAATCCGAGCTTGAGAGACCATTTTGTAGGGTGGTCAACACCAGTCGGCGCAAGAGGGAGCCGTCATCTGAGGGTACGTCAAGGGAAGAGGGAAGAGGGAAGAGGGAAGAGAGTGAAGTGTAAAGGGGTAAGGGTAAACAACCGTTTCTATCAAAATGCAGGGCGAACCGCCGCAAGCAGCTGAATTCAAGAGGTGGCAAAGCGAATTACCAATGCGACGATGAACTCGGAGTAGCAGTGGGAAGCAGTGTTGTTTTCTACTTATAATGTCCTCATCCGGGGTATCTTTCTTTGCTTTCTTTGTGTCCATTGTGCTCTCTTCTGTCTCTGCGTCTATCACTTCTGTATACTTCGGTCTTAATTTGATACCATCTCGGATCTTTTACTACTTTCACGCCCCCTCCACTTCTCCCCTTTCCCGCGTCTCTTTTTTTCTTCCCTGAACTTCCTTCTTTTTCTTCTTGTCCAGGGGAAGTATTCAACGGCCTGACACACGATACGAGGGTTGCTATTTTTGTTGCCCTCCCACTTCGACGCCCGAGCCCCTCCCCCCCCCCCCTCCCCCATCACTCAAAAATTCTGGCCCTGGACACATCTTCTCGGGACAGCTTCTATAGCTGTCCCGATCTGTCGACGCTGCAGATAACACAGGTCTCTGATTCCGACAGCTTTGCCGCTCCTCAGACCGATATCTCCCGTTCGCCGTCGCTGTCCGAGCCTGCCCCGCATCCGAAGAAGCGATCCAAAGCCCAGTCGGTCTCGCGAAAGGCCCGTGGCGTCATCGGTAAAGTGCGAGCTCTGCAGCGGATCGCGGCCGCCAAGATGGCGCATCCGTCTATCAAAATCGACACCAGTGTGCAAGCAACCAAGCGTGGCCTGCCGGAGAACGACGATGCGGGTCTCGATGTACTGGGAGATCAGGATCCCAAGTTGGACACGGGAAATACCGAAGATGTCCCGCCGTTCTTGTGTCTATCGGTCTCGGGTAAGTGAGGAGTGCATATAGATACCTATTTTTGATTTTGATTTTTATATGCTTGGAGAATAGCACGTGCGACATCTGACTGACCGCTTCTTATGCAGAGATCCATGAAAGGTTTGAGGAACTAGAATGGATGCAGCGGAAACGTCTCGCGGAGGGCCAGATGGCCAATGACATGTCGCATCCTTTCGCCCTTGAGGTCGATCCGAAGGTGAAGGAGAGGAACCGATATCTGAACGTGCAGGCGTGGGCAAACTGTCGCATTCACTTGCGAGTCGCCGACGGTGAGTGTGATTTTATCAACGCCTCTCCGATTATGTTAGAAGACTCTGTGACGAGGGAGAGAAGGAAGTATATTGCGACACAGGTATGTTACGCGAGCTATACCCCCTGCTTAGCAAGAGCTGACCGTTCGCAGGGCCCCACGCTTGGTCATCTCGCCCATTTCTGGCACATGGTATTCCATGAGAGCCATGATGTTGGTGTGATCGTTATGCTCACGCAGACTTTCGAGGCGGGCCGGGAAAAATGCGCACAATATTTCCCACTGGACACTGAGCAAGCCTCGATGGTTCTGTCAGCAGAAAAGTCGGACGTTTTCTTTGATGAGGATGAGAAACCAGAGTCTGGAATTTTGGGCAAAGTGACGCTGTTGGAGTCTACTTTCGATGCTAGTTCCCGATCTGAGATTCGCAAACTCGAATTGTCTATCGGCTCACAGTCAAAGATCGTTTGGCATTTCCTCTTCGCCGGCTGGGCCGATTATTCAAAGCCCGAGGGCAGCGACCGCCAGGCCCTGCTCGAGCTCATCAAGCTGTCTGCCTCGAAATCCAGTCTTGACAACCCGCGTATTGTGCACTGCAGTGCTGGAGTTGGTCGAACCGGAACCTTCATTGCACTCGACCATTTGCTGTGCGAGCTGGAGTCGGGTCAGCTTTTGGATGTCAGGGACCCCGAAGTTGACCCTGTTTTCGAGACTGTCAATCAAATGCGTGAACAACGGATGATGATGGTATATAACGAAATGCAGATGCAATTCATCTACGAGGTCCTTCGGGAACAGACAGACTCCAAGCTGGGCAAGGCCCCGGGTCAAGACTTTGACGCCCCCGACGACGGTGAAGAACGGTCTGCCAAAGTCGCGAAACTCAGTGACGAGGCCGACTATCAGCCGACTGCCAAACCAGAATTGGAGATTGCCCCAGGTCGTGTTCCTACGCCAACCAGAAGCTGGTCTGGTACGCCGGAAGTGTCTGATAACGAATAACGCCGCTCCGTCTTGAGCAACTTGCTTTGTGCGCGCATTCTTTTCTTTTCATCCACCACGTTGTTTTGCCTCGTCTATCGCGAGCCTTGGTCTCTTGGTTGAATATCTTCCCATTCTGCATTAAATCATGGCCGGTGTTCATTTGTTTTATATTCCTTATTCATATTTTGTGTTCTGTTATACGCCCACTGCACCCTTCTACCCCGTTGAAATACCCCCCTGTTTGTTTTTTTGCCCTGCTTGTTTCGTGTAATGTAGTTATTACGATTGTTGGCTAGCATTGGTTATACTCTCGCTAGAGTTACTGTATATTAGTCAATTGGTGATTTGAATTGCATTGCTAAATGGTACAAAGCTCATTACAATAGTCAATCCTCAACTTGCGATGTAGGTATCTGTAAATGAGAAAGCATGACCAACAAGGATGGCATGGTTGACCTTTATCGAGTGCTTCAGCAATGTTGCTCGTAGCATATTTCGGCCGACAAAATCGTTGGAAGTATAAGGTGGTGTAGCAGCAGTAGAACGCCCCGAGATATATTGTTAGCCGCGCACTTTTCTCTTCCTACCCTCAGTTCTCAAGTTAAAACATTCTCATTTGTATGAAGTTGGTAAATTTCTGATATTCACTACAATTCAATTCAATCATCATTTCGCCACTGTACAATACACCGAAGAGGTTGAGAGCATCCTTGCAGAGACTTCCTATTTAATCAAGGGAAAAAATAACCCACCTGCCTGTGAACACCCTCTTTCCGTATAATAGAACAATATAAACAATTCAAACTAAGAAATCAGAAACAAAACGCTGGTAGATATAACAGAAAGACAGGTGTCATACCGCCCGATACCGACGGACATGAACCCAGAGCATGGAGACCATAATCATGAGGGTGAAAGCGTGACAACATAGAGAAGTTAAGTCTTATCATCGTGTGGTTGTATAGCATTTTCTTGTAACTTTATAGTTGAGCAATAGCTTTAATCATTGCGCTTTGCCCCGACTGGAGCCACAGCCGGCTGGGCGCCGGCAGAGCTGGATTCTTGATAGCTGGGAGGAGACGTCTCGAGGTCATGTTCTGGACCTTCCTCAGCATCCCAGTTATCCACTGCATTCTCGTCCCAATTGTCGACTTCCTGCTCGAGGTTCATGACACCGGACTCTTGTGGGCCCATTGTTTCTGACTCATGGTGAGGACTGCCCCCGACGCCTCCGAGCTCGACATCCTCCGTACCATCCTCCATCAGACCATATCGGCTTTGCCGACGGCGTTCCATCATGCGTCGGTGGTACCAGCTGCATAGACCGATGGCGCTGAGACTGCCAACCACATTGGCGACGATATCGAATAAATCGAAGTCCCGGCCATTGGGGAGGAAGCCCTGAACGATCTCTGAGCCAATACCGAATCCCAATGTGCAGACCAAAAGGGTCACGTGTAGTGTGCGTCTCCGAGTGGTATCCAAGATCCAGTAAAAAGTCACGGAGAGCAGGAAGAATGTCACGAGATGGAGGAATTTGTCATTTGGCTGGAGCTGTGTTGGTATCGTCGAGGAGTCGCCATGGGGAAGGAGACCGATATACGCTGCTGCGATGAGCAGAAAGGCAAAGGCACCTAGAGCTGTTAGTGGGATCGCCGGAAGCAGAACGGCAATCTGTAGCTTACCTGCGAATGGGTAACGGATGCGCATGGCAAACAAAAATCGGCAAAACAGGAGGTTTAAAATGAAACAAATAAGATTTCTGGAAGGGAAAGAAGACCAGACGTAGAGGTGGCGGGGAAGGTTCTCAAGATGAATAACGTTAGGTGAGGTTCAGGCCCCAGAGCGGAAAGCTGTCAGACGTGGAGGAGTTCGGCCGTGCCTGCGTCATATGCCGAGCAACAGAGGGATTGGCGACAACAGAGGACAGTAAGAGCTGAACTACAAGTCAAGCAGTCGGAAACGACTAGAGAGAACCAATGCGACAATCGACTCCTGAGACAATCACTTGCGAACCATCTCGCGATCGACCGTTAATGACATCGGTCTGATCTGCCACCCAACTCCGCCTTTCCGCCTGTACTTCATCCCCGTCCAGCGAAACTTCCTATGTGGCTCTTCCCGATCGTCTTCATCAAACTACTCCCCCACGGCATCTTTTTTTGCGATTTTGACATCACTGGGGATTTCTATGGAAGGTTATCTTTGTCTCTATGCCTTTTGACCTTCCCCAGACCGCTTCGTCGCGTCCGATCGGCCCATCAATCTAATCGTGGAGAATCGAGTCTCGCCCGCCCCCAACCCGGGGTTTTGGAGCGAGCATGTCGCTTGGCCACAACGCCTGGCCTCCAGGCAACATACGGCCTCCAGATGACCTCCAGGACTCCCCGCGCCCAGTCAATGGCTTAGTGAAGACATTATCTGGTTCAAGAACTCCGCAAATACGCGGTTCTGTCAGCGCCGAAGGGCCGGTCCCCGGTAGCATGACCTCCGAACCCGATACCGCGCCGGAGGAAGATCCGCGCATTGCCCAATTTCGTGACTTGTATCGCCGCAGCGAAGCGAAAATAAGTGCGCTCTTCTCTGGGCAAGACGTTACCGATGACCCTGCCGGCGCAACGGCTGGAGAAGCTACCGAGGCCCTGGAGGCTCAACCAGAACGCGTCGACGATGCGCCACCACCTTCCGTACCACCGCGCAAGTCTGCCCGAAAGCTCGACGACGATGACTACGATGATTACGACGACGATGAAGACGAGGAAATGGGCGACGCCGCCGAATCCCCCTCGAAACCCAAGCTCGTCGCCTCTCAAGACCCCACACCACCGGCCCACCCCCTCAGCACGTCAGTCTCCACAAGCGCCGAGGGTGCAAAGGAGCCCAAGAAGGAGACATTGGAGGAGATCCGGAAGCAGCTTGAAGATGACAAGAAGGCGACGGAGGAGGCTGCCCGGCGGAGTTTCCACACGCTTTTTTACACCCTGGAGAATGACCGCGATGCTATGCTCGATCAACAACGCCTGGAAGAGTCCGAGCGTCAGGTCGAGGCGGAGATCTCCGGCCAGGCCAACATGGGAGGGGCCAATACCTCGGCTGGCTCCAATGGCTATAGCTCTTTGAGCAATACCAACCTAGGTGCCTCCAGTTTGACCTTGAAGAACCTCATCGCTCGAATTGACAAGAAACGTGACAAGGTTCAAGCGTCCGATGCTGAATTGAGAAGCTTGCTGAGCGAAGTGCGCAAGAATCGCAGCAAATGGGCGAACGAAGACAAAGTTGGCCAAGAAGAACTCTACGAAGCCGCGGAAAAGGTTCTCAGTGAACTGAAGGCTATGACGGAGCATTCTACCGCTTTTTTGACTCGGGTTAACAAACGCGATGCGCCCGACTATCACATCAGTATGGTTCCTCACCCTCCGACTTTCAATTATCCACTAACATTTCAATAGTTATCAAGCACCCGATGGATCTTGGATCAATGACAAAAAAATTGAAGGGCCTGCAGTATAAGTCCAAGCAAGACTTTGTGGATGACCTCACTCTCATCTGGGCAAATTGTTTGAAATACAACACCAACGCCGAACACCCTTTGCGGAAGCATGCGCTCTACATGCGCAAAGAGACCGAGAAGCTTGTCCCCCTGATTCCCGACATCGTGATCAGAGATCGTGCTGAAGTAGAGGCCGAGGAGCGCCGACTTCAGATGGCAGACCTCGATGGCGGCGAGGAGAGCGATGACGAACCCATCATGTCTTCGCGTGGAAGAAAGGCTCCTGGCAAAAAGTCTTCCAAGAAGGGCACTGCCCCTTCTCGCAATACCCCCAGCGGCTCCGAGGGTCCACCTGGGGCACCCAGTACCCAAGCACCTGCGCCAGTGCGTGCCGACTCGGATGCTGCCGCGGAGGTAAGCCAGAATGGCTTTGGTACACCACCCCCAGGATCTCACACTCCGTCTGATCCTGCTGGCCCGGGAGCAGCGGTAGCGAGTCAAGACGATTCCATGGAACTTGATGGCCCAAGCACCTCCACCACAGCCCTCAGTGCACTTTCGGTGCCTGGTGTGGAGCTTGAAGACCCAGAATATAAAGTGTGGAAGCAGGTCACCAAGCAGGACAGAGCACGCATTGCTGCGGAGCGACATCGTCTCTTGAGGGGCGACAAGCTTAATATTGAGGAACCGGCCCTGCTTCGAACTAAGGCGGGCATGCGCCGATGGCTTCGACACCAAAAGCAAGCTGCCATTGAAGCCGACAAGTCTCTTGACACTGGCTCTCAACTTGAAGCTGAGGCTGCAGGCGAGTCTCTTGCGGAAGGCATTGAGGTGGAAGAAAACCAGATGCTTCCATTCTACTATGACGTGATGTCTGGCGTTCCTGACCTTCCAGAGCAACTAACCTGGAAGGAAGATGCACAGGGTAATGTCGTGGATGCCTCAGAAGAGTTCCTCAGAATTCTTAAAAAGGGCGAATTCATCCAGCCAGACAGTAAATTGACACAGAGGATGAATGCCAACATGCGACAGATGCAAGAGACGCGCAAGATTTGCTCCAAAATCGGCATTGTGAAGCAGATGCAGCTTCAAGCTCAGGTAAGCCAACCAAATAAGCGAACGCTGACCGTGACTGACTTTGCTCTAGATGTATCATAATCAATTTCAAAAGTACAATCCCGAGCCATTTGTGGAGCAGGATGTGGAACCTCATGTCATGAACGACAATGGCCCTGCCATTGCCCCCTACGTTTGCCGGGCGGCCTTACAACGCTCAGTGGCCAAGATCTTCTACCATACCGGTTTCGAGGAATACCAGCCATCTGCCATTGAGTCTGTCACAGAAGTCGCAGCTGATTTCTTCCACAAACTTGGCTCAACTCTCAAATCCTACATGGAAACTCCCCAGGTTCCTAAATCCGAGTCCCAGGATGCACTGTCAGCTACTGAGTGGAAACCTGCCTACACAGAACCTGAAGTTATCTTGCACACCCTAGCTTCAGTTGGCATCTCTGTCGATGAGTTAGAAAACTACATCAAGGACGACGTTGAACGTTTGGGTACGAAGCTCACAACGGCTCACGATCGCCTCAAGTCTCTTCTGACTGAACTCCTTCGACCGGCTCTTGCAGAAGGCGGCGAAGATGGTTCCACTGCCTTCGCTGATGGCAGCGAACAATTTGTCGGTGGTGACTTCGCCGAGGATATCGATGAGGACTTCTTTGGTTTCAAAGAACTGGGCTTGGACCGCGAGTTCGGTCTTTCTACCCTTAGTGTGCCGTTGCATCTGCTTCAGAATCGCATGTTTAATGCCGCCAATCCACAGAGCACCAGTGTTTCTCAGGCCGTCACACTGTTCCCAGCCCCCCGCCATATGCTCGAATCTCCACAGACAACCTGTCCGATCAAGTTGGACTGGTACAAGCATTCTTCAAGGGCAAGCTTGATGCAAACCGTGATGAGCCTCTCACTGAAGATCTTGAGCTACCCCCGAAGCAGAGACCTATGGCTGCAAAACCACGTCTTCCTGCTTCTGGTAAAATCCCTCAGGCTGGTCTATCGGGCCTTAACACCAGCCCACAAAAGAGGACAGCTCCATCCCACGCATCCAAGGCTGGCACCACCGAACCAAGCAAGAAAAAGGCCAAGAAAAACAGTGGTACAGCCTTAGATCTGCATAACCCCAATGGCGACGGCGACGGCGACCAAAATTCCGGTGATGCAGCAGCATCCAACCCAGATGGTATTGGCCTTCCTGACGGTGCTGGTGAATCCATGGCCAATGGAACGTGACGCATGAATTATTACTATGATGCCACGCTGTCCGAATTTCTGACTTTCAATACTTCTATTCTCTGCATGTATCTTTATTCATTATACGAATGTTTGTGCCCCGTCTTTCCACACACCATCGATCGTCTCGTGCTTTTTCTGCTACAATACAACTACCACTCCATGACGAGGGAGCAACAGGTGGACCTTTACGTACCATACTTGCATGGTATTCTCTGCCGCCCAAGCTTCTGGCGATACATAATTTACTCGCTTAATCGGTTGACCTTCTTTTCTTTTCACTCTTTTTTTGCGCTTTACGGCATCGGGTCTTTCTGCATTTATCGCAAAGGGTCATGACATTCCTGTACCACAATTACCTCGAAGGGTCTTCTTTATCTTAACACAGTTACATTTTTCATTTAGTGAATTTACCAACTTTGAGTCCAGATTCGTGTTTCTTGGGGCATAAGTTCCCTATTATAAGTTATGTACTTCTCAGTGTGCTGTGGAGGTGGCTTCGCAGAAGTGTATTTAAGATTCTCTGTGCCAAATAACCAATTGCCGAAAAAAGATCACTGCATCTTGCGTACTAAGTCTTGGGAATTCACATATTATCGAGATCGTCGGTGGAAGAGAGTCGTTGTGCCTGAAGCACTGCAAGTACCCATGCCAGCATGAACAGGCTACACTGTGTCGGTCAGCAGATCTTTCTAGAAGTTTACTTGCTGTCGAGATCTACGATACACAAATTGGGGAAGTTAATGATATTTGAGTGCATTGCTAATACAATCATTCCAGGCAAAAGCAACCCATTGCAAGCCAAGGGATCGAACCAAGGGAAGGCTCGTCCAGTCCACCACGCTCAGTCATTCAAGGCATCTGCAATTGGGACCCCGACAGCCAGACAAGCTCCCTAATGCCGCGGCCGATTTGAAACCATAGAGAATGCCAATTCTGATAAACTCAAGTCATGAGATTCCACCGGTTCGTGTAAAACAACCGTGGCTGTCACAACCTGAGTCACAGAAAAGACCCCGAGAAACGAAAAAAAAAAAAAAAAAGAAAAACAGCAAGACAAACTGTATATCAACGTCCAGGAAGGGACATATGTTGATAGATAGCCACTAAAGGCTGCAAATTGGAATAACCATTCGAACCGAAAAACATTCTTTGACGCTAGCCTCGGAACAGTGTACATATATGGGTAGTCTAGATATACCACATGCTCAGGGCCAGGCGGTTAGAAGTGCCCTCGATTGGTAGCAGCTTTTTAGCGCGAGGCCCAGGAGGCTTAGGGTTCGTCATCTTGACCTCAGGGCCACTTTGAGGGCCAGCAGAGACTGGAACATCCTCGTGGTGGCGGGCACGAACGGAGATCAGATGGGCATAGTAGATCGCAGGGTGGACCGACACCGATGTTGTCGAGCGAATGTACTGATGACAGTGGTCATTGATCATGCCCGCCAGCTCATTTGGTCCGAGTCCGTCAATTTCATTGAGAAGAACGTGGTAATAGACCGGACGGGCGGTTCCTTGGAGAGCGACATGAGTGTATAGCAGGAAGTCCCATTCACTGGGACTTGTCACATCCCGATCGATCATGGTACCGGGGAGACAGCCACCGTGAGTATCTGAGGCGGCCCGGTTGTTTGGATCAGGGAAGCCACGGATGTGATGGCGTTTGTTGGCGACAACAACGACGAGCTTACCTGGCCAAACTCTCAAACCACACGCGTGCGCAATAGCGAAGCGAATAGAGGGGATCTCCTCGCGAAGAACCTTGCAGTATTCAGACGCAGACACACCGTCGCGGAAGTAGTAAACATAATCCGGGGCCTTGCCGTTTCCAATGGTAGCTTGCCATTCGGAGACCAGAGGACGCAGGATTTGCTGCACAACGCGTTCGCGAATAATCTCAATACGGTCACCATTGCATTCACAGCCACCCATGTAGCGGGTACCGGTAGAGTTGGATGAAACCGACATTGCGGCCAGAGATGGAGTCCATACGCCCATCATAGGATGAGTGACATCCGCACCGATGATCATGGAACCAGGCCGCATATAAGTAGATTTGTTCTTCGGGACAGCTCGAGCTGTGATACCTCCTAGCTTAGCATTGACCTTCATCAAGACATTCGCGGAGTACTGGGGCTTGTTAGCGATGCAGTGCCTAGTCTGGAGTACCTGCGAGGGCACTCCATAGCGACAGTCGCAGGATTTCTTGATGCGAAGATACACGAAAGAATCCTTATCCGGAACAATCAGGAGCAGAATTTGGGGCTCGCCTGGGTAACGTGAGACCACTGCTTCGTAGAGTCTGCGGACACCAGGACCGACATCTTCCTTCAATGGCACCACGACGGGACGTTTGGTGATATCACCTCCCATTTGAGAGTAGGTTTTCTGGAATTGTTCAAGGAATGTGATGACCTGTTCCTGACTGATTCCATGTCGCTGAGATTCGAAGTAACCAACGCCCCATCGCTCCAGGGTCTTTTCATTGTTCTTGAAGAATTTCTTTCCACGCAGGTCCCAAGATCCATTGTGCATAGGGTTGAGCTTTCGATTACCACCAAATTGAAGCTCAGGGCAAGGGAGGAGACGGGCCTTGGTCTTGATCATCTGCTCACTAATAACCATGCCATATTGCTGCAGAATCGGGTCATGCTTATGATTCAGCAACTCCTTGGATTGACGAGCATTTGCTAAGCGCTTCGGGGGTCTCGTTGCACACCACTGAATCATCTGTGCGGATTGGGCATCATTGAGCTTTGGGCGATATCTCTGAAGACTTTTGATAACCAGGAACTCGGCAGGGTAAAAGACGCCGTCCTTTTGCATCTCCACCAAGAGCATGTTTGGGTGCGTGACCCGAACATTGTATCGTTGACGGAAATACTGCTCAACACTCATAGTCTTCACATTTCCTGTTGCTTTGTCCACGAAGTCGATCTGCAAACTTCTTGGAGTATCCTCAATAAGGCCTTTCACTAGAAAGCTTTTCAGGTGAACAGGGCATCCATCGTAGTTTGGCGCAACTCTGAGGCCGAAGATCTTCTTGCTCAGAGCTGCAACCAAGGCCGTGTGCTGCAGATTTCCAGAGGCGTCCTTCTGGGGCCGTAGTCTTCTGATAAGTGTGCTGAAATCATTACAACCTGTGGCGTTCATCAGATATCCCATGAGAGTGATACGGGAATAGAACACGCAGTGGGCAACATCGACATTCAAGATAAGACCATTCTAATAACGAGTCAGCTAGTTGTTTTTCCTGTTTCTCTGCATGTCAATTACCGGAGTAGGACGGATTGCTTGGTAAATGCCACGATAAACGGAAGCACCCATATTCTGAAGGGGTTGGTAGAATTCCTGTTTCAACGCGTGCCTGTCACCGAGGTCATCAAAGAAGAAAGCTCGCTTGATCGCAGCAAACTCCTTGGTAGGCCATTCACGAAGTAGATGGTCCAAGAAACCTTGAAATGTCAGTATGGTTTCAACAGAACAAAAAGATGATCACATACTCAAGGCTTCAATCACGTACTCGTCGAGTTCATGATTTCCCTGAAGCCAGTGGCTGATTACACCAAGGTTCAGCTTGCGCTTTTGCCGGATAGACATCTTGAAAGTAGGAGCGCTGCCACGTTCGACCTTTCTTTGAGTCTGAAGCTCACGAGTCATGTTAGCCTTGAAATGAACAGTTTCCACCCAGCTTCTGAAATCCCTCATGGACCTGTAGCAATGATAGTCAATATAATGCCCCAAATGTCACTGAAATGGGGTGATACTTACCAGCAGATCCTGCCACCATCCCAGATTCCATCGGGAATATGACCCTTTCGCGTGTCACTGTTCCAGCACTTTCTCAGGATTCGTCGATCAGTCTCAGTCTGAGCTGGCCTCTCCCTGGGATTATCGGTAGTTTGCAGAACGTTGATCTAGATATCGATCAGCAATTTGCCATGATGAATACGTACTGCAAACGAAGCACTTACCTCGTATTGGTAGACAGATTTGGTGGGGAACGAAAGAATTGGATACGCATTCATCATCAACTCGATCTCTTTGCCGGCAGTGCAATATCCAATACGCTGTTGGATCTTGACGGGGTCTGGTTTTCCCTAGAAAAAGTAAGAATATATCACATATAGCTTGAGGGTAGTCTCTCACAGTGGAGCGCAAGATCTTGAGTTGATGCCAGGGAATGTCGATGTTCTTGCACCCATCCCAGTGAGCTTGGGCCTGGTCTTGATGCTGTACAGCTGTGCCCTGGTCAGTTCTCTCAGGATGAACGGTGGTAGTCTCTTGCTCCTTGGTTAAGTGATGGGGCCGTCGTGCAGGCGATTGGGTTCGGTGAATTGGGGAACCCTCGTCGCCATGGCTGCCGGTCTCCTGTTTCTCGCCGTCATCAGAGTTCGTGCGTCTCTTCCAGACGTCAAACTTGTCGGTCTTCTTGGGGGGTGCATTCTTGTGCACGTTGGATTTGTGCTGGCGGATTTCTTCAATGACACGTGGGTCGAGTTGGGGTGCCGAACTGTGCTCATCAAAGGCCATTTCGAAGGAACGATCATGATGATCGGAGCCAGATGAATCGGACATCATCTTTGGAGATGATGTGGAAGATCGTGCCTCAAGTGGTGGTTTGGGAGGCATGGCGGGCAGTGGTGCTCAGTGATGGTCAGTGGTGTTTGGAGCTATCAAAACTTAGAATCTTTTTAAATCGAGGTCAGTTAGGCCTCTTTCAAGTGATTGAGTCACAAATGGATTGAAAGTGAGCGCAAGGTTGGAATTCAACGGAAATTTTTAGATGCTCTGCCCTGTATGATGAAGTTCAGTCAAATGCCTGATATATTACGTTGTAGGTGGACAAAGCTGTGTGGAAAGAAAAGAAATTACCTCGAGATTCTTGTAATAGATTCAATGTCGGCATAAATCAAAGAAGGAAGAAGGAATGAGAGAAGGGAAAAAATGAAGCTAGATTAAATAGATGGAGAAGCAGACACGAAGCTGGAGGTCTCTTCAAAACATTCTGATGGGAGCTTCTTTCACTTACCGACAAGCAAATAGCTGAATGGTGGGAATGAAAAGGTTCTTAAATATATGTCACGACTATCAATCGGCGAGTCACTCCGTGAACCAAATGAGATTTTTTTATCTCACATTTTGTATACGCTCACTGCTTCTAAGTGAAGGCTGCTTCAGTTGGTCAAGCTCCCAGCGGGTGATCTTAGATGTTTGTATGTTTTTGATATGTGGAGGTGCCAAGCATGCAGCTGGGATCTAGATTCCATGGATATCTTGTTGTCATCCGCGTTTTGGATGGGCCAATTGATTATAGTCGAACATGTTGACTAGTATTGGTCCGCATCCGTTATATTTTTTGGATACGCTATACACTCATGGTCACGTCAATCATTGGTATCGGGAGAAGAATTAGAGGCCAAGATATTTCCCTTTGTGCTTGATGCATATATGGTGTCACCTGAAAAGATCGGTACATGTTACTCTGTGTTTCGATCAAACATATATACACATCTTCAAATGTTACATCTTATATTGTCCATGATCCCAAGGCATCGAGAGAGCTGTTGGTCGTTGTTTTGCCAGTTTTAATGTTTTTAGTTTCTGAGGAAACTTCATACAGGCACGAGAGACCGATGGGATGGTTATTCTCTTGATTTATCCCACCAAGGTAGGGTTGATCAAGCTGGGTTCCCTCCAGGTATGTCTGCGAGATACAGTCAGGATCTACCTATGTCAGCTTGATCGGATAATGCCCGCATGGCATGATATTTCATACTTCTACAGGTAGGATATAAATTTGAATTAAATCATATGATGTCCAAATTCACATTGTAGCTGAGCAGAGATATTCAAGGCTTCGAAGAGAAAGCCCAATTAATTCAAACTTTGTAGGTTGTCGAAATCCCTTTCCTAATAAGATAAACGCCGAAGAAGAAAAAGTAAATGTCGCTTCATGTTTGCTTTCATGTGCATCGTGACAAAGCGAAGACATATCTAACGTGATCCATTGCGCTTCAAGCTTAGCCATTACGCTTGGCAGCGGCCGCGGCGGTCAGCTTCAAAGCTGCGGGGGCATCATCGCGGGGCATGTACAGCTCAATCAACTAGATTCTGAGTTAGTAAGCAGTCTTGAGATACCCGAAACAGACAGCTTACCCGGAGCTTGTTAGAAGAGTTAAACTCTTCGTCGGCAAATAGTTTGTTGAGCTCATCGCGGGCCTTGACCCGGTAGCCTTGGTAGTTATCATCGGCGCCGCCAAAGACCTTGGGAATGTTGAAAAAGTCCCACGGTTGAATGTCGTTGTATTTGGCATCCCATCCGTGGATGTATCGCTCAATGGTGTATCCTTCGTTGCAGATTACAAACCTAGATAATATCAGCTTAGGAAGGGAAGAAAAAAAACAAGTTGAGCACACTTACACAATAGGGTTCAAGTTGTGCCGCAGGATAGTGCTCAACTCCTGCACGGTTAGCTGAATACTTCCATCACCAATGAAGAGAATGGTTCGGCGGTTCTTCTGTTCCTTCGCGGCGAGGGCGGCACCCTGACAGGCTCCCATGGAGTACCCAATGCTGCCCCAAAGGACCTGGCTGATGGCAGTCACGTTGGCAGGGAAGCGGGTGTCCCAGATACCAAAGTTGGCAGTGCCAGTCTCTGTGATAATCACATCCTTTGGCTTCAGCCATTGTCCAACGATATTCCACAGCCAGTTGTGTGTAATCGTCTGGTCGCTGGATGCTTTCTCACTGTCAGACAGCTGGTTCGTGATTGAGGGAATACTGGCGGGAGCCAGAGGCTTCATCTGCTGGATAACCTTCCGCAAGACACCCTTCATGTTGGTATCGGGATACTCGGAGTATCGGACCCGCACATAGGTGCTGTGGAAGTCAATGGTGTTCAGCTGTCCAATGCGATAGGTAAAACCGGTAGTGTTGAAGTCAGACTTGATGGAGCCAATGCTCAGGATGAGATCGGATGCCTCAACAGCCTCGCTGACTCCGGGATTGGAGCCATTTCCGGCATAAACACCTCCAAAGTTCTTGTGTGTCTCATCAACGGCTCCCTTGCCCATAGGGGTTACAAAGGTCGGCAGACCGGACTTCTCAACGAGGTCGTGCACTTCTTCAAGGGCCCGGTGACGGATAGCACAGGCATCGACCAAGATGATAGGATTCTTGGCAGCATGGAGATACTTCAAGACGACATCAACAACATAGTCTTCCTTCTCTGGGTCATTCTTAGGCAGAGATAAATCAATAGGTGTCTTCAAGCGGTCACCGTTAACTTTAGCGGCGACCATGTCGGTGGGGAGAGTGATGTAGACCGGACGACTGCGGATCCAGCATTCGCGAATGGCACTGTCAATAAGAGTAGCAGCATCATGCGGGTCGTTCAGACGAGCAACATAGCAAGAGATTCCAGCGCTCATCTTATTGAAGACGTTGAAATCCCCATTGCCGAGGGTGTGGTGCAGCAGCATTCCATCTTTCTGGGATTGGGTGGTGGGCTGGCCAACGATATGAACGACGGGGACGAATTCGGAGTACGAGCCAGCGATGGCATTGAGAGCTGACAGCTCTCCAACACCAAAAGTCGTAATCAGTGCAGAGATGCCATTCACGCGAGCGTATCCATCAGCAGCATAACCTGTGATATCCGTTAGACAAGTACCTTTGCTTATCGTCGACAGTCCGTCTTACCGGCGTTGAGCTCATTGCAGTTTCCAACCCAGTCAAGGTCACAATTGGGTAAATAATCCAAGGCTGCAAGGTTGTAGTCGCCAGGCACGCCGTGCACTGAGCGAATCCCAACCTCGCGGAGACGTCCGAAGAGGTATTCAGCGACATCAATGGGGTTCTTAAGCTCCTGGGTAGCGATATCGGTGGACGCCATGGCCAAAGCAAGAGGCGTAGAAAGTTAGATGAGTGAAAGGTAGAGAAGAAAAATGCGAAAGAAACAACAAGCGTCTTATAAAGAAGTGAAATACAAAAGAACCGGGTGATCAACCGGATGATGCTTAGATAGTGAGACCTGAGGCTACGTCATGATTGGATAAGTTGATGTCATGCCATCAATTGTCCCACTGCACAACAGGCCATGAGAACTATCCACTTGTTCTCGAACATCTGTTCATTCATGGACGAATGAGAAGAGTCAATTGGAGTTTATCGAAACAAAAGAAGATGAAGCTCACTTCCAAGGTTGTCGATCCCCGCCCAACCCAATCATAACGCCGGGCCGATCACACAAAACTCCGACTCTCCCCCACCACTTTGAGCTTCAGACAACATGGGGAAAATGCCAAAGAGTACGACTCGGTCGAAGAAGGTGAGGATCAGATATGACTTGCGCGCCCCCGGATCATGACTTTACAAAAGAATTGCGCGCTGACTGGAATCAGGGTGGAAAATGGCAGCAGCAAAAAAGTCGAGTCGCCATTGAATCAGGCGAGTCCGGCGTCTTCTTAACATGCGACATGGGCAGAGAAAGCAAATGTTTGAGAGAAGCTATAGACGTTTTTTCTCAGGTAAGATGTACAGTTATAGCGCCTGTCAGCCTCACTGACGCTCAATCTAGGCTATCGAAGGTGACGAGAAGCCGACAGAAGAAGAGTCGGACTCAGATGACGAAGACATCGAGGCCCAGATCCGCAGGGAGCTGGAAGGCTTACAGCCAAGCAAAGACAAACCTCGTCAATTCCAGGGTGTACAGATGGAACTTCCATGTGGTACGTCTATCAACGCTCCAAAAGCGCCATTCGCTTATGCGCTCGGTTATGAGTATGCGCATGCTAACCCCAGAAAGTGGTCTGGATGCGTCTTGATCCTTCGATAGACCCGGTGCAGCTCGTTCACCGTCTGTGTCTCGAGGCAGAAGCCAATCCGGAGACAAAAAAGAGCCGATATATTAAGCGCATGCATCCAATCACGTCGATCCGGAAGACTCTGAGTGTTGACCTAGAAGCTTTCGCGAAAGAGATTCTTAAGCCTCATTTCCACTCCGGTGGACCTCCAAAGACGGTGAGTTCAAGCCCGTTGGGCCGGAGATCTACTGATCTGGGAAAACATCCGGTGACGCATCTCGCCGTGAGGGGAAATGGCGTGTGGGCAGTGCTGACTTGTCATCTTTCCAGTACGCTATTCGGCCTACTGTGCGAGGCAATCATAAGCTCAACCGCGACATTATTATCAAGACCGTTGCCGATGTCGTTGGCCCTGAGCATCCTGTGAATTTGAAGAATTATGATTTGATCATTCTCGTTGATGTTGTCCAGGTCAGTACTGACATGCATCTCCTCATTGGACGCCATGAAGACCTCTCGGGATATTAACTGACTCGTAATAGAACGTAGTCGGCATGAGTGTGGTCGGAGGGGACTACGATAGGCTGAAACGGTTCAACCTGGCCGAGATCTACGACCCAACCCCCAAAGCAGGAGAGGACACGGCTACTGAAACCCCCAAGGCCAAGGCTTAAGCTGACACCAACGACCAACTACCCTTTTCAGGTGCCCCGGACTCTTTTTTTGGGCCATTGATTTTAGCTTTTCTCAATCAAAAATCATGATCCCAAGGATCTCTTCAGTGACGACAGGTTTCAAGTGTGTGCAAATAAGATGCCTAGAGTTCAACTAGAACGGCCACCAGGTTCATGCAGCCACAAGCCGTCCCGCGCGGGGCATTGCCATGGACTTCCAGGTACGCAGTGAACACAAAGGCAAGCATTATACCCGAAGAGATTTCTCCGATTTCTGAAACGAGCTGGAGGCCGGGAGCTATCTGCGGATCCCAGGGGCTCGAGCACGCTGAGGACAAAGTACAAATGACTTGCATGGGGAGAGTTCCTCGCGCATATACCGTGTAGAATATCGAAGCCTAGAATAGTCCTCCGTAAGCGTGTTTCCGACATGAGCAAATGGAATCACCGATAGCCTCATAGGGCCTATCCAAGAATAACACCATCATACACGCAACACCAAAAATCTCGCCCAAAGTGCCTTACACTTCGACAGAAAAACCAAAGAACAAAAAGAAGTTCTCTGATCCTGGCGATCCACAGACATTCGGCAAGGCGCACTTGTGATTGGGCGGGTGGCGGTGGTCGGATAGCCGCTTTTCTTAGATGGGGATGGTTAGGCGAGACGGGCTTCACTTCATTTCCATCTCGCTTGCTTCGAGCCTCCAGAGCGAAACATATGCCTGCAATTAGGCTCCGCTGTCTTTGCAACCTCGGATGTCGCGTGGGTAAACCTACAGTAAACTGATGGCGCTGGTAATAGGTCCTTGGCGACTCTCTCTCAGCAGATTGCTACGTGCGCAATGCAACCATGGCGGTCTGGTGATCCCAGACAGGATATTCATACGGGATTTCTTTTTTTCAATGGATCCTCTGGTCTTTGTATCGTTCTGGAAGCCTGAACCGAGATTTATGACGCTTAATACTAGGCCGTGCATGGCCATATCGCAAATCAATACGTCTCCTCGGGGGTAGATCTCTCCCTTTTCTATTTGATGAGTCGGGACAGCTTCGCTTATACATAAATTCTCCCCTGTCGGTTGATCTCAGTCAATTTCCCCCATGACATTAAGAAAAACCGTTCGTGATGCAACAGCTTGACTTGAAAACATGGTCTGCTATGCCATCTCTCGGAGGACCAGACCCTCATATAGGCACTGGTCGACAATACCGGATCGCTGAAGAAGAAGAACAACATAAACTGGATGCTGTACTCTCACTGCTCTTCCCTTCTACGGTTAGCGTGCAACATTCGCAGCCTATTATGGGTCATGTTCACACGTTGCGGCTCCTGGCACTTTCAAACGGAGCCCGATTGTTGCTCAAGGGCTCACCGTCATCGAGAACGGCTCTTCTTCGACGTGAACGATCATTCCTCGAAACTGAAGCCCAGTTTCTGGCCCTGCTTGGTACGAGTGGAAACCCGTGTATCCCCCAACTCTACCATTATGACCCCCATGGCAGAGTGTGGGGATCTCCATATATGATTCGACAGTACATGAAAGGCAATTCATTGCTCGAGATGGAGAGCCGACTCACCTCTCGGAAACGGGATGATATTGACCGCCATTTGGGTTTCTTGACGAGCACTATCGGTCAGAATGCAGCACCTGGGTTTGGCTCTCTGCAGCAAGTGGCATACGGAGCTGGAAGGCCCTCCTGGAGAGAGGCCTTCTGCACTCTCTTCGAGGGTATTCTCCGCGATGCCGAGGATACATTCATTCATCTTCCTTATTTGGAGATTCGAAATGAACTGAATCGTCTGGCACCTGCCCTCGAATTTGTCACCTTGCCACGTTTGGTGGTCGTCGACTTCGGTCAGCCCTCGCACGTATTGTTAAATGAGGGCTCCGACCAGGTGTCTGGAATTGTCGACTTTAGCAGCGCCCTCTGGGGTGACGTGTTGATGGCAGAGATCTTTGCAAACCCATCCCCGGCGGTTTTGCAAGGAGCAGGCATGTCGCCGTATAGAACAAGAGAGGAAAAGATTCGGCTGGTCCTGTATGTCTCTGAACATTGATTTTACATAATGAGCCAGGCTAACCCTCCTTCGTTGTCAGGTATGCATGCTATCGGCTGGTCTCCCAGATCACCCTCCAATATCATCGGAGCCGAGATGAGACGAGCGAATTCGACGCACGCAGACGATTGACAACCACTATTGCGGAGATGGCGAGGCTTGAATAAGTGAAATATTGCAACTGCTTTGACTGGTTCTTTGCATGTTGGGCATTATCTTCTGGGAGATTCAGATATAGATTGTTGTTCTCTAGCGATTTGTTTCCGCGGAGCCCCATATATAGTTTTGCATGGAATCCGGAGTTTTGTCTTGCCCAGATTTCTAGCATTTGATGAATAAAGCAGAGTTCCATCATCAGTCCAAGTGTACATAACCGTATCAATAGAAGGGCAGCCCAAGGGTTGCCGGAGTGGCGGAATGCCGGAGTCCATAGGGCGGAGCGGGGCAGATCCGTGTTTAGCTTCTGCATGGCGTCAGCTCTCCCTCTCCACACTTTTTGACTTCTTCCCTTTTGATATCCTCTTCCACTTGCACCCTCCAAGATGGCCCATCTTTTGCGAGGCAAGCAAGCCGGTATCCAGAAGGATCTGTCTGAGGGCTTGTCCCCAGACTTGTTTCTCCTGGACGACGTAGGTCTTGGCATCCCAGGCATCCTCGTTTATGACTGACATCCTTCGCAGTTCGCTCGGTGTGGTATAAACTCACAGATCACCACCATCGCATACGATCCTGTTCAATCGCTCCTCGCCGTCGGTACCAGTGACTCCCAGTTTGGAAGCGGGCAGATCTATGTCTTTGGACAACGGCGGGTGTCGGCAGTCTTCAACTTCCCGCGCAAGGCGTCTGCACGCTTCCTTCAATTCTGCGGTAGCAAGATTGTGAGCATTGACTCTAAGAATGAAGTCAGTGTTTACTCTTTGGAGTTTGGGCGCATGCTCGTGTCCTATGCGCCCCCGGGCCAACCGACGGCCTTGTTAACAGACCCGAGCTTGGACTATGCGTTTATCGGCTTGTCAAATGGTTTGTTCACCGTATGTAATGAATGGGGGCATGATGGTTGACCGTGGAACAGGTGATATCATTGCGTACGACCTTGACAGAGAAACTATGACACCTTTTAAAATCCCCAACTTATGGTTGGAACGCAATCCTCGCGCGCGGTTCTCTCCTGTTGTGTCGCTGGCATTTTCCACACGAGACATTGGCAAGATCCTAGTGGGATACCCGGAGGGAGCAGTCACTTTCACATTTAAGCAGAATGTTGCGCAAAAGTTCTTCGTCTACGAGATTCCTCCTGGGGCCCCGGGTGGAGATGCAATGCCATCCAGGGATGTGCGCAGACCCAAGCTGACCAACGCGATTTGGCACCCAAATGGTATCTTCATTCTTACAGTACATGAAGATACAAGTCTAGTGCTGTGGGATACAAAGGACGGCCGCAAACTTCATGCTCGGACTGTTCAAAAGCCCAACGTTGATAGCCCTGATTCTTCCAGACCTAGCTCGCCTGGAGAGCCTCCTGGGCCGAGAGAGCCTATCACAAAAGTAGCTTGGTGTGCCAAAGGAAACCCGGATGACACTGGCCTATTGGTAGCTGGTGGTCGGCCAGTTGGCGACCAGGTTAAAGGCCTCGTGTTTCTGGACATGGGCCCAACTCCCAATTACCAGACTTCTTCATGGCAGATCCTGTCAAGCTACTTTGAGCGCTCACGGCGTGAGATGAATCTTGCCATTCCACCGGGGGCTAAGGTTGTGGAATTTTGTCTCATCCCCCGGGCTTCACCTTACTTCAATGGTGCTCAAGATCCGATTGCGCTTCTTGCTGTGCTATCCTCGGGCGAACTTATAACTTTGAGTTTCCCCAGCGGACACGCAATTACTCCAACTAACATGCTTCATCCCTTCCTCACACTCGTTCATCCATTTGTGAATAAAGCAGTGCTTACTCCCGTCGATCGCTCTGTGTGGCTCGGTCTGAAAGAACGCCGCTCGCAAGGCCCTAAATTCGCAATGGGCGGCGCCGAAGCAAAGAACCCTCTTAAACGCTATGAAAACCGCAATGTCATCTCCACAGCTCATGCAGACGGTACCGTTCGCGTTTGGGATTGTGGGCATGATGATGAGATCGAAAACAGCGAAGTGATTCAAGTAGATCTTGCCCGTGCTGTTGGTCGAGTGAAGAACATCGAAGTAACGGAAATGTCTTTTGCGAGTTCAGCTGGCGAGATGTCTATTGGCCTCAAGTCCGGCGAGGTTGTTATCTTCCGGTGGGGCAATAACCCCTCGTATGGACATGAGCAAGCTCCTGGTGCAAACCAAGGGCCTGGGAAATTGACCCCAATTATCCAGCGGACAGACCCTGGCCTTAAAACAGGATTGCTTCCGCTTACTATGTTGGATATGCAACTAGGTCCAGTGACCGCATTGAAGCACGGCCTAGTAGGATTTGTGGCCGCTGGGTTCCAAGGTGGTGGCATAGCGATCATTGATCTGCGAGGCCCGGCAGTCATACACACAGCACACCTGTCTGAGTTTATCAAAGCACCGAAGCGAAGCAGTTTCGTCCGCAAGAGAAGTGGCTCGGAAGATGCTCACCCCGAATGGCCCACTAATATTGAGTTTGGTGTCATGACACTAGAAAATGACGGTAAAGATATACTAAATTGTTTCTCGCAACTGAAGTGCTAATCGCGATATAGACTATTCCAGCATTTGTTGCTTTGTCGGCACCAGCCGCGGTAATGTGGCAACCTTTAAGATCCTTCCCAGCCCCAATGGCACCTACACAGCCGCTTTCGCTGGATCTTCATCAGTCGATGACAAAGTGATCAATATCATTCCTATTGATGCAGACTCGGGTGGTCTTGCTATTGCTACACCGAGTGTGGTTGGCAGTTTGAGAAGTGGTACCAAGGTCAACGGCGTTGTATTTGCTGTGACTTCTGGTGGCTGTCGTATCTTCAAGCCGCCAATGTCGAAGGGGGCCCATAAAGCATGGGAAGACTATATCTGTGACTCGGCACAGGTCGTCAAAACCGAGGGCCGTGGCTACAGCTTGGTAGGTCTTTTTGGTGACGGCAATGCTCGTGCACTCTCAATTCCTAGCCTCCGAGATATTGGATGTACCAAAATCAATCATATTGCGGACATGCGACGACTTCCAGAAGCATGCATTACCCCAACTGGAAACATCATGACATGGGTTGGTCCTTCAGAACTTGGGCTGTTTAATGTCTGGGGAACTGGAAACAAATTGTACGTGCTTTTTATGCGGTCACCGGGTTACATACTAACAAGCTTTGCAGGAGTCCCTCAAAAGACCGTCTTTGGAATCCTGCGGCTGTTTTACCCAGTCGGCCTACTATCACCAACATGCAATGGATCTCCGGAACACAATACATCTCCCCAGCAGACATGGACATACTAAGTAAGCCAACCCTCATCAAAAACTACTGATCTGATCTAACACCCACCCCAGTTGGAGGCCCAGACCGACCACCATCAAAACAAATGATCGAACAAATGAAACACGAAGACCAAGAACGCCGACAAGCCCAAAGAGAAGGACGAGCCCCACCACCCGAACAAAGCGGCAATCAAGAAGGCTACTGGTCTTATATGTCACGTCAAGTCCAAGAACGCACAGAGCGACTAGGGATAGTCGGAGATAGCATGGACAGACTCGAAGAAAACAGCAGCAACTTTGCTACCGACGTTGGCAAATACGTACAGGCACAAAAGAGGAAGGCTGTCTTTGGCGGTAAGTCGATCTCTGACGGGCCTGCAGGCCCAAGTACTCACCCCCTTGCATACTTGATGCTGACCGGTTGTTTTTGTAGCACTTGGTTCGAAGTTTGGGCTTTAGCTTGCTCCTTCTGCAGTATTCTGGGGTTCGATGGTTTACAGTAATTAGTCTGCATACAGTATGGGCAGGCTTGCCTGTTCCTTTACTTAGTTTCCCACCTCCTAAGCGTGGTTGGGCCGATATTACGGGATGTGATAGATCACCTTTTTACAATCCCACCCTGGAGTTATCTGGTGCTTTTATTCCCTCGCTTTCTTCATGGTGTAAGGACATGTGTATATTTAACCCCGAGCTAGTTTGAGCTGCGTGCTGTGCTGTGCAGTAGGACAATGCGGCCCCTTCATTATATGATCAGGAAATCAGTTCCGTTGTCGTCTGCAATTCCGGGGCAATAGGCGAAGACTCTATAGACATGCTAATGAAAGTATGTTAGAGAGGGATAAGATAGCGTTGTTCAAAAAGCCACTAATAGTGAGACAGACAGCTTCCACTAGTTTTACGTTGCTGCGGAAGGGGATCAATAGTAGCTTGCCTAGGGCTTCAAATGGGCGAATAGCTCGGGATAGTGGCGTAGTCTGAACATTCTTTATGTTGATCTAGAATCCATCACACAATTCTATGACTTCATTTGGCAGGTCGGAGGAATTCATGGGTTGCCACCTGGCAGGCTTGTACATGTAGGGCGCTGCATCATAAGGAGGCATGGAAGGGATATATGCATGACAATCCCTCCGTTCTTTAGAGAAGATGAATGAGAAGGACATTCAATGGCTCATCGGAACTCGTTGAAATTTTAATCAAGTCATTTCTATTTCATAGACTATAATTAATCCCCATTTTTGAAGGGTTTGGGAGAAAATCATGTCTTTGGGTCGTAAACGTTCCAGCTGTCGTCAAAAAACATTTGAAGGTAAGGGAAAAATGAAAGAAATGCGCGTTGGGATCATTAGCACACCATGGTCTAGTGCGCCATCACCTCAGCCTGATGGCCCGGGTGAGCGGCCTTCTGCTCGGAATCATCGCCCATCTCGACATCCTCATCGCCCTCACCACCATCCTCCTCATCGAGGTCGTCCTCATCGTCATCACTCTCAGCTTCAAGGTCTTCACTCTCAGCATCGGAGGCCTCCTCCTCCTCATCCTCCTTGCCCGCAGGAACCTCGGCACCCTCCATCTCGTGGTCCTCACCCTCAGCGGGCTTGTCAGACTCCTGGAGCTCCTTGAGGAGAGCCTCCTCTAGTTCACGTTCCTCAGCACCGTAATTGGCGCTGTCATCGGCCTGTCCATCGGCCTCAGGCTGGTCAGGCGGGTACTCAGCGGGGGCAGAGTCCTCGGTATCCCTGGAAACCATGTCAATCAGTATTCCATGATGAAAACAACAACAAAAACAAAAAAACAAGGGATCTCACCATTTGATAGCGAAGCGGGTCACACGGGGCTTCTCGGCCAGGACATTGCGACGGATGCGCTCGATAATTGGCTTTGAAGGGGGGTCGGTCGCCAGTTCCTCGTTGTCATACTCGTTGTTGACGTAGTATCCAACGCGGACGAATTCTCGGCCATCGTAACTGCAGGTGAGGAGGATGACAGTGACGCCCAACATCTCCGAGCTGGGGATGCGGTTGACATCAGGCGCATCCGCCTCAAAGATGAATTTGTTTACTCCGACCGGGATTGGGCCGACAAGAAGGGAGTCGAGTTCTTGGTCATACTCGGAACTGTTGACGTTAGCTTGGGCTGCAATTATCTGACACGGAGTGAGGTAGACTTACGAAGTGGCGGAACCGACATAAGTGAGCTTCCATTCGAGATCTTAGCAGGGTGCGTTAGCATATTTCCTTCAAATGAGGGGCGTCATTTTCACTCACCTTTCTGGAGTTGCTCCAAGCACTCAAAGGTAATCTCAAATCGGTAAGAGTCGGTGAAGGCAGCCGGGTTGTTGAGGATTTTCACCCCGAGAAGGGAGACGACGGACATTGTGATAAGACGTGTATGTACGTGGATAGGTGAGAAAGTAGTGCAAGGTTGAAAAGGATTGGGAAGAGGTGAGAGATATAGACGAGGGGAAGATGTCAAGTGAGAATTATAAAGGAAAAGAAATAAACAGAAGAGGTCCACAAGAATGCAAAGGGCCTTAACTCTCGACGGCCCCTCTCAATGCGAGGAGCCCACGATCGACGCGCCTTCGCGTCCCTCGCATCGCGCTCACCGCCCGCACGTGACTCACTACCCGGGCAACCTCAATTCCCTGCGGCTCAGCTTGTCCAGTGGCTGTGTCGCAAAGCCTCCCTCGGTCTTGGATCTGACCTTCGTTGACCCTGACTCTTGACACTTTCGGACATTGAACATCTAACTTCTCCAGTTTCTCATTTGACAATCGCCCATCATGGACGACGAAGCTGAAGCGGCTTTTTTCCAAGCTCAGCAGTCCGAGCCCATGACTGAGTCGGCCCCCGCCGAGCTGCAGGAGGGCGATAACTCTGATTCAGATGACTACGATCCATCGCAAACATTGGGAGACGACTATCCGCCTACCGCTCCCGATGATACTCCGGCTCACGATCCTCCCACTGACGCAACCCCCACGCATGATAACGCTCTCAATCTCACCAATACTACAGGCATGGAAGCTGGCCCGACAAGCGATAACCTTGATCCTTCTCAAGACCCCTCACGTGCTGAGTCTCAGACGTCTACACCTGTTGCACCCTCCGGTGATGCGGCCGAGCCTCGGACCACAATGATCGGGGGATTTGAGGTTGAAAATGATGAGGATGACAAGGGTGATGCGGACTATGAGCCCCCAGCTGTACTTGGAGATGAGAACGCAAATGATATGACTGTGCCCATCTCCGAAGATCTCAGTTCAGGAAATGCAATTCAAAACACTTCCCCGGATGTATCATCACAAGCTCCGCAAGGTCCTTTCAGTGCGCCAGATCCCAATAGTTCTTATTCTCCTGCTCGTGCTCATAATATTGATCCTTCTTCTGTTTCTGGCCAATCTCACTGGGCTGCGCAGGACGTGCAGCCTGCAAATATGCAGGCTAGTACTGATCCTACCCCTGTACCTGACTCCCCTTCTGCCAAGGGCCGTCTCCCCCATGACCATGTGGGAATCCTGGAGGATCGCATCAAAGAGGACCCCCGAGGTGATATCCCCGCGTGGTTGGAGTTAATCGCCGAGCACAGGAGCCGCAACAGACTCGACAGTGCCCGTGAGACCTATGAACGCTTCTTGAAGATCTTCCCTCATGCGGTAAGCTCAGTTTACCTTCTATCAAGATGCAACGTTACTAATTCGATATCAGGCCGACCAGTGGGTGGCATATGCCGTCATGGAATCTGAACTTAATGAACTCTTCCGCCTGGAGCAGCTCTTCAACCGAACGCTTCTGACAATTCCTAGCGTCAATCTGTGGGGTGTTTATCTGGACTACATCCGTCGCCGCAATCCTTTGACCACAGATGCCACTGGACAGGCACGTACCGTCATCTCTCAAGCGTATGATCTGGCATTCCAATACGTTGGCATGGACAAGGACAGCGGAAACATCTGGACAGACTACGTCGAGTTTATTCGCTCTGGGCCCGGCACTGTCGGTGGAACGAGTTGGCAAGATCAGCAAAAAATGGATATTTTGCGAAAAGCTTACCAGCGAGCCATTGCCGTTCCAACACAAGTGGTCAATACTCTCTGGAAAGAGTACGATCAATTTGAGATGGGTTTGAACAAGCTTACGGTAAGTCACGCTTCCTCAAAAGCCATTTCATTAGTACTTATCATCACTATCAGGGTCGGAGATTCTTACAAGAGCAGTCGCCTTCTTACATGACAGCCCGCAGCTCACACACCGAGTTGCAAAACATTACTCGCGACCTCGTGCGAACCTCGCTACCCCGGCTACCCCCTGTGCCAGGCTCCGAAGGTGACTTTGAGTTCTCGGCACAGGCCGAAATCTGGAAGCGGTGGATCGCATGGGAGAAGGAGGATCCCTTAGTTCTCAAAGAGGATGACCTTCCCGCTTTCCGAGCACGCGTCGTCTACGTTTACAAGCAAGCAGTCATGGCATTGACCTTCCTGGACGAGATCTGGTTTGACGCTGCCGAGTTTTGCTTTTCGAACGAGATGGAAACTGAGGGCATCAATTTCTTGCAACAGGGCATTGAAGCCAATCCAGAAAGCTGCCTGCTAACCTTCAAGCGCGCAGACCGCTTGGAAATGGTCACAGATGCTGACCAGGACCCCACCAAACGAGCAGCCAAGGTTCGAGAGCCCTATGACAAGCTTCTTGATACACTTTACGAGTTGATCAACAAGGCGCGCGCTCAGGAGTCTCAAGATGTTGCTCGGATCGAAGAATCATTTGGCCCTCAGAACGCCGATAAACACGCCGAGGACAGGAACGACGACGAGGAGGATCCAGAAACAAAGGAAAGAGAGGCAGCCAAGGTAGCTCAAATCGAGGCAGTTCGCAAAGCCCACGCCGTCCAGATCAATCTTCTCTCCAAGACGGTGTCCTTTGCATGGATTGCACTCATGCGTTCTATACGTCGCATTCAAGGCAAAGGCAAGCCCGGAGAACTGGCTGGCTCTCGGCAAATCTTTGCAGAAGCCCGAAAGCGTGGTCGAATCACCAGCGATGTTTATATTGCCAGTGCTTTGATGGAGTACCATTGCTACAAAGATCCCGCTGCCACAAAGATCTTCGAAAGGGGCGCAAAGCTGTTCCCCGACGATGAGAACTTTGCACTCGAGTATTTAAAGCATCTCCTCGACATCAACGACGTCACCAGTAAGTTGCCCATCATACCTTTATCAAATTATTTACTGACTAAAATGTAAGATGCTCGCGCCGTTTTTGAAACAACCGTGAGAAAATTGGCCTCGGTTCCGGAGAATGTTCACAAGGCCAAGCCTATATTTTCCTTCTTACACGGGTATGAGTCCCGCTATGGCGATCTCACCCAAGTGATTAATCTGGAGAACCGTATGCGTGAGCTCTACCCAGAGGATCCTGCCCTGGAACAGTTCGCCCACCGTTACTCCATCCCTTCATTTGATCCCACTACCGTGCGCCCCATTCTGTCGCCATCTCAGACTCGTCCTCGGACAACTGTTCCTGGTGGCCCGTTGCATTACCACGAGTCTCCTATGGCACGATACGCAGAACCCTCTCTGAATTCCCCCAAGAGACCTTTCCCCGTCGATGACTTTGATGAGGACACCAACCGTCCACGAAAGTTTATTCGTGCGGAGTCCCCAATGAAGAGCGCCCAGGCTCGGCGCCTCGACCAAAGTAAGCGAGTGCAGCAGTTGAACGGTCAAAACACCTCATACAAGGCTCAAGGCTCTCCGGCCCCTCTACCTCGTGAGGTAGTCAACTTGCTGAGCATTATGCCCCCTGCATCTTCATACAATATTTCCCGGCTGTCTGCTGAGAAGATGATCGATCTGCTTCGCCACATCGACCTTCCTAGCAACATTGCCCAGCTTCAAATTCCCCAAAATACCCGCGGCCCTGCTCAAAACCCGAACGGGGGCATGAATTATAATGGTAACATCCACAACCTTGTTTTAGCGTCCCATGCAGCATTACTAACAGGCCATAGGTTCCTACCGTTGATCTCTCAGCTACAATATTTCGTCTCCTCCGGAGACTGCCATAATTTCCATTTCTGTATACAATCTCGCGATACCTGCTCTGCAATATCTTCCATTTTCAGGCGCTCAAAATATCCCGATTTGTCTTCGACACTGATAACTCCCGCCCCTGTTTTTGATGGGCATTTCATGAAACACGGTCAGGGCTCACACGGTTGTTTCGGGTCCCCATTGCATCTTCCATCGGCGTCGATCTATCTGGCATTCTTTCGAATAGGGCTCCCTTTCTCAACATTTGCTTGCTGGATTGGGTTAATCTCTCTTTTTTTTGTACAGTTTCGAAGCAATGCAGATAATTTCAGAGTTCATTTTCCAATTTCCGTATCATGATCATTGATGCTTCGTATCGGCTTAGCTAGTATCAGATTTTCACCTGGACAGCTCCCGAGGTCCAGGACTTTGATTGCCCCAGTGGGCGCATCCAAGGTTCCATGGTTTGACCGTTGTGCTGGTAAACACAATAAGCATCACTAATCAAAGCTAGACCTGCAGGCACTGCACCAAGTGGGTCACCATATGACTTTCCGGAGCTGCCTGCCCAAGTCCAGTGGCGCGGGAATGTATGGCAAGACAATCCAGCGGATGTCTCGGCGATAGACCCGTCAACAAATCCTTCCAGAATAGCCGTGGATGGCTTTTCTATGTGGGCAGTCCAACGATATCCACGGATGTGTAGCTCTAGAAGTTCCAAAAGCCAGAATTGAGGTTATCAGATCCGACGCCGAGTTCTTCCCCCCACTTGGGTTCAAGCGACTCTGTCTCGGAACGCCTCTTTCGAAAAAAACATCAAGCCGAGAAGAAGAAAAAATGCGCCGAATCCATGGCAATGGCGCGGGACCGCGTGAACCGGTAAGCTAGAGCCATGAGAGCGGCGACGGAATCGAATGGGAGGTGGATCTGTTGGCGCTAAGGGAAGGATGTGGCTGTGGCGTACAGTAGTTTCCAGGTGTGAACCATAAGCAAATCCTGCAGTTCCAGCAATTCCAGCACTTCCAGTCCTGGAATACCGAAAAATCCTCAAGTTCGGCCGTACCGAAGAAGTCGGGAATCACATGGCACAAAGTTCAGAAGTGATCTGATAATTCTGTGATCATCTGATTAGATCCACGGTAAGAATGCCTTTGCTGATTGTTCGATCTTTCGGTCTCACAGCCAAGCCGGCTCAGGGCAACCATCCGATTTCGGGCGAAATCCCGGGCAATTGACCAGGGAAGCATTCTTGGCGTGGGCAGAGGTTGTCTGCGTGACCGGAGTAGCCGATAGTCCATCTTTCGGCCCGGACGCATTTAGGCCATGTTTGCCTGCAGACTGTCATTCCAGTCTATAGTACTGTACAATCTGCCGTCTACGATCGTATGAGTATCCACTGTATGCTCTTGTCCTCGGAAATCCAAATCAGCCGCTATAAGCAATAGAAAAAAGTCTGCAAGTGCCGGCGCAATTTGCTTAGCCAAAGTTTAGTGACAGCCAGACTTGGCCATGGGGGGCCCATTCGCGACAATCGACCAATCAGCACAAGCAGAACTTATCTGATCGAGTTTGGTTTGGGTGTTTTCTTTTTCGGGTCTCTGTCGGACTATACTGGGTTAGTGCCAGTGCAATGAGAGACCCGGCAAATTTCCATGCTTGGTCCCATGTAGAAATATGGGCCCCCTCCCTCGTCTTTTTCTCACTTCTATACTTTCTCTCTCGTTTCTTCCAGGACATTCGTGATCATGGGTGTCATTAGTCTGGTTCGTGGTCGGAGGGACCACACCGTGGTCGAGGATCTGCGTCCCACCCAAGAGACCGAGACAAAGAATGAGGTCAATGTAGAACAAAACACCGTCGACAGTGACCTAAGCAACCTGGCCCGCGCAGAGAAGGAGATTCAGGAACACCCTGATGAAATTACATCCGGTGCGGCTGCTGGTGTGCGCAAGGCCGAGGCGGTTGCTCTCGTCTGGGGCAAGAAGGCTGTCTATGCGACCTATGCCTGGTGAGTATGCAAAACCCTGAATCTCAACGCGACATTCTAACATGGTTATTCATAGGATCTGGGTCTGCTTCTTCATGCTCGCATTGCATTCCGCCATTGGCAATAACGTGCTCTACTATGCCTACTCCAACTTCCAGAATGCCTCGCAAGTCAGTACTGCGAGCATCCTGGCGAGTATCGTGGGTGGAGTGCTCAAGCTCCCCGTGGGAAAGATCTTGACGTTATGGGGACGCGCGGAAGCCCTGGTCATCTTCACTGGTATCTACCTTCTCGGAATTATCATTCTCGCTTCTTGCAACAATGCCAACAGCTACGCTGCCGGCTACGTGCTGTACTGGGTTGGATATGATGCCATCTATGTCATTCTGGATATCTTCATCGCTGATACCTCGGGCATGCGCAATCGTGCATTCGCTTTTGCCTTTGCCTCGACGCCATTTATCTGTACTGCATTCACCGGCTCATTGGCTGCAGCCAGTTTCCTGAAGACCGCCAACTGGCGCTGGGCATACGGTGCCTTTGCCATTATCCAGCCCTTTGTGTTCCTGCCTCTGGCTGGTGTCTTCAAGTACTATGAGATCAAGGCTCGTAAGATGGGTGTGCTTCAGCGTACCCCAAGTGGCCGGACTACCATGCAGTCGATCGTCCACTACATCCATGAGTTTGATATCGTTGGAGCCCTGATCCTGATGGCAGCTTTCATCTTGTTCCTCTTGCCATTCAGCTTGGCCAACTATGGCCGTGCTCAGTACAAGGAAGCCTCCTTCATCGCCCCCTTGGTTATTGGCTTCTGTCTCTTCTTCGTCTTCGCTGCCTGGGAGAAGTGGTTCGCTCGCACTCACTTCATCCCGTACCAGCTCTTCCGAGACCGTACCGTCTTCGGTGCCTGTGCACTTTCAGCCATTCTCTACTTCAGCTTCTACTCGTGGGATCTGTACTACTACTACTTCGTCATGGTGGTGTACAACCTTGACGTTACCATGACCGGGTACATGACCTCCATCTACACTGTCGGCTCCTGCTTCTGGTCTCCAATCTTCGGTCTCTGGATCCGCTTCGTCAAGGAGTTCAAGTACACATGTCTCTTCTTCGCTCTGCCACTGATGATGCTCGGAGCCGGTCTGATGATCCATTTCCGGGGTTCAGACGGCGACATCGGATACGTGATCATGTGTCAGATCTTCATCTCTTTCGCCGGTGGTATGATGGTCATCGGTGAACAAATGGCCGTCATGTGTGCCTCCGATCGCGAGGGCATCCCCATGATGATTACCCTTGTCTCTCTGTTCTCGAACTTGGGTGGTGCTATCGGTTACGCCGTTGCCGCTGCTATCTATTCCAACACCTTCCCCCAGGCCCTGGCTCGTGCCCTCCCTGCCAGCGCCAAGGACCAGGCTTCGACTATCTTTGCCGGTGGATATCTCACCCAGATGAGTTATCTGCCTGGTACGGAGATTCGCGATGCTATCAATTACGCTTATGGCTATAACCAGAAATATGGCTGTATCTCCGCCACGGCTGTTCTCGTGCTTGCGATTCCTGCTATTGCTATGTGGAAGAACTATCGTGTTGACAAGGAGCAGAACAAGGGTACAGTGCTCTAGACACATATATGTGTGTCACTATTTTGCTTTAAACGCTTATGGTTCCTTTTATGTTTATGTTTATGCCCTGCGTGGGTGCGTTGCTATGTACAAAATGTGGCGTTATGTGTCAACCGGGGAAGATTATGACTTGAAAACCGATCCTGTAATTTGGATATCTGATAATTGATACCACGCTAATTTCAAACACATTTGAATCTGAAGAATTGCCATATTCACAAGTACCTGCTGGTAGACATGCGTAAACCCCGTAAGGCAGTGACTGGAGGAACTGAGACAATTCAGTTTATTCACGATGAAAGCAACAACACCTGCTTGTTCAGTCCCAAAATCATAAGCTGAATTGAAACTCGGAGGTCTTTTCGATCCAGTGTTTCAACTCAGGTCAATATACCTCGACAGCCCTATATCCCCACTACAAATATTTCCCTAAACGTACACTAGTATGCTTCCTGATTCGTCCATGGTCGCGTTCTTCCCCTACGGAGATAGGATCAGCCGGCAGATCTACGCGCCGATCTGGGGTGCATCATCAGAGCAGTACCTTTCAAAATGTTTCAGGTCGTAGAATCCTTCTGCTTCGCCTGAGCTGAGCCTGTTGAATATACTTCCACGTGACGATCAGCAGGTCACGTGTCAGAGGGAAAAAGGGTCCAGGTCCAGGGGCAACTCGATAATGGAGAGACATGCGAGGAAATAGAAATTACCACAAAGACATCTTGTGACGCTAGTTTGATCATGAAACTTGGGGAGATTTCAGGCCGGGGGTGACAGCAGAAGCCCGTACTTTAGTCGTAAAACGTATCTGCAGACTCCACTCGAGCGGGGCCACGTGACGATCCTCCGTTGAATGTTGAGATAGATATCTTTTTCTCTGAACATTCCACGTCCATTCGCGGATTCGTGTTCGAGAAGGTCGACGCAAGGAGCCTCGGTCGCTTCCACTTGCTCATTCTGATCGGCGTAAGGCTCTCTCAGCAGGTATCAGATAAGCGGGCAGTATTGGGTTAATATCCTCTTGTCTTGCAACTATCTCGACCTGTCACCCAGCCCCCTCACGATCTCGGTCTGGTCTGCAATATCGGGCGCGATAATTTCGGGGACGCCGAAACATGCCAAATGTCAGCCGGATCGGACGCTTGAACTTGCACCCCCTGGTCTCTGCCCTGATTACTATCATTCGATTTTGAATCCCAGCCGCTCGACAAACCTAGATTGAAAGCATGATGTGTGAATGATCATATCTGAACGACGACAAGACCTTCAATCGCAACCCTCGGCGCCACAGCCGGGACAGCAGAATAAACCACCCTGCAAAAGATCGCGCCCGGGGTCTCGATCTTCACGATGGACGGACGGCAGCAGTATATTCCTGGACCGCCGCCTACCTCCCAAACACATCCCATGAATCTACCTCCACCTCCGCCTCGCCAAGTTGTACCGCCCCCTCCCCCTGGCCCGCCGCCGGGGTCGACATACACCCCAGCAACGGCATACGGAGTTCCTACAGGATGGCAGCAGCAGCAGCAGCAGCAACAAAACTGGGGCAGGCAGGCGCTGACTCCAGGCTTTCCCCCGCCTCCTCCTCCTCCTATGGCTGCCCCTACACAAAATCATACTCTAACGTATGGTCGCCCACCGGCTCCTTTATCAATAATTCCGCCGCGCCCCCCGAATGATTCCCTACCGTTGACGTCCGCCACCTACATACCCGGTAACGACACGATTGGAGTTGGTATTCCTGGACTCTTTGACACCCATGGAAGAGCTCAATATGACCCGTATGCGCACTCTGCCACGGTCGAAAGACAACGGCTGGGTATGAATCAACCGCATGAGCTGATCAGCAACCAAGCTCCATACAAGCTAGACCCAAGCCTCCCACAGACCCCCGGAACTCGCACTGCTCCCCAATCCTTTGGTCTTCATGGTAATATCCATGAACTGACATCCAACGACAGTCCTCAGCCGCAGCCGCAGGCTGGAGAGATTGTCAAGTCGTCAAGCCATCGCCACAACCCGAGCGGTGCGTCGCTGGGGGGGTTGTCGCACAGTGAGGCTGCGATCCAGTGGCCATTGGAGCGAGTGCTCATATGGCTTGCTAGAAATGGATTTTCCAACGACTGGCAGGAAACTTTCAAGTCTTTGGAACTCCAAGGAGCTGACTTCCTCGAGCTTGGTCACGGCTCTGGTGGCCGAGGCAATCTGGGGAAGATGCATCAAGTTGTTTATCCTCAACTGGCAAAGGAGTGTGGCCTAAATGGCACAAAATGGGATCCTGGCCGTGAAAGAGACGAAGGCAAGCGCATGCGCAAATTGATTCGTCAAATTCACGATGGTTCGCAAGATGCGGTTTCGACGCCTTTGCAGCCGACTCAGCCGAATGCATTCCCTGATAGTAGTCTTGCATACTTCTCTAATCATTTCCCAGAACCACGCTCTGCTGGTCCCATCGCTGGTACTAACGATGTGAGCCCAGAACACCTTACTGCACTGCATGCCGCCAATCAGAAGCAGGCTGGGCAGCGTTCAGTGACAATGCCGGTTTCTACTGCACACGATTCGCCGAGGTATGAATCTCCCGCGCGGGAGTCGCCAAATTGGTTGCGATCCGACTATTCGCGGAATGCCTTGTCTGGAATCGGTGAACATCGACGCCAGAGCCCTTCGATTGGAAGTGAAAGTGGCACATTTCAGGGTGCTATACTTCGACCCCAAGAAGGTAGCCCGAAGAGTGGGAGTCCGGCCTTGCCATATGTGACCCCCGCTTATACGCAGCACCCAACTTCATCAAGTGGAGACCTGTCGTTGAAATATGACCACTCGCGAGGCAACAGTACCGACTCCATTCCAGGTGTCGGGAGGGGTTCCACGCCCCGTTACTATGGCAGACAAGGCCCAGAAGGTGCTCGTCCTTCTCCGCAGGATGCCTATTCTCGTCAATGGAGTGGAGATACCCCTTCATCGTATAAAGACCACAGTAAAGGCTTTTTGGGTTTTCTTAAGAAGAAAACAAGAGCTAATGACTCCAATCACCCATCTCCTGACCAACAGCAGGATGACTCCTCGCCGACTACCAGTCCAGAGACTCGTCCAAATGGGGCTTATCTCCCTTACTCAAAGCCTGGGTTCAACTCTAGTGATCTTTCTGTTGGCGATCGTCCATTGACGGGCACAACAAAGACCAAGAAGTGGGCATTTGTCACTCTAGATGGATCCTTATTCCGCCTCGTTGACATCTCCGACATGGAATCGGTCGAAAACCTCCGTGCTGAGATTTGTCGAAACATGGCAATCTCTGACTGGACCAGTGCTCAGATTTTTCTTACGGAGCCCGGTCAGACGGAGCACGAGAATCCTTTGAGCGATGCAAATCTGACGCACTCTCGTCGCAGCAAGTCCGATCAATACGGCTCTTTGAAACTGTTTGTACGGGGAAACCCTGTTCATCCTCCTACTACTCCTCGGGTCGATGGTCTGGGTGTTTCGTTTTCTGACAAGTCGAACCTGTCTCCAACTGCAACGCATCACCAGGTTCACAGAAAGCCACTAGATGAGGATGCCCTGAGTCGTATATCACCGCATCATGCTGTACCAAGCTCTCCATCCTTGGCCTCTCGGCAGACCACGATAAAGGCTCCGGTGAAGACATCGCCGGCGGAAACCACGCCAGACCTGAACCAGCCTCTAGACTCCGAGAAAGCCGATCTACTCGCCCGCCACGAGGAACATATGCGTGAAGTTGAGCGAAAGCAAAAACACTATTTCCTCTCCAAAGCGCCGCTGTCTCAACAAAAGGCCAATGCCTATGGTGATACTGGTTACAGGCGTAATGAAGTCATTGATTTCGACAGTCCTCGCATTTCGCCCTATGATGAAAAGAAAGGAGAATCGCTTGTGCCACTTCGCAAACCGCCAACGGCACCGTTCGAATCCAACACCCTCACAAAAGTCAACTCTCTCAGCAGAAGACCGAGCGAGGTTAGCTTCCTCAGCAGAAGACCCAGTGAACGTCCTCGAAACCGGCCGGAGGTTCAAACACATGGCCTTGGGGCTGCACTTGCCAGTGTTGGCCGTGTTACGAGTGCCATTGGCACTCCGTTGCCTTCGGTTGCTCCAACTTCCCCTACAAATCGAGATAGCGTAGGCTCCGAGTCGGATCGAGCTGGAACTCTTGACTCGGCTGGAACAATGTCAAGTAAATCAACTTTGGGTAGGTACCATGCTACTACTTCTTACTTCTTTCCTAACCATTCATCAGACTCGCGACCATCCTCTTCGAGGAATTCTCAACCCGAAATATCATTCGCCCAACAATCACCCGAAAAGTCCGACATTGACGGACCCTCGAGGCCTGCATTACAATCTCGCAAGTCATTCGGTCCGGAGTTCGACTTCGAAGAAAACCAAGTGTCTTTCCAGCGAACTCCCCAGCCACAAGATGACTCGGATGACGATTCTGACGATGGTCTATTTCAAGTCCGACCCTCAAGAACCCAAGAGGAACAGGAAATGGAAGCAGAGCCTGACAGAAAGTCAGAGAGGCCGTCCCTCACACTCAAAACAGGAGATCGACTCAGTAAGGGACTGTCTGTTCGTTTCAAGTCTCCGAGCACAGCCGGTCCCAGTTCTGGCGATGCATCGGATGGAAGGGAACCATTCTCTGCCAACCCTTACGAGTCAGTTTCTCCTGAAGATGAGAAGGCTCCTCGCCGGGATTCATTTGCCCGAGATGTTTGGGCAAGCAGACCAGCTGTCGAAGGCGTCATTGACAAGCTTGACGATTTCTTCCCTGACGTTGATCTTGATGCTCCTTATTTGGATGGGCCTCCGTCGCCAACCCCTAAGGCCTCCAACGCCGAGCATGATGCAAGTATCAATGAGAAAAAGGAGATGGCGCAAGCTATGCCGCATCCAACTTATGGATCCGATACAGCTACCGCCAGACCGGACGCTAGTATTGTTGCTCGACGCAATATCGCACGGGGTGGTGGTGGTGGCGGTGGTCTGTCGCGTATGAAGTCCATTCGTCAAGTTGCCCAGGGAGCGAACCGAACGAATAGTATTAGCACTGCTGGCCCTCAAAGGTCGGGTGATCTTTTGCGCCGGAAAAGTACGAAGATGTTCGGCGCCAAGATCATGCAAATCAGGCCTAGACCTGGCAGCAGGATCAGCCAGCTCGATCCCATTCCGCAAAACAGTAACCAAATCACCTCGAATACTGGTCCTGTGCCTCAGCGACAGCCTACTTTCCGTATCATCCGCGGTCAACTTATTGGCAAGGGTACCTACGGACGGGTATACCTAGGCATGAACGCGGATAATGGTGAGGTCTTGGCTGTGAAACTGGTCGAGATCAATCCCCGAATTGCTGGTGCAGACAAAGACAAAGTCAAAGAAATGGTCGCTGCATTGGATCAGGAAATCGACACCATGCAGCACCTCGAACATCCTAATATCGTGCAATATCTTGGCTGTGAGCGTGGAGAGTTCTCTATCTCTATCTACCTGGAGTATATCTCTGGTGGATCGATTGGAAGTTGTCTTCGCAAGCACGGCAAGTTCGAAGAGAGTGTTGTGAAATCACTTACGCAGCAAACACTTAGTGGTTTGGCCTACCTGCATGACAAGGGAATCCTCCATCGTGACTTGAAAGCAGACAATATCCTCTTGGATCTTGATGGAACCTGCAAGATCTCTGATTTCGGTATATCCAAGAAGACAGATGACATTTATGGCAACGACTCAAGCAACTCCATGCAGGGTTCCGTCTTCTGGATGGCCCCCGAGGTTATCCAGTCCCAAGGCCAAGGATACAGTGCTAAGGTTGATATCTGGTCTCTGGGCTGTGTGGTCTTGGAGATGTTCGCTGGCCGAAGACCGTGGAGCAAGGAGGAGGCCATCGGCGCGATCTTCAAGCTCGGAAGTCTGAGCCAGGCTCCTCCTATTCCAGAGGATGTGTCGCTGAACATTAGTCCGGCGGCTCTTGCATTCATGTATGACTGCTTTACAATGTATGTCCAACCCCCGCTACTCCTCACTTGTTTTGATCATAACTAACATCTGGTCCAGTGATTCGGCCGAACGTCCTACCGCTGGAACCCTGCTCACGCGCCACCCCTTCTGTGAAGCCGATGCAAACTACAACTTCCTAGACACGGCATTGTATGCGAAGATTCGGGTCTGAGGTGTTCATTTTTTTTCTTCCTCCTTAGCGTGATTTCTCCTTAGCGTGAATCGGGCTTTTGCGCCTCATTTTGTGTTCTTGATTTCGTCCTTTCTTTGGATCGCACATACCCTATCCCTGTCTGTTAGTTTTGAAGCGATACTAGATGATTCCTGGGGTTTCCCAGTCAGCTGTACATACATACTTTGCCTGTGGATCACGACATGAATCAGAGATACCGGATATTTCCTCTACAAGCTACCGTGCTAACATAAAGTAAGTCTGTACTCAGAAGTGAAAGCGTTTCACAAGATCACATATTCATCTCAGGCTTATATACAAAGTTGCGCTATTTCACATGGTATCTATGCTGAAGACGCGAATGGGGGTCAAGTAAAGTGTAAGAAAAGAGACAGCCAACTCCTAAGAGCTCGTACTCGAAAGATCATCATCCTCCTCGTCAGGAACATCAGCCTGCAAGCCAGCAACACCAACCCGGAAAACGCCCTCACACCACTCCGCAAAGGTATTAACATCCCAGATGGCATCCTCACGTCCCTTCCCCTTCCTACTGACCGAAACACCCTTCCCCTTCTCAGAAGAAATATACTTCTCAAAGAAATCCTCATAAATCTGAATCGTGCGATCCTGCACAGCCCCAACAAGCGTCTCCTTCATACGCGTGTCATCAATATACTCATTGAGAATCTTCCTGAGAACAGGGACCTCCTTCTCAATAGTCCAACAAGAAGGAAGAATAAGTTCCCCGCGCTGTAGATTCCGCGTATCGACAAACTTAGCCGGCAGCGAAGCAGTCATACGCGCCGCGAACGCATTGATGAAGTCGTTGATGACAGTGCGCAGTCGGCCGTCTAGCTCGACTTTGGCGTCGAGCATGTTCTCCACGACGCGGGGAATTAGGCCGTGGCCGACGAGTCGCATGAGGTTGCGTGGGTTGAAGAGACCGCCGCGTTCGCGGAGTTCCCAGAATGTGCTTGTCACGCCGGAGAAGTCGAAGGTTATGTCTGGGGCGACGTACTCGATGTCAAAGGCTACAATTTGTTGTTTTAGGATAAGGAGGTGGCTCATTAGGAATAGTTGGCTGTCTGCGGGTGTTGACTTGGCGGATATTTGGGTGCTGGCGTCTTGGAGGGAGAGGGTTGTTTGGTGGACGATTTGGTGGGCTAGGTCATCGAAGACGGTGGACTATGGGAGTTGTTAGATTCGGTTTTACGTTTCGGGTGTTTGATGGGAATGGTTCTTACGTTCACTAGACGGTAGATCCGACTCAGAAGCCATATTGCCTTTCGTAGGGTCGGATACCAGCCCTTGAGAGCGGTTTGGGTCTCAAAGTCCCACTTGCCATCTTGTTCCTGTGATTCGCCGTTGTCATCACCTTGTTTGGCTGTCAAGTCGATCATGGTCGCGGCAGATGTGTCCTTCTTGCCTGAGATTTGCGTGTCTGACACAGTCAGGGATACTTGGCGGTTGCGCATAGGATAGTCAATATCTTCTGGGCGGGGCTTGTATCGTTCAATTCCGTCTTGCAGAACAGCCAAAGCACGGAAGACAAGCCGGGCCTGAACGTCTTGCAAAGCTGGCTGAATTAAGACAGAAAAGTCGAGGTGGTTTGTTTCGACTTGCTCTGGTTCATCTTCTGGGTCCGAGAAATACCGGGTTTGTAGAAGGGTGCACAGTTGACAAAGTCTAACGATGTCGGACTCATGAATTATTCGAGGGCGTAGGTGGTCATAGAGCGGCTCGCATAAAGTTTCGAGAAAGTCATATAGACCTCCCTGTCCATGGAACCACTCTCCCCATAGGTCGAATTCATCTAGACACAATCCACGAATGTAACTAATACTTGCGCGAGCAAAGGCAACCAAGTCTGTGGAAGCACTCGGCATCTGAGTAATCTCAGCGAGCTTTTTGCGGGCGAGTGGAACGATCAGTCGTGCACGGGTGGCCGAGTAGTTGCTGTGAAGCTCATTCATAAGGCTTTGATATTCCGCTTCGTTATTCTGATCCGGATTGAGTGGTGGAACGGCTCGTTTCTGGATCTCGACTCCAATTTGCTTTAGCTCAGGCGCGCCGACCCTGAACTTGGCGTATAAGAGAGCGGACAAGGCTGTGTCGTTCAAATTTTGATCTGAAATCTTTTTCGACACACTCTGGTAGATATCTTTGAGAGACGAAACAAAATTTCCGCGGATGAGTGTTAGAGCACGCGTCAACAGTAGGCGATATCTAGATCGATAGACCTCGGCTTCTTTTTGGTCCATCTGTATTGGGTTAGTCATGAATATTTTTTTGATAGGCGATTCACCTACATGCGTCTCCATATAATCCAAGCACACATCAAGACGTCTCAGCATATCTGAGAACTCCTTATCGCGAACAGTATTTCCTGCACCGGGGGCATTAAGCCGTCGCGAAGCTGGGTCCAAGAAATCATAGTAGTGTAGATTATTCTGGATCCCATTTGCAAGCTTTGTGTCCCGTTCCTGGACTGATAGGAGACCTTCGCATTGCTTCTCAAAGTTCGATGTCTGCGTCTCAACCGACTTGAACGACTCGGACAAGCTGGATAAATCGTCCAATAGGGTCAAGGTATTCGCCAATATTTCGTCAATGTGCTCCTTCGATTGCTCAAGTTCATCTAAACAGTTCCTAGAGAAGCCCTAATTAGCAGAGGGTCAAGCCTATATCCAATTAGGGACTGTACGTGTACTCGTCGTAGCTCTCTTCAATCAGGTCATCCTTGACACCATTTAGCCATTGTGAGAACTCGAGTTCATTGTTCCAACCAGGTGCTTTCCACTGGAAAGAAGCATTGGGTTCCTCCTGGGGCGTATCGAGGGCTGGCTGAGTTTCATATGTAGTAGGTTTGCGCGGCGGGCCAGAGGGGGCGGTCTGGCGGCGGGCTCGTTGTTGTTTTGTGGAAGGCATGGTGCATTCAAGGCCCAGGGAGTGTACTCGAGATCAATCTGCAGCTCATAGCTCTCTGTTGGCTTTTGCTGAAGTGTATTTCGGGCCGAGTGTAATGTTGAAACCGACCTGCGATGTGGTCAACTCCGGTCCCGCTGTTCCAGGTGTTCTGCCACGAGCTGCCGCCTCAAACTGACGCAACAAATCACAGGCCTGTTATTTCGAGCTTCCCCGGATACAACATTTACTTTGCCAGCTGCTTGGGCTTGAAAGCTCTAGTTGGTGATCTCATATTCCACGATGCTACCCACACATATGCGACGGCCGGCGACACGCTCGGTCCTTGCCTTCCGCCCTTCCAGAACTCCGGCTCGGTCATTCAATGCGCCATGGTCTCGATTTGCCAGCAGCCAACATAAACCTCAACCGGGCTCATCGCAATGGGTTCGCAACTCCCTTGCATTTGCAGTGACAGGAACCGCGGCTGTCTTGGGCTACTCTTATATGACAGATGGAAAGACAGCTTGGACTGGTACTCCGGAGCCAGCGAAGAAGGAAGTCATCGACGTCAATGATCTCCGTGCTCAATTTGTTCAAGAAAAGCGAAGCCTTAAAAGCCCCGCAGTCTACACGTGGGGCTCCAACGTGTACCGCGTGGTAGACCCTGGATCTAAAGACACCGATGTCAAGGTCCCGCGACGATTCAAGTACTTCAATGGCCAAGTGCTGAGAGACCTCAAGATTGAGGAAAAGTCCGGCGCTGCAATTACTGAAAAGGGAGATTTGGTGCAATGGGGCCATGGCTTTTCGGAGACGGAATACAAGCCCACTGAGACTCTGACCGGCAAAAACCTCACCTCGCTTACTCTATCCGAAAGCCGAGTCATTGCGCTTTCCTCCGATGGAACTGTATACTCCTTGCCGACATCCAAGGATGAACAAGCAGGTGGCCCGAAGGCACCGGAGAGCTCATGGGTCCCATATTGGGCCAATAAATCTAAGTTGAGCTACCGTGTGCTGACACCATCTTTGAAGCTTGGTGAACGGGTCACCGCAATCAGCGGTGGACAAGAACATGTACTTCTTCTCACAAGCTACGGTCGAGTGTTTTCGGCGGCATCTTCTACTGAAAACTACCCTTCCCTTGGCCAACTTGGTGTTGAGGGACTCAGATGGTCAACCAGGCCTAAGGGACCCGCGGACTTTTGCCATGAAATCACTGCCCTCAAGGGCTCTAAGATTGTCCAAGTTGCGACTGGAGATTACCACTCTCTTGCCTTGAGCAAAGACGGTCAGGTATTCGCATTTGGCGATAATTCCCTCGGTCAATTGGGTGTGGACTGGGACGTAGAGCGATCTTTCCGGGATGTTCCTTTCGCTCTGGACGTGCAAAAACTATATAAGAAGGACTCATGTCTGCCAAAGGTCACTAGCATTGCTGCCGGTGGTGCGAACACCTTTTTCACTGTTGATGCCAAGCGTGTTTTGGGACCTAAGGAAGACCCTGCTGATGCCCGCGATCTGGGAATGGTCTTCGCAGATACATGGTCTTGTGGCCGGGGAATCTGGGGTACTCTCGGCAATGGGAAATGGATTCACATGCAAGATGCGCCCGTCAAAGTAAAGGCTTTGAGCGGCATGAGCGAGTTCGACGAAAAGAAGAATCAAATTTCGCCCATTCGTCTCCGGGATATGTCTGTCGGTACTACTCATGTCTCGGCTGTGCTTGACAACAAGACCAATATCAGCCAGACAGCCAAGGACACCCTAGATCAGTCCAAGGACTGGGGATATGATGTGCTGTGGTGGGGAGGAAACGAGCATTTCCAGCTCGGCACAGGCAAACGCAGCAACCAGTGCAAGCCAGCACATATCAATGCTCCTCCTGAATCCAAGAAAACTCAGGCAGAGGCGCGATTGCAGATCATCCCTCGTCACAAAGGCAAGGTTGGCAAGCGCAATGTGAGTATGGAGCAAAAGGTTGAGTGTGGACGTCACGTCTCTGCCATTTACTCTGCTGTATAAAAAGTAATTAGGGACATTTGTATATTATGTATGCCATTTGAATCCAAATTGTAATACTCTTCTCAACTTGAATGTTTGTCCAATTTTGACTTGATAGTTGATAGCAACTGCAAACAGAGCAAACTTACGCCGCGGAGACGCTTGGACCACCGCTTATCCAAAAAAATTCCAATCCAGGCGCAATTTTCCTCACCTCACACCACTACAATGCCTCGTGAAAAGGAGAAGAGAGGCCGCAGGGCCGAGAAAAAATCTCAGAAGGATGAATCCAAGCGCAAGTTCGAGGAAGCAACCGATGTCCCGGTTGCGAAACGCATGAAGCCCTCTGCCGATGAGGCCGACGAGACCATCGAACAGCAACATGACGAAGCCTTTGAACAGAATGAGGATTATATTCCTTTGGATCAGGGTGATGAGATGGATACACAGGGTCCGGAAGAATCTGGTGATACGCCTTTCTACGGTCTTCTCGACGAGGAAGAGTCGGAATATTTTTCTCGTGCCAACGAAATGCTGGAGCTGAACCAATTCCAAGACGCCGAAGAGCGCAGCTTGTTCGTCGACAGTGTGTACTCAGAGGCCAGTGGCAAGGAGTTGAAGATCGCCTGTAGTCAGGGCTGCTCCAGGCTTATGGAAAAGTTGATCTCCATGTCCGACGCTCGGCAATTGCGTCGCATCTTCAGCAAATTCGTTGGCCATTTCCTCCACCTAGTGCAGCACCGATTCGCCAGTCACTGCTGCGAAACACTTTTCATCCATGCTGCGCCTGCAGTGATGCAGAAGACCAAAGCCAAGAAGTCCGACGAAGAAACTGAAGAGGAGGAGCCCGAATTGACTCTCGCAGAGATGTTCATGGCCGTTATCGAGGAATTGAAGGACAATTGGGGTTTCTTATTGACAGAGCGCTTTGCATCACACACGATCCGAGTGCTGCTTCTGGTTCTTGCCGGTGAGCCGGTAGATGTCACTTCGGCCGAGTCAATTGTCGCAAGTCGCAAGAAGGAAAGAATGGACATCCCAATCGTTCAGGGAGAAGAGAAGCCGCAACTCGAAAAACAAAAACAAAGCGTGCCAGAGTCTTTCGAGCCAGCACTCAAGAAGATCATGACCGATATGGTTTCTGGTATTGACGATACCTATCTGCGAGCCCTGGCCACTCACCCAGTGGGTAATCCTGTGCTTCAGGTACTGTTGTTCCTGGAGCTCTCTCATTTTGGAAAATCCAGCGCCAAAGATCCCAAGTCTACTATCCGTCGACTGGTTCCGGACGAGTCATTTGAGGAGGAAGGAGAGAGCGCACTCTTTATTCGTGGACTTCTCTATGATCCAGTCGGCTCGCGCCTGCTGGAGACAATGGTGCGCTACCTTCCTGGTAAGGCTTTCAAGAACCTATACAGGAATAACTTGGGCGAACGTATTGGGTCTCTTTCACGAAACACCACTGCTGGATATGTAGTCCTTCGGATCCTGGAAAGACTCGGCAAGGATGATTTGAAGATTGCAATGGACCACATTGTTCCCGAAGTCACAGGCCTAATTGAAAGATCAAGACTCATTGTCCCGAAAGTGTTGATTGAGCGATGCGTTGCGCGCGGTGTCGACACAAAGCCTCTGGCTGAAGCACTTGAGGTTGCTTACGACAAGGACCCTAACCTCAGACTCCAGCAAATGCTTAAATTTACTCCCTCAGAGAAACCTTCGCAATCTGAAGACCACGCCATGGATGGCGACGACGAGAATGACCGCAAACCTCGCTTTGGACCTCAAGAAACCTCAGCAGAGAAAGCAGAAAAACTTCACGGCTCTCTCTTGGTTCAAGCCATGCTGACCGTGCCCGGCCCGCTCAGCCAGCTTGTTTACACAGGTCTGCTTGCACAGCCCAGCCACGTCATCGTCCAACTTTCTCAAGAACCCACATCTTCTCGCGTCATCCAGCAGGCGCTGACCTCCTCTACATCCACCACTCAAATTCGCCGACAACTCACTACTCGCTTCCAGGGCCATCTTATGGAGCTTGCTTTGAACGGCAGCGGATCCCGTGTCGTTGATGCCCTCTGGTCCGCAACCAAGGACATCTTCTTTGTCAAGGAACGCATGGCACAAGAACTCTCCCAAAACGAAATGGCTCTTCGTGATTCCTTCTTGGGTCGCGCAGTCTGGCGAAACTGGTCCATGGATCTCTTCAAGCGCCGACGAGGCGAGTGGACTCGCAAGGCCAAGGGCATTGAGGAGCGAACACAGTACGTTGAAGGTGGCGAGCGTCCTAAATCTAAGATTGAGTTGGCTCGCGCCCGGTACGCAGCAGCCCAGGAAGCAAGTGCTGGCGAGAACAAGCCTGCTCCCGAATGAGGAATACTACCAGATAGAGACATACTGGACGAAATGCACATGTACTTATATCAACTCAAAAGTGTTGATTGGTCTTTTCAGTTACTTCATACCAAAAATTAGCGTTGCTCAAAATATATCTCTGTTTCTGCGTGATATAGTTTTACTAGGATTAATTGACGCACACTGCGGGTTCCTGCAGATTTGCCCCAATCGTGACTAATTGGATTTCTGCAGATGCATTGAATAGCAATTAAAAATTCTATAGTATTATATATTATTATATAGTTCTTGCTGCCACTAGAATTCCAAAATTAACCCTAACGATTGGTGTCTCTAGTCCGCCACCTTTCTCCACGGTGGGATGATGTCAAGCTCTGCGGGATTGATGCCATCTCCGAGATCGCCGGCAACTTTTCCCCCGCCATTCTTCATCTATTTTCTTTCTTCTTCTTCACTCTTCAATTGTCTTTGCTTTTGTACATATTCAAGGTGAGCAATTGCACAAATGTCGGGCATTGCGCCGTCCACCAACCGCGCCGAAGAAGTGCAAAACGTGAGTCAACTTAGTGCGCAATGATCTACATTCCGGCATATCCTCTTTTTTTTTTTTTACATTACCCATGAACTAACATGTCAATCGCATAGCTTCTGAAAGCAGTCGAAGACCTCCTTATCCCATTTATTCGATCCGCAGACGAAAATCCCAACGGGTCCTCAAAAAAGAATGGCGCCAACGGACACACTGGACTGGCAGGAACATCGCTGGTGGACTATAAGAAGCCAGAAGAACTGCGGGAAGTTCTCCAGCTCGACATCCCAGAGAATGGCACGGGGCAAGATGGTCTGATTGAGACCTTACAAAAGGTTTTGCAATACTCAGTCAACACCTGGCACCAAGGCTTCTTGGACAAGCTCTATGCGTCTACCAATGCCCCCGGTGTCGCGGCAGAGCTCATCCTCGCTACCTTGAACACCAACGTGCACGTTTACCAGGTCTCACCTGCGCTAACAGTGATTGAGAAATTCACTGGTCAGCGCCTGGCGAACCTCTTTGGATTGAACGGACCCCGGGCTGGAGGTATCTCTGTTCAAGGAGGATCAGCATCGAACACCACCTCCGTTGTCATTGCGCGCAACAACCTCTATCCCAGTACAAAGACGGACGGTAATGGTGACTACAAGTTTGTGCTCTTCACCAGCGCCCATGGCCACTACAGTGTAGAAAAGGCAGCACAGATGCTCGGATTCGGCAGCAGTGCTGTGTGGCCCGTTCCCATCGACAGTGTAGGCCGCATGATTCCAGCTGAATTAGAAAAGCTGGCCCAGAAGGCTCAGAGCGAAGGCCGGACCCCATTCTACGTTAATGCTACTGCGGGCACAACTGTCTTGGGCTCTTTCGATCCTTTCAACGAGATTGCTGCCATCTGCCAGAAGTATAACATGTGGTTCCACATTGACGGTTCATGGGGTGGCTCGTTCGTCTTCTCCGAGCGACAGAAGTATAAGCTGGCCGGTGCAGAGAAGGCGAACAGTATCGCCATCAACCCGCACAAAATGCTCGGCGTCCCTGTGACATGCTCATTTCTACTTGCGTCGGACATGCGCCAATTCCACAAGGCAAACACCCTCCCCGCTGGATATCTATTCCACAACGAAGACACTGAACCCACAACCAATGGCGACGGGGAATCAGAGTTGGAAGTTGACTCGCCGGAAGTGTGGGATCTGGCAGACCTCACCCTTCAATGTGGCCGTCGCGCCGACTCCCTGAAGCTATTTTTGGGCTGGACATATTACGGTAGCAAGGGCTACGAGCAACAGATCGACACGGCATGCGATGTTGCTGCACACTTGGCTAACACCATCGACCAACATCCCGATTTTACTCTGATCAGTGAGAATCCCCCGCCTTGTCTGCAAGTGTGCTTCTACTACACGCCTGGCAAAGAATATGTCTACCCACGCGGCATCGTCTCAAACGAAGCTCAGCGCGCGAAGAACAATAGCAAGGTCACCGAACAAGTGACTCATGCCATTGTTCCCAAGGGTTTCATGGTGGACTTTGCGCCTCCCAGTGGCGATGAAGATGCTATTGGAAATGGAAAGTTCTTCCGCTGTGTGGTCAATGTCCAAACAACCACAGAGACTGTCGATTCGCTTGTTCACGCCATTGAAGAAGTTGGTCCTGGTATTATCGAGGGATTGAAGTCCAGTAACTCGGCCGTTCCTCAAAAGCGACCTGGTGAACATGGACATGGGCCTGTGGTTCATCGTTCTTGAGCGGCCATATGCTATCACGTCTGTGACTTTTCATACTTTCACTTTTAGAAATTTTAGATACGAGAAACGGGACATGATGTACAAGACTCAGGTCAATTGGAGCAGATAATCTGGTGAGCTGGGAGAATGACCTAGAAGAAATGGGAGTAACATGGGTATAGATTGGATTGCTATCGAAACTATTAATTGCCTATCTCGACTCTGCGCTCTAACACAGACCGAGCCTCGGCCTCAGATAGGGAATCAATTTCGAGTTCAGCAAGGACACCTCGTGCGCTCTCATTATCCCTGAAAAGCCTCGTTTCCACATCCCACAGTCCCAATGCCGCATCATCCTTTGCAGGGGCGTCGCCATCTTGCTCGGCGGCACTCAAACAAAGAATACGTAATCCTTCGGTGAGTTTCTTGATAGTACGCATGGAGATTCCTGTGTTGTTGGATGTTCCCAAGGCGGAATCCACCACGCTACAAAGATGATCGACATCGCTGGCAAGCTGGGCCGCTCCGGTTGTAGAAAATGTGTTCTTAGTCAAGACGTTGTCCCAGATATAAGTCTGAAGGGACAAAAGAAGGTGGCGTGAGACTCGTCGCAATGGTGCGGTTCCCAGTGCGTGAGATAGGAAGGAGAGCTGGGTAGACAATGTACGCATAGCATGGGCGAGATCAGAAGATGGGGAAAGAGGAGATGCCGTCGCCGTGGCGGAGGGGGTTGAGAGTGTAGCCCAGGTGGATACCCGGGAGTAGGGCTTCAAAGCAACGAGGATGTTGGACGATAGAGTGGAGGTGATGACGCTTTCGGAGCGGAGTCGTAGACGACGGTAGGCGGAGGCTGTTTCATCGAAGAGGGCACCGTCTGACGAGGTCTCTGTGTGTGTACCATTGTTGTTGACGACGGATGAGGTACGCGACGCAACTTCCGCGATGGACATAGTGCCAGCCACATTTCTACCGTTGTCTCGGTTCTGTAGAACCCGATCCTGAAGCTCGGACCAGAGCTCAACGAAGAATACATCGTTGCTCCAATCTTCCATCTTCTTCTCCAGGTACTCGGCGCTGCCAAAGACCCTGCAGAGTCGCTCCAGGCCGGCGACACCTTCCACGCTGGCTTGTCCGTCAGCTCTCTGCACAGTACGTCCAAGCGTCGACGTCATTGCAAGATATGCTTCTAGGGCAGAATAGAGACGTTCGTGGAATTGGTCGAAAATTGTAATTTGGATGTCAATCAGGAAGCGCAGCTTCTGGCTGAAAGATGATAAAGGCTGGTAGCGCTCAGTAATGGTTTCGAGAAGGTCATTCACTCGAATTGCAGCTTTGGTCGGCTTCGTTGCTGTGATTTCCATGCCATCGTAATCGATCTCTCCGCTGTCTGCCGTGTCGATTATGTCTTTGTATCGCGCCAGCGCAAAGTCTTTCTCGACCTGAAGCCATCGATCATACCAGCCCTGTCTTGTCAATACTTCCCAGGTCATGCCCTTCCAATTGTCATCCGCATATGGGTCTGGTAGATAATTCCACGTTTCCCGTATCTCATTATCGAAGTTCATCAATTCGTGAATGAAGTGGCTGAGCAATTGAGGGTAGTTGGAGATCTGAGGGAGGAACAAGCTGATCTTCTGGGTTAACATCGGAATCAATGCAGTAATGAAACTGTGTGACGCATTATAGAAGTTCCATTCCAGACTCGAACCAAGAGTTTGAGCTTTTTCGTCAAGGATAGGCTGCAAATAGGTCACAAAGAACCCGCCAAATTGATTGATCAGGTCCATGACGTGTGAGAGGAAATATTCCGGCTGCAAACTTGATCAGAACCTTGCTTCACAAATGGAAAGATATCGCCTTACCTTGTCAAGTCTGTTCGTCGGTTTGTCTCCACTGAAGTGATACTTGAATCGGAGATCCAGAGGATGCACCATGACCTCCAATGGGAACAAGACCGGTGGCTCGAGAGCCACACCCGATACCACTGCATCACGGCTTTGAAGTTCCCTGGAATGACTAATTAGCACGCGGTCTTTGATTCATGGACGGACTGATCTTACGGTGCTTGAAGGTCAATCAAAAGCTCAACGTCTTGTCTCCAGCGAGCCAAGAGCTCATCGGTGATGTCAAACTCCCTGGCCGGCCATTTCAGCTCCTCCAACGTCTTTTTCAAGTTATTACCGAAATATTCCTTCATCTGCTGTCTCAGTGCGAACGCCAGCTTATCCGTGTAGTCGACCAGATGAGGGGCTGCTCCCTCAGCAGCAGGTTGGGCATCTTTCAGCAGTCCAACAATGGCCCGCAATCGAGAATATGGCTGTAGAGCAGCGCGTGGATCGGAGGCAAGGCTCTTCAAAGCTTGGTTGCTGGATCACAGTCTCAGTATATAGTCCTTGACAATTGGTGAAGATGCTATTACCTTAATTCTTCGGCTTCTTTGAGTAATTCCACGTATCCCTTAGAGACCTCAAGTCGTTGTAGACTCTCCATGCTCTTCTCGAGACTCCGAACTGCCTCATCGCTAGTTTCAGATTGTGTGATAGCCTTTAGTCGTCGATCGATGTCCGCTTGTTCATTGGTAAATGCCTCGGCTTGCTTGCGAGTGGTTTCGGCATGGTCATCGGAGACTTTTGTCGCACTGGATAGTGCTTCATGGGCTTCTGCTAGCTGTTCGACGAGGGCTTTTAGCTATGCTTGACGGGAGAGAAAGTTGGAGTGAGGGGTGGCACCTGTTTCCGCTGAAGCTCCTGTTGCGCGCGGAGGCTTGATAATAGCGAATCCAAACTCTCAAGATCGGCGGAGACCTGTATTTTGTCATTTAAGTAATCCTCAACTCGATTCCGCTCATGCGAAGATAAAGCCGTGAGAGGCGCCATTGTTGGAAGAGGAAAATCAACTGCGGAAGCGCAAGGTGTCGCGAATGTTGATCCTCCGCCTTTGGACTGACGTCTTCCGCAACCCTCAGGTGGCAACCATGCGCCATCCCTTTTCACTCTCTCACACATTTTATAATGTCCAGCCCAGCCAAGAAGCGCAAGAGAAATGGGCCCAATACATCGCCGCAGCCGACGCGCAGCATTAAATCGTTTTTCAAGGGCCAGAATGAACAACCAAATCCAATAGAACCCGACATCACCGAGCAAACACTCTCCGATGAAGCTTTGGCGCGCAAGTTACAAGCGGAGTGGAATGCCCAAGAAAATGCCCAAGATAATACACCAGAATCTGCCCCAGAGAATACCAGCTCTGTGAATGAAAGCATGAAAGTAGATCTGCAAATCAATGAACCTCCATCTATTCCAGTACCTTCAGGTCTACCTCCAGTGGCTCGAAAAAACAACACCTTGTCGCTACAGTCCTCGGCAAATACAGAGGATGTTACTTCTCTTGCCATTCCGTTCGACCAAAGTCCCCAGACATTCGATGCAAGTCAGTACGCAGCGGAATTGCGGTCACATTGGGCTATCCAAGGTGGAGATGCCTCTTACGCCTTGCTAACAAGAGCTTTCGTCTTGGCGAATGCAACCACAAGCCGAATCAAGATCGTCGATACACTCGTTAACTTCCTACGAGTATTGATTGAAGGGGATCCATCGAGTATCCTCCCTGCCGTGTGGCTGGCGACAAACTCGATATCGCCTCCATATGATGAGCTAGAGCTTGGTCTGGGCGGGTCATCTATTTCAAAGGCTCTGAAGAAGATTTATGGCCTTGACAACCAAAGTCTCAAATCACTATACGATAAACATGGTGATGCAGGGGACGTTGCATTCGAGGCTAAGAAACGACAGTCCTTTACGCTTGTCAAGCCAAAGCCGTTGAGAATTAAGGGTGTCTACCAGTCTCTTATGAAAATTGCCACAAGCAAAGGGACCGGTAGTCAAGAGACTAAACAAAGAATCGTCGAAAAGCTTCTGCAAGATACACGAGGTGCAGAGGAAAGTCGATATATCGTCCGGACACTAGTCCAAAATCTGCGAATTGGTGCGGTGAAGACAACTATGCTCATAGCTCTCGCACGAGCTTTCATCTACTCCAAACCAGCAGGAGCAGAATATGAAGTGCGGCCACAGAGAGAAATGGCCCGCTTGAAGAAAGACGAGCTTGTTGAAATTCATAACAATGCAGAAGATATTGTGAAAGCTTCCTATGCAAGACACCCGGATTATAATGACCTCATTCCATGTCTGCTGGAGATTGGACCTGCAGAAGAGCTTTTGGTAAGATGTGGCCTGGCTTTGCACATTCCATTGAGACCCATGCTAGGTAGCATCACGCGAGATCTGTCAGACATGTTGACAAAGCTGCAAGGAAGGAGCTTCAGTTGTGAATACAAATATGATGGCCAGCGTGCCCAGGTACACTGCGACGATCACGGGAAAGTGTCTATTTTCTCGCGTCATCTCGAGCTCATGACAGAGAAATATCCAGATCTTGTATCTCTGGTCCCGCAAATCCGCGGAGAAGGCGTTTCTAGCTTTATTTTGGAGGGAGAAGTGGTCGCCGTGGACCGAGAAACTGGTGACCTTCAGCCATTTCAGACATTAGCCAATCGTGCAAAGAAGAACGTCGAGGTGGGAGCCATCAAGGTCAATGTGTGTCTTTTCGCGTTCGACCTCATGTATCTCAATGGCGAGCCTTTGCTAGATCGATCATTCCGAGAGCGCCGTGAACTTCTTCGCAGTCTCTTTGTTGAGATACCCAAACACTTCACCTGGGTCAAAAGCATGGATGCGACGTCAGCGGATTCCGAAACGGTTCTTGAGTTCTTCAAAAGTGCCACTGATGTCAAATGTGAGGGCATCATGGTCAAAGTGCTCGACAACACAATAGTCGATACCCAACCAAGTAACCCCCAAACATCTAGCGAAGCAAACCCTGAAAACGCTCTCCAAGATCAAGCAGAACAAAAGAACGGCAACAAGCCAAAAGAGAAGAACACCCGGCGCAAAGCCTTGCTCTCAACCTATGAACCAGACAAACGCCTTGAATCCTGGCTGAAAGTCAAAAAGGACTACAGCACCTCCTCCGAAACCCTCGACCTGATCCCGGTAGCAGGCTGGCACGGCTCAGGCCGCAAAGCAAAATGGTGGTCACCCATCCTCCTGGCAGTTCGCAACCCCGAAACAGGCTCATTGGAAGCCGTAACAAAATGCATATCGGGCTTCACGGACAAATTCTACCAATCGAACAAGGACAAATACGCCCAAGGCAGCACAAATGTCATTTCCAGACCCAGCTATGTCGACTACTACGGCGAACCAGACGTCTGGTTCGAGCCGCAGGAAGTATGGGAAATGGCGTTCGCAGATATCACCCTGAGCCCGACATACCCAGCTGCTATCGGGCTTGTCAGCGAAGAGAGAGGACTCAGTCTGCGATTCCCACGGTTTCTTAAAGTTCGCGAGGACAAGTCTATCGACGAGGGTACAACGTCTGATTACCTGGCATTACTGTGGCGCAAGCAAATGGAACGCGCTGGGATAGAAAATAAACAGGCCGGGAAGGACAGTATAGATGACACGGTTGGCGTGGAAGAATAGCTTGCTCAGTTACCATTCTAAATCCATACTGTACATTATAAATGTATGTACTATAGATCAAAATCAAGCCCTCGATCAGCCAATCTAATTCGCCCATCTCACACCTGCACAGGTGCCCATACTGTACATGTACATGTACACGTACTGACGGTGCCATGCAGGCCTGTTTCAGCTGATGCGCTTGAAAGGCTGAATATCACGCCACGACAGTCCATGTCGACGCGGCGGCCTATCGACCAATCGATAGCCGAGATCATGTCTATTCTCAGGTCACGTACATGCATAAACGCACGTTTCTCTCGTCTGTACTTGCAGATGAACTGTTTCCTTCATTCGCTGGATGATCTCCGTCGTGCTTAGTCAGCCCACTGCGTCATCGGCTTATCATTGGCCGTGATTGGCTGGGAATTTACTGAGTTTGAACGCGAAAGTGACGCGAAAGAACGCGAATTGATTGAGCGACGCGGGATGGAAGGGTTGAGTGGTGGGTTGTTTCATGGGTTGGTGTCATTGTTATGAGTTGGTTTGGACGTGATGAAGTGATATATATCGAGGATGCGTGAGATAACATTATATATGTTGGTCCATCGGAAACACATTACAAAGTGGGAATTTGTGAATTCATAGTGTTATACAGTCATACTACTATACTAGATTGCCATTAACAATGTGGACATACGAGAATGTGGTGCAGTTAATCAAAGTAGTCATTGAATTTCGATAATGAACATTGGCCATCTCAGCCATTCTGCAGTTGTGCAAAGGAGGCACAGAGATATTGGCCAAGGTCATGGAGGGCATTGAGATTTCCCAGATTTCATGGGAGATACATGCCAGGCGTGAGCCAAGGAAAAAGACAAGCAAGTGAATGCAAAGTGAGAATGTCAACGGACAGGGTTGGCACAGACATATGAAAGCAGGAACAGGGGCAAGACGAAGGACTGCCTGGAATAATAAGGAGCAATGCAAAGTGTGAGAGCAGAACATTGAAAAGAAACGCCGGAGATGCAAGTTTAGATGGACTGGGTAGTGGGGAGCCGGGTCGGTCCTCGAACAGACCAAGCTAAAGAGACGAGGAACGGGGCAAATTACATAGGGGATGGACACAATGTGTACATAACATGATCATAATAGAGTCGTGAGGGGGCTTACAAGGGAGTAAAGGCATAAATGAACAGAGAAAGGAAGAAGGGAAGAAGGCAAAGAGCGAAGCGGTTCAAGGGCGGAGTTCACCGCCGAGCTGTAGAGCCAGCCCGGTTTCCTTGCCACTCATTCGAGGATCAGAGGTGCTCGGAGGAACAATAGTATCAAAGTTCAATCGCTTGCGAGCTTGCTTGGTAGTGAGGGGAGTTCGACCAGGATTGCCAGGAGTGCGCCCACCCCAGGCTGGCTGAGCCGGGCTGGGGGTCACATTCACGAAGTCGGCAAAGTTGAATTGTTGGCCTGGGGTTCCGATATTGGCAAAAATGCCGCCACCTCCAGGGGTGGGAGTCAGGCCTGGTATCATTGCGTGCTGACTCGGAGGAGTGGAAGGTGGGAAAGCCTGGTTGCCAGCGCCCCTGGCGATGCGAGCTGGGGTTGGGGAATTGGCCAAGTAGAGGAGCAAGTCTGCGCCATCCTCATGAGGGGGTCGATCGTTGCGCGACAGTCGCATGTGCTTGGGGGGAGGGGTTCGTGGAGGGGAGGAGCCCACCATCGAGCTCATGTTCTGGAAACTGTGCAGTGGCAAATCGGGGTCCCTTTCTTCTGATGGCCTGTGATATGCTGGAGACGACAGCTCCGGGATCGTTGCCTCCGACATGAAGGAGACGCCCTGGCGGCGGCTTGTCAGATGACGGTTCATGCCCGGAGAGGATTCTGGCAGCCGGTAAGAGCTCTTCCATGAGACCCGAGGGACCTTGGCAGGACGCTCAGAATCAGAATCGGCCCGCAGCCGCTTTCGACTAGCCGATAGCATGGGCTGCATCACCCGGGAGTTGAATGTGGCTGCATGTTTATTGCGTTCGGAGCGAGGGAGTTCCTTGGAGTAGGTTGCGGCTCGGAGGGGAGGGGAGGTGAAGGGAGTCTCACACCGACTGCGGGACAGCTCAGAGGAGGAATCGGAAGGTTTGTCGCTGTCGAAGGTCGATCTGCCATCCTGCTGGTTCGGGTTCAGCCCATGCAGTCGACCGTGCTGATACTTGAGTTTGGCAAGACCCAACCGATCTTGCAGACTGAGGGAAACCTAGGACCAGAGAAGAGTCAGTTGATGTCCATAGGGGTCTCTGGAAGTATTTGCATGCAGCGACAAGCATTTGGGCCGCCGTTGCAGCCAAACGATCAGGCCTGAGTTTCCTTTCTTACCTGGGCAATATCGATTTTGCGGATCGTTTTTTCAGCCGAGTCAGGCAGCGAAAGAGTCATGATGGCGAGGCAGCAAAACGAGAGACAAGTCGAAGAGCCCCTGTGGTCGAAATAGAATGGGGGTTGTGTAGGAGCAAGGGCTGAGAAAGAAGGGCCAATTGGCGCGATGGAGCCGAGATTGGCTACTGGAGAAGTGTGCCACTTGCACGTATTGGGTCAAGTTGCATGCGTCAAAGAGATCAAAGAGAAGGAGAAATTCTGTTGCGCTACTTTTTCTTTTCTTTGCTGTTTCTGATTCTCGTTGAAGAATTGCAATTGAATCACTGTTTCATGGTGTTAGATTCTTTTGTATGTTTGCTTCTATCTTTCTATTCCCCTTTTTCGACCCTCTGATCACTAGCCATTCTAACCTAGGCAAGCTACATGAATCTAGCTAGCTCTGACAGAAACTGATCTATCCAATGCTGACCCTGTCTCGGGCACTGGAAGCTGAAAATGTTTTCTCAGCGGATTCCGACATTGCCGTAGAAACGATCAAGTATGCAGATTTCGATCCACTTTGCTAGCCCAAGTTAAGTTGAGTGACGATGTCATCCCGATCTGCAGAAAAGACTATTGTACTGTAGAGTTTCCCCCATCCCATCTTGCCTAAGGACTTGTCCGAGGATGTGATGGTCCACGGAGTCTCCCGCTCTGGAATATGATTCCCTGGGGTTTTCCATCCCTGTCCAGCTCTCCTGTCGGGTGTCACGTGTGTGTCACGTGCCATGTGCCTTTGCTGGATCAGCCTGGGACTTCGTGGCTCAATCCTGCAGCCTTAGACCAAGTGAAGTCTGGTGAGAATATCGCTTGTGCTTGGAACAATGGGGTTTCTCGTTGTCGTCCCATTTGAAGGAGTATAGGATTGATGGAGTTTGAGATAATAGCATACTTGCGTATAGTTCAGCTTTCAACCAATCACAAGGTAAGTTATCTTTTGTGGTATCTTTTTTAGTATCTTTTGGGTTAGTCTAATGGGAATATCGGCTTCGATGGGCTACATGGTGAGCCTGAGCCTTTTGCACAGATAGGGAGATGGAAAATCAGAACCCGGCCCCCAAATCGAGACGTAGGAGCGAAGACAGGGAACGATTACGAGACTCGAGAGAGGACTTTCCCCAGTCAGCATCTACCACAGCCAGCGATTTCAATGCCCATGGGGACGGTATACGAATGGGGTTCGAAACTTCCAGTTCACTTCCAGTTCACTTCCAAGACCCGTGAGGAATGGAACCCGTTCACGCTTCTCGATAAGGTTTGGCGTGTTGCGATATTGCCGAATCCGGCCCTCAGACACGCAAATTCCGATCCCCAGAACGGCCTCCGGGGCCACCATCTCATTACGTGGGGGATTTGGTTTGAAGTATGCGGCAACGAGGGCTTCGCACGGTTCGCCTACAGTAGACGCCAAACATGTCGCAGCAGTCGTAAGCCTACAGTTATCGGGCCACATCCAACAGTCCAAGCAAAAGGACAACTTATCGTAGAACTGGGGCCGCATGCAGTTTCAAGATAGCCCCCTGCAATTCCTTCCAACCTCCCCATGTGGGATCCATGACAGGGAGCCACCTACGTCGTTCCCATCAAGGCCCTGATGATCGGAAAATGCAGCATAACAGAGGGGTTCAGACTAAGACCAGACTACCAGGTGAACAAAGCGTACGAGATAGGAGAAAAAGGGATGTCTGCGATCCCCCGTTCGGTGAAACATTCACGACGTTTTAGGGTGTAGGCCCAGGGTACGTAATGCTCTCTCATGGGCTAAGTTAAGTCAGCTATAGATTTGGTTAACTTATTTTTTTGGGGCCACTTCGACTTCCTTGATTTCCCTCCCCCCCCCCTTTTCGCTACATGATATGCAAGTTGGGATTCAAATCTATCTCTGTTGATTCCATCTAGTTTGGGTCCGCAAACGGTCGCGCCCGTTCCTGACAAGTCACGGCAGCTGCCCGGCGAGAAGTTCCTCTTCGCAAACTCGCCATGCCGTTCTTCAAAGAGCTACGGCGCCGATCAATGGCCAGTTTCCAGAAAACCCCAGCTCCGAGTGTGGAAGAGGTCTCCGGAAAATCATCCTCCACGATCGACACTTCCTCCCATAGCTCGATCACTCCACCGTCGTCGATTCGCCCGACTCTCTCTTCTCCCAGCTTGCCAGCGCTCAGTGAATCTAATGACAGCACGGCAAGCACCCCAGTTGCTCCCCCGCAGCGACCGGGGCCTTCAGTGCTCAATTCCCAAAGGAACAGCGTGATCGTACGCTCCCCCCTCCCCCCCGATCCCGTCCCGGGGGGCGCATCGAAGAGCACGAGGCTGACACATGAAATTACAGGGCAGCAGCGCCTCCTCTATTAATGGCCAATACCGACCACAACTCTCCTCGTCGCCATATGCCCCACGGATCGTGTCCGTGTCCGATAATTCATGGGTACGTAGCGCCAGCAAAGCTTGCCAGGCACCACCATTGTGGTGAACACAGAGCTTCAAACTGACCGTTGTGTAGGTTAATCAAAAGGTGCTCCTGGTATATGGCCAGATCGGGGATCCGAGACAACATCCGCTGGACGGAAATGTCACAGTCTATCACCATCAAGATAACTTCCCCTCGGTCGGCTGGCCCG